GGTATGATGGCAAACCCGGACTGAAAAAGGAAGTGTTTACCTTGGAAAACCTGTTCTTCAAACAATACCGGGGGGTAGGTTTAGAAGGAACTTGTGTAGTACTGGCACTAATTGATGTTCCCTCTGCTTAAGATCATTAACTTGCACATTCGACGCAACGTGCGCGCGAAAGGTAAGAAAAGGCTGGAAAACGCGAGTGCTGAAGAATAGGAAGCAGACAACGTTGGCCCTGTGCACGAGTTCAACCTCGCTCGCGAAGCCTGTATGGCGGGCCTGGACTGCGTTCGGAGACGCGGCCAGTGGCACGCCCGCCCGCGCGCTGTTCGGACTTTCGCGGGGCCCTCAACTTTTGGGCGGCCGGGCCTTTCCAATGTTTGCTTCAAAAACGCTTGGCCTGAAAAACTAGTTTTCTGTCGCGTTCCCCAGCTTGAGCAACCGTGAAAAGAAGAATTGGCTGCGGCTCAAACAAAAGGTACCCAAATGGAACCCTGGTAGGTGGAAACATGGACCAACACCTGCGTAACCCCAGCTGTTTATTTTTGAGCCACATCCAATTATGTGGGTGGACCCTCAGCACCTCGCGCGGCTTTCCGGCGTTTCTCGCTCCGCTTGGGCGGACTTTTTTTTTCAGCCCTGGGCTTCTCATAGGCTCCAAGCCGATGGTTTTATGTCTGCCCTCAAAATGGGGTTGCTTTATCCCCACCCCCTCAAAGATGGGGGCGTGGGGGAAGGCTTGAAGGTGATTTTTGAAGATCTCCATTTGTGGTTCCAACATCTCATTTTTTTTGGGGGGGAAAGACTAGCTAGAGAGATGAAGGGAATTGGGGGTCTTCCCCTGAGGAATTGGCCCGGGTTCTTTATGCAGGGCCCCTTTGTGGGTCCCGCATTGGAGGCGTCAGCCTTAGGGTTGCTGAAATTGCCAGCGAAAGGAACCATCGTTGTGAGACCTGTGGTTCACTTGCCATGCATGGCGCATGGCAGCTAATATAGTTTCCACCAGGAACGAGCTCATCAACAATCTGGGCACCATCGCCAAGAGCGGCACAAAGGCCTTTATGGAGGCAATGGCCGCGGGTGGCGATATCTCCATGATCGGACAGCTGCTTGCCGAAATCTGCGAAGACTGATTCTGCAATGCTTAATCTTAGATTGGGTCTTGCGATCGCCCAAATCGTAAGCAATCTGACTTGCAACACGAAATCGTTGACCTGCTCAATCAAAAGGAACCCGCAGCTCAACATCCTTTCTGCCCTGTTTGGATCTTAAACATCGGCTTTGTAGCTCTGCAGTGCATGGCGATTTCATCTTGATTGCATGTTAATTACATGTTGTAGAGTGTTGACGTGAACGGCGCTTGCGTAGATATTATCTTTGACTGAAACAGTTTGTGAATTGTGTTGAGCCTTGCACACAAGAGATCATGCAATACTGGTGTTTCTTGTTGCTTGGTTTGGGCAATTTAGGCGAAGGCCAATGCCATGTCATGTTGGGAGGAAGAGGCTGCCCGTCACGCATGAACTATGAACAGTGTTTAATTATGTCTTAATGCAGATGCGCTGAAATGTGCTTTTACACTATCAGACACTATCATGCTCATGAATGCCTGCGTGTACCCCATCGTATCATGCGAAGCCAAGGTTCGGCGTCGGCTTCTACAGTGCCTACCTTGTTTCCGACAAGGTTCGCGTGATCAGCAAGCACAATGACGACGAGCAGCACCTTGGTTCATAGCATGTGGGGTTGGGCTGCTGCCTGATTCGCAACGAAAGGTTTTGAAATAGTGGCCGCTCTTGCTGTTGCCAAGCATCAAGCTTAAGGCCTTGTAATTGCATTGCATCCATGTGCAAAATAGATGGACATTTTTGCTTGTTGTTTTACACTTACCAATCATGGTGCCTGAGTGGCTAACAACTTTGTCTCGCCTGAGGTACATTTCGTTGGTGGCGCCCATGCCAGTTCAAATATTACACGCCTGAGGTACATCTGGGAGTCTGGTGCCGGTGGATCCTTTACTGTGCAGAAGGACACAGAGCTCGTGCACGGCGAGATCAAGCGCGGCACCAAGATCATTTGCTACCTCAAGGAGGACCAGTCTGAGTTCCTGGAGGAACGACGCCTCAAGGACTTGGTGAAGAAGCACTCTGAGTTTATTGGCTTCCCGATCGAGCTCTATGTCGAGAAGTCCAAGGTGGGCTTGACTGACTTGTCGGTGAGAGATTGAGAGTTGGCCAGGCTTGTCAACCATGCCTTGATCGAAGAATTGGCATTGATTGAGTTTTGAGACGACATGAAGCATCAAGAGAGTCATTGGTCTTTGAACAGCCTGGTTGCAAGCTCAAGGGTTCTGTTTGTCATGCCCATATCATTCACACTGAAACGAGATGTGTGCTCTACTCTGCATGAGAGTTGGGACAGTTGTTCTGGTGTTTTGGACGTGTTGGTGAGAGGTGGACTTGTCAAAGAACTGTGCCGGGATTGAGTTCAGGTCTTCCACTCACTTTTGAGGCAACATGAAGCATCAAGAGTCGGTCGTCTTTGAAGGGCTTGTGCTACACAATCACTGTTTGTAGTTCTCATGCTGATACCATTTAAGGCATGTTTGCATGTTGTGGGTCACTTTGCCCACGTTACGAGGGCGCTGCTTTGTGCGCTGAACTTGCCAGGAGAAGGAGGTCACCGATTCCGAGGAGGAGGAAGAGGAGAAGAAGGAGGATGCCGGAGACGAACCCAAGCTCCTGGGTTTGTCTTTGGTACTGACGTTGTCATTCGCTTGGTAGTTGAGGCTTGTGGCAGGGTGACTGTAGCAGGGATAGAATCATGCATGACAGCAGCTTTCAAGGATTGAGGAAGTGGATGAAGAGAAGGAGAAGGAGGAGAAGAAAAAGAAGACGAAGAAGGTGAAAGAGGTGTCCCACGAGTGGGAGCAGCTGAGCCTTGGTTGGCGAGCTGGCAAAGTGTGACAGTCATTGGGGGGGGGATGGATGCGTTCAATGTGATGAGTTTAATTTGAGAGCCAAAGTAGCTAACATTTGTGTGTCAAGTTTATGTTGACCTACCATCTTGCCTGGTAAGGAACAAGAACAAGCCCTTGTGGATGCGCAAGTCTGAGGACGTCACTAACGAGGAGTATGCTAGCTTCTACAAATCCTTGTCCAACGACTGGGAGGACCACCTTGCAGTGAAGCACTTCAGCGTTGAGGGCCAGTTGGAGTTCCGTGCCCTGCCCTTTCGACCTTTTTGAGACCAAGAAGAAGCGCAACAACATCAAGTTGTACGTGCGCCGAGTGTTCATCATGGACGACTGTGATGAGCTCATGCCGGAGTATCTATTTCAACTGTGCCTCCAATTTTTCTCAACAGCGCAATCTAGCACCCAACTTTTGTCATGCAGAACAAACCTTGCTCACGTGCCGGCTCTGCCTGCGGAGTGTATCAAGAAACCGTGCTTAGATTGAAACGATCAATATTACGCTGCCGAAGCTGAGAAGAAGGAGACTCTTCAAAACGTCACAAATTCCTTCAACGTTATGATGTCAACGCATAGAGAGGCAATCAGGTCACAAGCATTTGAACAACCCACTCTTGCAGACTGGTTTAGCGAGTTGACATGACGACCAAGCACAGAAAACGTGATGTTGATGTTGAAGATGCACTCAGTATGACAACACACATTTGACAACAAGACACTGCCGCGATTGACTTATGCAACAGCTCGATAAGTCCATGAAACTGTCAACGGCAGACAGACAGCACGCTGCAGATGCACAATAGGTTTAGGTTTATCGCCGTCCTGTTTTGAAACCGCCTTGTGCTGTAAGCAAAGCAGAGTGGCCCGGTTTGGCAGAAATCGCCCGAGGACGATTACAAGAAGTTCTACGAGCAGTTTGGCAAGTGCCTGAAGCTGGGCGTGCACGAGGGACTCAGAGAACCGCCACCAAGGTCGCGGTAGCTCTTTGCGATTCCCACACTCAAAGTCGGGCGAAAAAAAAAAAAAGGGGCGACGAGCAGATCAGCTGAAAGGGTACGATGGACCGCATGAGGAGGGCCAGAATGAATCTCTACATCACGGGCTTGAGGAGCATCCAGGCGGTGTCTTCGTCGCCCTTCCTGGAGACCCTGCGCAAGAAGGGCATCGAGGTGATCTACATGACGGACCCCGTGGATGAGTACTGCGTGCAGCAGCTGAAGGAGTTCGATGGCAAGAAGCTGAAGAGCACCACCAAAGAAGGTCTGGACATTGACGACGAGGACGAGAAGAAGAAGTTGGAGGAGCTGAAGGCGGAGTTCGAGCCGCTGACGAAGCTGATGAAGGAGGTGCTGGGCGACAAGGTTGAGAAGGTCATGGTGAGCTCTCGCATGGCTGACTCTCCTTGCGTGCTGACCACCTCCGAGTATGGCTGGTCTGCCAACATGGAGCGAACCTTGCCATGCAAACAGCTGTATTATCATTATTAGTTGCACTGTTGATTGACAATATGCTCATGTGATCAAATTGCATTCCACATTGTTGTTTGTTGCTCTCTAAATGGAGGTTTGCTTGTTTCTGTTTCGTGTTGACTGACTTTTGGCAAGCGTAGGTATCATGAAAGCGCAAGCCCTTCGCGACAACTCCATGACATCTTACATGGTCTCCAAGAAGACTATGGAAGTGAACCCAAAGCACTCCATTATGTCTGAGCTGAAGAAGAAGGCAGCTGCCGACAAGTCCGACAAGACAGTGAAGGACCTGATTTGGCTGTTGTTCGACACCTCGCTCCTCACCTCTGGCTTCAACCTGGATGAGCCTACACAGTTTGCTGGCCGCATCCACCGCATGATCAAGCTCGGCCTCAGCATCGATGACGACGATGAGGGCCTGGGCGATGATGACGATTTGCCTCCGCCACTCGGTACGTTTGCTCGACAGAATCTCCAATGAAGGATTTGTAGGAGTGGATTATGTACCGAGTAGATTGGCGATTTGAGGGATTTGTAGGATGTAATGCTTGCACGCGACTGAGGCTGGAGGAGGTTGAGGGCGCGGCCGACGAGGCTTCCAAGATGGAGGAGGTCGACTAGATGGCGTCATCCAGTTGCCAGAGTGCAGCGTGCATGAAACAATCAGAATTCGTTGTGTAGCGTCGGGTTCTGAGCTAGACCCAGTGTCTAGCGATACCACAAACCTTTGGAGAGACAGGACAGAATCGAACAGAAGGCACGCTTTGGCCGCGACATTCGTCACCAGTTTCAGGTTTCATAAGTTCTCTAAGGTTCCCCATTCTTTCCAGGGATCCGAATCTTTCTTGAACACCACCAAACACCCTGGGAAAACGGATCCGGTTCTTGAAAAGAACGATGGTTGAAACGAATGGTTGGGATCAACCCATATAGCACATTCATAAGATAACAAAGTAACTACGTCAAAACCCTACCTGGAGTCTCCATGACCCTTTAAAAATGGGTCATTGACCTCATTAAAAAAAAGGAATCAACCCCTAGAAAATTGTGTGTGCAGGGTCCATACCTCGCAACAAGCATTTCGGGAAATCCCTTTGCTCGGAAGAAGCTTGTAGAGTCAATGGCATGGCGCCAGACAGCTTTTGGAAGCTAAGCTTTTGCTGCTTAGTAATGTGTGAAATGTCCAGACACATGAGGATCGGGGTTTTTGGCACGTAGTTTGAAAGTAGTTTTCTAGTGATAGTGGGAGGAAGACATTCTTCTTGCAACATGTGCGTCGCACCACAAGCGTGGAAGCATCCAGAAGGTGTTGTGGAAGGAATCTCTTCTCGGAGGGTTGGTTTGACCTGGCAACTTCAGTTTGCACATACATGCCTTTTTGCGCCAATACTTGCTTGTAAAGCTGTGCAGCATAAGCCTGAAGCCGCGCAAGGACACGGAAGGACACGATGAAACATATGTACCGCGGGAATCCATGGCTGGAACTCTTTTGGCCTTCATCAAGGATGCGGAAGGGTCAGGGAAAGCTTGAGTTATGCCCAAGCAAGTTTAAAGGGGACACACAAACACCGCTCACGGGAGACGCCCGAAAGGTCCTTGTAGTGAGATATCCAGAAGGACATCATTGGATCTTATGTGTATAATGTCCTCCGTAAAGGGCCCCCCTTATGCTCCTGGAAAAACATTTCGTATAGATTTGTTCACTACTAAAGCTCCAGGAAGTCTAGCAGAACTACGTTCTAATTGTTTTTGCATCACACTCGGGTTCCAGGACGTCTGGCAGTACTTTAAATGGGACATACTGCTTGTGAATCGCTTTTGTGTTAGGATCCATTCATTCCAGGAAGTGACCCAGACAATTGGTTGTATTACTTAAACGGGGCAATACTACTTTCTTCAAACGGCGCAATGATACTTTTGAATTGCTTTTGGCGTTAGAACATCGAACCGCCACGCCAATTTTCGTTCCGACTGCCCAAGAGCGAGGAGTAGCGAGTTTTGCTTAGACGTTTCCTTTCGCCAGTCATGGCTGAAACTTTCGCCTTCAATGCTGACATCCAGCAGTTGATGTCCTTGATCATCAACACCTTCTATAGCAACAAGGAAATCTTCCTGCGCGAGCTGATTTCCAACGCATCCGATGCCTTGGACAAGATCCGGCACCTTGCTTTGTTTAAGAACTCCACTGTGGCCCGTTTTTGCACTTGAATCCTTGCCAGTGGGCCAGGTTCTGCAGCTGACCATGGTACTGTTTGAAGCGTTGCACTTGGGCCTTGCTTGCAGTCGGATAGGAAGCGCCACGGAGGTATGAGAGCATCACCGACCCTGACAAGATTGAGGTGCTCGGAGTAGCTGCGGAGAGTTGATGTTGCATTAAGCTTTTAAACCTGTAAGGCAAGACATGCGGTGTGGCGTGCAAGGGCCATGTGCGCAGAGAGGTGTGTTGCTTGCTGCCTTGTGAATCAGCATGTACGTCCCAAGGGCATCGACTTCATCAGTCAGGGCGTTCGAGTAGCTTTGCGTTTTCACGACGTTGAGTTGCATGGTCACGATGAGTTTTGCAAATGCGGGGCCTCCAAAATTTGTGTGCGGCATGTTCCTGAGCGATGTACTGCGATCGGAATGCAAAGCGGTTGCAAAGACCAGGGTTTAGCGCACAATCCTGCACACATGAATTTGTTGCATCTTGGTTTTGTTCCTGCGAAAGGAGGCAAGAGAGACGCGATAGGATGGCAACAGGCCAACGAATGGCTTAGTTCCGTGAGGCCCAGCCGAATTTCTTCATCAAGATCATCCCGGACAAGACCAACTCGACCCTGACGATCGAGGATTCAGGCATCGGCATGACCAAGACGCTTGGCACCAAGCACATCGACTGCTGCAACATGCAGTTACATGATGGATGGCTTGTCTCTTTTGTAGTCCATGATAGTACATGCATGGTTTTCATTTTCTACACGTGGTGCTTGGCTGTACAATAGTTTTTGCCAGGAACGAGCTCATCAACAATCTGGGCACCATCGCCAAGAGCGGCACAAAGGCCTTTATGGAGGCAATGGCCGCGGGCGGTGATATCTCCATGATCGGACAGCTCCTTACCGAACTCTGCAACTGTGGTTGCGCGATGTTTTATCTTAGTTTGGCTCTTGAAGTCTTGTGATCATCCAGTTTACTTTCTGACTTGAAACACAAAATCGTTGGCCTGCTCAAAGGAAGAAACCTACCACTCAACCTCCTTTCAGGCGCCCTTTTGCATTTTAAATACCAGGCTTGTAGCTGAGCAGTGCATGGCGATTTCATTGAGAAACATATGATAGCATGCCAATTGCATCGTTACATGTTGTAAAGTGTCAATGCGACCCGCACATGCACAGACCCAGATCTTTCACTGAGAGAATGCCTGAAATGTCTATTCGCAATGATGATCATGACTTCCTGCATACCCCATCGTATCACGGCCTTGCGATGCCAAGGTTCGGCGTCGGCTTCTACAGTGCCTACCTTGTTTCCGACAAGGTGCGCGTGATCAGCAAGCACAATGACGACGAGCAGCACTTTGGTCTATGATAGTTTTCATGTTGGATTGCACTGCTGCGTGATTCGTTGCAAACAAATGTGAGTGGCCGCTCTTGCTGTTGCCAATCATCAACTCTTAAGGCTCAAGTCCAACCCTTGGAATTGCACTACATGAATATGCCAAGCAGATCGACGTTTTGCTTATTGTTTGTACGCTTTGTTTGCCTGAGTGGCTCCCACGCCAGTCTAGGCTTATCTCGCCTGGGCTTCGTTGGTGGCGCCCATGCCAGTTGATTACATGCCTGAGGTACATCTGGGAGTCTGGTGCCGGAGGATCCTTTACCGTGCAGAAGGACACAGAGCTCGTGCACGGCGAGATCAAGCGCGGCACCAAGATCATTTGCTACCTCAAGGAGGACCAGTCTGAGTTCCTGGAGGAACGACGCCTCAAGGACTTGGTGAAGAAGCACTCTGAGTTTATTGGCTTCCCGATCGAGCTCTATGTCGAGAAGTCCAAGGTGGGCTTGACTGACTTGTCGGTGAGAGATTGAGAGTTGGCCAGGCTTGTCAACCATGCCTTGATCGAAGAATTGGCATTGATTGAGTTTTGAGACGACATGAAGCATCAAGAGAGTCATTGGTCTTTGAACAGCCTGGTTGCAAGCTGAAGGCTTATGTTTGTCATGCCCATATCATTTGCACTGAAACGAGATGTGTGCTCTACTCTGCATGAGAGTTGGGTTGTTCCGGTGTTTTTGACGCGTTGGTGAGAGGTGGACTTGTCAAAGAACTGTGCCGGGATTGAGGGCAGGTCTTCCACTCACTTTTGAGACAACATGAAGCATCAAGAGTCGTTGGTCTTTGAAGGGCTTGTGCTACACAATCACTGTTTGTAGTTCTCATGCTGATACCATTTAAGGCATGTTTGCATGTTGTGGGTCACTTTGCCCACGTTACGAGGGCGCTGCTTTGTGCGCTGAACTTGCCAGGAGAAGGAGGTCACCGATTCCGAGGGGGGGAGGGGGAAGGGAAGTGGAGGGAAGGAGGAGGATGCGGAGACGACCCAAGCTCCTGGGTTTGTCTTTGTACTGACGTTGTATTCGTCTGGGTAGTGAAGGCTTGTGCAGGGTGACAGTAGCAGGGTTCCGGGATGGAAATCATGCTGCATGAACAGCCAGCTTTCAAGGAGTGAGGGGAAGTGGATGAAGGAGGAGAAGAAGGAGAAGAAAAAGACGAACAGAAGAAGGTGTGAATGGTGATGAAAGAGGTGTCCCACGAGTGGGAGCAGCTGAGCCTTGGTTGGCGAGCTGGCAAAGTGTGACAGTCATTGGGGGGGATGGATGCGTTCAATGTGATGAGTTTAATTTGAGGGCTAAAGTAGCTAACATTTGTGTGTCAAGTTTATCTTGACCTGCCATCTTGCCTGGTAAGGAACAAGAACAAGCCCTTGTGGATGCGCAAGTCTGAGGACGTCACTAACGAGGAGTATGCTAGCTTCTACAAGTCCTTGTCCAACGACTGGGAGGACCACCTTGCGGTGAAGCACTTCAGCGTTGAGGGCCAGTTGGAGTTCCGTGCCCTGCTGTTTGTGCCTCGCCGTGCGCCTTTCGACCTTTTTGAGACCAAGAAGAAGCGCAACAACATCAAGTTGTACGTGCGCCGAGTGTTCATCATGGACGACTGTGATGAGCTCATGCCGGAGTGGCTCAACTTTGTGAAGGGTGTGGTGGATTCCGAGGATTTGCCTCTGAACATCTCCCGTGAGACGCTCCAGCAGAACAAGATCCTGCGAGTGATCAAGAAGAATCTTGTGAAGAAGTGCCTGGAGATGTTCGCGGAAATTGCTGAGAAGAAGGAGACTCTTCAAAACGTCACAAATTCCTTCAACGTTATGATGTCAACACATAGAGAGGCAATCAGGTCACAAGCATTTGAACAACCCACTCTTGCAGACTGGTTTAGCGAGTTGACATGACGACCAAGCACAGATAACGTGATGTTGATGTTGAAGATGCAGTCAGTATGACAACACACATTTGACACACGACACTGCAGTGGATTGACTTATGCAAAGCTCGATATATCCATGAAACTGTCCACGGCATACAGCATGCTGCAGGTATTGACAATAGGTTCAGATTTCTTGTTTGCCTCATTGGCATTTATATGACTTGTAGGGAAAGTAAGCCAAGCAGGTGGCCAGGCGAGGAGAAATCGCCCGAGGGACGATTACTAGAAGTTCTTCTACGAAGCAGTTTGGCAAGTGCCTAAAGCTGGGCGTGCCGGGACTCGACGAACCGCACCCCAAGGTCGCAGAGCTCTTAGCGATTTCCAACACCTCCCAAAGTCGGAGACGGCTGATCAGCCTGAAGGAGTATTGTGGACCGCTATGAGGGAGGGCCAGAAAGTCATCACTACATCACGGGTTGAGAGCATCCAGGCGGTGTCTTCGTCGCCCTTCCTGGAGACCCTGCGCAAGAAGGGCATCGAGGTGATCTACATGACGGACCCCGTGGATGAGTACTGCGTGCAGCAGCTGAAGGAGTTCGATGGCAAGAAGCTGAAGAGCACCACCAAAGAAGGGCTGGACATTGACGACGAGGACGAGAAGAAGAAGTTGGAGGAGCTGAAGGCGGAGTTCGAGCCGCTGACGAAGCTGATGAAGGAGGTGCTGGGTGACAAGGTTGAGAAGGTCATGGTGAGCTCTCGCATGGCTGACTCTCCTTGCGTGCTGACCACCTCCGAGTATGGCTGGTCTGCCAACATGGAGCGAACCTTGCCATGCAAACAGCTGTGTTGCCATTTACTGTATTAGTTAAGCTGGTGATTGACACATATGCTCATGTGTTAAAGTTTGTTGCTTGCTCTCTAAATGGAGGCTTGCTTGTTTCTGTTTTGTGTTGACTGACTTTGACAAGCCCAGGTATCATGAAGGCGCAAGCCCTTCGCGACAACTCCATGACATCTTACATGGTCTCCAAGAAGACTATGGAAGTGAACCCAAAGCACTCCATCATGTCTGAGCTGAAGAAGAAGGCAGCTGCCGACAAGTCCGACAAGACAGTGAAGGACCTGATTTGGCTGTTGTTCGACACCTCGCTCCTCACCTCTGGCTTCAACCTGGATGAGCCTACGCAGTTTGCAGGCCGCATCCACCGCATGATCAAGCTCGGCCTCAGCATCGATGACGACGATGAGGGCCTGGGCGATGATGACGATTTGCCTCCGCCACTCGGTGCGTTTGCTCGACAGAATGAAGGATTTGTAGGAGTGGATTATGTACCGAGTATATAGATTGTCGATTTGAGGGATTTAGAGGATGCAATGATTGCACGCGACTGAGGCTGGAGGAGGTTGAGGGCGCGGCCGACGAGGCTTCCAAGATGGAGGAGGTCGACTAGATGGCGTCATCCAGTTGCCAGAGTGCAGCGTGCATGAAGCAATCCGAATTCGTTGCGTAGCGTAGGGTTCCCAGCTAGACCCAGTGTCTAGCCATACCACAAACCCTTTAGAGGACGGGACAGAATTGAAAACAAGGGGAGTGTGGCGGCGACATGCGTCACCAGTTTCAGGTTTCATAAGTTCTTAAGGGTGATTCCTCATTCTTTCCCATGGATCCGGGAATCTTTCTTGAAACACCAAACACCCTGGGAAAACGGATCCGGTTTTTGAAAGCACGATGTGAAAAGAATGGAAAAGGAATCAACCCTAGACTTGATGCTATTCGTGTGGATCTTTAGACATTAACTTTTTTTTTGGAAACTCAAGTGGGTTCCCACAAAACCCCCAAACGGTTAACTTTTTGCAGGGGTGTACATGAACCATGGAGAAGTTTGCGAGAAACGCTGCATGGTCCATTACCTGCAACAAGCATTTTGGGAAAATTATTCCCCCCCCCAAGTTGTAGGTCAATGGCATGGTGCCAGACAATGTTTGGAAGCCAAGCTCTTGCTGCTTAGTAATGTGTGAAATGCCCAGACACATGAGGATCGGGTTTTTGGCACGTAGATTGAAAGTAGTTTACTGGTGATAGTGGGAGGAGAACATTCTTCTTGCAGCATGTGCGTCGCACCATAAGCGTGGAAGCATCCAGAAGGTGTTGTGGAAGGAATCTCTTCTCGGAGGGTTGGCTTGACATGGCAGTTTCAGTTTGCACGTACATTCCTTTTGCGCCAATACAGTCGCATGTGCAACTGTGAAGCATAAGCCTGAAGCCGCGCAAGGACACGGAAGGACACGATGAAACATATGTACCGCTGAATTCCATGGAAGGAACTCTTTTGGCCTTCAGCAAGGATGCGGAAGGGTCCGCGGAAGCTTGAATTATGTCCAAACAAGTTTAAAGAAAGGGAAACAAAAGCACCGCTCACATGGGAGACGCCCGAAAGGTCCTTGTAGTGGACATCATTGGATCTTATGTATCTACTGTCCACCTTTGATTAGTAAAGGGCCCCGCTTATGCCCCTGGGAAAAACAAAATACATTTCGATTGGTTTGTTCACTACTTGAGCTTTAGTAGGTCTAGCAGAACTACGTTCGAATTGTTTTTGCATCACACTCGGGTTCCAGGACGTCTGGCAGTACTTGAAATGGGACATACTGCTTGTGAATCGCTTTTGTGTTAGGATCCATTCATTCCAGGAAGTGACCCAGACAATTGGTTGTATTACTAAACGGGGCAATACTACTTTCTTCAAACGGCGCAATGATACTTTTGAATTGCTTTTGGCGTTAGAACATCGAACCGCCACGCCAATTTTCGTTCCGACTGCCCAAGAGCGAGGAGTAGCGAGTTTTGCTTAGACGTTTCCTTTCGCCAGTCATGGCTGAAACTTTCGCCTTCAATGCTGACATCCAGCAGTTGATGTCCTTGATCATCAACACCTTCTATAGCAACAAGGAAATCTTCCTGCGCGAGCTGATTTCCAACGCATCCGATGCCTTGGACAAGATCCGGCACCTTGCTTTGTTTAAGAACTCCACTGTGGCCCGTTTTTGCACTTGAATCCTTGCCAGTGGGCCAGGTTCTGCAGCTGACCATGGTACTGTTTGAAACGTTGCACTTGGGCCTTGCTTGCAGTCGGATAGGAAGCGCCACGGAGGTATGAGAGCATCACCGACCCTGAGAAGATTGAGGTGCTCGGAGTAGCTGCGGAGAATGTTGCATGTTGTTTTTAAGCCTGTAAATCAAGCCTTGCGGTTAGGCGTGGAAGGGCCATGTGTGCAGAGGGGTGTGTTGCTTGCTGCCTTGTGAATCAGCATGTACGTCCCAAGTGCATCGACTTCATCAGTCAGGGCGTTCGAGTAGCGTTGCGTTTCCACGACGTTGAGTTGCATGGTCACGATGAGTTTTGCAAATGTGGGGCCTCCAAAAATTGTGTGCGGCATGTTCCTGAGCGATGTACTGCGATCGGAATGCAAAGCGGTTGCAAAGACCAGGGTTTGGCACACAATCCTGCACAAACCAGTTTGCTACATCTGGTTTTTGTCCCTACGAAAGGAGGCACGAGGGACGCGATAGGATGGCACCAGGCCAACGATTGGCTTAATTCTGTGAGGCCCAGCCGAATTTCTTCATCAAGATCGTCCCGGACAAGACCAACTCGACCCTGACGATCGAGGATTCAGGCATCGGCATGACCAAGACGCTTGGCGCCAAGCACATCGACTGCTGCAACATGCAGTTACATGATGGATGGCTTGTCTCTTTTGTAGTCCATGATAGTACATGCATGGTTTTCATTTTCTACACGTGGTGCAGGGCTGTACAATAGTTTCTGCCAGGAACGAGCTCATCAACAATCTGGGCACCATCGCCAAGAGCGGCACAAAGGCCTTTATGGAGGCAATGGCCGCGGAGCGGCGATATCTCCATGATCGGGACAGCTCCTTGCCGAACTCTGCAAATGTGATTGCCGGAATGTTTTATCTTATTTGCTCTGAAGTCTTGTGATAATCCAGTTTACTCGTCTGGACTTGTGCAAAACACAAAATCGTTGGCTGCTCAAAGGAAGAAACCTCAAAACTCAAAACCTCCTTTCAGGCGCACCTTTTGCATTTTCATCCCAGGCTGTAGTGAGCAGTTGCATTGGCGATTTCATTGAGAAGCATTTGATAGCATGCCAATTGCCATCGTACATGTTGTACAGTGTCAATGCGACCCGCACATGCACAGACCCATATCCTTTCACTGAGAGAATGCTGAAATGTGTATCGCACAATGATGATCATGACTTCCTGCATTGTACCCCATCGTATCACAGCCTTGCGATGCCAAGGTTCGGGTCGGGCTTCTACAGTGCCTACCTTGTTTCCGACAAGGTGCGCGTGATCAGCAAGCACAATGACGACGAGCAGCACTTTGGTCTATGATAGATTTTACGTTGGATTGGACTGCTGCGTGATTCGTTGTAAACAAATGTGAGTGGCCGCTCTTGCTGTTGCCACTCATCAACGCTTAAGGCTTAAGTCTAACCCTTGGAATTGCACTACATGAATATGCCAAGCAGATCGACGTTTTGCTTTTTGTTTGTACGCTTTGTTTGCCTGAGTGGCTCCCACGCCAGTTTAGCCTTCTCTCGCCTGAGGTACATCTGGGAGTCTGGTGCCGGTGGATCCTTTACTGTGCAGAAGGACACAGAGCTCGTGCACGGCGAGATCAAGCGTGGCACCAAGATCATCTGCTACCTCAAGGAGGACCAATCTGAGTTCCTGGAGGAGCGACGCCTCAAGGACTTGGTGAAGAAGCACTCTGAGTTTATTGGCTTCCCGATCGAGCTCTATGTCGAGAAGTCCAAGGTGGGCTCGACTTGGTGAGAGATTGAGAGTTTGCCAGGCTTATCAACCATGCCTTGATCGAGGAATTGGCATTGATTGAGTCTTGGGACGACATGAAGCATCAAGAGAGTCATTGGTCTTTGAACAGCCTGGTTGCAAGCTCAAGGGTTATGTTTGTCATGCCCATATCATTTTACACTGAAACAAGATGTGTGCTCTACTCTGCATGAGAGTTGGGAGGGTTGTTCTGGCGTTTTTGACGCGTTGGTGAGAGCTGAACTTATCAAAGAACTGTGCCGGGATTGAGGGCAGGTCTTCCACTCACTTTTGAGACAACATGAAGCATCAAGAGTCGTTGGTCTTTGAAGGGCTTGTGATACACAATCACTGTTTGCAGTTCTCATGCTGACACCATTTAAGACATGTTTGCATGTTGTGGGTCACTTTGCCCACGTTACGAGGGGGCTGCATTGTGTGCTGAACTTGCCAGGAGAAGGAGGTCACCGATTCCGAGGAGGAGGAAGAGGAGAAGAAGGAGGATGCCGGAGACGAACCCAAGCTCCTGGGTTTGCCTTTGGTACTCGCTTGGTAGTTGAGGCTTGTGGCAGGGTGACTGTAGCAGGGATGGAATCATGCATGACAGCAGCTTTCAAGGATTGAGGAAGTGGATGAAGAGAAGGAGAAGGAGGAGAAGAAAAAGAAGACGAAGAAGGTGAAAGAGGTGTCCCACGAGTGGGAGCAGCTGAGCCTTGGTTGGCGAGCTGGCAAAGTGTGACAGTCATTGGGGGGGGGATGGATGCGTTCAATGTGATGAGTTTAATTTGAGAGCCAAAGTCGCTAACATTTGTGTGTCAAGTTTATATTGACCTGCCATCTTGCCTGGTAAGGAACAAGAACAAGCCCTTGTGGATGCGCAAGTCTGAGGACGTCACTAACGAGGAGTATGCTAGCTTCTACAAGTCCTTGTCCAACGACTGGGAGGACCACCTTGCAGTGAAGCACTTCAGCGTTGAGGGCCAGTTGGAGTTCCGTGCCCTTTTGTTTGTGCCTCGCCGTGCGCCTTTCGACCTTTTTGAGACCAAGAAGAAGCGCAACAACATCAAGTTGTACGTGCGCCGAGTGTTCATCATGGACGACTGTGATGAGCTCATGCCGGAGTGGCTCAACTTTGTGAAGGGTGTGGTGGATTCCGAGGATTTGCCTCTGAACATCTCCCGTGAGACGCTCCAGCAGAACAAGATCCTGCGAGTGATCAAGAAGAATCTTGTGAAGAAGTGCCTGGAGATGTTCGCGGAAATTGCTGAGAAGAAGGAGACTCTTCAAAACGTCACAAATTCCTTCAACGTTATGATGTCAACGCATAGAGAGGCAATCAGGTCACAAGCATTTGAACAACCCACTCTTGCAGACTGGTTTAGCGAGTTGACATGACGACCAAGCACAGATAACGTGATGTTGATGTTGAAGATGCAGTCAGTATGACAACACACATTTGACAACAAGACACTGCCGTGATTGACTTATGCAACAGCTCGATATATCCATGAAACTGTCCACGGCATACAGCATGCTGCAGATGAACAATAGGTTCAGTTGTATCGCCGTCCTGTTTTGTAGCCTTGGCCAAAGCGTTGTGCAGTAAGCAAAGCAGAGTGGCCCAGTTTGGCAGAAATCGCCCGAGGACGATTACAAGAAGTTCTACGAGCAGTTTGGCAAGTGCCTGAAGCTGGGCGTGCACGAGGACTCGACGAACCGCACCAAGGTCGCAGAGCTCTTGCGATTCCACACCTCCAAGTCGGGCGACGAGCAGATCAGCCTGAAGGAGTATGTGGACCGCATGAAGGAGGGCCAGAACGACATCTACTACATCACGGGTGAGAGCATCCAGGCGGTGTCTTCGTCGCCCTTCCTGGAGACCCTGCGCAAGAAGGGCATCGAGGTGATCTACATGACGGACCCCGTGGATGAGTACTGCGTGCAGCAGCTGAAGGAGTTCGATGGCAAGAAGCTGAAGAGCACCACCAAAGAAGGGCTGGACATTGACGACGAGGACGAGAAGAAGAAGTTGGAGGAGCTGAAGGCGGAGTTCGAGCCGCTGACGAAGCTGATGAAGGAGGTGCTGGGTGACAAGGTTGAGAAAGTCATGGTGAGCTCTCGCATGGCTGACTCCCCTTGCGTGCTGACCACCTCCGAGTATGGCTGGTCTGCCAACATGGAGCGAACCTTGCCATGCAAACAGCTGTGTTGCCATTTACTGTATTAGTTAAGCTGGTGATTGACACATATGCTCATGTGTTAAAATTTGTTGCTTGCGGTAAATGGAGATTGACTTGTTTCTGTTTTGTGTTGACTGACTTTGACAAGCCCAGGTATCATGAAGGCGCAAGCCCTTCGCGACAACTCCATGACATCTTACATGGTCTCCAAGAAGACTATGGAAGTGAACCCAAAGCACTCCATCATGTCTGAGCTGAAGAAGAAGGCAGCGGCCGACAAGTCCGACAAGACAGTGAAGGACCTGATTTGGCTGTTGTTCGACACCTCGCTCCTCACCTCTGGCTTCAACCTGGATGAGCCTACGCAGTTTGCAGGCCGCATCCACCGCATGATCAAGCTCGGCCTCAGCATCGATGACGACGATGAGGGCCTGGGCGATGATGACGATTTGCCTCCGCCACTCGGTGCGTTTGCTCGACAGAATGAAGGATTTGTAGGAGTGGATTATGTACCGAGTATATAGATTGTCGATTTGAGGGATTTAGAGGATGCAATGATTGCACGCGACTGAGGCTGGAGGAGGTTGAGGGCGCGGCCGACGAGGCTTCCAAGATGGAGGAGGTCGACTAGATGGCGTCATCCAGTTGCCAGAGTGCAGCGTGCATGAAGCAATCCGAATTCGTTGCGTAGCGTAGGGTTCCCAGCTAGACCCAGTGTCTAGCCATACCACAAACCTTTGAGAGACAGGACAGAATTGAACAACAAGGTAGGCTTTGGCCGCGACATGCGTCACCAGTTTCAGGTTTCATAAGTTCTCTAAGGGTTGATTCCTCATTCTTTCCAGGGATCCGAATCTTTCTTGAAAACCACCAAACACCCTGGGAAAACGGATCCGGTTTTTGAAAGAACGATGGTTGAAAAGAATGGAAAAGGAATCAACCCCTAGACTTGACTGCTATTCGGTTGGATCTTTAGACTTTAACTTTTTGGGAAATCAAGTGGGTTCCCACTAAACCCCCAAACGGTTAAACTTTTTGCAGGGTGTCAACAGGAACCATGCATGGTCCATACCTCGCAACAAGCATTTTGGGAAATTATTTCTGCTCGGAAGAAGCTTGTAGGTCAATGGCATGGTGCCAGACAATGTTTGGAAGCCAAGCTCTTGCTGCTTAGTAATGTGTGAAATGCCCAGACACATGAGGATCGGGTTTTTGGCACGTAGATTGAAAGTAGTTTACTGGTGATAGTGGGAGGAGAACATTCTTCTTGCAGCATGTGCGTCGCACCATAAGCGTGGAAGCATCCAGAAGGTGTTGTGGAAGGAATCTCTTCTCGGAGGGTTGGCTTGACATGGCAGTTTCAGTTTGCACGTACATTCCTTTTGCGCCAATACAGTCGCATGTGCAACTGTGAAGCATAAGCCTGAAGCCGCGCAAGGACACGGAAGGACACGATGAAACATATGTACCGCTGAATTCCATGGAAGGAACTCTTTTGGCCTTCAGCAAGGATGCGGAAGGGTCCGCGGAAGCTTGAATTATGTCCAAACAAGTTTAAAGAAAGGGAAACAAAAGCACCGCTCACATGGGAGACGCCCGAAAGGTCCTTGTAGTGGACATCATTGGATCTTATGTATCTACTGTCCACCTTTGATTAGTAAAGGGCCCCGCTTATGCCCCTGGGAAAAACAAAATACATTTCGATTGGTTTGTTCACTACTTGAGCTTTAGTAGGTCTAGCAGAACTACGTTCGAATTGTTTTTGCATCACACTCGGGTTCCAGGACGTCTGGCAGTACTTGAAATGGGACATACTGCTTGTGAATCGCTTTTGTGTTAGGATCCATTCATTCCAGGAAGTGACCCAGACAATTGGTTGTATTACTAAACGGGGCAATACTACTTTCTTCAAACGGCGCAATGATACTTTTGAATTGCTTTTGGCGTTAGAACATCGAACCGCCACGCCAATTTTCGTTCCGACTGCCCAAGAGCGAGGAGTAGCGAGTTTTGCTTAGACGTTTCCTTTCGCCAGTCATGGCTGAAACTTTCGCCTTCAATGCTGACATCCAGCAGTTGATGTCCTTGATCATCAACACCTTCTATAGCAACAAGGAAATCTTCCTGCGCGAGCTGATTTCCAACGCATCCGATGCCTTGGACAAGATCCGGCACCTTGCTTTGTTTAAGAACTCCACTGTGGCCCGTTTTTGCACTTGAATCCTTGCCAGTGGGCCAGGTTCTGCAGCTGACCATGGTACTGTTTGAAACGTTGCACTTGGGCCTTGCTTGCAGTCGGATAGGAAGCGCCACGGAGGTATGAGAGAGCATCACCGACCCTGAGAAGATTGAGGTGCTCGGAGTAGCTGCGGAGAATGTTGCATGTTGTTTTTAAGCCTGTAAATCAAGCCTTGCGGTTAGGCGTGGAAGGGCCATGTGTGCAGAGGGGTGTGTTGCTTGCTGCCTTGTGAATCAGCATGTACGTCCCAAGTGCATCGACTTCATCAGTCAGGGCGTTCGAGTAGCGTTGCGTTTCCACGACGTTGAGTTGCATGGTCACGATGAGTTTTGCAAATGTGGGGCCTCCAAAAATTGTGTGCGGCATGTTCCTGAGCGATGTACTGCGATCGGAATGCAAAGCGGTTGCAAAGACCAGGGTTTGGCACACAATCCTGCACAAACCAGTTTGCTACATCTGGTTTTTGTCCCTACGAAAGGAGGCACGAGGGACGCGATAGGATGGCACCAGGCCAACGATTGGCTTAATTCTGTGAGGCCCAGCCGAATTTCTTCATCAAGATCGTCCCGGACAAGACCAACTCGACCCTGACGATCGAGGATTCAGGCATCGGCATGACCAAGACGCTTGGCGCCAAGCACATCGACTGCTGCAACATGCAGTTACATGATGGATGGCTTGTCTCTTTTGTAGTCCATGATAGTACATGCATGGTTTTCATTTTCTACACGTGGTGCAGGGCTGTACAATAGTTTCTGCCAGGAACGAGCTCATCAACAATCTGGGCACCATCGCCAAGAGCGGCACAAAGGCCTTTATGGAGGCAATGGCCGCGGGCGGCGATATCTCCATGATCGGACAGCTCCTTGCCGAACTCTGCAAATGTGATTGCGCGATGTTTTATCTTAGTTTGGCTCTTGAAGTCTTGTGATCATCCAGTTTACTCGCTGACTTGCAACACAAAATCGTTGGCCTGCTCAAAGGAAGAAACCTACAACTCAACCTCCTTTCAGGCGCCCTTTTGCATTTTAAATACCAGGCTTGTAGCTGAGCAGTGCATGGCGATTTCATTGAGAAGCATTTGATAGCATGCCAATTGCATCGTTACATGTTGTACAGTGTCAATGCGACCCGCACATGCACAGACCCATATCTTTCACTGAGAGAATGCCTGAAATGTGTATTCGCACAATGATGATCATGACTTCCTGCATGTACCCCATCGTATCACAGCCTTGCGATGCCAAGGTTCGGCGTCGGCTTCTACAGTGCCTACCTTGTTTCCGACAAGGTGCGCGTGATCAGCAAGCACAATGACGACGAGCAGCACTTTGGTCTATGATAGATTTTACGTTGGATTGGACTGCTGCGTGATTCGTTGTAAACAAATGTGAGTGGCCGCTCTTGCTGTTGCCACTCATCAACGCTTAAGGCTTAAGTCTAACCCTTGGAATTGCACTACATGAATATGCCAAGCAGATCGACGTTTTGCTTTTTGTTTGTACGCTTTGTTTGCCTGAGTGGCTCCCACGCCAGTTTAGCCTTCTCTCGCCTGAGGTACATCTGGGAGTCTGGTGCCGGTGGATCCTTTACTGTGCAGAAGGACACAGAGCTCGTGCACGGCGAGATCAAGCGTGGCACCAAGATCATCTGCTACCTCAAGGAGGACCAATCTGAGTTCCTGGAGGAGCGACGCCTCAAGGACTTGGTGAAGAAGCACTCTGAGTTTATTGGCTTCCCGATCGAGCTCTATGTCGAGAAGTCCAAGGTGGGCTCGACTTGGTGAGAGATTGAGAGTTTGCCAGGCTTATCAACCATGCCTTGATCGAGGAATTGGCATTGATTGAGTCTTGGGACGACATGAAGCATCAAGAGAGTCATTGGTCTTTGAACAGCCTGGTTGCAAGCTCAAGGGTTATGTTTGTCATGCCCATATCATTTTACACTGAAACAAGATGTGTGCTCTACTCTGCATGAGAGTTGGGAGGGTTGTTCTGGCGTTTTTGACGCGTTGGTGAGAGCTGAACTTATCAAAGAACTGTGCCGGGATTGAGGGCAGGTCTTCCACTCACTTTTGAGACAACCATCAAGAGTCGTTGGTCTTTGAAGGGCTTGTGATACACAATCACTGTTTGCAGTTCTCATGCTGACACCATTTAAGACATGTTTGCATGTTGTGGGTCACTTTGCCCACGTTACGAGGGGGCTGCATTGTGTGCTGAACTTGCCAGGAGAAGGAGGTCACCGATTCCGAGGAGGAGGAAGAGGAGAAGAAGGAGGATGCCGGAGACGAACCCAAGCTCCTGGGTTTGCAGTTTGGTACTCGCTTGACACCATTTAAGACATGTTTGCATGTTGTGGGTCACTTTGCCCACGTTACGAGGGGGCTGCATTGTGTGTGAACTTGCCAGGAGAAGGAGGTCACCGATTCCGAGGAGGAGGAAGAGGAGAAGAAGGAGGATGCCGGAGACGAACCCAAGCTCCTGGGTTTGCCTTTGGTACTCGCTTGGTAGTTGAGGCTTGTGGCAGGGTGACTGTAGCAGGGATGGAATCATGCATGACAGCAGCTTTCAAGGATTGAGGAAGTGGATGAAGAGAAGGAGAAGGAGGAGAAGAAAAAGAAGACGAAGAAGGTGAAAGAGGTGTCCCACGAGTGGGAGCAGCTGAGCCTTGGTTGGCGAGCTGGCAAAGTGTGACAGTCATTGGGGGGGGGATGGATGCGTTCAATGTGATGAGTTTAATTTGAGAGCCAAAGTCGCTAACATTTGTGTGTCAAGTTTATATTGACCTGCCATCTTGCCTGGTAAGGAACAAGAACAAGCCCTTGTGGATGCGCAAGTCTGAGGACGTCACTAACGAGGAGTATGCTAGCTTCTACAAGTCCTTGTCCAACGACTGGGAGGACCACCTTGCAGTGAAGCACTTCAGCGTTGAGGGCCAGTTGGAGTTCCGTGCCCTTTTGTTTGTGCCTCGCCGTGCGCCTTTCGACCTTTTTGAGACCAAGAAGAAGCGCAACAACATCAAGTTGTACGTGCGCCGAGTGTTCATCATGGACGACTGTGATGAGCTCATGCCGGAGTGGCTCAACTTTGTGAAGGGTGTGGTGGATTCCGAGGATTTGCCTCTGAACATCTCCCGTGAGACGCTCCAGCAGAACAAGATCCTGCGAGTGATCAAGAAGAATCTTGTGAAGAAGTGCCTGGAGATGTTCGCGGAAATTGCTGAGAAGAAGGAGACTCTTCAAAACGTCACAAATTCCTTCAACGTTATGATGTCAACGCATAGAGAGGCAATCAGGTCACAAGCATTTGAACAACCCACTCTTGCAGACTGGTTTAGCGAGTTGACATGACGACCAAGCACAGATAACGTGATGTTGATGTTGAAGATGCAGTCAGTATGACAACACACATTTGACAACAAGACACTGCCGTGATTGACTTATGCAACAGCTCGATATATCCATGAAACTGTCCACGGCATACAGCATGCTGCAGATGAACAATAGGTTCAGTTGTATCGCCGTCCTGTTTTGTAGCCTTGGCCAAAGCGTTGTGCAGTAAGCAAAGCAGAGTGGCCCAGTTTGGCAGAAATCGCCCGAGGACGATTACAAGAAGTTCTACGAGCAGTTTGGCAAGTGCCTGAAGCTGGGCGTGCACGAGGACTCGACGAACCGCACCAAGGCAGAGTTTGCGATTCCACCTCCAAGTCGGGCGACGAGCAAATCAGCTGAGTATGTGGACAAGTGGAAGGAGGGCCAGAACGACATCTACTACATCACGGGTGAGAGCATCCAGGCGGTGTCTTCGTCGCCCTTCCTGGAGACCGCTGCGCAAGGGCATCGAGGTGATCTACATGACGGACCCCGTGGATGAGTACTGCGTGCAGCAGCTGAAGGAGTTCGATGGCAAGAAGCTGAAGAGCACCACCAAAGAAGGGCTGGACATTGACGACGAGGACGAGAAGAAGAAGTTGGAGGAGCTGAAGGCGGAGTTCGAGCCGCTGACGAAGCTGATGAAGGAGGTGCTGGGTGACAAGGTTGAGAAGTCATGGTGAGCTCTCGCATGGCTGACTCCCTTGCGTGCTGACCACCTCCGAGTATGGCTGGTCTGCCAACATGGAGCGAACCTTGCCATGCAAACAGCTGTGTTGCCATTTACTGTATTAGTTAAGCTGTTGATTGACAATATGCTCATGTGTTAAAGTTTGTTGCTTGCTCTCTAAATGGAGGTTTGCTTGTTTCTGTTTCGTGTTGACTGACTTTGGCAAGCCCAGGTATCATGAAGGCGCAAGCCCTTCGCGACAACTCCATGACATCTTACATGGTCTCCAAGAAGACTATGGAAGTGAACCCAAAGCACTCCATCATGTCTGAGCTGAAGAAGAAGGCAGCTGCCGACAAGTCCGACAAGACAGTGAAGGACCTGATTTGGCTGTTGTTCGACACCTCGCTCCTCACCTCTGGCTTCAACCTGGATGAGCCTACGCAGTTTGCAGGCCGCATCCACCGCATGATCAAGCTCGGCCTCAGCATCGATGACGACGATGAGGGCCTGGGCGATGATGACGATTTGCCTCCGCCACTCGGTACGTTTGCTCGACAGAATGAAGGATTTGTAGGAGTGGATTATGTACCGAGTATCTAGATTGTCGATTTGAGGGATTTAGGATGCAATGATTGCACGCGACTGAGGCTGGAGGAGGTTGAGGGCGCGGCCGACGAGGCTTCCAAGATGGAGGAGGTCGACTAGATGGCGTCATCCAGTTGCCAGAGTGCAGCGTGCATGAAGCAATCCGAATTCGTTGCGTAGCGTAGGGTTCCCAGCTAGACCCAGTGTCTAGCCATACCACAAACCTTTGGAGAGACAGGACAGAATTGAACAACAAGGTAGGCTTTGGCCGCGACATGCGTCACCAGTTTCAGGTTTCATAAGTTCTCTAAGGGTTGATTCCTCATTCTTTCCAGGGATCCGAATCTTTCTTGAAAACCACCAAACACCCTGGGAAAACGGATCCGGTTTTTGAAAGAACGATGGTTGAAAAGAATGGAAAAGGAATCAACCCATTAGAAGATAGAAATAACTTGTCAAAACCAACCTGGAGTCTCAAAACCCTTTAAAAATCCCACTTTGACCTCATTAAAAAAACTTTTCAAGGGTAGAAAAGGAACGTGCATGGTCCATACCTCGCAACAAGCATTTTGGGAAATTATTTCTGCTCGGAAGAAGCTTGTAGGTCAATGGCATGGTGCCAGACAATGTTTGGAAGCCAAGCTCTTGCTGCTTAGTAATGTGTGAAATGCCCAGACACATGAGGATCGGGTTTTTGGCACGTAGATTGAAAGTAGTTTACTGGTGATAGTGGGAGGAGAACATTCTTCTTGCAGCATGTGCGTCGCACCATAAGCGTGGAAGCATCCAGAAGGTGTTGTGGAAGGAATCTCTTCTCGGAGGGTTGGTTTGACATGGCAGCTTCAGTTTGCACGTACATTCCTTTTTGCGCCAATACTCGCATGTGCAACTGTGAAGCATAAGCCTGAAGCCGCGCAAGGACACGGAAGGACACGATGAAACATATGTACCGCTGAATTCCATGGAAGGAACTCTTTTGGCCTTCAGCAAGGATGCGGAAGGGTCCGCGGAAGCTTGAATTATGTCCAAACAAGTTTAAAGAAAGGGAAACAAAAGCACCGCTCACATGGGAGACGCCCGAAAGGTCCTTGTAGTGAGATATCCAGAAGGACATCATTGGATCTTATGTGTATAATGTCCACCTTTGATTTGTAAAGGGCCCCCCTTATGCTCCTGGAAAAACATTTCGATATGTAGATTTGTTCACTACTGGAGCTCCAGTAAGTCTAGCAGAACTACGTTCGAATTGTTTTTGCATCACACTCGGGTTCCAGGACGTCTGGCAGTACTTGAAATGGGACATACTGCTTGTGAATCGCTTTTGTGTTAGGATCCATTCATTCCAGGAAGTGACCCAGACAATTGGTTGTATTACTAAACGGGGCAATACTACTTTCTTCAAACGGCGCAATGATACTTTTGAATTGCTTTTGGCGTTAGAACATCGAACCGCCACGCCAATTTTCGTTCCGACTGCCCAAGAGCGAGGAGTAGCGAGTTTTGCTTAGACGTTTCCTTTCGCCAGTCATGGCTGAAACTTTCGCCTTCAATGCTGACATCCAGCAGTTGATGTCCTTGATCATCAACACCTTCTATAGCAACAAGGAAATCTTCCTGCGCGAGCTGATTTCCAACGCATCCGATGCCTTGGACAAGATCCGGCACCTTGCTTTGTTTAAGAACTCCACTGTGGCCCGTTTTTGCACTTGAATCCTTGCCAGTGGGCCAGGTTCTGCAGCTGACCATGGTACTGTTTGAAACGTTGCACTTGGGCCTTGCTTGCAGTCGGATAGGAAGCGCCACGGAGGTATGAGAGCATCACCGACCCTGAGAAGATTGAGGTGCTCGGAGTAGCTGCGGAGAATGTTGCATGTTGTTTTTAAACCTGTAAATCAAGCCTTGCGGTTAGGCGTGGAAGGGCCATGTGCGCAGAGGGGTGTGTTGCTTGCTGCCTTGTGAATCAGCATGTACGTCCCAAGTGCATCGACTTCATCAGTCAGGGCGTTCGAGTAGCGTTGCGTTTCCACGACGTTGAGTTGCATGGTCACGATGAGTTTTGCAAATGTGGGGCCTCCAAAAATTGTGTGCGGCATGTTCCTGAGCGATGTACTGCGATCGGAATGCAAAGCGGTTGCAAAGACCAGGGTTTGGCACACAATCCTGCACAAACAAGTTTGCTACATCTGGTTTTTGTTCCTGCGAAAGGAGGCACGAGGGACGCGATAGGATGGCACCAGGCCAACGATTGGCTTGATTCCGTGAGGCCCAGCCGAATTTCTTCATCAAGATCGTCCCGGACAAGACCAACTCGACCCTGACGATCGAGGATTCAGGCATCGGCATGACCAAGACGCTTGGCGCCAAGCACATCGACTGCTGCAACATGCAGTTACATGATGGATGGCTTGTCTCTTTTGTAGTCCATGATAGTACATGCATGGTTTTCATTTTCTACACGTGGTGCAGGGCTGTACAATAGTTTCTGCCAGGAACGAGCTCATCAACAATCTGGGCACCATCGCCAAGAGCGGCACAAAGGCCTTTATGGAGGCAATGGCCGCGGGCGGCGATATCTCCATGATCGGACAGCTCCTTACCGAACTCTGCAAATGTGATTGCGCGATGTTTTATCTTAGTTTGGCTCTTGAAGTCTTGTGATCATCCAGCTTACTCGCTGACTTGAAACACAAAATCGTTGGCCTGCTCAAAGGAAGAAACCTACAACTAAACCTCCTTTCAGGCGCCCTTTTGCATTTTAAATACCAGGCTTGTAGCTGAGCAGTGCATGGCGATTTCATTGAGAAGCATTTGATAGCATGCCAATTGCATCGTTACATGTTGTACAGTGTCAATGCGACCCGCACATGCACAGACCCATATCTTTCACTGAGAGAATGCCTGAAATGTGTATTCGCACAATGATGATCATGACTTCCTGCATGTACCCCATCGTATCACAGCCTTGCGATGCCAAGGTTCGGCGTCGGCTTCTACAGTGCCTACCTTGTTTCCGACAAGGTGCGCGTGATCAGCAAGCACAATGACGACGAGCAGCACTTTGGTCTATGATAGATTTTATGTTGGATTGGACTGCTGCGTGATTCGTTGTAAACAAATGTGAGTGGCCGCTCTTGCTGTTGCCACTCATCAACGCTTAAGGCTTAAGTCTAACCCTTGGAATTGCACTACATGAATATGCCAAGCAGATCGACGTTTTGCTTTTTGTTTGTACGCTTTGTTTGCCTGAGTGGCTCCCACGCCAGTTTAGCCTTCTCTCGCCTGAGGTACATCTGGGAGTCTGGTGCCGGTGGATCCTTTACTGTGCAGAAGGACACAGAGCTCGTGCACGGCGAGATCAAGCGCGGCACCAAGATCATCTGCTACCTCAAGGAGGACCAATCTGAGTTCCTGGAGGAGCGACGCCTCAAGGACTTGGTGAAGAAGCACTCTGAGTTTATTGGCTTCCCGATCGAGCTCTATGTCGAGAAGTCCAAGGTGGGCTCGACTTGGTGAGAGATTGAGAGTTTGCCAGGCTTATCAACCATGCCTTGATCGAGGAATTGGCATTGATTGAGTTTTGGACGACATGAAGCATCAAGAGAGTCATTGGTCTTTGAACAGCCTGGTTGCAAGCTCAAGGGTTATGTTTGTCATGCCCATATCATTTTACACTGAAACAAGATGTGTGCTCTACTCTGCATGAGAGTTGGGAGGGTTGTTCTGGTGTTTTTGACGCGTTGGTGAGAGCTGAACTTATCAAAGAACTGTGCCGGGATTGAGGGCAGGTCTTCCACTCACTTTTGAGACACATGAAGCATCAAGAGTCGTTGGTCTTTGAAGGGCTTGTGATACACAATCACTGTTTGTAGTTCTCATGCTGATACCATTTAAGGCATGTTTGCATGTTGTGGGTCACTTTGCCCACGTTACGAGGGCGCTGCTTTGTGCGCTGAACTTGCCAGGAGAAGGAGGTCACCGATTCCGAGGAGGAGGAAGAGGAGAAGAAGGAGGATGCCGGAGACGAACCCAAGCTCCTGGGTTTGTCTTTGGTACTGACGTTGTCATTCGCTTGGTAGTTGAGGCTTGTGGCAGGGTGACTGTAGCAGGGATGGAATCATGCATGACAGCAGCTTTCAAGGATTGAGGAAGTGGATGAAGAGAAGGAGAAGGAGGAGAAGAAAAAGAAGACGAAGAAGGTGAAAGAGGTGTCCCACGAGTGGGAGCAGCTGAGCCTTGGTTGGCGAGCTGGCAAAGTGTGACAGTCATTGGGGGGGGGATGGATGCGTTCAATGTGATGAGTTTAATTTGAGAGCCAAAGTAGCTAACATTTGTGTGTCAAGTTTATATTGACCTGCCATCTTGCCTGGTAAGGAACAAGAACAAGCCCTTGTGGATGCGCAAGTCTGAGGACGTCACTAACGAGGAGTATGCTAGCTTCTACAAGTCCTTGTCCAACGACTGGGAGGACCACCTTGCAGTGAAGCACTTCAGCGTTGAGGGCCAGTTGGAGTTCCGTGCCCTTTTGTTTGTGCCTCGCCGTGCGCCTTTCGACCTTTTTGAGACCAAGAAGAAGCGCAACAACATCAAGTTGTACGTGCGCCGAGTGTTCATCATGGACGACTGTGATGAGCTCATGCCGGAGTGGCTCAACTTTGTGAAGGGTGTGGTGGATTCCGAGGATTTGCCTCTGAACATCTCCCGTGAGACGCTCCAGCAGAACAAGATCCTGCGAGTGATCAAGAAGAATCTTGTGAAGAAGTGCCTGGAGATGTTCGCGGAAATTGCTGAGAAGAAGGAGACTCTTCAAAACGTCACAAATTCCTTCAACGTTATGATGTCAACGCATAGAGAGGCAATCAGGTCACAAGCATTTGAACAACCCACTCTTGCAGACTGGTTTAGCGAGTTGACATGACGACCAAGCACAGATAACGTGATGTTGATGTTGAAGATGCAGTCAGTATGACAACACACATTTGACAACAAGACACTGCCGTGATTGACTTATGCAACAGCTCGATATATCCATGAAACTGTCCACGGCATACAGCATGCTGCAGATGAACAATAGGTTCAGTTGTATCGCCGTCCTGTTTTGTAGCCTTGGCCAAAGCGTTGTGCAGTAAGCAAAGCAGAGTGGCCCAGTTTGGCAGAAATCGCCCGAGGACGATTACAAGAAGTCTACGAGCAGTTTGGCAAGTGCCTGAAGCTTGCGATTCGCACACCTCCAAGTCGGGCGACGAGCAGATCAGCCTGAAGGAGTATGTGGACCGCATGAAGGAGGGCCAGAACGACATCTACTACATCACGGGTGAGAGCATCCAGGCGGTGTCTTCGTCGCCCTTCCTGGAGACCCTGCGCAAGAAGGGCATCGAGGTGATCTACATGACGGACCCCGTGGATGAGTACTGCGTGCAGCAGCTGAAGGAGTTCGATGGCAAGAAGCTGAAGAGCACCACCAAAGAAGGGCTGGACATTGACGACGAGGACGAGAAGAAGAAGTTGGAGGAGCTGAAGGCGGAGTTCGAGCCGCTGACGAAGCTGATGAAGGAGGTGCTGGGTGACAAGGTTGAGAAAGTCATGGTGAGCTCTCGCATGGCTGACTCCCCTTGCGTGCTGACCACCTCCGAGTATGGCTGGTCTGCCAACATGGAGCGAACCTTGCCATGCAAACAGCTGTGTTGCCATTTACTGTATTAGTTAAGCTGTTGATTGACACATATGCTCATGTGTTAAAATTTGTTGCTTGCGGTAAATGGAGATTGACTTGTTTCTGTTTTGTGTTGACTGACTTTGACAAGCCCAGGTATCATGAAGGCGCAAGCCCTTCGCGACAACTCCATGACATCTTACATGGTCTCCAAGAAGACTATGGAAGTGAACCCAAAGCACTCCATCATGTCTGAGCTGAAGAAGAAGGCAGCGGCCGACAAGTCCGACAAGACAGTGAAGGACCTGATTTGGCTGTTGTTCGACACCTCGCTCCTCACCTCTGGCTTCAACCTGGATGAGCCTACGCAGTTTGCAGGCCGCATCCACCGCATGATCAAGCTCGGCCTCAGCATCGATGACGACGATGAGGGCCTGGGCGATGATGACGATTTGCCTCCGCCACTCGGTACGTTTGCTCGACAGAATGAAGGATTTGTAGGAGTGGATTATGTACCGAGTATATAGATTGTCGATTTGAGGGATTTAGAGGATGCAATGATTGCACGCGACTGAGGCTGGAGGAGGTTGAGGGCGCGGCCGACGAGGCTTCCAAGATGGAGGAGGTCGACTAGATGGCGTCATCCAGTTGCCAGAGTGCAGCGTGCATGAAGCAATCCGAATTCGTTGCGTAGCGTAGGGTTCCCAGCTAGACCCAGTGTCTAGCCATACCACAAACCTTTGGAGAGACAGGACAGAATTGAACAACAAGGCAGGCTTTGGCCGCGACATGCTGCATCACCAGTTTCAGGTTTCATAAGTTCTCTAAGGGTTGATTCCTCATTCTTTCCAGGGATCCGAATCTTTCTTGAAAACCACCAAAAACCCTGGGAAACGGATCCGGTTTTTGAAAGAACGATGGTTGAAAAGAATGGAAAAGGAATCAACCCCTAGACTTGACTGCTATTCGGTTGGATCTTTAGACTTTAACTTTTTGGGAAATCAAGTGGATTCCCACTAAACCCCCAAACGGTTAAACTTTTTGCAGGGTGTCAACAGGAACCAAGTAGAAGTTTGCGAGAACGCTGCATGGTCCATACCTCGCAACAAGCATTTCGGGAAATTATTTCTGCTCGGAAGAAGCTTGTAGGTCAATGGCATGGTGCCAGACAATGTTTGGAAGCCAAGCTCTTGCTGCTTAGTAATGTGTGAAATGCCCAGACACATGAGGATCGGGTTTTTGGCACGTAGATTGAAAGTAGTTTACTGGTGATAGTGGGAGGAGAACATTCTTCTTGCAGCATGTGCGTCGCACCATAAGCGTGGAAGCATCCAGGAGGTGTTGTGGAAGGAATCTCTTCTTGGAGGGTTGGTTTGACATGGCAGTTTCAGTTTGCACGTACATTCCTTTTTGCGCCAATGCTCGCATGTGCAACTGTGAAGCATAAGCCTGAAGCCGCGCAAGGACACGAAAGGACACGATGAAAAATATGTACCGCTGAATTCCATGGAAGGAACTCTTTTGGCCTTCAGCAAGGATGCGGAAGGGTCCGCGGAAGCTTGAATTATGTCCAAACAAGTTTAAAGAAAGGGAAACAAAAGCACCGCTCACATGGGAGACGCCCGAAAGGTCCTTGTAGTGAGATATGCAGAAGGACATCATTGGATCTTATGTGTATAATGTCCACCTTTGACTGTAGATTTGTTCACTACTGGAGCTCCAGGAAGTCTAGCAGAACTACGTTCGAATTGTTTTTGCATCACACTCGGGTTCCAGGACGTCTGGCAGTGCTTGAAATGGGACATACTGCTTGTGAATCGCTTTTGCGTTAGGATCCATTCATTCCAGGAAGTGACCCAGACAATTGGTTGTATTACTAAACGGGGCAATACTACTTTCTTCAAACGGCGCAATGATACTTTTGAATTGCTTTTGGCGTTCGAACATCGAACCGCCACGCCAATTTTCGTTCCGACTGCCCAAGAGCGAGGAGTAGCGAGTTTTGCTTAGACGTTTCCTTTCGCCAGTCATGGCTGAAACTTTCGCCTTCAATGCTGACATCCAGCAGTTGATGTCCTTGATCATCAACACCTTCTATAGCAACAAGGAAATCTTCCTGCGCGAGCTGATTTCCAACGCATCCGATGCCTTGGACAAGATCCGGCACCTTGCTTTGTTTAAGAACTCCACTGTGGCCCGTTTTTGCACTTGAATCCTTGCCAGTGGGCCAGGTTCTGCAGCTGACCATGGTACTGTTTGAAACGTTGCACTTGGGCCTTGCTTGCAGTCGGATAGGAAGCGCCACGGAGGTATGAGAGCATCACCGACCCTGAGAAGATTGAGGTGCTCGGAGTAGCTGCGGAGAATGTTGCATGTTGTTTTTAAGCCTGTAAATCAAGCCTTGCGGTTAGGCGTGGAAGGGCCATGTGTGCAGAGGGGTGTGTTGCTTGCTGCCTTGTGAATCAGCAATGTACGTCCCAAGTGCATCGACTTCATCAGTCAGGGCGTTCGAGTAGCGTTGCGTTTCCACGACATTGAGTTGCATGGTCACGATGAGTTTTGCAAATGCGGGGCCTCCAAAATTTGTGTGCGGCATGTTCCTGAGCGATGTACTGCGATCGGAATGCAAAGCGATTGCAAAGACCAGGGTTTGGCACACAATCCTGCACAAACGAGTTTGCTACATCTGGTTTTTGTTCCTGCGAAAGGAGGCACGAGGGACGCGATAGGATGGCACCAGGCCAACGATTGGCTTGATTCCGTGAGGCCCAGCCGAATTTCTTCATCAAGATCGTCCCGGACAAGACCAACTCGACCCTGACGATCGAGGATTCAGGCATCGGCATGACCAAGACGCTTGGCGCCAAGCACATCGACTGCTGCAACATGCAGTTACATGATGGATGGCTTGTCTCTTTTGTAGTCCATGATAGTACATGCATGGTTTTCATTTTCTACACGTAGTGCAGGGCTGTACAATAGTTTCTGCCAGGAACGAGCTCATCAACAATCTGGGCACCATCGCCAAGAGCGGCACAAAGGCCTTTATGGAGGCAATGGCCGCGGGCGGCGATATCTCCATGATCGGACAGCTCCTTGCCGACCTCTGCAAATGTGATTGCGCGATGTTTTATCTTAGTTTGGCTCTTGAAGTCTTGTGATCATCCAGTTTACTCGCTGACTTGAAACACAAAATCGTTGGCCTGCTCAAAGGAAGAAACCTACAACTCAACCTCCTTTCAGGCGCCCTTTTGCATTTTAAATACCAGGCTTGTAGCTGAGCAGTGCATGGCGATTTCATTGAGAAGCATTTGATAGCATGCCAATTGCATCGTTACATGTTGTACAGTGTCAATGCGACCCGCACATGCACAGACCCATATCTTTCACTGAGAGAATGCCTGAAATGTGTATTCGCACAATGATGATCATGACTTCCTGCATGTACCCCATCGTATCACGGCCTTGCGATGCCAAGGTTCGGCGTCGGCTTCTACAGTGCCTACCTTGTTTCCGACAAGGTGCGTGTGATCAGCAAGCACAATGACGACGAGCAGCACTTTGGTCTATGATAGATTTTATGTTGGATTGGACTGCTGCGTGATTCGTTGTAAACAAATGTGAGTGGCCGCTCTTGCTGTTGCCACTCATCAACGCTTAAGGCTTAAGTCTAACCCTTGGAATTGCACTACATGAATATGCCAAGCAGATCGACGTTTTGCTTTTTGTTTGTACGCTTTGTTTGCCTGAGTGGCTCCCACGCCAGTTTAGCCTTCTCTCGCCTGAGGTACATCTGGGAGTCTGGTGCCGGTGGATCCTTTACTGTGCAGAAGGACACAGAGCTCGTGCACGGCGAGATCAAGCGCGGCACCAAGATCATCTGCTACCTCAAGGAGGACCAATCTGAGTTCCTGGAGGAGCGACGCCTCAAGGACTTGGTGAAGAAGCACTCTGAGTTTATTGGCTTCCCGATCGAGCTCTATGTCGAGAAGTCCAAGGTGGGCTCGACTTGGTGAGAGATTGAGAGTTGGCCAGGCTTATCAACCATGCCTTGATCGAGGAATTGGCATTGATTGAGTCTTGGGACGACATGAAGCATCAAGAGAGTCATTGGTCTTTGAACAGCCTGGTTGCAAGCTCAAGGGTTATGTTTGTCATGCCCATATCATTTTACACTGAAACAAGATGTGTGCTCTACTCTGCATGAGAGTTGGGAGGGTTGTTCTGGCGTTTTTGACGCGTTGGTGAGAGGTGAACTTATCAAAGAACTGTGCCGGGATTGAGGGCAGGTCTTCCACTCACTTTTGAGACACCATGAAGCATCAAGAGTCGTTGGTCTTTGAAGGGCTTGTGATACACAATCACTGTTTGCAGTTCTCATGCTGACACCATTTAAGACATGTTTGCATGTTGTGGGTCACTTTGCCCACGTTACGAGGGGGCTGCATTGTGTGAACTTGCCAGGAGAAGGAGGTCACCGATTCCGAGGAGGAGGAAGAGGAGAAGAAGGAGGATGCCGGAGACGAACCCAAGCTCCTGGGTTTGCCTTTGGTACTGACGTTGTTATTCGCTTGGTAGTTGAGGCTTGTGGCAGGGTGACTGTAGCAGGGATGGAATCATGCATGACAGCAGCTTTCAAGGATTGAGGAAGTGGATGAAGAGAAGGAGAAGGAGGAGAAGAAAAAGAAGACAAAGAAGGTGAAAGAGGTGTCCCACGAGTGGGAGCAGCTGAGCCTTGGTTGGCGAGCTGGCAAAGTGTGACAGTCATTCGGGGGGGGGGGGGATGGATGCGTTCAATGTGATGAGTTTAATTTGAGAGCCAAAGTAGCTAACATTTGTGTGTCAAGTTTATATTGACCTGCCATCTTGCCTGGTAAGGAACAAGAACAAGCCCTTGTGGATGCGCAAGTCTGAGGACGTCACTAACGAGGAGTATGCTAGCTTCTACAAGTCCTTGTCCAACGACTGGGAGGACCACCTTGCAGTGAAGCACTTCAGCGTTGAGGGCCAGTTGGAGTTCCGTGCCCTTTTGTTTGTGCCTCGCCGTGCGCCTTTCGACCTTTTTGAGACCAAGAAGAAGCGCAACAACATCAAGTTGTACGTGCGCCGAGTGTTCATCATGGACGACTGTGATGAGCTCATGCCGGAGTGGCTCAACTTTGTGAAGGGTGTGGTGGATTCCGAGGATTTGCCTCTGAACATCTCCCGTGAGACGCTCCAGCAGAACAAGATCCTGCGAGTGATCAAGAAGAATCTTGTGAAGAAGTGCCTGGAGATGTTCGCGGAAATTGCTGAGAAGAAGGAGACTCTTCAAAACGTCACAAATTCCTTCAACGTTATGATGTCAACGCATAGAGAGGCAATCAGGTCACAAGCATTTGAACAACCCACTCTTGCAGACTGGTTTAGCGAGTTGACATGACGACCAAGCACAGATAACGTGATGTTGATGTTGAAGATGCAGTCAGTATGACAACACACATTTGACAACAAGACACTGCCGTGATTGACTTATGCAACAGCTCGATATATCCATGAAACTGTCCACGGCATACAGCATGCTGCAGATGCACAATAGGTTCAGTTGTATCGCCGTCCTGTTTTGTAGCCTTGGCCAAAGCGTTGTGCAGTAAGCAAAGCAGAGTGGCCCAGTTTGGCAGAAATCGCCCGAGGACGATTACAAGAAGTTCTACGAGCAGTTTGGCAAGTGCCTGAAGCTGGGCGTGCACGAGGACTCGACGAACCGCACCAAGGTCGCAGAGCTCTTGCGATTCCACACCTCCAAGTCGGGCGACGAGCAGATCAGCCTGAAGGAGTATGTGGACCGCATGAAGGAGGGCCAGAACGACATCTACTACATCACGGGTGAGAGCATCCAGGCGGTGTCTTCGTCGCCCTTCCTGGAGACCCTGCGCAAGAAGGGCATCGAGGTGATCTACATGACGGACCCCGTGGATGAGTACTGCGTGCAGCAGCTGAAGGAGTTCGATGGCAAGAAGCTGAAGAGCACCACCAAAGAAGGGCTGGACATTGATGACGAGGACGAGAAGAAGAAGTTGGAGGAGCTGAAGGCGGAGTTCGAGCCGCTGACGAAGCTGATGAAGGAGGTGCTGGGTGACAAGGTTGAGAAAGTCATGGTGAGCTCTCGCATGGCTGACTCTCCTTGCGTGCTGACCACCTCCGAGTATGGCTGGTCTGCCAACATGGAGCGTACCTCTGTTGATTGACAACTATGCTCATGTGTTAAAGTTTGTTGCTTGCTCTCTAAATGGAGGTTTGCTAGTTTCTGTTTCGTGTTGACTGACTTTGGCAAGCCCAGGTATCATGAAGGCGCAAGCCCTTCGCGACAACTCCATGACATCTTACATGGTCTCCAAGAAGACTATGGAAGTGAACCCAAAGCACTCCATCATGTCTGAGCTGAAGAAGAAGGCTGCGGCCGACAAGTCCGACAAGACAGTGAAGGACCTGATTTGGCTGTTGTTCGACACCTCGCTCCTGACCTCTGGCTTCAACCTGGATGAGCCTACGCAGTTTGCAGGCCGCATCCACCGCATGATCAAGCTCGGCCTCAGCATCGATGACGACGATGAGGGCCTGGGCGATGATGACGATTTGCCTCCGCCACTCGGTATGTTTGCTCGATAGAACCTCCAATGAAGGATTTGTAGGAGTGGATCATGTACCGAGTAGATTGGCGATTTGCGGGATTTGTAGGATGCGGGATTTGAGGGATTTTTAGGATTTTTAATTATGATTTATACCTCCTTTTTTCGTAGAGGGTTGACATCATACCCTGGCCAAAGCGGGTATTTAGAGTGGGGGGTGGTGCTAATGACCTGCAATGATCGCACGTGTCTGAGGCTGGAGGAGGTTGAGGGCGCGGCTGACGAGGCTTCCAAGATGGAGGAGGTCGACTAGATGGCGTCATCCAGTTGCCAGAGTGCAGCGTGCACGAAGAAATCTGAATTCGTTGTGTAGCGTCGGGTTCCCAGCTAGACCCAGTGTCTAGCGATACCACAAACCTTCGGAGAGACAGGCCAGAATTGAAAAGGCAGACGGCACGCTTTGGCCGCCACATGCTGCAACATGTATTTCAGGACTGCAGGTGTTTTCGAGGGCATTGTACATACTTGAACGGGCATTGTACTTAGTAGGGGAATAATAACCATGGTCATCTGCAAATGGACGAAATCCTGCACCACCTAAACACCACAAACAATGGTTTCAACCACGGCTTCAAAGTGGTGCAGGATTTTGTCCATCCCCAGTAGTGCTAACCTACAAAAGCCATGTTCATAAGTCTCCGTTCAGTGGCTGCGAAATGTGTGAATCCTACAGTTCCCACTCGAGCCACAATCAAAACCTGGGTAGATGAAGGTTATTAAGGGGCAGTCCCAGCCAGAAATAGTTGCGGCCGCCTTCTTAATTCTTTACATGGTTCTGGGTAGACCATTTTGATACCAGGTTTTGATTGTGACTCTCCGTGGGAGTTTGAAGAGGCAAAAGGCATGGCTTGTTTGTGAGGCTCGGGGCGCATTTTTTTTCTTCAAGAATCAAAGGAAACTCCGCACAGCTCTCTTCGGGGACTCGCTTTTCTACCCAGAAAAGATGGGTTGCCCTGAAATGTTGGGGTGACATTCGGTTTTGTTCGTTTGAGGGTGGGGGCAAAGGGCTTTCACCCAAAGGGGTGAGACCCACCTGTTGCTATAGCGGAAACCCCCTGCTGTGGATGGGCGAAATCCATTTCGCACCACTTGGAAACCATGGTAAACCATTGTTCCCCCTACATAATTTCCCGCTTTTTTCGGACCACACCTTTTTTAGTAGAGGGTCGACATGATACCCTGAAAAAAGGCCGGGTATTTGGAGCTTTCGGGGGCATGGTAAACCATTGTTGGTATTTCCAGGGGACTCATCCTTCCGGGGTGTAGGTGGTGCGAGAAGCGGATTTCGTCCAGCGGCCGGGTATTTGGAGTTGATGTTGGGGAGCGAAGCTTCCGGGCTCAAACCCGTGTTTGTATGTTTTGTGTGCCCCCGACTACGCCAGGAACTCCTCAAGCAAAAAGGAAGACGACTGGGGCTTGACCCCGAAAAACCCGGTAAGCCGTAAGCAAGCAATGTTGACCCCATGTCAATCAACCAACCAGTTGCCCCCTACTCCAACTACCCGCTTTTTTAAGGGTATTTTTGGGGAAACACCTGGTTTTCGAGGGTATCATGTCGTCCCTCTACTAAAAAAGGAGGTATTTACCTTGGAAAACCAGGTTTTCCCAAAAATACCTTGAAAAACGGGTATTTGGTGTAGGGGGTACACCCAACACTCACCTTTCTTTGGGGTGTGATGTCAAGCCTGTACGAGAAAAAGGGAGGTCTTTACCCTGGAAAAATCGGGTTTTCAGCACAGTTGGTCTGTGGAGTGCCTGGATCCTCAGTTGCCTTTATTTTCCAGCCACTGTTGCCCAATTATAGGCTACCAGTGGGCTTCCAGTGGCTGGCAAAACGTGGCCAAGCTTGGGGCTCCAGATAAGAAGGGCCTGGTTGGCGGCTTCCTTTTGCAGTTTCTTCGGGCCCAGGCGGGTCACAGCCCAAATGTGTCCGGTGTCCAAGAAAGCGATCCGGGTATTCGGAGGTTAGGAGGGTACTTGAAGGGGCGATCGGGTACTTGGTAAGTGGGTAACGATGGCAACCCACAAAAGGCATTGTAAGTCTCCGTTCAGTGGGTTGCAACCAGACTGACTAGCCCTAGCCACTTACTGATCTAGGCTCCTCCGGGTACCTTCCCCATTCTTTCCAGGGAGTTTTCGTTTCAGGAAACCATCAAAAACCCCGGGTTGGAAACAGATCCGGTTTTTGAAAACGATGGTTGAAAAGAATGGAAAAGGAATCAACCCCAGGAACTGAGTACCCTGCCCCTTGAAATAGACCACGCACAAAAGAGCATCTGTCAGATGCTTCGGCCGCGGTTGCTCCGGCGGCTTTGGCTTCTTTTGCACCCATCCCGGAGGCGCGGGGTGAAGTTGTTTGGTTCACCCCGGGTGAATCAAAACCCCTGTGTAATACTCGGTTCCCAACCATTCTTAGTTGTTTTTAGGTGGCTTATTGGGGGTTTCCATTTAACCCACTAAAAGTCAAACATACGCGAGTGGGGCCGGCCCCGTCATATAGATAGGGGTGTACTAATGCTGGGTCAACATGAAGCCCCAAGTTTTTCTAGAACCCGCCTTGGTCCAAGGGTCCAAGGGTCCAAGCCTTGCTGTTTTGTTGAGCCGGTTTCGACTGTTTTTGGGTCAAGAGACACCAAACTTCCCCAGAATTAGTTCCCCTTTTTGCTTTTTTTGCTTTTTTGGGGTTCCCTTTGTTTTCCACTAACCAGTTTTTTTTGGCTGGGGTCCCTTTTTTCCAGCCAAGCAAATACCCGCTTTCTTTTTCACGGTACATCACTTTAAAGGAAGCTCATGAATGTGAATAAGCCAACAAAGTGCTCGGTTGAGCGCGGTGCTCCCGAAACATCGAAGATTCACAAACTGCCAGAAATTCGGGATCGCCGGATTTAGTCTACAGCCAAAAAAAAATCGGCAGTTTGACGTTCCAGGGGGCTAAATAATGAGTGGGAGTTTGAGAGTTTGGGCTATTCTTGGCCAAACCCGATTTTCCAGCACAACTACCACGCAACGAGAACATGTGCTGGGCGCCGGGTTTTCCTTAAAACGCAGGGGGCCGCCGGTTGCCAGGCGGACAACGACGCCGTCGAGGAGCTCCGCTTCGAGGCGAGCCTCCGCGCGGCGGCGCCGGAGTTCGTCCCCGAGAGCTTCGGCTTCGCCGCGGAGGCGCGCGGGGAGCGGGGAGCGCGGGGGGGGGGGGGGACGGGACGCGGGTTTTTTTTTTTTTTTTGTTGTTGTTGTCTTTGTTTTTTTTTGGTGTGTTTTTTTTCCGGCCCGTGGAGTTTTGTGTTGCGTCCTTCAACTTTCGCTGAAGTGTTGAGAGCCTTTGTGGAAGCTGTATCTCCGTTAGCTGCAAAACCTCCTTTTTCCGAAGGGGTTGTAAGAGTCCTCATGGTCTTTTTGTTTGTGTTTTGTCCGTACCTGGACTTTGTCAAACTACCCGTAGAAATTGGACATCAATAATTGTAGATGTGTGGGTATTCAATAGCTAGAATGGGGGGTATGTACTTTAAAACCACATTCAGTCAGGATTCTATTGACCCCTGACAAAAAATCACAGGCCCACCAATTTAGATTCCACCTGATATTAGCCTGAACACAAATCGCTGGCCTCACATGTTTACAGGTACCTGGACCTTGGAGCTACTCTGTTTTGAAGGAATACCACCGGTCCCATGATGGGCGATCGCCCATAAGATATGAGTAGTACCAACTGAGAAGCGGCCGGAAACCACCCCCCATTCATAGGAGGGGTTTGTTACTTGCTATAGGTCGGGAAGGACTTGCTATAGGTCGGGGTGTTGGGAATGAAGGAGGAGGATTCCCCTCAAGGAAACCAGAGGAAGGATGGTTTGTAGGGGTCATGCCAATTCTCATTCCCTGCCTATCGCACCAGCAAGTAATCAACCCCATCTATTGATAGGGGGGTGGTTTTTGGCCCCTCCATTGATGATTCTCCACTATAACGTCCCTTACTTCAAATACCAGCCGCTTTTTTGGTTGGTACTATTTTGTGGGCGATCGCCCTGAAATCATGGGGTGCCGTGGTGTCCCTTCAAAAAAGGGTAGCTCGAAGGTCCGGACTTCCAATTGATGATGTCCAATCTCCACGGGCAGTTTGAGGGTTTAGGTAAGGACAAAACCATAGGAACTCTTACCCCCCCCCCCCCCGCTAAAAAGGAGGTATATACCAGGGAACATCGATCGGTTTTCCAAAAGATACCCATAAGAATCAAGGAGTATGTGGAGCTTGCGGAGATAGTCGAGAACCTCAAGCGATCGATCAGAACTGGGGAAGCAGGGCCCATGGCGCCATGCAAGTCCCCACCCGAACCAAATCATGGCTCAGCTACTTTGGCTGGTGGTTTTCAGGGCTCCCCAGATTTCCCCAGGGATTGAAGCAGTTGAGTCACGTCACTTGTCGCTGGTCCATTGAAAGTGTGGCTTGCTTGTGGGGAGATGTGAGGGGGGAAGAGCTCGGGAGCCCCGTTGGTTGTGCGGATGGAGCAGAGAAGTAACGCAAGCGCAGAAGGCCCGGGGAATGGGGACCGGAGAAGCCAGGCAGCGATGAACAGGGCCTCCGGTTGGATTTTGGACTGTGAAGGGGAACCGGATCACTTTTGGAGGGACTGCAACCGGATCCCCAGCAAGGCCGGTATTTTTCCAGCTACTTCTGCCAAGTTATGGGCTGCTAGTGGGCTTCCAGTGGCTGGAAAAAAGTGGCCAAGCTTGGGGATCCAGGTTTCTGTTTTTTTGCATCAAAATTTAGTTCTTCCGGATTAAACACTACAGTTTTTGATCTCACTGGAGATCCGGATCTTCACCCTGCAACGCAAAAAGTGCATTCCTTCTGGGCTGTGCTGTGGGAGCCCAGGATTCCCCCCCTTTGCTTAGGTTGGGGGTTGGAGAGATCATTTTTGGGTGTGGCTCAAAATAAACCAGGAGGGGCAAACCGCAGGTTTTGGTACCCATGTTTGCACTTACCAGGGCAAGCCATTTTGGAATTCCGGTTTTTCGAGCCACAGCCATTTTTGGAGAGGCCAGGTTCCATTTTGGGTTTGTCTTTGATGGGTCGGGTGTGAGGTTATTGCTTTCTGTTGTTGGATCATGGGTTGAGTTTTTCTTTTTGCCTGCCCAGACGCTCCTGGAGCTTCCAATGGAAGACCCAGACCCTCCATTGGCCACCCCAGAGGGGTTTTGGGGTCTCAAAACCTGGCTGTTTGAGGGCCCAAAATAAATCGGGAGCGTCTGGGTGTACTCATTTCAAGCTGCCATGCCCGTGTCTTTAACTACGGGGCTCACGCCGAGCCAGGCTTCGCTTCGAAACCCAGTTTGAGCAACTTGAAGTTCTTGGCAGGTCGAAGGAAACACAACTTGTGGCGTGGGGCCCGGAGTCATCAAATCAGGTCACGCTGCCCACTTTGGATTGCTTCCTCCATCATTTTATCATAGGAAGGATTTGACATGCAAGAGTTTTTTGCCCCCACGATCTCCTTGGAAAACCCATAGGGTAAGGGACCCGCCAATTAACAGTTTCATTGTGGCTGATTTGTTCCAGTGCTTTCTTACCAGGTTTTACCAAGTTTTTGAGGGAATCTGTCGCTGCTGGACCGATTTTCTCTCATTTTCGAAAACGCACATGGAAGCCGCGCGGCCTTCGGCCTGTGTTTGGCGTTTCTCGCAAGAAAGAAACGGGATCTGGCTCGCAGGTGCCGGAGACTCCGGGCTTCTACGAGGCGGCGAAGGTTTCGTTTTTTGTTTTTTTGCTCCCTTTTCGGTGTGCCTGGGTCTCAGAAAATATGTGTTGACCCCAACTAAAAGTCGACGAACCCGTTTTTTTGACAAGGATGTGTCCCTAACAAATGTCGACCCAGAAACATCAACCGACCAATTGAGTAATTGGGGGGTGCTTCCCCCTGGGTGAAATGTGGGGGATCAGACCACTTGTTGAGGGGAACAGCCTATTGATTCCATGTGATTGCCTCGAAAAAAAATGCGTCTGATATGAAATGATTTGGTTGTAAATGCGGAGATTCCATGTTGCCTCCGACAAATGGTGGCAAAGAGATCCCAGGCTGTGTTTGCCCGAAACTGTTCAGAGATGTGCCATGCTTTCGAATATAATTTTCAGTTTGGTCCAGAGACACTACTGCCACATTGCCGTAACTAACAGGGAAATTATCGAAGGATCCATGAAAGTGGGTGCCTTTTGCCATCCACTTTGCCCACTAGTAGCCCATAATTTGGCAAAAGGAGCTTTTGAGTTATCATATCAACCCATTACTAACAAAATGAATCCACTCAAACAAGAACGAGGGATATTGCCAACTAAAATTACGGTGGATGAATTCCAATCTTTTGACACCAACCACACTCGATTGTCTCTGCAAAAATGAATTCTCGATTACTTTGCTCTTGCTCCCCCCCCATAAAAACGAACTGACCCCACAAAAAAAGATAAACAAACACCTGCCGAAAGAACCATTTTTCGGTATATCTGCAAAAAGGACAGAAGCCCTCTCCAAATACCTGAGGATTTCAGGGTACATTTGGGAATACCCACGTTTTTCAGGGTTTGATGTGTATGATGGCACGCCCTCACTAATAAAGGAGGCATGTACCCTGGAAAACGGGAGTGGAGGGTGGGGTTGGGGGGGGGGGTTGGCGGAACTCAAAATTCCATGGGGATGTATGTCAACGCATCTTGGAGGGTGGTTCCCTGTTCCCCTGCCTGGTTTTCCTAGGGATTCAGAAGCCACCACTGAAAATCTTGGGACTCATTGCCAGGGCGACTTCGCGACAGAGGCCTGCTGTCTTGGCCTCGGGAAGCGCCCTTCACCCCCGCCACGAAAAACGGGCCCGGTTTTTGGGGTATGACGTCAAGCCGCTGGATCGAAGTTGAGGAGGTTGTTGCAATTTTGTTTAACTGGATGTTGGATTACCCCCTACTCCAAATTCCAGCCGCTTTTTTTCAGTCGGATTTTGTTGGGAAAACCGAAAAAGGTTTTCCATGGTAAATATCGATCCCTTTTTTAGTAGAGGGTCGACATCATACCCTGAGAAAAGTGGGTATTGGGTGTAGGGGGTAGTATGGGGTCGTTTCATGACTATGTGTCCAAGGCAATGCAATTATGGGGCGAAATAATTACTCGGTCATGGCCCAATCTAGATTCTAGATGCATGGTACCCGAAACCGCCATTCTAGTTATTCAATTGTTGCATTTCAAGCTTGACCAGATGGGCTTGTCTCAAAATAGGCCCTCACTATCGGTGGCTTCCTTTTGGGCTTGCTCACAGACAACACCCGCATATGAAACACACCCTCTACTACAAACACCTGTTTTTTTCTTTTTTTTTCTTCTAGGCTATTTTCTGAAGATCCAGGTTTGCCAAGGCACACACCGATCTTTTTTTTGTTTGCCATCATACGTACCAACTGAAAAAAAAGGGGTTGGGCCAATATTTTTCGGATCGAGAGATTCCCACCGATTCCGGGGTGAAACGGGTCTACTGTTTGCTACTGAGGGCCCAATATCAAGATGTGGGTGCGTCGTAAGATAGGGACCCCGCCACAAAAAAAGAAAGAAACGCCAACATGGTGGGGTGTGCCTTAAAATAGGGGGAACTTTTGGTCTCTCAAAAAGACAGATCCATATCTCAAACCCCTGGGGAGGACCCCAGGGTTTGTGGGTGTGTTTTTTGGTTTGGTTGGGGGGGACGGGCGACGCTCATGTTTGCTTAACATTTGCAGCTAGACCCGAAGAAACGACCCAACCGCTCTGATTTTGGGTTGCAATCACGCATTTTCATGGGTAGTTTCTTCGTGTCCAGATGTGAAAGCCCGGAGGGAGCTCGATTTGTTCGATGCCGCTCTAGGATCCACCCATGCCCCCAACCCCCGGTTTTTGGACCCGTAAAGGATCCAGGCGGTTCGTTTCCTCCAGAAGGAGATCAAGGATGGCTTCGTCGCCGGCGACTCGCAGCTGGTTTGAGGCAGGGCGTCCGGCCGTGGCGGCCTTGGCGGTCGAGGCCGCCATGGAGGGGAGGAGAAGGAGGGAGCAAGATGCGGCGCTCTGGCTGATGTGGAGCGTGGGATCTGAGTTTGCAATGATGACGAGGATGCCTGGGTGGCAAAGACCCACCCAGAGTCCAGGCCCCCAGCGCTGGGGCTGAGGGCTCAGATCGAAAAGTCGATGGCCGACCGAAGAGCCAGGGCGCAAGGTGCTGGCTGCGGCTTCCCCGGCTGACACTCTCGCCAGCGGGTGGTCCGGATGAGTTTTGGATGATGGGGGCTTTGCGTTTGCGACTTCAGGGAATCAGAAATTTCAAGGCTCTTCTCTCAAAAGTCATTCCGGGTGTTCGATTCAGGAAGCTGGAAAGGCTCTGTATGGGAAATGGGAAAGTCACCACTGGAATGCTAACGCTTTCAGCAACAAGTGGTTGGGGGCCAACTCACAGGGAAACAAGCCTCTTGTGAGGAGACTTGTAAGTGTATACTAACCTGTCACTAACTTGGCTGAACATGCAGGTGTTCATTAATAACCAGGAGGGACACACCAGCACCCAGGTGCGATCAATAGCAACCATGCCCCCTAATCCCAATACCCACGTTTTTCAAGGTTTGATGGGGTATGATCGCAAACCCTCACTGATAAAGGAGAGGCATTTGCCCTGGAAAGTGGTGGGGGGTTGGTGGACATTGAAAATTTACATGGGGATGTATGTCGCGGCATTTTGGAGGGTGTTTCCCTGTTACCCTGCCTACTGTGAACTTGGGACTTCACATTGCCAGGGCGACTTCGCGACAGAGGCCGGCGGTCTTGGCCTTTTTTTTCTCTCGCACTTCCTTGTTTTTTGGAAGTGCCCGAGCCCCCGCCCAATAGCGACCTTGTTTTAGGGTATGACAGGCTTCATCTCGGTATTTATATGTATTTAGGATGAAAACTGCCGGTTTGTCCAAATGTACCCTGGAGTAGAGAGCTTCTTTCCTGTTTGCAGATATACCGAAAAAGCAGTTCTGTCGGCAGGTGTTTGCTTATCGTTTCTTTTGTGGTCAGTTCGTTTTTTATTGGGTGGGCAAGAGCGAAGTAATGGAGCGTGTGGAATTCATTTTTGCAGAGACAAGCGAGCGTGGTTGGCGAACCTGAAGAAATTACCGTCAACAGATTGGAATTCATCCACCGTAATTTTAGTTGGCAATCTCCTTTTTTTGAGTGTACCCCCTACTCGAAATACCAAGTTTTTTTGTTGTTGGTCCATTTTGGAGAACCAATCGGTTTGTCCATGGTAAGTACCGATCCCTTTTTTGTAGTAAAGGGTTGACATGATACCTCAGAAAGGCTGGTTGGCAGTTGGAGGTGATCCGGGGGTAGTTTGAGGTTGGTTTGTATTCCCCAGACATTCTCCAAGCAAACCAAAAGAAAGCCAACAGGGGACCCCCTGCACATATACCCACTTTTGTAGATTCTAGATCCTTCAAACAATTACTTGTTAGGTGCGGCAATGTGGGTGGCAATAGTGTCTCTCGACCAAACGGAAGCAATTCTACTCGTCAGAATGACTCGCACTTCGCCAAACAGTTTCGGGCAACCGCGACCTGGCTTTTCAGAGTGTCCAGGTTCGGAAACTCCGCCCCTTGCGGTTTCGGCAGGTAATGAGGGAATGGACCTGGGTCTAAGAGGAAACCAGTTGGATATGGTTTTTCTAGGGTCATTCTCAGGGCTCCTGCCGATTTCGCACCAGCAAGTTTTGGGCAGGGAAATATTGATGTTTGTTCACCCTCCCAGCAATTCACCTGGGGGGAATCGGTCCTGGAAGACCAGTTTCCTTTTTTTGGAGCTGGGTCCGTGTCAGGTTCCATGCTACTTGGTGGGAAACTAATTCCATTTGTATACCACAATAGGCTCATATCTTTCGGTGATGGCGTTTGCCTTGTTCCATGTCCCATTCCCGGCCGATTTCGCACCACACCCTACCCTAGAAAAACAGGGAACATGTCTCCCTCCAAGCTGGCCCAAACCCCTTATGAGCCACAATCAAAACACGAGAAAGTGAAGGTTAGCAAGGAACAGTCCCAGCCACAAATCGCTGCGGATATCCGCCTTCTTAGTTCTTTACATGGCTCTGGGTCGACCATTTTAATGCCAGGTTTTGATTATGACTCAACTGAGGCGTATATGGTCAAGGGTTCGCAAGTCGACCCCCCCCCTCCCCCCCCAAGCCCTCCCCCTCCCCCCCAGTCACTCTTATCAAGCTGGCCCTTGAAAAGTGGGGCCGTTGCTGTCCCCAGTGCTTCGAGACCTACGGCCCCGGCTTGGACTTCCATGCCCACGGCGCGGTGGAGCCGGCGGCGGTTTTGCCCTTCGACTACGCGCAGGCTCATCTCCGCGGGCGGAGAAGTCGGAGTCGAGCCGAGTCCTGAGTTGCGGGGCTCGGACGAAAAGTCGCTTTCTGGGGGGTTTGGACCAATTTTGGTGGGAAGTAAAAAGTCTGGTCACTGTAGTCTTCTAGATTTACCCTCGGAAGCTCTAAGTGATTTTTAGTTACTGTCATGGGTAGGAAAAGAACCAAAAACCGCCAATCAGCCCGAGGCTCATTACCCGAGCCTCCAATAAGGGGCCCTCCGATGAACAACCCTTGAAAACGAACACAATTTCAAGTTTCAAGAAATGCCCATGAATCATATGAACCCCTTAAAGAAAGAGGTATTTATGATGGGACACTGATCGGTTTTTTCCGAAACAAACACCTTTAAAACCGCGGGTATGTTGAGTGGGGGGTAGAGGGGACGTGTTTTTGTTGATACCCTTTTTGGGGGTTCAAAGGCCAACCAAAAGGAACACTGTTGCGCCATTTTTTTTTTGGGGGGTCCGATTTCTAGAAATGGGAACTCCGCTTTTTTTTTGGTGTGTGGCTATGAAATTGAAGTCAAAGGCTAAATGTATTCACCCATGTATGAACCCCTGGTATGAACCCCTGTCTAATTATGTGAGCCTATGTACCAACCAGACCTAAAGGGCAATGGGTTCATACATGGCTTCATACAATCAGCCTTTAGTTGGAAGCGCCTGTGAGTGATGGATAAGGCCATCCCCGAGTTCCTAAGTCACCACAATATGTTCTACCTGTTGGTGTGTTGCCTTGGGGGGGGAGGAGGGTTCCAGGCCCCAACGAATCAGCACACCCCTTCGGAAAGACTGCCTATGACTGGCCTCATTGTTTTACCATGATCAAAGTCACCCCCTAAGTGATAGGTTAAGGGAAACAACCCATTTTCCTGACTTTGACAACCCCTGGCAACGGTCAAAATAATGACCCCAATATAAGTGCCCCAACTTGGTTCAGAGGAGTTGGGAGGGTTTGCAAACGATTCTTTTTGTTTTTTGCGCGCATGGTTTTTGTCGGCTTTGCTGAGCACGCAGCCTTGAGGGGGGAGGGGTTGGTGGGTGAGCACTCCCTACTCCAAATACCAACCTTTTTCAGGGTATTTATTCAAACAAACCTTGTGTTCCATGGTAAATTAGTGAAAGTCAGACTAGTGTTGGATTGATCTTAGTTGCTAGGAACAAATGCTGCCACGAAATTCCTCTTTGTCGTCAGGTCAGGTGACGTCAGGGCTTGACATGATAGGCCAAAAGCATAGAAGGGTGACGCGGGCTTAAAGAACATGGTCCTTTGACCTCTACCCACGTAACCACCCAATACCCGAACCATTTATGAGTTGGCATCATGCAGTTCTCTCTACTAAAAAAGTTGGGTATTAACCATGGAAAACCGATCGGGCTTTCCAAGAAATACCAACAAAAAAGCGGTGGTATTTGGTCTAAGCGTGTTTCTTTTTTCGACATGGGCCCCCCGTTAAGAATCCTGGAAGCTGACTGGTTGTTGGAAGACACTTTCACCTGAATAAGAAAGGTGGGTATGGGGTTGCGTATTTTTGTGGGGTGATTTTAAGGGATAACAAACATGAACAGCTCCCATTTAGATTTGAGGGGGTCCCCCTATTTTGACACACGCCCGCACACGTATATCACAGTCTTTTTTTAGGAGCCCTGTTATGTTGACGAAGTTGGGTTAAACAATTGCAGACCGGAAAGGAAACCGTTGCCGTTCTCGGGGGCCCAGAAAAAAAAGGAACACATGTGCGGTTCTCAGCGAATGGAACGGATGCTGCCCCCAGAAAGCTCCAAATGCCAATACTTGTTTTGTTGGTATTTGTTGGAAAGCCTGGTGGTCCAAGCGAAATACCGTTCCCTTTTCATTGTTTGGTCCAGGTTTGACATCATTACCGCCTATGATACCAACTCGAAAGAGTTGGTATTGGGTGGTTGCGGGGGTGAGCCCAGTTGGACCACAATCAAACCCAGGTAGATGAGGTTCGTAAGGGACGGTCACGACCATAAATGCCCGCAGTCACCTTTTTAACTCTTTGCATAACGTTGGGTAGACCATTTCAATACCAGGCTTTGATTATGACTCAGTTCATTTCAAAACGTTGTGTGTCTGGCTCTGGACCAAACATGTGACTGTCTCTTAATTTTTGGGAGCCTCTGCGCAAGCCCATGGCAACCCGCTATGCTCCTTTTGCCTTTTTACAGGGTGCTGAAGAGGGCTCGCTCGCGTGGCTTGGCTCGCGCAGGAGATGGAGTCTTCCCCCTGTTCCAAATCCAACGCTTTTTGCAGTTGGTATACCAGGGGCCCCTATATGTATATTTATATATATATATATACCTATATCCCTTTTTGGCGGTTTTAAACATCACCTTTTTGGCCCATGAAAGGTGAGTGTCCCTTGGTGGGGGTGATGTTTTCAGGGGAAGTATAGGGAGCCCTGTATACGCCCTACTCCCCGGAACCTCTAAATACCAAGGCCTTTTCAAAGGGTATTATTGAAATAGCAAGCTTTCTATGGTAATTTCTGTGATTTAGCAAAGGGTTGACATGATACGAACTAAAAAAGCTGGGGTATGTGAATTTTGGAGCGTAGGGTATTTTGCACTCGGTTGAACCGGAGTAAATACGATTCCATTTTTTGTATGGGGTTAACACTGTTGACAAAATCCTGCGCCACTTGGAAACCATGGTTGAAACCGGGAAACATACATCCCGTACTCCAAATGCCTTGTCAACCCTGGCCAAAAAAGGGTGTATTTTTCCTGGAAAACCGATCGGTTTTCCAAAATACCCTGAAACACGCGTTGGTGTTTGGAGTGGCGGAACATATGACGCGAACTAGGATTTCACCTTGCGAAGGTTCCTTGCAGAAGGCCCTCATATCTTAACTGTTGACATGCTTCGTTTGGTTTTGTTCAACTTTGTGGGCTGCAAAAAATCGGTCAGATTTTTGCAAGCCCATATCGGTAGGGCTGTAAAGTTATGCTCGGGGGAATTACCGACCTACTGCAAACACAGAAGAACCGGTCGGTTGAAACCAGGGTCACGAAGTGAGTTACGGCTTGGGTGTGGCTCAAAATGTAAGAGCCAGACGACTCTACCTTTCCATTTCCCAGTGTTCGATGTTGTTCCGATTCCTATTTTTGAGCCACACCCACTTGTTTTGCCAGGAGTTCCTACCATCTTCTTTGTCTGTTTGCAGGTGGTGTAACCCGCTTTTTTCAGGGTATGATGTCGACCCTCTACTAAAAAAGGGATCGGTATTTACCTTGGAAAACCTTTCTCGGTTTTCCCAAGAATACCAACTGAAAAAAACGTTGGTATTTGGTGTAGGGGGTACTCTTAAAAAAGGGAGTCCACCACAAAGGTTTTGGTTGGCCATTGCCCTTCAAAAAGAAGGGTAGTTTGAGCATTGGTGAAGTCGAGGCACATCCACGCCACAAGTTTGGGGGCCTCCACTTACCCCTACTCAAAATACCCGCCTTTTTTTCAGGGCATTTTGGAAAAACCCGACTTTCCACGGTAAATACGGATCCCTTTTTTAGTAGAGGGTGGACATGATACCCTGAAAAAAGGGCCGGGTATTTGGAGGTCACGGTCGTAGAGTCCACCTGAGCCAGGCGTTCGAATACGGCGAATACGAGGAGGAGACCTGGCAGGGCTACTATGAGGGCGATGCCTGGCACGAGAGCTTCGGCTACGGCTACGAGGGCTACTCCGAGGCGGGGTCTTAAAGCGGGTTTTGCCCCCCAAGCAAAACAAAAAAAAGACCAAGGAGGGATTTGGTTCGCCCCCGAAAAAAAGAACATTAAAAAGTAGCTGGTCGAGGATCTTTGTTTGGGATGTGTGGTTCCCGCCCCAAAGTATCTCCCCCCCAAACAAAGAAGAGTCACCTACCCCAAAGACCTGCCTTTTTCAGGCTTATCACGTCAAGCCTTCACGAAAAGAAGGGATCGGTATTTTTTGTTTACCCCAGGCAGATGTCGGGCTGTTTTCCTGGGAGGGAGGGATCGATTGAGCCGGTGAAAAGGCGCTTGCAAGCCCAGCTCCCCCGCCACCCCTCAAAGAGACAGGAAGCAATGTCAAGATGGGTGCAGTCTCCTCCTCGCAATACTGTTTGAAGTGTCTTTTTTCCTCAAGAGGGGTACAGTATCCGATGATTCCTTCTCTTCTTCTTTTTTTGCCGGGGGCTTCTTCAAACAAGAAATGGATTGGAATCAACCCCCAGATCACTTGGTTTGGAGTTCGGGGAATGGGTCGACTTCTGGAAGGGTGGAAAGGGGCTGGAAAGTGGGCAAAAGGGCAAAAGCTGAGCTTTCTGTTTCTTGTCGTGGGCAGGCAAGCAAGTTATACATATATATATATATATATATGTATCATATATATATATATATATATATGTGGACTTGAACTAAGCCCAGCTGTCCCATTTATCACCATGCCCAGTGCTTCCAGTTGCCACAGTATGGCAGGCTGTCAGAAAAGACCATCATGTACAACCTAGAGGTAAGGAACCTGAAGTGAACTGCTTGCCTGGAAGCACTGGCATGGGACTTTGGGGTCATTCCCCCCTGTTGTTTCTGGCCATCTGTCGTCTTGAAGGGCTGGCAGCCTATTCTCCTTTAAAAAAGAACCCTCTTCAAGATTCGTTGAATTAAGGCGGGCTAGCCCAAATATGAAACTTGGCGAATCGGACAATCTGAGTTTCTGTGTACCGGATGTGGGTAGATTTGTCAAGTTTGGGGTGGCCGGGTTCATTTGGTTTTCCATGTTCGTGTGCCAAGGGCTCTCTCCCCAACTTGTTTTGCGGGAGTTCTTGGGTTGCTGTTGTCGATCACTTGCCTTCCATTTAGGCATTTTTGTTGTTTATTATTATTATTATTTTCCCTGTTGGTTTTAAAGGGAATCTATTACTACTGGACATATTTTTATTTTTGCCAGCGGTCTTAACCAAATGGAGGTTGCCAATCCCATCCATTGTTTCCAACCGTCCCTTGGGGGAGGCAAACGTTGCTGGTGCGAACTCGGCAGGACCCTCCAACTACCTGGATCCCCAAGTAGCCACTTTTTTCCAGCCACTTGACCCACTCGTAGCCCATAATTTGGCAAAAGTAGATGGACAACAAAGGCACCTGGGGATCCAGCTCTGCCCCAATGGAATTCCCATTTTGTGGCCCTGCGCAATGGAATGCCCCCTCTAAAACCATCCAACTGGTGGGTGGTTTCCTTTCGAGAATCCCCGAAACCCCCTTGGAGCACGAAGGCCTTCACCTACCCACCAACTACCCATTGTTGCAGTTTGCCAAGGATGTTAGGACTTCAACTTTTTGATCCAACTGATGGGTGTTCTCCGTATTAAGCCGCTAAAAGTTAGTCACTTTTAGCCGGGGAGCAGATTTCGCAACCGAGTGACCGACGCCTCTTGGCGCGCAGGCGCCCTGCATGGCCGGCGAATGGCACGCGCACGCCGCGCCCTACGCAGGCGCCGCTTGGCGGAGCCCCGTGTCTCGGCGGGTTTGCTGCGAGCTGCACGCAGGAGGTACACCTTTGCTTGCGGGGTTTTTCAGTAGTGCCCTTTCTCACCCCTTTTCTGGGGGGAGATTCGGTTCCTCTACTAGAATCGACCACAGAAAAAAGTTGGTAGCCTTATTCTCACCCCTCAAATCTGGAGGACCTAGCTTGCAGAATCTCTGGCGCCCTCCCGCCAGAGCTTCTTGATTGGATGCGATGAACAGGGGAACGCGAGCCGAAAGCAAGAACCAAGGTGCAAGGATATACTCAAGCTACTGTATTCTTGAGCCCCGGTTTATGTCAATTAGGAGGTTGGAATATCTACAGGAAACCTGCTAAGCACACAACATGGGAACAACAATTGAACGATGTGGATGTGGCTTTTTTCAGTGGACGCCCAAAAGGGGTACCAACTCGCAAAAAGACGAGCCACCCACGTTTTACCCCCTTTCGATTTCCATTGGGGGAAAATCATTTGGCATCCGCGCTTCTGATTTGGGGACCCAGCTATGTAGTTTTGGTTTAAATGGGTGTCTCTTTTATTGAGGGTACCTTTCCGTAGTTTTAAGGGCCCAAAGGGATTCTTCCTTGGTGTGTACAAGTATGTGTATGAATACATTTTGAGAGAGAGAGAGATACAAATATGTACATACCCACTAGTTGTTGTTCTTTTGTTTTTTGGTTTTACTTTATTATATGTATATAAGCAGCAAGTTGGTATGTTGTCTGGAAAACATGTTTTTTCCGCCGAAAAAACGATTTCTTGTTAGTCAATATTTGACATCATACGAGTTATTAGGTGCAGGGGGTATTCTATATATTGTCTACACCCTTTGAACTCGGTCGGTTTGAAGGGCAAAGGGATTTTCCGAGAAAAAGGCGGGGTATTTGGAGGCTGGGGCCTTTTCTCGGTGAAAGATGGCGGTCGCTTCCTATTTCTCCCACCTTCCATGCTGAAAGGAATGACTTCCATTTGCTGAAAGGAATATGCTTTACTTTCCCCTGTTGGTTTTGAACGGAATCGATTTCACTATTGGACATATTCTTCCAGGGGACTGAAGCAAATGGAAGTCTACTTCAACCACTGGTTGGATTGAATTAAAGAGGGCGTCCCCAAGTAGTGCCCTTTTACCCTTTGTTGGGGAGGGTTCCCCTACTAAAATAGACCACCGAAAAAAGTTGGTGCCCTTATTCTCACCTCTCAACTCTGGAGCACCTAGTATATTATAAGAAGCGTACGCTTTCTTTTTTGCTCTTGGAAGGGGCACCGGGAGACGTCTGGCGAGCATTGATTGGCCCAAAGGTCTCCTGCGACCACCGCCCTGGATGTTGGTGGGGCCGGTCCAAGATCTTGCCATTGCCGGATGGCACCCTCCCAGAAACAACCTGGACAGCTCCACAAATACCAACCGTTTTTTTCAGTTTTTTTTTGGGGGAGGGGGGGGGGGGGAAAAACCGGTTTCGGCTTTCCACGGTAAGTACCGCCTACTTTTTCGTAGAGGCTCGACAAATCATGCCCCCCCTTCCAAAAACAGGCGGGTACTTGGAGGGGGAAAGATGAGGTTTTCCCGGCCTCGGGAAACTGGTCCAGAGGGGCTCGGTGTCGATTTTTCTCAGGTTTTTTTAGGTCTGGCTTTCTCTTTTTTTGGGTGGGTGAGTTCCACGTCCTGGGTTCATGAACTTTAGACTTTTCGGGGTTGGACCGTTTTAGTGGTAAATCTAAAGTTCGGACGTTTTGTTGGGCCATCCACTCAGCCAGTGAGGAGCGGTTTCTCTTGTGTCCCAAAAAAAACCGGAACTTCGGGGAAACTCGGGATTCCGGCTCAAGGGCGGACAGGGTCTGCACAGATCCAGGGTCAAATTCATTACCGCCAACTCCAAGTACCATCCCCACCGGGGGTGACCCTTGGAATTCTATTTTCCCTTCATAAATGAAACTGGGACCCCCCCACCCCCTCAGGGCAGGGATCAAGTACCAACTTGTATTGTTGGTATCACATCAGCGGTTACCATGGTTCCACGCAGGTTTTTCGACATCCATGTTTTGCCGACCATGGGAATCCACTTGGCTTCTCCGAAACCACCTTATAAGACCCACTTGTTCCAGTTCACATGATAGGGTCTCATGTCAACCCTTTACATTAGAAAGAAAACAGGTTGGTACCATGCCATGGAAAACCATGTTTTGGCTCAAACATATCCCAGAAACAAGTACCCCCTACTCAAAATACCCGCCTTTTTTCAGGGTATGAAAGCCGATCGGTTTTCCATGGTAAACAACAACCCTTTTTTAGTAGAGGGTCGACATGATGCCAACTGAAAAAAGGCCGGGTATTTGGAGCAGGGCTAGGTTGGTTCGCTTGTAGCAGGCGATCACCTCGATGAAACGCTGGCGGGGTGTCCGGTCCGGCTGGCACGGGGGATGGGGACGAAAGCGATGGACGTCGGTGTGGACATACCCCCGAAAGCTCCAAATACCCGGCCTTTTTTTCAGTTTTCATGTCGACCCTCTACTAAAAAAGGGTTGGTACTTACCATGGACAACAGATCGGTTTTCCCAGAAATACCAAGCGAAAAAAAGCGGGTATTTTGAGAAGGGGGTCATCTGAAAAGATAGTTTGGAGCATAACATGTATCGTTGGTGGATGGGTTTCGCTTTTCCCGAAGGGTATGATTTGACTGTTTTTGGGGTCCTCGCAAATGGCACAAATGCTTGGCTTTACATTCGGCCCCTTTGGATTTCTTTGCATTGGTTGATGTTAAAGGGGAACCCAAAAGGAAGCTAAATTTGAAGATCTGAAGATTGTGAGAACGAATCTGGCATTTTTCCTGCTCCAAATACCCCGTCTTTTTTTCGAGCGTATTGTGTTGCCTTTGTTGAACGGCCAGGGCTTCAGGGTTGACATACCCGAAACATAACTCAGAAAAGCGGTACCGGGGGGCTGATTTTGTTGGGCTTCTGTTTTATTCGGCTGAAGTTCTGAAGGAACTGTTGCGGCGCCAGTGGGCTTCATAGCTCTTTTCAACCCACATAGCTTTGGTCACAAAATCTGAGGGGTGAAGGTTGGTGTCCCCACTTGGATGTTCGGCCAAGGTAGTAAGCGGGGTCTAAGTTGCCAACAATTTACTAACTTGGCAGAACGTCCAAGTACCCCCATAACCACTCAATACCCATTTTTTTGAGTTGTCAAGTGATGTCAACCTCTGCCTGAAACCAATGTGTTTGTTTTTGTTACCGTGGAAAACCAGGTTCTTCCACCAACTACACCCCACAAACAGCGGGCATTTGGAGCAAGGGTAGCATGGTGAGCGTTTTTTCTTCTTCTTTTTTTCTTCCCCTTTTCGGGGTTGGTTTCAAGGGAAACTAAAGGACACCACTCATACAACATGGGGATTTGCCCATTTAAACTTGCAACTCCATGCACGTTTTCTGGCGCAATTCCAACCGCGCTCATTTCATCGTTGATTAGTTATGTGCAATTCTCAGTGAACCCGTTGCCGTACCTGAACTGCATGGTTGATTTTACAGGGAAACCACAAGGCAGGCTCAAATGCATTACATTTTGGGGGTTCCCTAATTTTAAGACAATCCTATGTCTTCCTTTTCATTTGGGTTAAATGAAGCATCACCTGGGCGATTCTTAGACGAGTTCCTCTTGGTGGGAATGTTTATGGGGAAATATAGTCAGTGGAGGCGTTCCAAACGTCTTCGGATTGCTGTGTAGTATCCGAAAGGCAGCCGTTTGTGATCGAATCCAGTCAACGGATCAGCCAATGCAGGGGGCCCTGTGAATACATGCGAAGCCAGGTTTTCCCTTGTAAGCACACGTGATTTTCTTAGTCAAGGGTTGACATCCATGGGATACCAACCTACAGAAAAGGAGGTATTTCGCCTATCATAGCTGTATCAACTTGTTTATCCGATCGGAAAGCCGATTGGTTTTCCCGAGAACAAATCAACACAACAAAGCACACACACGCACACACTTAAGACCTCCTGTTCGGGGGATGTACCGTATTTACCCTGCACCTTAACAAAGAAGGGCGCGAGCGGCGCGAGCGCCGCCCAAGTCTCGCCAGGTCGATGGCTCGAGCGGACCGCTGCGGCAAGCCGCAGGCCTGTGCGACGTGGGCGACGTTGCGGTTCAGATTTTTATTGAAATTTTCGGGAGGTACCGCCTGTTTTTTTTGGGTTTAAAACGGACACCAGAGGAGAATCCATTTTGGCGGGTCCAACCTAAGCTAAGAAAAGACAGAGCCATGTGTTTGTTCTCGGCGTGTTGGGTTGCTCTGGTAGTTCTGTTCATAGCGGTGTTTGGTTGTTCAATGTTGGTTTTGTGGTTAGTTATTTTTTGGGGTCCCTCCCCCCACAAGGTCCCTTTTTCAAGAAATGGTCTTCACTAATTTTCTCAGTGAGGTTTTATGTTAGTGGACCTGAGGGTTGTTGTTTGTGTTGTTGCTTGTTGCTTGCTGTTTTTGTCCTTCGCTTTCGGTCTGCGAAGACCATATTTTTGGTTTTTGCTAAAGGCTTGGAATTTCTGGCTTTCCGGGAGCTCTTGCAAGGACTTCCAGTTGCGGACGGTAGCGCCCATTTTTTTTGAGCACCTGTTTGGGCAATTTGACGCTTCCGCTGGCTTTTGGTGGGTTTAAAGGGGATTTTCCCCTCTTGGTTTGAAAGGGGAAACGGTCATGGCAGTAGGGGAGTTTCGAATGGGAACTCCTGGATCAGGTTGAATGTCGCACTGCCCGGGATGAATGGGGGGCCTCTGGTCTGTGGGGTTAGCAGACCGAGTCTCTGCGCAATGCGTCAAAACAGCTGGCCCGAATTTTCAGGGCGGGGCATGGTGGGACAAAATTTCAGGTAACTCTCAGTGGGTTTGGATTGGTGGTTGGGGATTTGAAACCCTGGTTCTTGTATAGGGTAAATGGGGTGTCCCCCTCCTTAAACACCAAACCACCAATCCAAGCCACCACTTACAAGCTGAACACTTGCATGAAGCGCAGCCCTTTTGGCTAGTGGTTGGAAAGGGTGTCCAATTGTTTGCCCTTAGAGAGGGAGCCTTGCGGAGCCAGTTGGTATGTTTTTGTAGTATTATGTTTTTTCGACTTGTAATTTAGTTTTAGTATCAGCTGTTAGCAAAAGATCAATGAATCAATTAGTCAATTGATGTTTTGTTTTTTTGGATTTCAACAATTTGCCCCTGTTCAAGGCGAAAGGAGGCTGCCGCCGAACCTTCAACCCCCCCTCTGCGCAACCAAATTCCCTCCCCTTCCCTTCATATTGCGCACCAAAAAAGGGCACCCTCAGGGCGCCTGGAAGATGAATTCTCTCTTCAAGAGATTTGTCAGGTGAATAGTGGGAGGGAGGGTTGTTTTCCCATGGTCCCCCAGGGTCCGATTTCGATTTGACAGATTTTGGCAGCGGGAAGAGAGTTGTATGCTTTGGGCGAGCCATTGGTCTCCATCCGACCAGCCTTAGGGGCGACTCGGGTACCCCCAGACACGCATTCTAATTTGGGCTTGTCTCACCCCGCCCCAAAAAAAAATAAAAAAATAATAATGCTATGGGGAACCCAAAAGAATTGGTTCCCTTGAAAGCCACGCCTCTTGAGGGACACACAAAAAAACGAATGTCAGACCCATGTCGCCCCCAGAATTGGAACCGGCGCGAGGAGACGAGGTTCGCGGTGCTTTTGGCATGGACGAGGCCGGGGTTCCGTTTTGTAATTGTTTTTAATGTGAACATACCCCCTTTTCAAGGTATCATGTCGACCCTCCACTAACAAAGGAGGTATTTACCATGGAAAACCAGGTTTTCCTAAAGCAAATACCCTGAAAAAAGCGGGCATTTTGAGTAGGGGGTATGGGTATGGGCCCAAATCAAACCACCAGCAAACCGCAGGGTGTGGTCCACGTTTCCACTTACCACAGGCACCTCGGTTTCCTGCTTCCGCTTGCTGTAGAATATCTACTTTTCCCCTGTGGGTTTTTGGTTGAGGGAGTCGATTTGACGGACTGGACCTATTTCTCTATGCTTTCCAGGGCTGGACTGCAACTTGGGGGGGAGCCCTGCAACATCGACGCCCCAAAACAGAGAGTGGCCCCTTTTTCCCGTGGCTACTGGTTTTGAGAGACCCATTTGGGGGCTGATCAACATTCCTGGCCCCAAAATGACAATGGATAGCTTGTCCCGGAGGTTCATCAGACCTTTGATCAAATCCCATACAGAGCCCCTTGTTGGTTGGATAGCTTTAAAGGGAAACCAAAAGGAGGCCGAAAATTATTTTGGAGGGTTCAGGGCAAGTCTGAGACATCCATTTGGATGTTTCATGGGCCTGGGGGGTGGATGGGAAACCCTCCTTAACCCCGAAACCCCCGGGCTCCGAACCAATAACAAATTGGAAGGAAGCTTTCAAACTGCCAGCGAAACCCCTCCACCAATCCAAGCCACCAATTTGATGGAAGCTCATGGAAGGTTTCAAGCTGCTCTTTTCATGGTTGTTGGGAAACAATTTCCATCTTTGCTTATGGTGGTTTAGTGGGACATCCCCACTTAACTGCCAAAGCTATAATTTTGTTTGCTCCCCTTCCAACGTCAATCCAGTTTTGGGGGAGGGTTCCGCTACTAAAATAGGAGCCCAGTTTTCGAGGAGGGTTCCCCTACTAAAATAGACTAAAGGAGAAACAGTTGGGTACCAACTTATTCTAACCTCTCCAATCTGCAGGACTAGCAGGGGACCCCGAAATCGTTGGGTTACTTCGGGTTGGTGACACGCTGGAACATGGTCTCAGATTCACGCGCTCGGCTGACTCGATTTCTCCTTCCTTTGGGTGTTGGTTCGTTTTGGGGTTTCCCTGGGCTCGTCTTTGGCCAAATCGCCTGCATGATGGTTTTGTCTTTGGGCTTGGACCTAGCTGCCCTTTTGAAAGAAGTGCCCCTTGATGCCTGGCAGGACCTGCCCCGCGCTGCGGCTTTGGCCTGGGCCCCCGGACCGTCCCGTGCGCCGTCGTGCATCGGCGGAGCTGCGGGGTGGGCGAAGTTCGCACCTCGCGGCACCGAAGACACCCCGGGGTTTGATGAGTCTTCCTGTACATACCAAGAATGTTCACCCAGGATTGATAAACCCGCCCCACTGTTAGGTGGCTGTTCCCTCCAAGAGTGATGACTCCCCACTACAAGGGGACACCCTCCCTATTAATCAACCAGGGGTGTATTAATCCGGGGTTAACATTAAACAGCCGTTTCAACCTTGGTTTCCAAGTGGTGCGAGAAGCGGATTTCGTCCACACTAACTTCCATTTCGTTGATCCAAAGGTCCGATTACATGAGGTGACTGGTTGGCCACAAGAAGAGGGCTTTTTGATATTTCCACCAGGGAAAGCGACCCAGGAATATTGAAATCCTAGAGTTTCCAGAGGGAAGCTGGAAATGGGTGGGATACTGTGGATGGCCGAATGCAAATGGGTGTGGCTCAAAATTAGAAAGGAGGGGCAAACCGCTCCATGTTTCCACTTACCGGTCTTCCATTTTGGGTACCAGTTATTTGAGCCAAAGCCAAATACCAATGAACAATGGTTTCAAGCATTCGAACCCCGGGTAGATGGAGCGGTTGCCCCCCTTGCCAGAAACGAATTGGTGCAGCCGCCTCGGTTAATTCTTTACATGGTTCTGGGTAGGCCATGTAATACCAGGTTTTGATTATGACTTATTTAATTATTTGGGTGTGTCGTTTTGGAGGGTACCCTTTTTGGGTGGTTTGAAGGGAAACCAACAGCACCCATTTTGGGGTGGCCTCTGAAAAAGCACACCCATTTGATAAGAATATGTGTGATTTCCTCTTTTTGGCTTCACAGGGAGTCTATCACTATTGTTGTATTCTAGGGGACCTAAGCTACAATGGAACTATTCAATTTATGTCGGTAGCTTGCTATGTGCATTGACTTCAAGGGCTCGGCACGACGATGTGCGCTTTTCCTGGCTTGGGCAACTGGAGGGCTGCGGAGGTCATTCGCATCCTGCAGCCAGTGTTTTTGCGCGAGACGGGCATTTGCAGCGAGAAGAAGCTGGGCGACTTACTTGTGGCGGAGCGGGCTCATGAGCTCTGCACGGAGCACGGCATTCCGTTTAGCTCCGAGTAGCTCCGGCTCCGGATATATGCAATGCCGCGACGTTTGAATGTTGCAATGGTACCGGCTGAGATGTACCCCCTACTCCAAATACCCGCTTTTTTCAGGGTATTTTGGGGAAAGCCTGGTTTTCCATGGTAAATACCTCCCTTTTTAGTGGAGGGTTGACATCATACCCTGAAAAAAAAACCGGGTATTGGGTGTAGGGGGTAGGTTTCTCTCAAAGTCTGGGGACCCCGAAATCGTTGGGTCGCTTGGGGTTCGTGATACGCCAGCTGGAACATGTTCCCAGATTCGCGCGCTCGGCAGCCGGCTGACTTGACTTCTCCTTGCTTTGGGGTTTGGTCCTTTTTGGGGGTTCCCGGGGCTCGTCCTTGCGGCCAAATTGGACCTTTTGCCGGGACACATGTCGTTCTTACCGCTTAAAAACACCAAACTTTTCTGAACTTTTTTGGGGGTAACATGGGCTATATGTCTGGAAAAGATTAGCTTCCCCAGGGCTTGGAGTTTTAAGGGGTAAGGTTGACATGAGGTTTTGGTCTGCGAGAGCAAGGTTGTTTTTGTACCCGGGGTCTGAGCCATCCAGATAAACAGTGCCATGTGCTATGACGCTTATTCGATTTTTTGCCATCCACAGGGTTGCCTTGGTATCCCAAACGCACCCCGCAAAACCTTGAGAAATCAATTACAGCAAGCAAGTTGGAGTTCCCTTGTTCCCCTACGTGCGATATTTGGGGGTGATTTTTCTACACTTGAATATGCATTGCTGCATTGCCAAATGAGAAGTAGAAAGCCGCAACTTGGATTTTGTTCACCCACGGACATGGCTAAACGCAAATTCACGGGGGATTCATGTGTGGGTCATAGCCTAGGTTACCAACAACTTACATCCACTGACCAAGTAGCAATGACCCGGTTCCTGGTTTGGGTAGATAAAGAGTGCATTGGGTCCTTTGGGTGTTCGGGCCTCGTAGAGAAGGAGATTGTGATATTTTATCACATGGATCACAAACAGATCGACGATTGACGGTTTTTGTCCCCTGGCGCTGGCCGGTTGCCCCAAGGGAAGTCTGGTTGGAGTTCACCGTTTGCCTCCTTTTTGTACCCGAAAAGCAAGACACACAATGGAGTAAAGACGAGAAGAAGCTCTCTTACCGTTGGGGGACGTTTTTCCCGAAGGCTCAACGGGTTTTCGGTTGGCTGATTGGTTGGTGGGGCTTCGGGGTTTCGGTCCCAAGTGGGTTTCGATTTCGACGGTGCTTTGGTTCTGAGAGGAAGGTGTTGGCTGCGTGCCGGGCAGCTCAAGCCCCTTCCCAGGCGCCAGAGACCCGATGTCGCTGATTCCTTGGTTTTGTTGGATTTCACGCATTGATCCTTGAGTTGCAACCTGAACTGATGGTTGTTCTTAATGGTTGAAATGGCTTTGCCAATCAACACCTTCAACATGTTTTCGAGAAAACAAAACATGTGATGGTGATCTCACACCCATTTTTCAGGCCCTGTTTTTGGGTCGTTTGAAATGCGAAGCTGGGCCATTTTTTGGGGGGGGAGGCTCACTCTCGAAAAAAGTGCCGAGCCGCGCAAAAAACACATTTTGGGGTGGGGGGGGGTTTTGGGGTTCCCCCCAAAAGAGCGGCCGGAGCGCCGAACGCCCCAGAAAGACTCCCTCAACGGGTGCCGATCGAACCGAGGAGTCCTTGCCGGACCCCGGGCCCGGGCGCGCCTCGCAGGCGAGAGTTGGAGTTTGGTGCTCGGGGTCTGGCGTGAGAGATTTTGCGTGAAGAAAAAGCAAAAGGAAGGGGGGCGGGCTTGGGAGGTTTGGGGTTCGGAGGGGGGGGGCTGAGTGGTGGGGGGGCTGAGGGGGGGTTTTGGCGTTTGGGGAGAGGAAACGACTCGAGCGTTTTTGGAGATGCGGAGATTGCGAGTTTTGGTTTTTGGCGTTCGGGGGGCCGGGGGGGGGGGGGGCTGGGGGGGCTCCTGGGAAGCAAAGAACATCTACCCCCTACTCCAAATACCCGTTTTTTTCAGGGTATTTTTGTGGAAAACCCGGTTTTTTAAGGTGAATACCTCCTTGTTTAGACATGATACCCTGAAAAAAGTGGGTATTGGGTGTAGGGGGTAAGGCAAGGGCGGGGGTCTGAGAGTCTGGCGGTTTGGAGAGGAAAACATCGGCAAAAAGGCGGTTGAAACTAGAGGGAACTAGGGTTCAGGGGAGGGAGGGGGGTTCGGAGGGGTCTTGCCTTTGGGGAGAAAAAACACACATACTGCGAGTAGCTGTTGAAACTCTGCTATATGAGGGACCTCGTTTGGAGTTTGGGGAGAAGACATATAAGGCAAGTAACTATATGGCATTGCCCAGAAACCCTATCATGTGGAACCAAACGATATACGGAAGCTTGGTAACCTACTATCCTGACTGGAAAATCCGCTCACAAAACCTCCCCGAGCTCTGGTTCGGACTCTAAACTTTTTGGGAAGACGATTGCTTCCACCGAAAAGCATGCGGAAGCTTGATTACCTAGACAAGCAATGAGGGGCTTGGTCGAACAACTGTCCGCAAACAACAACTCCCCGAGTTGGACTTCAGCAACTTTTGAGTAAAGGTTTCCACAAGGTGATACTGTAAAGGGTCCTGCGCTTGATCGTCACTTTTTAGGGTTGGCCCATTTTAGTGCCCTAAGGCTCATGACCCCCTACAAGGCAGGCCCCACAAAAAGCCCTCTAATGAAGAACCGGACCCTCAAAAACCCTTGAAACAACCCATTTTGAGGGCCTAAAAACAATCGGGAGCCTTAGGGTGGTAAACAACCAGTTTGAGTACCGTTTTGTGTCAATCCACTCGATCGGAAGCGAGGTAATGTTCCGAAGCACCTTTCAGCTGGTTTTTACTCTTTCTAGCAAGACAAATGCCGAAAGCTCCAAATACCAGCTTTTTTCAGGGTATGATGTCGACCCTCTACTGAAAAAGGAGGTATTTACCATGGAAGCCCAGGTTTTTCGAAAAGAATACCCTGAACAACGTGGGTATTTGGAGTAGGGGGAACCCAAGACAAATGGACATCACCTCATGATTTCAGGGCAGTGACCAATTTTCCTGGCTCATGTTTGACGGCTCGCCATGCCAGGCTCGTTTGCAGGGCCGCGGCAAAGGCGTCGAGGGGTCGGGGTAAGGGCGGGAAACCCCTGATTTGTTTTCCAACTCAGTTGCTCAAAACCGACCTACATCGGGGGGGGAAATTTGACCAACTCAGTGGTAGACATGGATGCGGCCTCTGATGGAACCAAGTCTTCCATTGCTGGGAGCTTCCATGCTTCGGGAGGCTTCCGCGTGCTTGTCCCCTGTTGGGTTCTACAGGCAATCTATCGCTACTGGAAGCAGTTGCATTGTTTCCAAGGAGCAAATGGGAGGGTATCTGTTTGGTTTCTGGAAACTGTTTTTCTGCGACCGCGTTTCGCAAAGGTCCCAAAAGGTGATCACCTTTTGGGTCCCAAAAGGGGCCCAAGGCGTGCGTGAGCCAATTTTTCGCGTCGGGCGATCCCCTGAAATCAAACGTTTTGCAAACTCACCGGCAGATTCCAACAAAATCGCTCCCCACTTTTGGAGTGACGCCTTGTTGTTTACCCACATCAACAAGAATTGAGGTGGACCCAGCTCCCGCCGATCTCACTTTGGAGGAATTTGTGCCCCAAGCTGCTCCATTCTACTGCAACACGTTTTAAAGAGTCAAACAAAGCCACAAGAGTTGCGGGGCAACACCGCCTTGACACAAGGCGGTTCCCAGCGATCCGGTTCCTGAGGTGGTTTAGGTTGGGGGGTTAGTGGAGATGTCCATACCCACTAAAAGTTAAAAAACTTTCAGCAGGGGATCTGAGAGCGTTGTCAACTGGGAAACGCACTGCTTGTTGGGTATCAACCACGCCACACTCGTTGGCCGGACAAACACGAGAACACATTAACGATAACGATCATGTGCTAGGTCCCCCAGTAGTGCCCTTTGACCCTTTATTGGGGGAGGGTGCCCCTAAAATAGGCTACAGAAAAAAGGGTACCCTTATTCTAACCTCTCTACTGGAGGACCTAGAAAAAGTTGGAACGCAAAACGCTGTAAAATGATGACATGAAAGCACGATAGCCCGAGAGGGGGCCGTCACGAAACAACGGGATTGCAAAACAACCTCAATTGTGCCACTTCCTTTCACCCTTGTGTTTTCGGCTTGTTGTCGAAACGGGGAGGCTGTAGCAAAATATGGCCCCGTTTTGGAGTTTGGTGCCAGCTCTTTCTTCAAGTTTTCTTGGAGTTTGTTTGTGGTCCACACCCTGTAAACTGTGCAATCTCTCAATGAGTCAGGTTGGACATAGATGGGTCCCACGTGCAGTTTGTTCCCCACTTTGGACCAGGCTCAAGGGTGGCTGACCCCTTTTGTCACCCAGCTTCAACGGCCTTGATGGCATTTGGTTTCATGGTTCCATGGCTTGCTGTTTGGAAAAATCCACCGCTTGCAGTTTGCGTTTTTTTCTTTACGTTTGCCCGGGAAAGGCTGAGTCCTTTTTGTCACCATCCGCCTGGGTGAATTATAGCGACCACACACGACCGAATTCACCTCAAATGGTGGTTGATGTGGGGAATAGCCCCCCAGCCACCTTATTTCACTTTGCTGCATTTTGCTTGGATGTTAGGACTTTAGCTTTTTGCGAACTAATGGGTTCTCCATCAAACCTTAAGAGTCAAACTTTCCGCCGGGGAGCAGATTTCGCAACCGAGCTCAGGTTGGTGAAATAGTATAATTCACCCAGATCCGCCGAAGGTTTGCACCGGGGCCCCTGTAAGGACCCCTGTAAAGACCCCTGGACGTAGGCGTATGTGTTGGCGTGTACACCCTGGGTGAAATGAGTGTTTTTGGGGTCAAAACCAATGGTACTGTTTTGGTTGGTAGGTGAATTCGCCACCCATTTTCGAATTCCTATTTTAGTGGGGATTGAATCGGATGTTCACTGGGGATACGGGATGGCCAAATGAGTGTTGTTGGGTTGGTTTAAAAGGGCAACAGGAAGACAACCGCAATTCAGGTCCAACCTAAAGAAAGCACCTCCAAATGTTGGAGCCTCTTTTGGACGGGGCCCAATTTTTTGGGGCAACCTTCAACAAGAATAGGAGCCTCTTTTGGAGGGGGCCAGAGTTGTTGGGGTCCAACCTTCAAAAAGACACGTCCAAATGTAGGAGTCTCGTTTGGAGGGGCCCACTTTTTTTTTGCGGGATCCAACCTTCAAAACGACATCCCGGTGTAGGAACGGTATTTCTAGGGGTACCTTCCCCATTCTTTCCCCGGGATCCGAATCTTTCTAGAAAACCTCCGGAAACCCAGGGAAGACGGATTGCCGGTTTTTGGAAAGAACAATGGTTGAAAGAATGGACAAGGGTGTGGACGCCAAACAAACATGGGGATTTATTGAAACCACCACCCATTTTCGAGGGTGCCCTAGATTACTTTGGGGGGGGCCCTTCTTTTGCCCGGCAACTGTTCACGGCAGGCTCCGGGCCCTTCCACCTCACGGCGGGACGAGTGGACGAGTCGGGAGAAGCCGAAGGAAGGTGTCCACAAACCAAACCAAACAACCGAAGGAAAGGTGAAGTGGTGTGCGTGTGTGGGTGTGGGTGGTGTGTGTGTGTGTGTATGCTTTTCTCACCAATTTTACGACTCTTTATTGGCATGCTTTGAGTTGTTTTTTGGTTGTTTGGTACGGTAGCAGGCAGTATGGGGCTTCAAAAAAACATTCGGTTGTCGCATACCATACTGTTTGGGTTGAATTCCCTTACTTTAGGTCTTTTAGGTTGTTTCCCCAAAGTTAAAAGGCAATCGTTGAGTAAATGAGGTTGCTAAAATTAACAAATTACACCCAGGTGGCAACCCTGGTCCTCACGCAAAGCCAAGTGAAGTTGAATCATAGCTGCCTACTTGTGAAGCCCAAAATGCATGTCTTTTTGGGATTTGAGAAAGGAAACCAAGGGATTCGCCCGCAAGAAACCCAATGGTATCCCTTGGGCGCCGTGGATGGAATGCCTAAGTCTGTCATGCCCGACATGAAGGGGCCCTTGCAAATCCATACATGTTCTTTCCGGGAACGATAGAATGAAGTCATGGAGGGGCGCATGAATATCCAAACCTTTCGCATGAATATCCAAACCTTTGCCAGTAAACAACCATCGTTCAAGAAGTGGCTCGCATGTTGACGAAAGGCGAAGTAGATTTGCAGCAAATTGAGAAGACACTAGGTGTGTATCAAAACGGTGACCCCCATGCTGGTTAGCGTTTTGGTTTCGTTTCAATCAGCCTGAACTGGGTACTTTCATAAGAATCACGCAGAACTTCCGTTCGCTTAAGAACATTCACATTTCCCTGTGTTGGTTTTGAAGGGATTCTTTCACTCCTGGACATGTTTTTTTCTTCCAGGGGACGGTTTGCATAATGGTTCCCTTGTCGTGGTGTCGCACGAGGGAATGAAGCTCATCAAACAGGTACTACGAAACCTATTCTTTTGATGTTGTCAGGCAGCCCTCAACTAGTGGCATGGATTGGTAGTTTGGAAGGTACCCTGATTCTTCTAGAAGGTAACTGGCAAGCCATGTCCCAACCTTCAGACCAGCAAACCAAACGCTAAAAGTGGAGGCTGACCTTTCGAAAAGCCCAGATCGAGAAGAGCAAAATCATGAGGTCTGCCAGGAGAAACTCCAATTTTCGCTTTGTCGCTCATTCGCCCACGGGCTCATGATCTAAGCCTTAGAGCCCATATCGGCGAGCTCGTGTGGCACCTCGACGTCGACGCATCACATCCAGGGTTCGGTCGAAGTCTTTGGGACTGCGTGGATTTTGATGCTCAACATGCAATGATGAGCATGACCATGGATGCAGAGGCTGGCCAGCAACTACTCCCAGATCGAGTTTCCTGCATCGGCTGATGCAACGCACCTGTCAGAGTAAGATACAACAGAGTGGACTAGACACGGGTGGGTCTTTTTTGAGGGTAACCCCCTTTGCTTTGGCCGGTTTAAAGGGAAGCCAAAAGGAAAGCCTTTTTTTGCGGGGGGGGGGTCTTATTCCCTGAAAAGCAGTTACCAAATGTGAAAATCAAAAGGTCACAAGGTCGATTCGCTTCGGAGTAAGAGACTTACCCTAGGGCTCACGACCCCTACAATGCAGGTTTCCGGGCCCTCCAATGCAGGTTTCCGGGCCCCTCCCTAAGACATAAGCTCTGATAGTTCTGGATTCAATTAGCCTTTGCTCCCTTGTGGTGTCCCATTTACGGAGGATAAGAAGAAGGGATTCTCCATTTTGAGACACCAGTTTTGTTGAAAGCCAGACGCTAAACCCAGAACTGGGGTCAAAACGTTTGGGGTTGGATCCTACGGCTTTAGCAGAAGTTGGGTCTACAAGCTTGTTCAATGGATCTCCTGAAAAGGTCCCCCCCCTACTCCAAATACCCGCTTTTTTCAGTTGGTATTTTTGGGAAAGCCTGGTTTTCCATGGTAAATACCTCCTTTTTTAGTGGAGGGCCGGCATCCTACCCTGAAAAAAGTGGGTATTGGGTGTAGGGGGCCCTGCCAAATGACCATCTTGCAGTGGCCGATCCGTCCCGCGTGGTGAATACCGATCCAAGAGGTGGACCTCATGAAACACGGCCAGGCATTGCGCGGTTTCGGGGGTCGGCTTGCGACATACTGTGGATGGACGAAATCCATTTCGCACCACCCAAGATTCTCTGGAATGATGATTCTTCTGCAAATACCAACAAACAAATTGGTTCCCATGTTTCAAAGTAGTGCAGGATTTTGTCCATCCACAGTATCAAGACTTGGCCGCAGATCGAGCATCTGGAAGACTGGATGGACGAGGCGCCCGAAAACCGAGCGCTGGAGCGGGAGACGGGACTGACAGGACTCTCGGCGCCCTTGAGTGGTTTCAAGGAGAGCTCTGGCTTGACAAATGCCGAGGTTTTTTGCAAGGTCTGTGTTGAAGATTCTGGTTTTTCCCACGCATCGGCTCCTAACCGTGAAATGGTCCAACTGCAGGGTTCCAGGGCTCGCCGTGTTCATCCGTTTTGGGCACATTCCTTATGTTCCCGTTTTCAAGGGGGCCTGGCACTACGGTAAGGTGACTTTATCTGGTTTGGATTGGTGGCTTGGGATTTGAGCCGCCCCTGGTGCTTGTACAGGGCAAGTGGGAAACCACCCCCGGAACACCTCGAAACCAGATGAGCATTTCTCGTTTTTCCGGGGAACGTATCCGCAAATGGTGGGGAGTGGCTCGTTTCCTTTAGGACGTTAAAAGGGACACAACCTCCAAAACGGCTGGTGTTTCCTGGGGTTTCCCTTTAGAACCAAGCCGAAAAAGGCACCTTGCGCCTGAAACAAAACACACCCAACCGGGACATGAAGCGAGCTCACTTCCTTTTTGCGCGTGGTTTCTTCGTTTAACAGGGGAAACCCGCGGTTCCCAGGCGCGATGTTAGATTTTTTGCCTCAGGGCTTCGTCGCCTCTTTGGTGGCCGGCTTTGGAGCAGAGGCTGGCCTATCGGGCGGGCGCCGTGACTAGGTGCCCCAGCGATCGGTGCCCTTGACCAGACCCAGTTTTTTGGTTGGGAGATTCGGTTCCCCATCTGAAATAGACTACAGAAAAAAATGGTACCCTTATTCTAACCTCTCAAATCTGGAGGACCTAGTGGAGATAGTTTAATCAGGTAACCCTTACCCGCTTGATTGCTCTTGGGTTGGGTCTTTAGACTTTCACTTTTCGGTGGAAACCAAGGGTTCACCCGCAAAAAAACACATTTTTTTGTCAGAGGGGTCAAGCCCCGTAACCTCCAAATATGTTTTTTTGAAGTTGGTTAATGTTGACTCCATGTATCAACCCCGGTTTATTGATAGGGGGTGGCCCTGGGATTAGTGGGGAATCACCACTGTTGGAGGGGAACAGCCCCTGAATTAACCGGGGGTCAACAAAATATGGGTTGAGTTCCCGTTGTTAAGGGGAGTTTGGGGGTCCAGGCGCTGTTTTTATATAAGTATTGTTTTGGGACAGCCCGTCAGTTAAAGTCATTTTTAAATACCGATCCATTCGTAACGGGTTGGCGTCATGCGTGGTCTGAAGAGCCCCTGGCTTAGGTTCATAGACGCCCCGAGGGGCACTAAAGTTTGGGCTTGGGCTTAAGACCCTACACAGGCTCGCAGAATTGCTTCCATTTGCTTCCAAACGAATATGCTTTTTTTGTGTGGTTTTGAAGGAAATCTGTTGCTTCTTCCTTTTCATCGGACTTGAGCACATGGATTTGGGAGGGGGGTACTTTAAAACATTTGCTATGGTTGGGGCAGACTTGTCGACAAGTCATGATTTCGCCCCTATGAAAAATTGCTCCCCCAGACCGAGCTCCAATTGAAGGTGCCCTTGCAGCTAGTTTTCGGATGTTTTTGGACGTGGTTTTTTTGCCTTTAAGATCAAAAACAAGGGTGCCGATTCTTTTCTTTTCCTCCCATGGCCGCCTTCAGTGTTTGGGCCCCTCGAGAGCAACCGTTTTCTCAGGCTTTTCTGGGAAGCCGATCGGTTTTCCATGGTCAATACCTCCTTCACTAGTAAAGATTGACATGATGCCCTGAAAAAAGCGGGTTTATTTGGAGTAGGGGGGAACATTCGGAGGTTTCTCAAATAGGATTCGGCGCCCCAATGGCAAGAGTTCCCTTGAGGTTCCCTGCCTGGACCTTCCAACTCCGGGAAATTTCTGGGTGTTTTAGGAGACCCCTACGATTTACCGAATTCCAGTGGTTTAGCTACAATTTGGGCAAAAGCACGTACGAATTGCGCCGTTGTTTGTTTTTTTTTTCAGGAGGACGAAGATCCAGGTGGGTAAATACCCATGGTTTTCCAGGACCCCCCAAACTCAGGTTCCATGTTAGTTGGTGGGAGGGACCTCCTTTTTTAATCGGGGTTGACATGGTATTTGGAGGTTTTGGAGGCACCTTCCAGACGTGAGAACTCACTCTGAGAGGTGGCGCGTCTTTTTTGGAGGCTCGGTACCCCTTGTTTGGTTTCAAATGGAAACCAAAAGGGTAACTGTTGCGCCATTTTGGGGCACCTCCCCAAAAAAGCTCACACATATACACACTCTTGACATCTCCCCCAGATTGGTTCACTGAAGTGACCGTCCGTTTGGGTTATATCGGGGATGCGCAAAAGGTGCCTAGGCGCATTTTGGGGCATATGTTGGAGTCAACCGTTTTCTCCGTTCAGAATACCCCGTAGCCACCAAATACCCGCTTTGTTTTTCGGGCAAAATGTCAGCCCTTGCCTAAAAAGGGATCGTGCTTTTTCCAAACAATACCTCAAGAAAAGCGAATTACCCTGGTTTCAATCCGGTTTTTGCAAACACACCACCAAATACCCTAGGACAACTTCGATTTGCTCAAGAAAATTGTTTTTGCAGGGAATCGATTTCACTGCTCTACACATTTTCGCATTTTTCCAAGAGGCTCAAGTAAATGGAAGAAACACGTCGGCGTTTGGAGGTCCCATCTCTCGGCCTGCTCCGCGCAGGTGAGCGTCAGCAAGGCCCAAGGAGCCGCTGCCCTGACGCGCTTCGGGTTTGCACGCTGTTGGAGCGCGGCGTTTGTTCCCCTTGTCCTTTTTATGTTTGTTGTTTTCCCGTTTGTTGTGTGTTTTTTTGTTTCTTCATTTTTTGGGGGGGGCTTGTTTTCGGAGTTGCAACTTAGTTCTGAATAATTCAGCTCACTAGATCAAATACCCACCTTGTTTCAGGGCATGATGTTAAGCCTTTGTATTTAGCATGGAGCACCAATCGAACAAGTGGGTAGTTGGAGTAGGGGATGTGGAGCGGTTTTGTCTTTTTCTTTCCTGCGTTTAACCGGATTTTCCACGGTTTGTTAACATAGAACCCAGAAAGGTCCCCCAAATAATTCGGCGCTCCACTCAGCACCTCTTCCCAACATGTCTGGCTTTGCGCTCTTATCTCGGGTGAGGTGGCAAGTTTGAGGCCGCGACTTAAGTTGGCAGGAATCCGGGCATGCGAAGAGAATGAAAGCACATTGAAACAAATTCAAAGCAGTTTCCCTCTCATCACACACAGGGCGGCGTAAATCAGCTAGCTTGTGTGGGTCAAAAATGGGACCCTGGTAAATGGAAACAAGGACCAAACCTGCCGTCCCTGGTCGCTGGATTTTGACCCATAACAAGGCCATTAGTGGTAAACTCTAAGAGCTATATAGACTTTCAGTTGGACAATCCTAAGAAACAGAACGTTCGCTTTTGAAGGAGACCCGAAACACACACCCCACACCACCGGAACAAGTTGATGTGGTCAGCTGTTCTTCATCTTTGGTTCAGTTCATGCGTTTTCTTGCCGCTTAAGGAATGACCCCTACAAACCATCCCCTTATGGTTTCCTTTAAGTGAACCCCTAGGTTCATTCCCAACACAGGAGGGTTCCCCTACTAAAATAGACTACAGAAAAAAGGGTACCCTTATTCTAACCTCTCCACTGGAGGACCTAGGTGAAGTTTCTTTCGGGAAAGGCGAAAGTGGTCAAGGACTGATTTCCCCTGAGCGCTTTTCTCTTTGTCCGGTTCCTTCAGCCTTTTTTAGGTTTTTAGGCTGCCAGGTTTTTTGGGGTTTAGTGGTTGGGTCGCCATTTAACGCACTAAGAAGTTAAACACAGCAACGAAAACACAGTTTGGGATCTGAAAACGGACAGCCCAGCATCCCTTTTCGAGTAAAGGCTGACTCAAGCAAAATTGGTTGGAGCTGTGCCAGTTGTTTTCACCTATAGCTGTAGAGACACCCATTTATTTCAGGGTGACCCTGGATGGCTCCAAAGCTTTCAAGATAATCGAATAGGTGCTACGCATAGGAAGTTTGAGAAGCCCCAAGGTGAGTGCTTTCCATTTTCGGGCGTGCCTTCTTTTGGGAACCGGAGCCCCTAAAATGGCCTCATGGTTTTCCTTCGCAACCCGAAAAAAAGGGGATTTTCTCCGTAGTCTATGGTTGACTTGGAATACAGGGGTATTTTCAGCATGTCCAACAAAAGCCAGAGCGACGGGCTCTAGTTTCTGTATGTGCGAACACGTTTGTCATTTTGACCGCGGCTTCTGTGTGAGTATCACTTGGCTGTTAGTGGATCCCATGTGATTTAATCACCAGGGGTTGTGTGATTGAAATGATGAACCAACAAACAACAAAGCACTTCATCAAGAAACAAGACATATGCCGTTGTTATTTCTTTTGAATTCCCCTCAAATAAGTGCATGTGTCTCCTGTTTGTAGGGGAATCCATTTTCAAAGCGGTGATGTTCCTCTTGGTTTCCCTTGCAACCCTTCAAAGCGGTGATGTCCTCTTGGTTTCCCTTGCAACCCCCGCCCCCCCAAAAAAAAGAAAGAAAGGCGCCAACTCAAAATAGACAGACACCCTCTGTTGCCCATGCTCCCTTTTGTTTTCTCCCTTTTTTCAGGGTAAGGGTTCCAATTCCTTGAAACTCAACCAACCAAAAAGCGTCGGGTGCCATTTTTTTCCCATGGATATCCACTGGGCATCTGAGTTCCAGTGTTGTTTTTTGAGGTTGCCGCTTGGAGGTCGCTCGCTGGAGGACCGGTTTCCAGGTTGCCAGGTTAAGTGGGGGCACGGATGGAGACATCACTGGCTTCCATTTGTAAAAGGAGTTCATCACTACTGGACCTATTTTCTCATTTCCTCCCGGGTCGAAAAACCCCCATGGACGCATCGGCGTCGTTCGGCCAGGCCTTCCTGGGGTTTCCCAGCCAGGCGGAGGCGGAGGCTTGTTGGAAGGCCGCTCCGCTTCGCGGAGCCGGAGGCATTCTTGGACGCGGAGCCGGGGGGTTTCCCCGGGCCCTTCCTGAAAAGAAAACGGGGTACTTGGCGTGGGGGAGGAAGCCTGGGAAGAATAGAGGGGTCACCTTTTTTTTTCCGAGCCGCTTCCCTTTTTGGGTTGCCTCCAAAAGTGGATCGATCGTTCCAATGGAAACCGCCGGACAAAAATGATCAAGGTTTGAACGGGAAGTCCAGTGACCTCTGTTCTTACCAGGTTTTATCCCCTACACCACATGTTTTTTTTGGAAGAATCAGGTTCTTATGGTAAATACCTCGTTTTTTCCAGTAAGGGAGCCAAGAAACATGACTGATGACGAATTCGGAGATCACGTAGTCCACCGACCAGTTGGGAGGCCATTCCTCGTTTAAGGTTCATGACCAGAGCAAGGGAATCATTGCATCCCAATAATGTTGACCCCGGAGAAATCAACCAATCCTCCCAATACAATGGGGTGTTCCCCTCCAAAAGTGGTCTGAATCCCTACTTGGGTGTTTGGCCAAGCTAGTAAGTTGCTGGTAACCTATGGGTTATGACCCAGTCATGAGGCCCCGGGAGGGTGCTATAGCCCAATTGGCTGACCACTGCCGATGGCCTTGCGGCTCAAAAAATGGTGGTTGCTGGGAAACAGTTTTTACATTTTTGCTTATTGTGGTTGAGTGGTTGAAATCCAAATCCACCGAACTGCTAAAATTGGAGAATTGTTGCTCCCCTTCCAACGTCAAGCAAGAACATGGGTGGCTCGAATTGTCTTTTCCCCCAGCTGAACTGACGGCGTTTTTGGGGGTCGATGCGCCCAGACATCGGCTCGTTCGGTTGTCAGTCTCAGGCGGCTGTTGGCTGTTGGGGAAGAAACTTCGCTTATGTGAGGCGAAAGGTGCAAGCCTTTCTGCGTGTTGGTTTCAAAGGAAAGCAGGTTCCATCACCCCCAGCTGTTTTTGCTTTTTCCATGTCCAACACCCAAAATACTCTTCAAAAAGCAGTGGCTTGGGGGGGGGGTGCTGCCTCGCGGTTTTGTTTTTGGAAGGGGGGGTCCAAATCCCAAGAAAGAAGAGCCGCCCACAGAGTTTGGGTCATGGCAACCCGAAGGGTCGGCTCGTCTTGTGCGAGAGAGCCCTTGGGTTGTAGGCTCCCGCGAAAGGGAAGTCCAAGACCCATTTGGGGGTTCCCTTCTCGAGAGACACGCCTTGCACCGTAAAAGGCTCCAAATGGGCCTCCAATTGGATGCTCCTGACATTTTGAGCGGCCCGAGGGGCTTGTCCAGCGGGCCAATGAGGCTGCAATTTGAATAAGTGCTTCAAGTTCTACTTGGGGCTCGAGTCAGAGTCGGGTTGGATTCCGTATGGATCCTGCCACTTGCGGTCTATTGGATCCCCAAATACTCACTTGCCCGAAAGGAATCGCCTTCCAAAAGGTGATCACCTTTGGAAACCCAGGTCTGCTACTGTTCCTGGGCAAGTGAGAATATGTGTAGATTAGGGGCTGGGCCTGTGCCATGCTTTGTCCTCACTTTCTTGGCTTCAGTACTCCAAATTTCTTCTTGGGATAATCCCAAGCCACGTGTTCCTATTAAATTGCCCATAAACCAAGAAGTTGAAAAAACAGAAAACAGGGTCCTCTCCAAAAACGGGACTGACTGCCATGGTCACGGGCTCCAACAAGGAGCCGCTCCCATATGGGGCCCGGCGTCTCTTCTTTGTTGGGATCCTTTCATGGATCTGTTTAACGGGAAGCACTCATTTCCGGGAACAATGTCCTGTTTATCAATATGGGGGGTGGGTGTGTTCTGACTCACCACTAAAACCAGTTGGACACTCCCATATGTTCACAAACAGGGCTTTTTTTGTAAATCTGAACATCCGAAACGCCCGCGAGAAACTGTTTTTTGTTGGCCGGTTGCAGCCCTGAAAGCTCCCCAACTGGTTTATGAAAATCCGAGGTCAACCAAAATTCCTCCGAAACGAGGCGCGTTCCATCGCTAGCGCCAGGCCCTTGAGCTCCCGCGAGGCTTGACGCTGCGCAAAGGCCGGGAACAAAGACTCATTTGTCACTGCCCACGTGTTAAGCTGAGATAGAAATCAGTCATTAGAGTTTAATGTTTTGTGTTTTAGCAAACTCACATGTATATACATATATTTGAAATAACTGCCCCTTCTAATTCCTTGCCGTGGAAACGTGATCACCCCCATCCCACGGGATTTCCTTCTGTGCCCCCTTTGTCCTTTTTTGTTGGTCTCGTTTTCATGGGAAGGGTCGGATCCCTTGGGCAGGAGCAATGGGGAGCCAGCAATCTTGGCCAGGTTTGGGGTGCACGAACCAAATCGTTGTTCTCTCCTCTGACAGCTGGAAGCGCTTTGGGGTCGAAATCGGCCCAGAACTCGGCTTGTTCGTGGTTCGAAGCAGCTTTCAGGGAAGCTGTTGGGGACACCACCTGGGCGTTCTTGCCCCTTCAAATTTCTCCGCGCTCCTTTTTGCCCACAGCTCTGAAGACGCGCGAACACCGCGGCCTCCAGGAACTTGCGTGGCCAGTGAAATGGCGGCTTTCTGGGGTTTCTTTGAAGCCAGCTTTAAAATCTAGAAACCGTTTTGGATGCGCCTTTTGTGGATTTCACCTGTTCTTCCCCCCATTGGTCATCATTGGTCCCTTTTTAGTACTCTTTTAGTACTCTTTTAACCTTCTACAGGGGTGGAACCACAAAAGCCACATCCAAACCGTTTTCTAGAAAAAAGGGGAGCAGGAGCCAGCCAGAGGTTTCTCTCAGACTCTTCCCACGTCAGCTTGAAGCACCCGTACAGTCTCGATTGCAGAGTCAACGGAAATCCTTCAGCTCGCTATCGCAACATCTCTCCATAGGTTCTGGGGTAAAAAAAAAGGACCACGGAAGTGGGAGCGCTCGGAAATTTCTCCAACCTCTGTGAAAGAGAATCCCTCTTTATATAGAGGGGTTAGTCTTTGGGAGGCCCTTTTTGTATAGAAGTGGATTCCGTTTCCCACAGCCCTGTTCACGGACCAATCAACACAAACTCCGCGTATGCTTGTTGACACTGTGGATAGACGAAATCCATTTCGCTCCAAAAAATGAAAGCCTGAAATGATGGATGTCCAACTGTGAACACCGATAGTTCATGGATTCCCCATGGCTTCCAAGTGGTGCAAGACTTCGGGTAGAAACAGTCGCAGGCTCGCAGGCATCAAGACTTTTCAAGCAAGCAGGCTGCGAGGTCCCATGAAAGACCTCCCCCTTATTACATGGTGGTTGTTGGGAAACAGTTTTTACATTTTGCTTATTGTGGTTTAGTGGTTGAAATCCCCACTTAACTGCTAAAATTTAAACTGTTGCTCCCCTTCCAACGTCAACCAAGTTATTAGAGACTTTGTTGGGGAATGGTTCCTACTCAAACCTTGCAGGGCGCTTGTCATTTTCCCTCGATTTCCAGCATGTTCCCTGGCGCCGATCTGTGAACATCAGATCCTATCATACCCCAAGCAAACAGGAGTATTTGGTATGTTGAACATGTCATTTTGGAATCAGATTTAGGACCCTCAAAATGGCCAAAGGGTTTTCCCTTTGGCTTTCCTTTGAAACCGTGACACATGAAACACCCAACACACAAACAGAGGCCCATGTGTGTTTTGCTCTATATGGGTAATTATGTCACAAAAATTCGGCAGCACCATATTTTCCCCCAGAGACCCCGTAGAAAGGGTGCTTGCGACCCCGAGGTTCTTCTTTTCAGATATAGTAGTGTTGGCCCTCTGGATTGGCAATGGCAAGGAAGAGGTCACGGTTGAAAGTGCAATGGACATCTGCACTGTTCCTTCACGGGAGAAGGCTGCGACGTTCCATAGAATCAAGTTAAGAGCTGTCAATCTGTCAATCCTTGCTATGTTTGGACCTGGTAAGTTTCCTCGTGTTGAGTCATGTGCCTTTCACTCAAGGCAAGCTAACCGCGAAAGAGAATTCTGACCGAGCCGGTTGCGAGCTGCAAACTCCCTCGGCGCCATTTCTTCCGGCGGAGGCTCCCCTCTGTTTGGTCCGCCGTGGGTTTATGCCATCATCTCCCCTGCCAGGCCGCGGCCTGGCGCGGGAGCTCGGAGAGCAGAAGTCCGCCCGCCCCCCCCCCCGATTTTATTTCCATTGGCTGCGGTTTCATTTCTGCCTACACCCAATACCCACTTTTCTCCTTGACTGCTATTGGGTTGGATCTTCGGACTTTAACTTTTTGGAAAGTCAAGTTGGGTTTTCCACTAAACCCCCAACAAGGTAAACCTTTTGCAGGGGGGTCAACAGCAACCAAGTTTCAGGGTATGATGTGGGCTCTCTACCAAAAAAGGAGGTATTTGCCATGGAAAAACCCAGGTTGTTCAACAAAATCCCTAGAACAAGTTGGTATCTGGAGTATATAGGGGGTGCATTTGATCTTCCCTTTTCTTGGAGGGAAGCGATTTCACTGGACATTTGTTCTCTCATTCTTTCGCAGGGGCCAGCAACTCAAATGAAAGAAGAAAGAAGTTGGCCATACGATCAGGCAAGTAGCAGGCCTGCAACAGTGTGCAAACTGCTGACCAAATTTATGGGGTCATTATGTGGACCGTTTCCAGGGGCCAGCAAAGTCAGAAACTGGAATCCGTGGTTTCCCTTTAGACACCGATGAACGGGGGTGACTTTGATAGTGGTAGGGCCAGAATTCCTTCTCCAAATGCCTTTTTTTAAGGCTATGACGTCAACCCTCTACCAAAAAAGGAGGTATTTACCGTGGAAAGCCAGGCTTGCTTGTTTTCTCGACGGCGCGTTTTTTTTCTTGCAGTTGTTTTCCTCGAAGGCAATTTCCCCCTTCAATCCCCTACCTTCCGAGAGGACAAACATCGGCCTCCTTCAAAGAGCAGAGGTATGAGGACTCGGAGATGTTGCAGGGAACCCAATGCTTTTACAGGGCTCCTTAAAAGATACATTTTGCCCATTTGAAACCTGGCTTCTTCAACCAAAATACAGGGAAGCCACCATGTACAAGTTGCAATGTTCAGGTGTATGTCATGCATCCGGATCCCTGTTTTCGGGGTTTCGTTCCCTTTCGTATTTTGCCAGACCAACCTCATCGCCTTCAATCCCCTCTCTTGGGTTTCGAGAGATTGGCAACAGGACATGGGAAACCATTTGCTCGCCCCACTTTGGATTTTGCGACAAATTGGTTACTCAGACTTGGTGCTATTCCTCTTGCCCCCTACTCCAGCCCACTTTTGCAGAGCATGATGTCAACCCTTGACTACCCTTAAAACAACATCACCCAAAAAAAGCCGCCCTTAGCCTATATGACAGCCGCTGCCGCGGGAGAGGGGCGTTGTAGGGGTAGGGAATATGGAAAGTCGGATTGGGCAAGCCTCCGTTTTGAACAAATCACCCAGTCTCCTGCTTTCATTGAGCCGAGGCGCAGCGAGAAGAGGTGGGCATTTGTTGGGTCGGACGGGGGTGAATTGAAGACCGAACCCAAACAATCTATTTACTAGGTCCCCCAGTAATCAGTGCCCTTTTACCCTTTTTTGGGGGAGGGTTCCCCTACTAGAATAGACTACAGAAACAAATTGGGTACCCTTATTCTAACCTCTCTACTGGAGGACCTATATATGTGGCTAGTTCGTCTTGTTTCAGGAATGGGACCCCGGTCCCGTCTGGGGTGGCTGTTCCACTCCTGAATGAGTTGTGGTCAAGCGCAGTTTTCCATAGTCCTCCCGGTACATATCCTGAACTCCCAGCTGGACTGCGAACTTCTTTTTTTTTCTCGGGGAACTCCTCGTGGACGGTGCGCAAAAGAGAAAAAGAGTGGCGACTTGTTACCTTTTTCTCGCTTCCCCATGGGAAGTGAGAAACAAGAACCAACGAAGTCTCGTGAAAAGCGCGGGTTGCCAAAAAAGAATGGTGAGAGGCCAGGAATAAGCCCAAGCCAGTCGGCGGGTTGCTTAACGAGCTGGGGATCCTCCACGCCACCAAAGCGGTTGCCACTCTTTTTTGTCTGATGGGTTTCCAGGTGTTTCTTTACTTGGCAGGTTTTTTGTTGTTGTTTTGTGGTTCTCTTAGTTGTTGGGTTTGGGGGCTGCAAACACACCGTCTGTTTGTTGCAAATCCACATCACGGCTTGTACCGGTTTCTGTGTCTTTCGAGGGAGGCCATTTTTTGACTTGAACACCAACCAGTTTTTTAGGCTGGCCAAATGTCGTTTGTGAGTGTCTTAAAATCGGGGGTCGTTTCACCTTAGACGCCTGCAAGCAGGTGTTTCTCCCCCTCACCAAAAATGCAGCCCCAAATCTCGGGGTTTGGCACAATTCCTCCGCCCCCCCACTTGGGTTTAATGACCCCTTTTATTTTTAAAATGGGGGTGTTCCCCTTCAACAGTGATAAATCCCCACTAAAACCAGTCCCTATATAAAAAAATGAAGGTTTATTCATCCGGGGTCAACATTATACTGAACGGTTTACTTATTGAGTGGGCAAACTTGAACCGTCTTCAACCTTTTGCGGGACACTTCATCATGGCCAACTTTCATTCGTTTGGTTGGTCAGACTCAGCCAGTCCTTCGTTTGCTCAGGTGGGTGTTTGCCCTGCTTTTGCTCACCTTGTAAGGTGCAAGCGACTACCCACCTTTGGGTTGGTGTGGTATATAGGGGGGTGATTTGCCAACCCCTAGCGGAGGTTCTTGGGGAGTGTTCATCTTTCCAGTACCCCCGTAACCTCCGAACACCAACATGTGTTTCTTGGGGTATCATGTCAATCCTTTTTAGTAATTCCTAGAGGATGGCACAAGGATGGTACTGTGGATGGACGAAATTTTGCACCACCTAAGAAACCGTAGAATGAGGATTCCCCTGTAAACACCAACAAACGTTATGGTTTCAACCACGGCTTCCAAGTGGTGCGAAATGGATTTCGCAACCATCCACAGTATTTCCCCTGGAAAACCTGGATCCTCAAAATATTTCAACCCAAGGAAGCGGTCGGAATTTGCCGCCAGTCCGGTCAAACCCGGCCAGGGCAAAGCTGGCCGATCGAAGACCGGGAGACCGGGGAGGGCGTTGCCGAGGGTTGGCCGGATCTTGTGTTTGCTTTTTGGGCACCATGGACTCCCCCATTTTTTTTGTTTTTTCTGTTGATTCCCATTTAAACCACAAACACCCCCGGCGCCAAATACCCACAGTCTTTAGTTGGAACACCCGAGTTGGGCTTTCCGGGGCAAATACATCTTTTTCCACGCGCCCGCGCCCTGTTGCCAGACTGAACTCACCGTTGGTTTTGTTTTTCAACCGTCGAGTCTCACCCTTTAGACCCTTCTGGTTTTCCCTGAGCTCACCCTTCTTTCCCTTCAAACCTGCCAAAGGTGGGACTTCTTGACATAAGACAAAGTCCATTCGTCAGCCGACAGCTGCAGATATAGGCTCCGCAGTGGTTCAGAGGGGTTGGGGATGCCACCTGAGCTCATTTGTCAGGTTGGTTTTAAGGGAATCAACCATGGAAGTCGCAATTTCTTTTGGGTCCCAGAACTTTGAGACACATAGCCAAAGTGTCAGGGGTTAAGATGACGTGGTTACCTGGACTCTCAAACTACACAGAAAAAGCGAAGTCGCTCCATAGTTCTGGGGCAATTGCCAACTGTTTATGGGTAGTTTGAGGGCTTAGGTACTAGCATTCGGGGGTAGTGGGGCTTTCCTCCAGAAAAAAGCTCCAAAGACCAACCCCGGGTGAAGCCAGGCTATTTGGTTGGATCTTTAGGCTATGCACTCTTTTTGGGTTGAAATGATCTTCCTTTTTCTGCGGCGAAAGCGCGTTTTTGGCCTTTTGTTGGTTTCTCTCCACGGTTAGATACTCCTCACTCAACGGCAAGGTGTATTCCTCTTCTCTCGCTTAGCGACCTGGGAGCGAGCAGTTGTTCCCCAGCCTGCAACACTGGGCTGAGCCATCCAGGTTTCGGCAATGAAGCATAGGTTGCCAAACCCAAAAGGCTTTTGCTGTGGTTGTCAGGGCCCCCCCAACCATAGACAGAAAAAGTTGGTACCAACTTATTCTAACCTCTCTACTGGAGGGCCTAGCTATGGGGGCCCCCAAAGATGGGAACGTACTATGGTCCCAAAAGAATCCCGAGATCAGCCCCAGAATTAGTTCCCCCTTTTACTTTTTTTTTTGTTTTGCTTTTTTGGAGTCCCCTCTGTTTTCCCCCAACCAGGCAAAAAATGACATTTTTTTGCTGGGGTCCCAATTCCAGCCTAGAATATCAGCCCCCAAGCAACCGAATGATTGGTTCCACTGTAACCCGGCCCATGGCTATGGCTCTTGGAGAACCAGAGGAAGGAAGCTTATGGTTCGAACGCTGCAACGCTCCGAACGATATATTTTTTGGACAATCCTGGATAGCCAAGTATTTTGGGGGAAGCCCCAACTTTTGGTGGGTTTGCAAGGGACAACAACTGGAACATCTAGGGGAACCCAATGTTTTTTTTGTTTTGAATTTGGAAACCAACTGGAAACATCCGCGAATGTTTGGTGCCTAGATCGCCAAGCTGCGATCGCTTCTGTTCAGTCACTGTTGCGATCGGTTTTTGGGGTAAAGTTCATGGGAAAAAGCGGAAAAGCAACTGGCGATCCAGGATTGTTGTCATGATGGTTCCGCTTCGAGCATCAAACAGCTCATCCTTTTGGGGGTCAGAACCCGGCCCTGTGGAAGTGCTTGCTCCTTTGTGACTCGCTTAAAGGACATGTGCGGGGGTTGCCATTTATGAGGGACAATTTGCTATTTGCCAAAACATCACAGACACACCAACACTTCCCCATATTTCAGACAATGTGTAAAATATAGAAAACGGCCAATTCCCTATCAACGGAATAAAGTTGCTAAACCATTTGTTGCTTGAAATGGCTGGTTCTCCTTTTGGTTTCCTTTCAATCCTCTTGCCACAGGACTCCTAGCCAGGGACGCATTTGGGCCAAGGGGCCCAGACGAAGTGGGGTGTGTTGAGGCAAACGGTTTTTTTGTGGGAAACCTGTGGGAAAGCAGTCTAGGGGTACCTTCCATTCTTTCCAGGCATCCGAATCTTTCTAAACCACCCAAATCCCTGGGGAAACAGCGATCGGTTTTTGAAAAGAATGGGGAATCAACCCCTAGAACAATGTTGCTCAGTTCCCTTTTTCCCCTTTCACATTTCTTCCAAGGAACCTAAGTCGACGTTCCTCGGAGAGGGGGGAAGCAATCGTAGCCATGATCTCTTGACTGCGGGTTGGGCCTTTTTGAATCCAATAAGAGGGATGTAGTCCAACTACATGAAGAGCACTCGATCCCCTTCCCTTTTCGACAAGTGCCGCAGCTGATTCGGGGCGAAATCAGAACAGCCTGACCTCCAGCAAAAAAGAATGGTTGGAGCCCTGGCCGGTTTGGACGCTTCTTGGATTTGATATTTGGTCTCTCATTTGGGCAACCAGGGGCCGCCTTTTTGGAACGAACCGCACAGTAGGCATCGATTTTTTTTTTGTTCTTCTCCGGTTGGATTGTGACACAATTGCCATAAAGCCCGCCAGCGTTCGAGGAGCGAACTTGACAAGGGCAAAGCGAGAGGCCCGGGCGCGTTTTCCGCGGTCCTGGGAGCAATGGCTGTATGGGCATGTGCTTGTTTGCTTTGCTTTGCTTTGCTCTTTGCTTTGTTTGTTTTGGTTCGTGTGTGTTTCGTTTCAATTAGCTTTTGTTTGCGTAGAAAGTGCTTGTTTGCTTTGCTTTGCTTTGCTCTTTGCTTTGCTCTTTGCTTTGTTTGTTTTGGTTCGTGTGTGTTTCGTTTCAATTAGCTTTTGTTTGCGTAGAAAGTGCTTGTTTGCTTTGCTTTGCTTTGCTCTTTGCTTTGCTCTTTGCTGTGTTTGTTTTGGTTCGTTTGTGTTTCGTTTCAATTAGCTTTTGTTTGCGTAGAAAGTGCTTGTTTGCTTTGCTCTTTGCTTTGCTCTTTGCTTTGCTCTTTGCTTTGCTCTTTGCTTTGCTCTTTGCTTTGCTTGTTTTGGTTCGTGTGTGTTTCGTTTCAATTAGCATTTGTTTGCGTAGAAAGTGCTTGTTTGCTTTGCTTTGCTTTGCTCTTTGCTTTGCTCTTTGCTTTGTTTGTTTTGGTTCGTGTGTGTTTCGTTTCAATTTGCTTTTGTTTGCGTAGAAAGTGCTTGTTTGCTTTGCTTTGCTTTGCTCTTTGCTTTGCTCTTTGCTTTGCTCTTTGCTTTGTTTGTTTTGGTTCGTGTGTGTTTCGTTTCAATTAGCTTTTGTTTGCGTAGAAAGTGCTTGTTTGCTTTGCTTTGCTTTGCTCTTTGCTTTGCTCTTGCTTTGTTTGTTTTGGTTCGTGTGTGTTTCGTTTCAATTAGCTTTTGTTTGCGTAGAAAGTGCTTGTTTGCTTTGCTTTGCTTTGCTCTTTGCTTTGCTCTTTGCTTTGTTTGTTTTGGTTCGTTGTGTTTCGTTTCAATTAGCTTTTGTTTGCGTAGAAAGTGCTTGTTTGCTTTGCTTTGCTTTGCTCTTTGCTTTGCTCTTTGCTTTGTTTGTTTTGGTTCGTGTGTGTTTCGTTTCAATTAGCTTTTGTTTGCGTAGAAAGTGCTTGTTTGCTTTGCTTTGCTTTGCTCTTTGCTTTGCTCTTTGCTTTGTTTGTTTTGGTTCGTGTGTGTTTCGTTTCAATTAGCTTTTGTTTGCGTAGAAAGTGCTTGTTTGCTTTGCTTTGCTTTGCTCTTTGCTTTGCTTTGTTTTGGTTCGTGTGTGTTTCGTTTCAATTAGCTTTTGTTTGCGTAGAAAGTGCTTGTTTGCATTGCTTTGCTTTGCTCTTTGCTTTGCTCTTTGCTTTGTTTGTTTTGGTTCGTGTGTGTTTCGTTTCAATTTGCTTTTGTTTGCGTAGAAAGTGCTTGTTTGCTTTGCTTTGCTTTGCTCTTTGCTTTGCTCTTTGCTTTGTTTGTTTTGGTTCGTGTGTGTTTCGTTTCAATTAGCTTTTGTTTGCGTAGAAAGTGCTTGTTTGCTTTGCTTTGCTCTTTGCTTTGCTCTTTGCTTTGTTTGTTTTGGTTCGTGTGTGTTTCGTTTCAATTAGCTTTTGTTTGCGTAGAAAGTGCTTGTTTGCTTTGCTTTGCTTTGCTCTTTGCTTTGCTCTTTGCTTTGTTTGTTTTGGTTCGTCTGTGTTTCGTTTCAATTAGCTTTTGTTTGCGTAGAAAGTGCTTGTTTGCTTTGCTTTGCTTTGCTCTTTGCTTTGCTCTTTGCTTTGTTTGTTTTGGTTCGTGTGTGTGTTTCGTTTCAATTAGCTTTTGTTTGCGTAGAAAGTGCTTGTTTGCTTTGCTTTGCTTTGCTCTTTGCTTTGCTCTTTGCTTTGTTTGTTTTGGTTCGTGTGTGTTTCGTTTCAATTAGCTTTTGTTTGCGTAGAAAGTGCTTGTTTGCATTGCTTTGCTTTGCTCTTTGCTTTGCTCTTTGCTTTGTTTGTTTTGGTTCGTGCGTGTTTCGTTTCAGTTAGCTTTTGTTTGCGTAGAAAGTGCTTGTTTGCTTTGCTTTGCTTTGCTCTTTGCTTTGTTTGTTTTGGTTCGTGTGTGTTTCGTTTCAATTAGCTTTTGTTTGCGTAGAAAGTGCTTGTTTGCTTTGCTTTGCTTTGCTCTTTGCTTTGCTCTTTGCTTTGTTTGTTTTGGTTCGTGTGTGTTTCGTTTCAATTAGCTTTTGTTTGCGTAGAAAGTGCTTGTTTGCTTTGCTCTTTGCTTTGTTTGTTCTGGTTCGTGTGTGTTTCGTTTTAATTAGCTTTTGTTTGCGTAGAAAGTGCTTGCTTGCTTGCTTGCTTGCCTGCCTGCCTGCCTGCCTGCTTGCTTGCTTGCCTGATTTGTGTGTTTTTGTTTTTTTTTGCTGTTGCTTTGTTTGAGAGTTAGTCAGTTCTTTTGTTTGCTTGTTTGCGTGTTAGCTTGTTTGTGTTGTTTGTTCTGTCCTGTCCTGTCCTGTCCTGTCCTGTCCTGTCCTGTCCTGTCCTGTCCTGTCCTGTCTGTCTGTCTGTCTGTTTGCATGATTATTTGTTTGCGTCTTTATTTGTTTGTTTCGTTTGTTTCTTTCTTTCTTTGATTGTTTGTTTTTGCTGTTTCCGCGTTTGTTTGTTTTTGCGTGGTTGTGCTTGTGTGGGGGTGGTTGTTCTTTTGTTGTGCGCGTTGTCCGCCAAGCACTTAGGATGATTTCACTTTCGGCCCGGCTTCGTCCTGGCTGCCCTCTAATCGAACCACAAAGGACTCGAACAAGAGGCCCAGAGACCATGGCTAGGTCCCCCAGCTAGGTGCCCTTTCTCACCCCTATTTTGGGGGAGGGTTCCCCTATGTACTAAAATAGATTACAGAAAAGAGTTGGTACCTTATTCTAACCTCTCTACTGGAGGACCTAGATGGGGCTTATTGGACATAGACCCGTGTGGACGCCATACAAAACATGAGGGGGGGGGAATTTTATGGAACCACCACCCAGTTTTGAGGGTGCCCCTCCTCGTTTTGTTTAGGCTATCATGTCAACCCTTTACTAAGAAAGAGGTGCTTTCCATATGGAAAGCCCGGGTTCCGAAAGAAAAAGTTCAGTGTTTCGTTGCGGGGCATTTTTTGCGGCCCCCACAGGGACCGGGAGTCTGACAGTTGCATTGAAGCCCAGGCGATGCCCCAGTTGGCTTGAAGCCCCAAGACTGCGGTTTTCGGGACTGGGAACTGGGGCTTGGATCAGAGCACATCCCAGTCTTTCCAGGAATCCGATTCCTCTCCGCAAACCTTTGTTCCCAGCAAAAACCGGATCCGGTTCTTGAAAAGAAGGATGGTTGTCAAAGAATGGAGAAGGAATCAACCCCTAGAACCCCCCGTACCCCCCAAGTTGCTTTCGTGCCAAAAGGACATGGTCTGAAGTTAAGTTCCAAGTTCCAGCGATCAGACCCGGACCCCAAACGAGGTGCCCACTTTTCTCCCCGCTGGCGGCCTGCTCCAAAGACCCCAGCCTTCTTGTAGGGTAACCTGTCAACCCTACTCAACATGGAGGCATGTAACCTGGAGAGCCCCTCGATCTTCCCAACCAACTCCCTGAACAAGGCGGGTCTTTGGTGTAGGGGGGCACCTGGAGTCTCCATGACCCTTGGAACATGGGTTAATGACCCCATTCTTTGGGGTCATGACCAACCATTCTTTTAAGGGTCACGGAGACTTCGGGCAGATCAACTTTTTGCCTTTGCCGCCGCCCGGCAGGCAAAGCCGAGCGCGGCAAAGGCCAGCAGTCGCGCGGCTCGGATCGCCGCACAAGAACTCGACCAGTCCGCTCGCCGCGGCTGGCGCCGGAATGCTCCCTCCGAATTCCCCCGTCGCGCGATGGCCCGGCCCCGCGGCTTTTTTGGTTTGTTAAAACCAAAACAGATCTCGGGTAAAATACCTCCAGTGTTGTTGCTGTAGCCACTTACTCCCCTGCAAATTGACATGGAGCCCAAAAAGGGTGCCCTACACATGAGAGTCTTTAGTTTGGTTTCATATTAGTATCGCCTTAGCTGAATATGGCTGTGGGTCAAAACCTACCATTTTGGGGTAGGTGCACCACCCATTTTAGTCTATTTTAGTGGTTGGATTGAATCGGATGTTCACTGGGGGCTAACCGGGCTTGGGATTTTGACCCATGGCCTGGGCTTATGTTTTTCCAGGGTACCATTTGGGGGTGGTTTCATTGAGAATCAAAAAGATCACCGAAGCCGTCTCGGGACTGCCGGGTTTTTGTTGGACGGATCGCGCGGATCGCGGGAACTGAACTGATCTATTCCCAACCTCCACAGTCCCCCAATGCCCGACCTCTCACCCCTTTTTTGGGTTGGGAGATTCGGTTCCCCCACTAAAATAGACAGAAATCGGGTACCAACTTATTGTAACCTCTCCACTGGAGGACCTAGCACAATACCCACCTTTTTTCAGGTTATGATGCTAACCCTTTCCTAAACAGGAAGTAGTTGCCCTGGAAAGCCGATCGGTTTTTCAACGGCCGGGCTTGTAGGGTTATTGGGTTTCTGCCAATTTTCCGTACATCGCAAACGAATGCAACAGCCAGAGCGCTTCCAGAGGCCACCCGGATCGTCAGCTGCGTTCTTTTAAAAGCGATCGCAACTTGGCGATCTAGGCAGTTACGACCCACCTTTTGTATGTAACCAGGGGAAACCATGCATGGGAAAACCTGGAGCTAAGAATACCAGGTTACGTTTAGTGGCAGCTGACCGCACTGGGCAGTGAACATCTGATTTCAGTGTCTCACCTCCTGAGTTCCGTTTCGGACTTTCGATTTTTGGGTATAGCGGCGGCAAACAAAACGTGCGGCGCATAGGTGCCCTGTTGATCCGTGAGTTGGGATAGAAACAGATGGATTCCACTGGTTTAGATTGATTTTATCGTTTCTTCCAAAAGGTCAGCTACCGTTGTCTTCCAAGGTCCCGTCGAACAAGGGTCTTTTTTGATGTTGCCCTTGGCTTCATCAGCTGAAGGCAGCTGGTTTTGCAGTGAAGATCAAGGCCTCCAAGTGTTTACCTATTTCGGGTACTTGTTGAACCGCCTGGATCGCCAGTTGCTGCTCGCATTTCCTTTTTTCCGTGGTTTTTTACCCCCCACAAACAAAAGCACCTCCATGAACTTTACCCCAATAAGCAGTTGATCAGTGACTACCTCCAAGTTCCCACCTTTTTCGGGTAATCTTGAAGCCAGTTGCTGCTTGCTTCTCCAGTTTTCCATGAACTTTCCACCCCCCTCCAAAAAAAAAACAAAGGCAACAGGTCCCTGCGAAAAGCGAAGCCGCAACGCCATCCCGGGCGGTCGCGGATTCCCCGGGGCCAACGGATCCTCGGCTCCTCGGAGCGTCAGGTGGAAGCGAAGCCCGAGGCGCGCGCTTCCGCGTCCGCGCTTCCGAATGCGCGCGCGTGTCCGGTTGCCGGTTGCCCAAGTTGTTGCCCCCACCCTCAAAAGCTGCATTTGCCGTGGGAAAGGACGGGCTTTCCGACTTCCAACTAAACAACCGTGGGTATGTGGAGCTTTCGGGGACTTGTCTCTTTTTTGGTTGGTAGGTCAGCCCTTTACTAAAAAGAGATGGATCGGTTGGAAACAAAATGTCGGTGTTTCCCAACATACCAACTGAAAAAGCGGGGTATGAGGAGTGGGAGGTTAGATGAAACATGCTGGACCCATGAAAATTGGGTAGCGGGCACAAAACGGTCCAAGTCCCTAAAGTTTCAAATGCCCACGTTGCTTAGTTGGTACGAGTCGGAAACCAATTTTCCCCTGGAATGATGATTCCCCTGTAAATACCAATGAATGACGGTTTCCCATGGCTTCCAAGTGGGCGAAATGGCGCTCGTTTATTCACGGTACCGCCTTTTTTGGTCAGGAGTTGACATCATAAGTGCCCCCTACTCCAAATTACCCTTGATTTTTCCAGGGCATTCTTGGAAAAGCCTGGTTCTCCATGGAAAATACAGATTTCGTTTTTCGTTAAGGGTCGACCTCGTAGCCTGAAATGAAAGCAAGGCCGGGTATTTGCAGGTTTCGGGGGTTCCCTGACGTAGCGTGCTCTTTCACGTGCTGCGGCTGGCCATTCCTCAGGGGTGTCCGAACGAAATTTTCCCTCAAGTGGATCGAGTGGTTTCAAGGGACATCACCTGTGAGAACTGATCTAAGATGGTTTCCACTAGCCCCCCAAACCACTTCACCCCTTTGAAAAGTGGCTATCATAGTGGTTGTATCTCCCATGAAACCCCGGTAACGGTAGTGGAAACTATGATACTGTGGATGAACGAAATCCTGCACAGCTTGCAAACTATGGGAAACCAGTCTTTCTTGGTATTTACAGGGGAATCATCATTCGAGGGTGTCAAAGGTGGTGCAGGATTTTGTCCACCCACAGTAGAATCGAGCTTCTCAACCTCTTGACCTTTCCTTTGCAATCCGTTCGCAGGACCAAACTACGGTCTGGTATTTACCGTGGAACACAGTTTATGTTTTTTGCTGGATAGGGAAAAAACACGAAACAGCGTTGGTATTTGTCAAGGGTAGTTTCTGGTGTGGGTTTTGGAGGTAATTATCCTATAGGTTAATATACCACAATCGGGATTTCCACGTTTTCTTGCCATCCCTGTTTTAGTCCAGCCATTTCGCACCACTGAGAAACCATAGGAAAGCAGTGGTTGGCGGTATTTGCAGGGGACTCATCGTTTCAGGGATTCTTTGGCGGTGCAGGATTTCGGCCATCCACAGTATGGATGCTTAAATATAAACCACCAACATACGCTCCAAATAACAACTTAGTTTTCGATCTAGCGTATCATGTCAACCCGATTTTGCAACCGCCCACAGTACCTCCAACGACCCCATACTGTCCCTGTTTCTGTCTGGGGTTGACATGATACCCTTTGAACAAAAAACCACTAAGTTGTTATTTGGAGCGTATGTTGGTGGTGTACATTTCACTAGCTCCCCCAGTACTGCCCTTTTACCCTTTTTTGGGGAGGGTTCCCCTACTAAAATAGACTAAAGAAAAAAAAGGTACCCTTATTCTAGCCTCTGTACTGGAGAATCTAGTTCAGCATCCAAACCAAACCAAAACTCCCTGAATGCCAACAAAGAATCCCTGAAATGACAAGTCCCCCACAAATACCAACAAACACATGGTTTCCTATGGTTTCTCAGTGGGTTGCAACCGATATTTCACTAGGTCCCCCAGTGGTGCTCTTTTACCCTTTTTTGGTTGGGAGGGTTCCCCTACTAAAATAGACTACAGCAAAAAGTGAAAAAAAGGTACCCTTCTTCTAGCCTCTCTACTGGAGGACTTCCTAACACCCAGCGTTTCTTTTTTACTCAGTTTTTCAAAGAGCCCACCTTTTTTGCGTTGCCTCTACATGGTGTTTTGGGGCAGCATCCATACTGTGGATGGACGAAATCCTGCACCACCTCAGAAGCCCTTAAATGAAGATTCCCCTGTAAATACCAACAAACAATTGTTTCAACCATGTCCTTCAGGTGGTGCGAAATGGATTTTGTCCATCCACAGTATCAAACCAAAGCCAGACATAGTTGCGAAAATCCGCCTTGTTAATTCTTCACATGGTTCTGGGATTACGACCATGTTAAATCCCGGACCGGGTTTTGAGCAAGTGACTCACATGGTGTTTTGGGGCAGCATCCAAAACCAAAGCGCAGGTACTCTGCAAATCCCAAGTTGCGGTATTCCGCGGAATCGGAATCGGTGCGCCGGCCCCGCGCCGAGACCTCTGGGCCTACATCGACCCCCGGGGCAAGATCCAGGCGAGCCGCAAGTTGAACCGCGCGCTTGGCGACCAAGGCTCATGGCACCCCGTTTTTGTTGTTGTTTTTTTCTTTTCCCCCTTTGTTTTCATTCTTCCATTTGTTTCTCCTTTTTTTTCCGGGCACCCCTTGTTGGTTGGGTTTTGAACTGCAGAAGGAGGTATCACCATGGACAACCAGGTCCTGAAGAAAAAAAAAGCTGAGAAAAAAGCAGGTAGTTGGAGTAATCAGGGGGGTTGTGAGAAACGGGTGTGTGTGTGTGTGTGTGTTTGCGTTTTGTTGAAGCTATCCATTTTTGTTTGCAGGAAAACCCAACTTTGGTATCACGGGAAGAGTTCTTTCCCACCAATCCAGACCACCAATTGGAAGTAATGGCTTCTAGTTGATCCAAAAACAAGCTGCTGTCAAACAAAATCCCTCCAAATGAACAAGGGGATCCTCTAAATCAGCTGTTGAAGATCTATCTTACCAACCCGACAAAGAGACTCTTCCGAGCGAATTTTCTTCACGTCCCGAGAGAGATCGAGAGACGGGCGCCGGAGCTGGTGAGAACCCGAACGGTGTCCTATGGTGTCCTTTTGATCGTTTGGTTTGGTTGGAAAAAGATGGCTAGGTCTCCCAGTGCCCTTTTACCTTTTTGGGGGGAGATTCGGTTTTTGTACTAAAATAGTAGACTACAGAAAAAGGGCACCCTTATTCTAGCCTCTCAAATCTGGAGGACCTAGATGGGTTCCACCGGCTTTGATTGCAATTATGCCCCACTTACCAGGGCCATCTATGTTCCTGAAGGACGCCTATGGTCAACCCCTGGCTAAGAAAGGAGTTATTTACCATGATTTCAACGAGGTTGTTTCAAGGAATATCCAAAATATATATATATATATTTACAAAAAGGGGAAACAAAACACAACAGACACACTAGCATTGTGTTTGGAGTTGCGGGTTGGTGGACCTTACTTCGGTGCTCCCGTTTGTCCTGTTTGCGAATCGCACCTCCTGCTCCAAATGCCAACTCTTCAAGGGTGCCATGTCAACCCCTGACGAAAAGCAAATATGCCACCTACTCAAAATACTCGTTTTTTCAGAGTATTTTTGGAAAACCGATGGTTGTCCATGGTCAATACCTGAAAAAAGATGGTATTTGGAGTAGAGGGTATATATATATATATATATGCATGCATATTTTCACTTGTTTGAACCAGGCCTTTCAACATGGAATTTTTTTGCGGGTTTTAAGGGGAAGCCAACAGGCAAAGCGGAAAACCCTTTCCATTTTGAGGGGGTCCGGTTCCTCGTTCGAGACAAACCCACCAGCAATCAGACGCTCATGGGCCCTTCCAGGCAGGGTCCGAATTCTCTTAGGGACGCCCCCGGAGCTCCATGTTGGAGCCAGGACCCTTGAAGTATTTGGCTGTGGTGGTCAAAACCATGGGATGGGAATGATCCTATTTGAGCTTTGCTGGGGATCCTCACTATAGGGCCAAAACCACCCCCCTGGTAATAAACTGGGGTTGATTCAGTTGGCTATGGTTCAAAACCAATGGGATCCCATTTTGGTTGGTAGGTGAATGCACCACCCATGTTAGAACCTATTTTAGTGGGGATTGAATCGGATGTTCGCTGGGGGCTAACCGGGCTTGGGATTTTGACCCATGGCCATTTGCCACAAAACGAGCTTGGAAGCGGCCCTGGGACGTCTCTGCAGAACAGAAGGACTGAGGAGGCCGTTGCGGAGCCGAGCTCAAATACATTTCCAGCTTTAAAGAGGGAAGATTTCGGAGCTCTCGGAGGTTCCTTTTTCCCCCTTTTCCTGCATTGGACCTACAAATGCACAGTTGTTCAGGGTATGATGTCAACCCTTGACGAAATAAGAAAGTATTTGCCATGGAAAGCAAGGTTTTCCAACAGTAGGGGGGATAGGTTGTAAGCTCAGATATCGAATTGAGGCGGATTCTGCTTTGGAGTGTTTCAAAGCCCACTATACCCATATCCACCTTTATGCAGGGCATGCTGGGAACGGATGCGTTTTTCATGACAACCTTGGTTTTCAAAAGTATGCCATAAAAGTACGGGTATTTGGGGCAGGGGGTGGGGGTTGAAGCAACGTGCGGCCCACCCAAACTGCCCCGTGCGTTTTCCCCCCCCCCCCCCCCCGCCCCCCCCGCCTCCGCTTTTCGTCGGCTTCTCGATCTTTGCGTCAGTCTGGGTTCAGCAGCGGGAAGATGCGGGGCTGGTTCGAGTGCGGGCGCCTGGGTCTTCGTATGCGCGGTTCTTCCATGGTTGTCAGGGCCCCAAATGAAGGTGGCGAAGGGGTGCGGAAGCCTATTCGCAGCCGAAATTGGTCTCGATCAGGCGGCGGGCTTTTGACAGCATGCCTTACTCATACCCGCCAACTGTTGGCTTTTTGTTTTCTTTCTTTTTTTTCGATACCTTTTTAGTAAAGGGTAGCTCCATCATACTTGGGTGTTCGGCCAAGTTAGCCTTAAGGGGTTACACATCCGAATTGGCGTTTTCCACAGACACGAACTTGGCAAATCGAACATCAAGTACCGACTCAAAAAGGCGTTGGCATGTTGGGTGCCCCCTACCCCTACATACCTACTTTTTCAGGTCATGGTGTCGACCCTTTGCTAAAAACGGAGGCATTTACCGCGGAAAGCCCGGGTTTTCAAGACAGTACCAACTGAACAAACGGGTCTTCCAAGGTTGCGTGGGTGGTTATGGGGGCCTCACTGTTCAACCCAAGGGCCCAACACCCCGGCCTCCAAATACCCCCAAAGGCCACTGAAAAGACGTGGACCGGGCAGAAAACCACGGTGCAACCGTCGGTGTCCCCCCCCCCAAAAAAAAAGTACAATATGAACAGGAAACGCCAATGTGGCTTCATGGCTTTGAATCGATAGGCCACGTTGAAAAAGGTGGGAGCCAAAGACATCTGGGCTGGTTGCACGGCAACCAGGGAGGATTTGCACAGAAGCTACCCCCTACTCCAAATACCATTTTTGTTCAGGGTATCATGTCGACCCTCTACTAAAAAAGGAGGTATTTACCATGGAAAACCAGGTTTTCCCAAAAAATCCTTGCAAAAAACGGGTATTTGGAGTAGGGGGTAACCCGGCATTTTTTCCTCTGGGTTTTACATGATTTCCTGGTTACCAATGGTACAGAGATGCCTTCCACGTTGCCATGGGATCCACCAAAGAATCCCTGTCTTGATTGTTATTGGGCAACGGATCTTTAGACTTTAACTTTTTGGAAAATAGAGGGTTTTTTCCACCAAACCCCCTTTTTGCAGGGGGGTCAACAGCAACCAAGCTGATAAGTTTAAACAGTCTAGGACCCCGAAACGTGGGGTTTCATGGCAACGTGGACACGATAAATGCCAGCGGCGCGTGAATCCAAGTGACTGGCAAGGTGTGTTCTTTGTTGCCATCCTTTTTTTTGAAGAGAAACTAGCATAAACTGAATTTCCACTTGGGTTCCACCGCCCACTCCAGCCCACTTGTTCGTGCCTTTTGTCGAGAAAAAAAACACATAATAGGAGAAAAAAGAGATCTGAGTGAGGGGTTGACCTTGACATGATACCAACGTTCAACCCCTTGGGATTTTGTTGGAGCCATTGGAGCGCGGGGATTCGGTGCGGTGAACGCTGAGGGGCGGCTTCTTCAAGGATCACCTGGAGGCATTTTCCGATCCCCGACGACTTCGGGACTTCGGATCGGCGTCGAAGATTTTCCCCCGAGCGGTCTATGCACCTGGGCCCGAAGACTTCTTAGCTCTTGTGGGCCAATGGATGACTTCCATTTAAGCGTTTAAATGACGATGTTTCGGTCATTTCCCTCTGGTTGGTTTTGAAGGGAAGCGATGTCACGACTGGACATATGTTCTGTTTTGTTTCTTTTCTTGTTTTGTTCTTCTTTTTTTCTTCTTTTTTTCCAGACTGAAGCAAGTGGGAAATCAACCCGACTATGAATGCCAAAACCCCACGTTTACCAGGATGCATCATGGACAACCACGTCCCAACTCCAAATGCCCGTTTCTTTAAAGGGTACTTTTGTGAGAAACCGATTGGTTTTCCCAGGGTAAATACCGATTCCTTTTTTAGTAAAGCGTCGACATTTTACCCTAAAAGAAAGCAGGTATTGGGTGTAGGGGGTATGTTATTTTTCTAAGAAGGGGTGAATCTTTCTTTTTTGTGGGTATTTTGAGGGTCCAGGTGCGATGTTGACCCTACACCAGGTGCCTGTTTTTAGGCTATGTTCAATGATGTCAACTCTTGACTGCCAAAGGGTTGGTAATTGCACTGGAAAACCTGGTCGTTCGAGAGGGAAAAACAAACAACACCTTGTGTGTACGGGGTATATGTGGAACCCTCTTAACAGTGGACTGAAATCCCCACTTGGATGATGTCCACCCAAGCGTCTGTAGTCAAAGTTCATACCACACATTGTTCTCGTATGTTTGTCTCTACATTCCCACTAAACAATTATTCTTATAGGTCTGTCCCATTTGCCAACCGGTCGTTTTTTCGGTCAAGCACACCTCCACCGGACTCCTTAATTGGGAAGCTATATTAGCCGCATAATTTCCCTAAAGTTGCCAAAAACAGAGCCGGCATGAGTCAAGCAATCAAGCAGCGCCTGATCATCCTCACCAAGGAGAAGGGAAACCAAAAGGACGGCCACCATTTCTCTGTTGCCCAGTGGTGCCCTTTTTTTCTTTTCTTTCTGGGTAAGGGTCCGATCCCTTTAAACTCAATTAACAAGGAAATATCGGGTGCATCTTTTTTGTTCCCGTGGAAATCCACTGGGCATCTGAGTCACAATCAAAACCCGGCATAAAAATTGTCCACCCAGAACCATGTCAAGAATTAAGAAGGCGGATTTCCGCAATTATTTCTGGCTGGGACTGCCCCTTACTAACGTTCATCTACCCGAATCGGTTTTGATTGTGGCTAGAGATAGCGATGCTGTCTGTCGGTGGCATCTGGGACTTTGCCCAGGAATCATGACCCAAAGCCCAACAAACGAAGGAGACCGTTGAGGTTATGATTGTGGCTCATCTGAGCTTTTCAGGGCCTCAAATTGGCAGACCGGCTCTTCGCCATAGGCGGCCCCGATGCGAGATGGCCAGGCGGGAGTCGGTGTGATCGAAATTGGGCCCCCCCCTCGCGTGCGGGCTGCATAAGGAACCCCCCCCTCCAAGGAACCCCCACGCCAACTACCCGTTTTTGTAAGGCTATCATGTCATGAGGTAATTATGTACCACGCAAAGGCAGGTTTTTCCCAAACATACCCACCTAGATAGCCAAGTTGCTGTCTTTTTCAGTCACTGTTGCTGGTTTTTGGGGTAAAGTTCATGGAAAAAAGCGATCGCACCTGGCGATCCAGGCATTTTGCATTAAAACCTTGTCGTGTGTCCGGTTGCTCTGCGCTTTTGCCCCGCCTCCAATTCTGTGGGTGTGCCATGGTGCGCCCGTGCCGAGTTCGTGGGCCCGCCAAGAAAGAACCGTGCTCCTTTACGGTAGCCGCGTTGCGACCCACCAACCAGAACGCAACACAACACGGACCGCAAGCGGAAAAAGATGGCAGGGCCAAAAATGGAAGCGCTGGCCAGAAGCAGCCCCAGCGCATTCCTCAGAACGTCCATAACCATTCACTCTGCGCATGCTGCGGCTTGTCCTTTCTCCTTTCTTTTTTTAGCTCTTTGCCAGTTCCACTTCCAAGAAGGGTTGGGTTTTTTGGACCAGGTCCCCGCCGGAAGCCGACGGAAGTTGTTTTGTTCTCCAGAAAGCCTTGGAACTATACGGGTTCCTTACCTCTACCTAGAGTTGTTGTTTGACCCTGAAAAAATGGTTGGTCATTACCCAAAATGAAGGGGTGGACCCATTTTTGATTCGGGTCATGGAGACTCTAGGTAGGTTTTAGTGTTGACCTCGGATGAATACACCTGTCCTATTCATGAGTGGAAAACGCCACATTGGCTTTTTCGCCCCCTAGTATGTGTAATCCCACATTCACGGGGGACTTCTGGGTTAGAACCAACTTTCTATCTTGGTCCAACACTCCCCCAAAAACCGCCCGGCCTCCCCTGCTCCGAACACCTGGTTTTCTTTAGTTGATAAGCCAGGTTTTCCAGCGTAAATACTTTATTTTGTAGAAATCAAGGGGTTGACAAAGTACCCTGAATAAAGCGGGTATTGTGTGTCGGGTATATGGGCAACCAGGGTAAATAGTAAACAAAGAGGAATGTCCGACTGTACCTTCAGTTTGTACCTGACGGTTTTGGTGGCACTTGGTGGCTCAGTCGGTAGTCGCCTTTTGCCCGCCTCGAGCCACAAATTCGGCGCCATGCAATTGCATGTGTACTTGGCGAGTGGAACCAGCTGCTCCGTTGCACTGCCTCCTGAGTCGAGCGTGCGTGAAGTGAAGGTTGAGGCGCAGCGGCAGCTCGAGCGTCGCTTGCTGACTCTGCTGCGCGGAAGTGAGAAGCTGGACCTATCGCGCAATCTTGCTGAGGTGGGCCTGCGAGACGGGGACAGTATCACTGCAATCGCGCAGCACGCGAAGCTAGCTTCCACTCAGCAAGCATTCGCGCTGTATGTTGAAGGAGGCTCTGTGGTGACTTGGGGCGATCCTGCCCATGGCGGTGACAGCAGCGAGGTGCAAGAGCAGTTGGTGCAGGTCCAGCAGATACAAGCAACTGCTCAAGGCGCTTTTGCTGCCATCCTGGCCGACGGCTCTGTGGTAACTTGGGGCGATCCTAACTCTGGCGGTGACAGCAGCGAGGTGCAAGAGCAGTTGGTGCAGGTCCAGCAGATCCAAGCAACGTATTCTGCTTTTGCTGCCATCCTGGCCGACGGCTCCGTGGTGACTTGGGGCAATGGTGGCTTCGGCGGTGACAGCAGCCGGGTGAGCGGGCAGTTAGTACGCGTCCAGCAGATCCAAGCAACTCAGAGTGCTTTTGCAGCCGTCCTGGAAGATGGTGCCGTTGTGAGTTGGGGCCATCATATGAATGGCAGCCAGGTGCAAGAGCAGTTGGTGCGCATCCAGCAGATCCAAACAACTGACCTCGCTTTTGCTGCCATCCTGGCCGACGCCTCCGTGGTGACTTGGGGCCATCCTTTGAGTGGCGGTGACAGCAGCCAGGTGCGAGAGCAGTTGGTGGGCATCCAGCAGATTCAAGCAAATATGGCTGCTTTTGCTGCCATCCTGGCCGACGGCTCTGTGGTGACTTGGGGCAATCCTGCCCATGGCGGTGACAGCAGCCAGGTGAGAGAGCAGTTGGTGCAGGTCCAGCAGATCCAAGCAACTTTCAGTGCTTTTGCTGCCGTGGCCGACGGCTCCGTGGTGACTTGGGGCAATGGTGGCTTCGGCGGTGACAGCAGCCGGGTGAGCGGGCAGTTAGTACGCGTCCAGCAGATCCAAGCAACTCAGGGTGCTTTTGCCGCCGTCCTGGAAGATGGGTCCGTTGTGACCTGGGGCCATCACATGTATGGCGGTGACAGCAGCCAGGTGCAAGAGCAGTTGGTGCAGGTCCAGCAGATTCAAGCAAATCAGCGTGCTTTTGCTGCCATCCTTGCCGACGCCTCCGTGGTGACTTGGGGCCATCCTATGAGTGGCGGTGACAGCAGCCAGGTGCGAGAGCAGTTGGTGCAGGTCCAGCAGATCCAAGCAACTCAGGGTGCTTTTGCTGCCATCCTGGCCGACGGCTCTGTGGTGACTTGGGGCAATCCTGCCCATGGCGGAGAATGCAGTGAGTGGGATTCAGGCTCAGTTGGACTGCTTGTGAGAGAAAATCAGCATGAGGTATGCTGGCTGATGTGAGAGCGCAGGGCTATCGCGTTGGAAACCGGTTTGCCGTGCTTTTCGCAGTTGTTGACACATCATGCAACACGCGGCAGATGTCGTAGTAGATAGTAACCCTGGCTATAACCCCCCACTTCCCATTCGGCCAAAACAGTGACTTTCGGGCCGCAAGGGCCGAGTCAATGACAGCCTCACATTGGCTGTTTGGATCTTTGACCTCGGTTTCGATTGAACACCTGCGTGTTTCCCTCGAACTAGCCAAGAGCTTGGGGGCACGGGTTCGGCCGCGGATCGCCTCAGTTCAGTGGATTTCCTCTTTGTGACGCCCGTCACCCCCCCCGTCTCCCATCAGACCGGATGGGAGCTGTGGGATGGATCATACTGTGGATGGTTTGCGAAATCCAATTTCGCGCCGCCGGAATCGGAAAATCCCGGTGTCCGATGATTAATTACCAACTATCAGCCATGGTTTCCAAGTGGTGCGAAATGAATCTTGTAAGTGTCACACTAGTGGACCATCCTTCTGACTTAGCACCTTCGGCATCACAGAAAGTGGGCCGAAGAGAACCTCAAAGGGTAACTATGTGTCAAACTAAGGGAGCCCGCAAAATGGTTGGGTTTCTGTTGGTTTCCTTTTCAACCAAACCCCTCTGCACATACCCTCATTTTGGTATGTTTTGGAAATCCTCCAAAGCTCCCCAGACCTCTCCCAGCTTCAGGGTGCACCGTGTCACTGGGTTTCCCACGGGTCCCAAATCGCCGGAAACGTGGGGTAGACCACCACTTTACAAGCACTATCTACCCCCAAAAGAAAAACATGGCATAGAACCACAAAATAAGCACTATGTGCCACTTGAAGGGAATGCTGGGGCATTTTGCCAGGGACAAGACCTTGACGTCCCTACCTAAAGTCTCCTTCTGACCCTTAAAAAATGGGGTTACCCCAAATAACGTGATCATTCACCCATTTCTTTTGAGGAGTGGAGGACGCCACGACTCAGACTCAGACCCGGGGCTTCCGGGTCTCAGCGTCAGGTGCCGCCACGCCGGGCCTTTCGGACGCTCAAGGAGTTGTTCCCCGATGGCCAGCCGGGGCCTCCGCGTCCAACGCGCGACGGCGCCGGCGGGGACTTTTCGGGAAACGCACTTCGAAAACTCGGCGAATCCCGGCGAATCGTGCGGTTCCTGAGGGTGTTTATAGTTATTTTTGTAGGTTTCTGCTTGGTTTAGCGTTAATTTTCACTCAGCCGCTCAACATTAAGCCTTTTGGAAGGGATCTGAGGAAAGCCGGGTTTTGTGATGCCATACTGTGGATGGACAAAATCCATTTCGCACCACCTGAAAAAAAACACGGGACACCATTTTTGTTGGTGTGTAGAGGGGAACCATCAGACACCAGGGTTTCTTAGGTGGTGCAGGATTTCGTCCATCCACAGTAGGACCCCCCTACTCACAATATATCAATTTGATTGCAGCTATTTTTGGATGATAACTACCGATCCTTTTTGTGTAAAGGGCTGACATCAATATATGAGTACGTTGTCCCATTTGAGGTAGCCTTCCTATTTGAATTACGTGCATCCGGTGCATAACCAAAGCCTTCAGCCTTCAGCCTTCAGCTTGCCTGCGGATCTGGGCTCGGAACGGGATCGGATCTTCCGACTCCAAGTTCTCATGCCACTTCTGTTCTTTGCGATCGGGGAACCTGGACCAAACAACTTGATGGGTTGCCAATTAAAACTAGAGGGAAGCAAACCATCAAACTAAACAGGCAGTTGCCAAATCGCTAGTTGGCACATTTCGCCGTTTTTTTGGGTAGCTCTTTTTGGGGTGTTCAGGCCACATTTCTGCGCAAACAGGGTACGCCGAGGTGCTTTCTCGGGAGGCCGCGGCTTTGAGCGAAGCGATCCATTCGGGTAGGATGGCGCGCTGAGAAAAGCCTCGGGGATCGTTCTGCCTAGGGACGTGTGTTTTTCAGCCACTGTTGCGATCGGCTTTTTGGGGGAGTACAGTTCCACGGAAAAGAAAGCGAAAACGCAAGCCACTGGCGATGCAGGCTGTTGGGTTTGTCCCCGATGTCCGGGTTGTGCTGGTTTGGCATTTTGCATGGCCAGTCTCGTCTTGGCGGTTCCCAACCAGCTTGGGCTCGGCGGACAAAAATGGCCAGTCAGAGAGAGAGAGAGAGAGGAACGCTTTGATCGATCATCGGAACCTGCAAATACCCCGGCTGTCTTTTTTTAGTTGGTATCATGTCGACCCTGTACTTATACCGTGCTTTCAACCGATCGGTGTTTCAAGAGACAACGACTGAAAACGGCCTGGAGATTGGGAATTCCTGATCGTTCTGGTTCTTTTTGGGCGTTTTGGGCTTAGGCGTTTGGCGTATTCCTGAACCCTCAAAATTCCCTTAAAAATGGGTTTGACCCCCAAATTATGGGGTGCTATCCTTTTTTTATGGGTAGTTTGAGGGTCCAGGTTGTTTGTGTTTTTTTCGTTTCGGTGTTTGCCCTTGTTTTGCGGGCGTGCGGAAATTTGCGGGCGTTGCAACGAGAGTTGCAAGGCATTGCTTGACGTTGGAATCTCCTGGGGTAGGTATTTGGATTTACCGGGGTACTGAACGGGGTTTGCCACGCCTTATTCCTTCCCCAGAATTAGCTCGCCTTTCTGTTTTGTATTTTCTGTGCTTTATCCAGGCAAAAATATCGTTTCTTGCTGGGATCCTAGCAAGCTTTCTGTGAAGTCGCAGAGGTTTTTTCGGGATCCGAATTTGTCCGACTGCTTGGCGTCAGCTCAAGGAGTTTACAAGAAACGCCAGCTTGACACCGGCTTTCAGCTGAGCACCCAAGACCCACTTCTTTGATAAACCTGGCCCATCGGCCCATCTTGACACCTGCCCCCTCACAAGTCGGTGTTCCTTTCAGGACTAGCTTATGCGGTTCCCAAGACTTGGTAACATGTGAAGTCCAATTGTTTTTGATGATTCTTCAAACAGATAAGAGGTGAACAGTATTTGCTTCCAGGCCAACACATACAGTCCCCCGCTTCTTGGCACCAGAAACTCTTCGAAAGGACAGATGATTGGCATGTTTCCCATTTGCGGACATCTAATTTTTTGACTTCCACCTGGGTTTCAAGCAGAAGACACGCACTACGTTTTGTCCGCGCTGTGATGCCAACATGGCGGCAGCTTGCAGCGTGCTGCCGGCGCGTGGTAATGGCCTCCACTGGTGACGGATTTTCCAACCTGTCAAAGATCTGGAGCAATGGAATTGGACAATTCCCACCGGCCTAGGTCCCCCAGCTAGGTGCCACTTTTTTTCTTCCCACCCCACTTTCTTGGGTGGGAGATTCGGTTCCCCTACCAAAATGGACTACAGACAAAAGTTCTGTTCATTTTTACTGGGGGTCTGCAAAAAACCAGTCGGTTTTTTGCTAGCCCATACCAAGAGATGCATAGGGATCGTGGACTAGGAACAGCCCAGAATCAGGGGACTCCCAGCCCCTCCCCCAATGGGGCCGGATACGATTTGGTCGCATGTTGGGCCTTGAATGTCGTCCAGCAGTTTTCAGATGCAAGCCTTAGCCTTGTGGATCAAACGAAAGAGGGGGTCCGAATTCTCCACACAAATGTGATCCGGAGTGCCAGAAGAAGCTGGGCACGAGGCTGGGAATGACTCAAGATCCTGTTTCCAATCAAGTCTCGCGAAGAGTCTAAGAGGAAACCCGATGTTTGTTTTGCTGTACCGCCCCCATGAGTGGGGGGCCTTTTTATTATTATTAAAATCGGGGTTTCCAAAAGGGAGCCTGTTCTGCCATGCTGGGCGGTTGTTTCAGGATCTCCCATTCAGGGCGTGCTTTGACGGCACCCCGCGCCACGCGAATGACCTCGCAGGTGTCATAGGCCCCTGCTCTGCTGACTGAAGCTTTGGACCAGCGGCAATTCGGCACCAAGACGTGGCCCAACGACTGCCGCTGCAATGTGGTGGTCAGCACTTCCGGATTCAAGGCACCTAGAACCCCCAAGTAGCTACCTTTTTCCGGCCACTGGAACCCCACTAGTAGCCTATAATTTGATGCGAAAGTGGGGAAGCAAAGAAATGCCTTGGGGATCCAGGTGGGACTTTGACATTCAACTTAGGAAGTGACTCCTTTTCCACGAACCAAAACTCGACTTCGCGGAACCCTTCGCGCGAGGCATCGCGCGCCTCCCGCTCCGGCTGGCCCAAGGGATACCTTCTACTCAGAATACCAACGCCTTTCTAGCGTGTTGGGAAAGCCGAGAAAGGTTTTCCATGGTAAATACCAAACCTTGTCTCAGTGGAGGGTCGACATGATACCAACTGAAGGCAGGGAATTTGGAGTAGTGGAATTTGGCGTAGGAGGTCAGCCTGGAGATTTAAGGTTGCCCGGCTTATCCCCCGGGCCTAAAGGCGCGGGGTCGGACTTGAGAGACAAACCATTCTAGGGGTTGCTTTTCCTTTTCCGTTCTGTTCAATGGCTCTTTTCAAAAACCGGATCTGTTTTTCAAAACCCGGTATTTTGATGGTTTCCTGAAAAGATTGGGATCCCAGGAAGGAATGGGGGAAGGTAGCCCTAGAACCATGTTGACACTCGATCTTTGCGCTACCGGAACTGTTCCTGGGGCCCCTTTTCTTGCCGAGACACTCCCCAAAGATCCGATCCCGATCCCAGATTGCGAGTAGCGGGAACAGGAAACTGCTTCTCTAATTGCTACTGTTCCTGATTCCCAACTGCAATCTGGAACAGGGAGTGAGTAAAAGGCGGGAGTGAGTTTCAAGTAAGGCAAGGCAAGTGAACTGCTTACGTGGCATCCACGGTTGGTGTGTGGTTGATGGTTGGATGGTTGGCTGACTTGCAATATGGCGGGGGGCATCCGCCGTTTACTCACTCCCTGAGCTCGACTTCAATCTGTTTGGGAAGACCCTTTTGGTGGTAAGCAAAAGTAAACACCTAGATAGCCAAGTTGCTGCTTTTTGCAGTCACTGTTGCTGGTTTTTAGAATAAAGTTCATGGAAAAAAAAACAGCAACTGGCGATCCAGGTACTTTCTGGGCCACTACTCTACTACTCTCAGGAGGTGAGTATAGTTTGTGGCTTGTATTGGTTCCTTCCCCAGTGCCTCCAGTTACCATAGTACTGCAAATTAGCCAACCCAGAAACGGGATCCAAAGAAGCTTCCTCTAGAGCAAACCATCATGATTCACATGATCGTTTGGGTCTATCTCTTTTGGAGGGTGCCCCTTTTTCGACTTTGAAGGGAAACCAAAAGGAAGACCCACTGCTTTGGGGTGGTCCCCTGCAAAGGGACCCATTTGGCTGTGGTTGTCACAAGCAATGGGATCCCATGTTGGTTGGTAGGTGAATTCGCCACCCATTTTAGAACCTATTTTAGTGGTTGGATTGAATCGGATGTTCGCTGGGGGCTAACCGGGCTTCGGATTTTCACCCATGGCCATGTGGCTGCGGCTCAAAATTCAGGAGGGGCAAACCGCAGGTTTTGGCGCCCATGTTTTTCCACTTCCCAGGGCCAGCCATTTCGGAATTCCGGATTTCTGAGCTGCAGCCATTTGGGCAGAGCCGACCCTCAGCTCGTTTTTTTTTTTTTTTCTCCGGGGCGCCAGGCAGGCTTGGGAAGGCACCGTGGCGTGCCCGGGCCCCGGTGGACTTCCGTGGCTCAACAAATTCACGAGCTGGGGTTGCGCAGAAATTTTGGTCCTGGTTTCCATTTTCCCAAGGTGCCATTTTGGTAGATGTTGTTGAGCCACAGCCAACTACCAACCAATGGTTTTTTGGTACATGTTGTTGAGCCACAGCCAACTACCAATGGTTTTTCAGCTAGTATGTGGTGCAAAACCTGGTTGAAACCAGGGTAGGTACCTTCCGTTTTGTTGGAAAGGGTTGGCATAAAACCCTGAAACAAGTTGGAGCTGGGTGTAGGGGATTAAAACTGGGTTGGATACCTGGACCCTGAAGTGGGCCATGTCGGGCTTTGGTTTTGAAAGGGATGGGTTTGTCTCAACACCGGGGGGCCCAAAATGGCGCAACGGGTTCCCTTTCTATTTCACAGAAAAAAGGCAACCAAAACAGCTGGCACCCTCAACAAAGACACACCCAAATGGCAATGGATAAATCCCAAGTCAACTTTGCACAAAGCACTCCCCGGTGAAAACACATGGCAATAAATGCACCTGGACCCTCAAACTACCCAAGCAGCATGGCTGTTATTTGGTGAGGGATTGCTTCGCCCGGCGTATTTCTGGTCTTCCGCAGCTGAAAAATGTCCTCAGGTGCTTCAGTTGCTTCTGGACAAACGGTCGCCGAGATTTGAACGCACTACCCCTTACTCCAAATACCCGCTTTTTTCAGGGTATTTTTTGGAAAACCTGGTTTTCCACGGTAAATACCTCCTTTTCTAATAGGGGGTCGACATCATACCCTAAAAAAGCGGGTATTTGGAGTAGCGGGTATTCTTGCTGTCTCTGCTTGGGGAGCCTCACTGCAGGATTGGTGTGTCGTCACTGGTGGGCTATAGTGCCAGTGGTGTGCATTTTTGGAGCTTACTCTTGGATCGACGGATCGCCTGCTTTTCACCGGGAGTTCATGAGCGACTGAGCGCGCATGAAGTTGCAAGGCAAAAGATCCATGGGACATATTTGCCGCGAGCTTGCACGACTTTTGGCTGGCAAGCTTCTGGGCAATTTGCGTGCTCTGGCGCTTCTCATCACAACCCGGAGAACCCATACAGTACGATTTCAACAATCAGGAGGATGGTGAGCGGAATTCACGTGAGAAACAATTCCATGATCTTCATTGTACAGAAGTTCGTCAAAGACGCTTTAGAAGCAGCCGAAAGAAAAGCCAACACGAAACCAAGCTTTTTGGAAGGGTTTGCCGGTTTGGAACGCAGGTCAACACGTCCAAACCACAAGAGCATAGTAAACAAATATTCTCTGGAGCTTAAAAGACGCTTAATACTAAAGTACTTGGCGGTCAGATGCTCCCCCCCAGAAGCAAATGTGCTCTTCCCTTGAACATGGCCCAAATTGCAACTTCATAGAATAGGGTAGCTTTGAAAGGGAAAACACTCGATATGTTTTTTTTGTTGGGGGGGTCTTTGGTCTGGGTCAGTTCTGGGTTTGGGTCCTGCAGTCCTGGGGAAAAAACCGCTAAGACTAGGGTGGGGTCTGGCAGGGAGTCAGCCTTGGCTTCAGTATTGCTTCAGAGTTGGCCTACTTGGACCTGAAGAAACTACCGAGAGAAGATGGAAAGCGCACCACAAAATTTGGTTGAGGGTCCAGGTGTGCTAGAAGTAATACTGGGGATTCGGGAGTCCGGGATAAGAAACCCTGGAAAAAGGAAACTCCGCTCGAAGTGCCAGTAAACAATGGGGCATGTTTCCCACTGGGACATGGATTTTGTCCACTGCGTTGTTCTTGTTTTGCGTTCTTCTTATTTTTGTTTTTGTTCTTATTTTTTTTCGGTTGGCAGCCGAAGCCAACCTGTTGGCCCATATCCCAGTTCGAGGCAACTGGCATAATATGCCACATGGGTAATGCAGGGCAAGTGTGTGTGTGGTCAGTATACATATATACATATATATATATTATATATATATATATACATATTTGAGGGTCCAGGTATATCAGGTCCCGTGCTTCAGTTGCCATTGCACAAGTAGAAGCCCAGGGGCAACACGCATGTAAAACACAGAGGTAAGAAATCAGAACTACCAACCACTACGGGACACCCAGTTGCTCAGTGGCACCCCTTTTTCCGTCTTTGTTTGGTGGCTTCCCTAGAAATCATCATCTCTTCCCCAAAAAGGGTTCCTCATTTTAAACCTGGGCACTTTCCAACCGGGATCAGCGTTTGCCTCAATGCCTCATTCCCTCATTCTGTCTTTTTGTGCGTGTTTTGTTTGGAGGGTGCTTCTTAGATCTTCTTAGCCAAAAGGAGAGACGACGCCCATTTCGGGGGCCCCTTCCCAAAAACCGAGAAGACCCCAAAGGACCCCTTTTTGCTGCCTTTGTACCCTTTTTTTTGGGGTCAAAGGCAGAAGAAAGGAATCGGTCCTTTGGGGGTCCAGGAAACGAGAAGATACGTTTCCCCCGAGAGGCCGAAATAAAGCGAGCGCTGCGCTGGTCGATTCGATTCAGCTCGGTCGAGGCCAGAACGCCTGCGTGGTCCGCGCCGAGCCCGATCTGGAGTCCGAGGCTCCGAATTCAAGTGTGTGGACCGCTGACTGCGGGGTTTAGGCGGCGCAAAGACACCCCCCCCAGGTTTACCTGAAGTCTCCATGACCCTTAAAAAATGGGGTCATGACCCAAAAGAATGGGTGGGCAAGCAGCTTGGTGAGCATTTAGTGGTCAAGACCATTTAGTGGTGAACAAGCACTTTGGTGACGTTTAGCCAATCCACTCGATCGGAAGTGAGTTAAAGGGGAAGTTGTTTTTGCCGCCTTTCAAGTCAAGCCGCTTGTTTCATGGAAACCACCTGGACTAACCAGCAACAAGTTGCACCAGATCAAGGGAAGGCCTCCTGACTCTGAGCGGGCTCATGGGTCCCAAGGTTGCGGAAAATATCAGGTTACCCCCTACACCCACTACCCAGGTCTCATGTCGACCCTCTACTAAAAAAGGTTTGGTATTTACTAACCTTGGAAAACATTTTTTCGGTTTCCCCACAAATACCATGAACAAAAAAACGGGTCATTTGGCGTAGGTACCCGGGAATTGGTGGGTTTGGCTTGGCTTGGCGGAACCCCTGGGTGTGGAGAAACTCGCCGGATCCGAACTTACCAATTGGAATTTCAGGGAAGCCGATGGTAATGGTGCACCAAAATTTGGAACCAACAGGTGATTGGAGCAGTTTGGGTTGGTTTCAACATGCTTGGCGGTTGCTCGGGTCAACTTTCTCTGAAGCTAGGCCAAAGTTTCTAGGAAAGGGTTTGGATGCGGTGGATCTGTGGATCCACCATTGTAGGATAGCTCAAAAGAGTACTAAGAGAGTCTTAAAAGAGTTGAACAGCTCGCCAAAGAACAACTAGCAGACCACAGAAAGCGCATCCAATCCGTCTGGAAATTTCGATGGTTGGGCCCGAAGAAACCTGGTTTGGTTGGTTTCAACCGGCTTGGTGGTTACTTGGGGGTTACTCAGGCCCAAACTTTGATGGGCCCTGAAAAACCGGGCTCAAATTTCGCTTGCCAACAACCAATTGACCCCTTTGAAGGCGTTTGATTCTTCGGGTCCATGTAGATGGTTGGGTCATGAGTCAGTGGTTGCGGGGTTGTTCTTGTGAGCCGAAGGTTGTTGAGCACTCGCTTTTTGTTTTTTTGTTTGGTGGGTTGCCAGTCTGCCGGATCAGTTTCCCGCTACTGGCTGGTTTGGAGGTGTTTTGGGTTAGTTTCCCATCTATCCTCTACAAGAAAGGGTTTCCCTAAACCAATCCCAACCGAAAACTTTCAGGTTGCCTGCTTCCAAAAAAATCGATCTTTCCGCCTCAATCCACACGAACCTTTCGCGGCTTCCATCTCTGCAAGGGGGTTCCTTCACCCCGAAATCCAAGCCGCCAAGCTTTCACGAAGCGCTCCACGGCTTCGGGGCTTCGAAGCTTCATTTCCGTTGAGTCAAGGGCTTCCTTCACCAATTCAAAGCGCCCAACCTTCAAGTTACCTCCTGGAGTCTCCATGACCCTTGAAAAATTGGGTCATTGCCCAAAATTAAGGGGTAATGACCCCATTTTTAAGGGGTCATGGAGACTCTGGGCCGACTTACCCCACTTCCAAAAAACAAATTCCTCCGACGGTCTTCCACACGAACCTGAACCCGCTCCGGGGTCCATTTCCGTGGCGTCTCTCAGCCCGGGGCTTCCCGGGCCGCAGCTTTCCGCTCATTCGCGCTCAGCGCCAGAAGCTGGCGGACCTGGCGCCGGGCACCGCCGTCACGGTGCTCGAGGAGACCTGACGCACTCGAAGCGACGGGGTTTTGGAGCGACCGGTTGGCCAGCCCGTTTTGCGGAGCTCGGAGCGAGCGACTAGGTCAGCAATCGGTGCCCTTCTCTCCAACAAAAAAAATGGGGAGGGGCGTGTCCACTGAAATCGACGACCGAAAAAGGGGGAGCCCTGTTCCAAGCTCTCAAACTTGGAAGACCTAGTTGAAGTCGGGTTGCAAAACGCATCGGCTTTCCCAAGCTGCGTACGCCGAAGATGGGCTCAGCTGGGTCCACGAAGTGGGTCTGTCTTTTTTTGAGCTGCCCCTTTTTTAAGGTGGTTTTAAGAGGAAGCCACAAGGTGAAACCCGCAGATATGGGCAGTCCCCTGAAAAAAAAAGAGACGCACACACACAAATGGGGTGATCACGTTTGAACAAAAAAAATCGGCCGAGCTTGAACCTGACAGCGGTGCTTGACGGCCACATCTTCGTGGAGCGAGCGAGCGCCGAGGACCTTAGGAGCCGGAGCCGGAAGCTGTTGGGCAAAGTGTCCCGAGGGGATCTGTTTGGCTTCAAGCAGACAAGACCAGGTCTCCAAGCTAGGTGCCCTTTCTCACCCCTTGTTGGGTTGGGAGATTCGGTTCCCCTGCAGAAAAAAAGTTGGTACCCGTATTCTAACCTCTCTACTGGAGGACCTACGTAATGTGCAGCCCTGCAATTCCGTTCGTGTCAGGCCATAACCACTTCCCGGTCGGACACACACATGAGGACGTAGACGGCGTATCGCAATGGCAATTCGCCAGCCCTCTGATTCCCTCCACTAAAGCCACCCCAAGAAAATACACAATTGTATATCAGAAACAACAGCGGAGACAAGAAGGCTCTGGCAACCTAGGCTACAACCCACATGCAAGTCCCCTTAAGTGGGTTTAGCCTGTTATTGCTGGGTTGTAGCCCAAGTGGCTAACCACTTACTAACTTGGCCGAACACCTAAGTTGTGCCATCAATCTGGCCTGTTCGAAAACGGAGATTCATGGCAGAATTGGGGCTCCAATCGCTGCGGGTCAGTTTGAGGGTCCAGGCAGAGGCGCCCGGCGCCTCGGTATCGGCGCGAATCGGTCCCGAAGGAGCAGACTGCATCAGGGCGCCTGAGATACCGCCGGGGCCTCACGCCTCGCCGGACGGGGGCCAAGCCACAGCTTGCTTTCGTCAACCCAGAGGCTCCCTTGCGGCTCCGGCTTTCAGGGGGGAGTAACTGTTTTTTTTTTTTTTGGTTGGGTTGGGGGGGGGGGATGACTTGTTTTGCTTTTTTTTTTTTTTTGGGGGGGGGTCGCAAAAGCCAGGCTTCGGCCCTGAATCTGTCGAATAGGAGCCACGTAGAAAGAGTCCGCCGTTTTGGCGCCACTTTGACTCATGGCTCGAGTTCATGAGCTCCCCCAAGCCAGTTGAGGGGATTTGGAACGGTCCCTAAGACCGTGTTCGGTGTTTGGAAAGACGTTTTTTTTTTTTTTTAAAGGAGAAACAAAAACAGGTGCCTTTGTTTGGCCCGCCCAGGAAGTGAGTGTAAAAAGTTTGTTTTTGGAAGAACTGTTCCAGGTTGAACATACCTTCATTCGTCAAGCAAAACGGGGTTTTGTGAATCTTTTGGCTATCCGCAAGATCTGTTCCCGAAAGATCCATAATTTCTTGCATGTGGGTGGCTCATCTTTTTTTGAGGATACCCGTTTGCGGTTGCTTTAAAGGGAAACCAGAACGACAACCACCAGTTTTGCGGGGTCCCATTAAAAAAGACACGCCCATGTTCCTTGCCAAACTAGTAAGTGAAAAACACCACTTGGGTCTTTGTCACCTAACAGGGTTAACCCCCACATTTACGGGGGACATGAGCGGGGCGGGTTCTCTCGCCGAGGTTCGTGTTACAACATCCTCACTTGGCCCACCCCGTCGTATGAACCCACAGGGTATCTCCAAGGAATCGGTCCGCTAAAATGGGTGGGTGTCCTTTGGTTTTTCCAGGTTTTGTGGGTTTTGTGGTTTTGTGGGTTTTGTGGGTGTTTTTGTCGTTTTTTGTGTGGGTTTTTTTTGTGTTTTTTTTTTGTGGGTTTTTGTTGGTTTTTTTTTTTGTGTTTTGTTTTGTGGGTTTTTTGTTGTGTTTTTTGTGTTTTTTTTGTGGGTTTGTTGTGGGTTTTTTTGTGGGTTTTGTGTTTCTTTTTTTTTTGTGGGTTTTGTGGGTTTTGTGGGTTTTGTGGGTTTTGTGGGTTTTGTGGGTTTTGTGTGTTTTGTGTGTTTTGGTGGGTTTTGGTGGGTTTTGGTTGGTTTTGGTGGGTTTTGGTGGGTTTTGGTGGGTTTTGGTGGGTTTTGGTGGGTTTTGGTGGGTTTTGGTGGGTTTTGGTGGGTTTTGGTGGGTTTGGTGGGTTTTGGTGGGTTTTGGTGGGTTTTGGTGGGTTTTGGTGGGTTTTGGTGGGTTTTGGTGGGTTTTGGTGGGTTTTGGTGGGTTTTGGTGGGTTTTGTGGGTTTTGTGGGTTTTGTGGGTTTTGTGGGTTTTGTGGGTTTTGTGGGTTTTGTGGGTTTTGTGGGTTTTGTGGGTTTTGTGGGTTTTGTGGGTTTTGTGGGTTTTGTGGGTTTTGTGGGTTTTGTGGGTGTTGTGGGTGTTGTGGGTGTTGTGGGTGTTGTGGGTGTTGTGGGTGTTGTGGGTGTTGTGGGTGTTGTGGGTGGTGTGGGTGTTGTGGGTGTTGTGGGTGTTGTGGGTTTTGTGGGTTTTGGGGGTTTTGGGGGTTTTGGGGGTTTTGAAGTTTTGGGGGTTTTGGGGGTTTTGGGGGTTTTGGGGGGTGTGGGGGGTGTGGGGGGGGTGTGGGGGGGGGGTGTTCCATCGGAAGTGAGGCGGATGTGTGATCCGTGCCAGAATTTCCAGGCACCAAAGAGGGGAGGTACCCCCTTTGGCATGCCTTGCGACCGAGGTTACCAAGTAAATCGGATTCAACCGGTGTTGTTCCCGTTCCAGGATCGACATATGATCTATTGGGGTGCTCTGGAGATTCAATCGAGGCCAAAAAAGAACACGAACATGGGGTGAGTTCAAAAAACCCCCACTCAAGCTACCCTTGATTGGACATCACCCCATTGGCTACAATGGCCACATTTCCTCCACCTCATTCTTCACCTTTCTGGAGTACCTCCCTCAAGTACCTGAAGATGAGTTATCTCTTTTTGGAACCAAAATGGTTTCTCCTTTCGGCTTCCCAGAAGAAAAACAAACAAGCCAAAGGCTCAACAAGCCCAAAGACCTAGCCCAAAGACCCACTTTTCTTCAGGGTATGTTTGGGCAAACCGGCCACGTGGGTCGACGTCATACCTACTAGAAAACGCCGGGTACTCGGAGGTTACAGGGAACAGGCACTCCCAACTTCTCCACCAACAACTTCCATTTGCTTAAGTTATTATTATTATTAGTTTCCCTTGTTCTTTTTACAATGAATTTATCACTACTGTTGTTTTTTTCCAGTGGACTTAAGCGAATGGAAGACTACAAAAGCCGGGTACTCGGAGGTTACGGGAAACAGACACTCCCAACTTCTCCACCCAGCCGCGCTTCGGAGGCTTGGGGCGTCCAGTCGAGGGCTGGGTCACCGCCAAGTACGTGAGGCGCGGAGAGGAACCCCCTCTGGGCGCCGACTGGGTGCCCTTTGGCGCGCGAAGAAGCGCGCAAGAACGACAGCTTCCTTAGGTGATTTGTTTGTAGTTGGCTTGGTGGTTGGGTTTCCATTTAACCCACAAGTCAAAGCACTTTTACTAGGTCCCCTAGCCTGGTGCCCTGTCTCACCCTTTAGTAGGGGGGAGGGTTCCCCAACTAAAATAGACTACGGAAAGAAGGGTGCCCTTATTTTAACCTCTCTACTGGAGGACCTAGTAGCTTTTAGAGCCTTTTAGTGTTTAGTGGGGGTTTCCGGGAATCTGAGGGCAGCCCAGTTTCCTTTCTGCGAATCACGAGGCTCAACCTGTTTGTTTCCTCCCATGTTGCACAGCAGTTCCATGGAAACACGAAGACTTTCCCAAAGCGAATCGACCGGAACTGGCCTTTTGGTCGCGTTTGAACAACTTGTCAGGTGTTTTGTTTGCTACTGTGTGTTTTCCTCTCCGAAGATACCAATACCCCTTCTTGGATGAGTTTCTCTGGACCCAATGGTTCAGGTCTCTTGAGGCTTACGGCTTAGCAGATACCTCGACCCCCAAGTAGTTTTGTTTGTTCCAGGCACTTTGCTCGCTAGAAGCCAAACGTAGCTGGAAAAAGGGCCTCGCTGGGGATCCAGGTAACGAAGGATGTGGATGTGCAAAAACACACACTCCTCCAGCTCTTTGCGAAAGGCAAACAGGGCTCCTTGAAAGAAATCCATTTCGCAACCATTTGAAACATGTTGCTTTTTCCGTACCAAAGGGACACCACCACCAATTGAAACATGTTGCTTTTTTTTTCCCGTACCAAAATAAAGGGACACCACCACCAATTGAAACATGTACCAAAAGAAAGTGGGACTCCACCATTTACAAGTTGCAATGTTCGATCGGTGTATTTCATGCATCCGGATCGTCAAAAGGGATCTCTCTCAGCTCAAGCCTAAGGCCTCTTCGAAACTCAAGTGCCTCGAGCTTTAAGTGCTGAAAGGGTCGTCGAACTCATGGCGTTGATGGCTAGTTGCGAGTGTCTTTCCGTTTTTTTTTTTGTGCGAAATGGGTGTCATTCATGGTGTGCCCCTGAAAGATGTAGCGCGTATCTTCTCTGTGATCGTGTTACTTGATTTGGTTCAGAAATGCAACTGAGTAACTTGATTCTGGACATTTTGTGAGTGCACCCAATATTCTGCAAGTACGTGTGCAACCTACCTTTGAGGATGTGTTTTGTTTGGGCGGGTAGGGGTAGAAGCAGTCCAGATGCCCGTTGTGGTTTTTCATGGCGTCCAGACAAATATGTTGCTTTTTGTTCCCCTGGTGAGTACCTTCTTTTTTAGTAAAGACATCATAGCCTTGCACAAACGGGTATTTGGAGTAGGGGGAAGCACCTGCTTGGAGGTTGACTTGTTTGACTTGTTATCTGGCTTGCAGAGCATCCGCCGCATCTAGGCTCCACGAATGACTTCAACGTGAAACTTTCCCCTTGAACCCAATACCCACTTTTCTCAGGGTGTTATGTCAACCCCTCACAAACCTTGGTGGCTCCCAGCCGTCCGGTTCCTTAGCTTTTTAGCCTTTTAATGTTTAGTGGTTGTTTCCATTTAACCCACTAAAAGTTAAACTTTTAGCGGGGCATCTGAGGGCAGCCCAGAAACAAAAACATCACTACCATGAAGGCGATGTTTTTTGTGTTTTTGTTGTTTTCTTTCTTCTTTTGTTTTTGTTTCTTCGAACACATTCATCTAAGAAACCAGCTACAGGAAGTCCTACAGGAACCCCCTGATTGTGTTGGGAATTTGGCTACTTTCCTGCATAATTTCCTGTAGCTGGTTTCTATGAATTCAACAAAAAGGCGCTATGATTTTCTAGGTATTAAAACCCTGGAAAACCCCAGGTTTTCCATTTTGACGCCCAAAAAAAGCGCTGGAATTGCGGATTGGATTGCCCCCTGAACAGATTCAACAAAAAGGCGGGCACTTGGAGTAATGGGGGCACTTCATCATTTTCACAGGCGGAAGCGCCGGATGGTCAACTCAGGAAGCACCAAGTTCGAGGACCTTCACAGAACAGTTCGACTCGATTCCCGTGGTGTTTCTGGGATACACACAACCCTCGTAACCTCCAAAGACCTGCGCTTTGTTCAGTTGTTTGCTTGGAAAATCTGGTTTTGTTGGAAAGGGTTGACATGATACGCTTACGCAAGTGGCTAATTATTTGGAGTAGGGGGTATGCACAGTACTCAAGAAGAATTAGGTTACGTGCCGCTGATGTAGGGAATAATAACGGACGCTTGGGTTTTTACACGATCAGGTGGCTGTTTGGGGCACGCCCCTTGCGGCATGTATGTGTCGCCCTTGATGCAAGCGCGCAGTGGGGTCTCTTCAACATCATCCTGTCAGACTGTGGATGGACGAAGTCCACTTCGCAGCAGTTGGGATTGGTGGTTATCAACATAGCTTTTCATCCATCCCAAGTGAAGCGAATTTGTCTCGTCATGGCCCGGAAGCCAGCAAACTAGGGACATCAACAAGAAGTTTAAGCACAAACACATGTTTTGAACAACCCGGTTTCCCATTGGTGAATACCACACCTTTTTGAGTATAGGATTGACATGATACCCCCACCAAAAAAAAAGGCTGGGGTATTTGGAGCCTACGGGGAAACCCGGGCACGCCTTTCAGAGGGAAGCCGGGTGCGGGGGGCTCTTCAGGCAAAAGGGCCCCAAAGAGAAGGGCGAGCCGCCCGTGCGGGGAGCTTGGAGCTCCCAGTGTCTAGCATTCCAAAACACGGCCCCCTTAGCATTTTGTTGCCTTTTCTTTTGTTGCATGGATGTTAGGACTTTAACTTTTTGCAAAATGGGTTTTCCATCAAGGAAACCAAAGTGAGACTTTTAGCAGGGGAGCAGAAAGCAACCGAGTGTTAGCGTTTAGTGGTAGTTTCCATTTTACCCACTAAAAGTTGTCGACTTTTAGCGGGGGACCGGTACGAAATCCATTTCGCACCGCCTAAGAAACCTAGGAATGATGCACAATGGTTTCAATCATGGTTTCCAAGTGGTGCGAAACGGATTTCGTCCATCCCCAGTAGAACCTGCGCAGCAGTCCCTTTGAAAGGAACGTGGTCTTGGGACCCATTTGCAGGTTCTATGTTTTGGGAGGGAAGGCTTTTTAGTTGCCTGGGCGCTATCCAGTTATGAGCCTTTGGGTGATTTTTGTAAGAACAAGCCTGGTTGAAGCCATGGCAAATACCATTTTACTCAAGGGTTCACCTGATATTGTTTCCCCCAAAACGGCTGGGGTATGTGCAGGCGGGGAGTAGCTTGGAGGCCAAGTCTCTTGTGAACACCTTTTCTTGGGAGAAGGGAACCTTAGGAACCCATTTCGAGGGGTCGGTGCTGTTGCTTTTTTATATATATTTTTGCTGTAGCGGGTGTACATGTTTCAGCTCGCTCCAAAGCCGTCGCTTTTTAAGCCCACAAGATGTCAACTCTTCATGTTGCCAGCTCCGAGCTGGGCCTTTCTCCTCACCAACCGCGGGACCAGCAGGATTGTATCGCGAGAGAAGGCGGCTCAAGAGCATCCGAACATTGAGTCAAGGTCTAGCAACCTCGACTTTGGTGCATTTTGCTTGGCTGTTAGGACTTTAACTGTTTGCCAACTAATGGGTTTTCCGAACTAAACCACTAAAAGTTATTCACTTTTAGCAGGGGAGCAGATGTCGCAAGCGAGTCGACCATTTCTCAATGAAGCAGGCAGCGAGACTTGCAGAGAAGGCCTCACCGCAGAGCTGGGCCTGGCGCCATCTACTCGGTGGCTGGTATTGCCCCAAGATTCTTGGCGCTTCCCCGTCCCCTTATCTCAGGGTTGTGGGATCACTCGGGGTTTCTCCCCACTTCTGTGATACAAGGGAATCTCCCTTTATATGAAGAAAATAGTCTTTGGGAAGCCCTTTCTGTTGTATCACAGAAGTGGTCATTCCCCGCAGCCCTGCCTTATCTTGACTGCTGGGTTGGATCTTTAGACTCAGCCCCGTTTTGAGGGCGCAGGTCGATTTAACCATACCGCAGTTTCGACCTGGACTTCCCAACATCGCCGCGGTGGTCCTTTTGGTTTCCCTTGAATCCAGAAAGACTACCCCCGTAACTCCAAGAAACCCAGCGGTGTGTTTCTTCCATTTGCTGAAATGAATATGTTTTTCCCCCTGTTGGTTTTAAAAAGACATTATAAAACTACTGGACATATTTTTCCCAGGGGTCGAAAAGCCAAATGGAAGTTTTGGTCGGTATGATGTCGACCCACTGTTTGAGGGTAAACGATGTCGACAATTGCTTCTACACAATGGATCGCTATGAATCATGGGTTTTCACACCAAACGGGGATTTAAAAAAAAAAAAAAAAAAAAAAAAAATATAAAAAAAAAAAAAAAAAAAAAAAACGGGTACCTGGACCCTCAAACTTCCATCTGTGTTGGGGCAACCCGTTTGGATACTTTGAGGGACTTGAGGGTTTTGGTGTTTGGAGTAAGGAAAATCAGGAGCCTCCGTGGCTCGAAAGACCGAGGCGCGCGGACAATGGAGACTGGAAGCCGTTGGGGGCGCCCAATTTCCGAGCGTTTGGGGGGGCGGTTTTTGGTACCCTTGGACTCACTGGGCGAATCGACTGGGTCTGATGTGTTGGGCTTCCCACTGTTCTTGAGGGTTTTCTTTTACTCAAGGTCCCAAAGAAGGTTATCACTAGTTATCACATTTTGTGAGCATAGGTGTCCTTTTTGGTTGTTTTGGTAGAACCATAGATGGCGATTCCTGGCTTACCTAGTGGTGTCATCATCTACCAGGGCCCATCTATGTCCCCTAAAAGGACGCCTAGGTTTGCGAGTCTTTGTTTCGAGCCAAGGTCCCAAAAAGTCGATCTTTTATGGCCAGGTCCGAGCTGGCGAAGTGAGTTGAGGCCTCTTTTTTTTGGGTTAAGATGGGGGTCACTTCCATTTGCTGAAGAATATGGTATGTTTTCCCTTGTTGGTTTTAAAAGGAATCTATCACTACTGGATTTGTTTTATGTTTTCCAGGGGTCTCAACCAAATGGAAGGTAAGGTAACTCCTTAGGCTAAGGCACCCTTAGGCCTTAGGATCTCGGAGCTTCCGACCGATATGATTTAGTACCGAAGGCTCCAGCCAGCTCCCATCCGCTGACTCAGAGGGAGAAAGAATCGGACCGACCCGGCGATTCAATTGCTCTAGGGGCCAGTTGCAATTTGCGCCTTGAATGCTGCTGCAGAGCTTGTTGCGCAACTTCGCCTGGGGGGGCCTCTATACGTGTCTACGACGTTGGGAGAGCCAACAGTCAATCGGTGCCCCCGTACTCCAAATACGCCAAATACCCCCTTCTGAGAGGGTGATGTTAATCCTTGACAAAAGAGGACCAGGCTCATTACAAAAGTGGGGAATTGGAGTACGGGGCACCCTTTCAAAATGGGTATCCGAGCAATATGGAGTGAACCCACATCGTTGTTTTAGGTATTAGAAACTGCCCAACCCTTTAGTGCAAAGGGAGGTAGTTAACATGGAAACTGGGTTTTCCAAAACTATCTAGAAAAGGTTGGTATTTGGAGTAGGGGGTCTGTATTTTTGCTCCACTTTCTTGTGGAACCCACAAGGAGGGTAGATTCCTTCGAACGAGGGGTTTTCGGGTTCCATGTGAATCGGCAGGTGCAGCGCGCCTGGTCTTTGATGCTTTGGACAGAATTTACTTGTCCATTTAACCTAGAAAAGTTTACCTGGACCTGCCCGGACATGGAATTCGCCAACTACGATTTTGGGGGTCCAGGTACGGTGGATGCCCTACGTATTGCAGAATACCGAGGGAACTCTCTAATTGTTTGTAATTTCCATGGTTTTGTAGGTGGGTGTGCCTGGATCGCCAGTTGCGATCGCTTTTTTCCATGAACTTTACCCCAACAACCAGCAACGGTGACTGAACAAAAACTATCGCAACTTGGCTATCCAGGCAGTTTGAGAAACCTTCCATGAGCTGCCATCCTATTTTCTTGGTAGCTCCCAGCCATCCCCTTAGCTTCTTAGCCTTTTAGTGTTTAGTGGTTGGGTTTCCATTTAACCCACTAAAAGTTAAACTTTTTTGCGGGGGATCCGAGGGCAGCCCAGAAACAAAAGCATCACTACCATGAAGACAACTGTTTTCTTCCGAACACATTCATCTAAGAAACCAGCTACAGGAAGTCCTACAGGAACCCCCTGATTTTGTTGGGAATTTGGCTAGTTTCCTGCAGAATTTCCTGTAGCTGGTTTCTATGAATTCATCAAAAAGGCGCTATGATTTTCTATTTATTAACACCCTGAGAAAACCCCAGGTTTTCCATTGTGACACCAAAAAAAAAGAAGAACAAAAAGAGGAAAACAAATTGCGCTGGACTTGGGGATTGGATTGGTCGGTTTACCAAAGCAACGCAGGACCAAAGCGCTGGCTCAGGCTTGGTGAGACCACCTTCTTCCCGGACAGCACCATGAAAGTGAGCGACAAGACCCCAATGGGCTTGGGACTCCCAGTGACACCTCCATTTTTATTTTTGTTTTAACAAGAACCTGCTGGTATAAAAAAAAATAAAAAAAATAAAACATGAAAATACACCTACTGTTTTGTTTAAGGGAAACCATTTCACTATAGTTTTTTTCTGTTACGTCCCCCTGGTTTTCCACGAATCACTGTTGCTCCCGTGTTTTTGTTGACGGAATTAGGTTCGCTACATGTCGTTTGTCAACATGGTAACGTTTTGGTGATTTGGGGGGGTCTTTCATGGTACCAGTCAGGGGTCTTGCCACGGTCACTGACACAAAGAGTCGTGGGAGCTTGCCTTGGTGCCGTTACAACCAGTTGGTTAAGTTCGGAAACTACCACTAAACACTAAAAGTCTAAAAAGCTAAGGGGATGGCCGGGAGCCACCAAGTCGATTCATAGGGGGGTGTCCATGGGTTTAGAACCAGGGCCGAGCCTCAAAAAAAATGACACGGCCCCGTTTTCTTTTCTTCAGAAAATCGTCCGGTTCCTTAGGCTTTTAGCTTTTTGGTTGGTTTGGCAGGGCTCCTGAACAGATACATGTTGCCCGCTTTTTCCGTACCAAAACAAAGGGGAAACCACCATTGACAAGGCAATGTTCAGGTGTATGTTCAGGCTTTTAGCTTTTTAGTTGGTTTAGGCATGTTGCTCAGTTGTTCAGTGGCACCAATTCTTTTTCATTTTTTCTTTTTTCCTTTTTCGGTGGCGGCCCCACTAAAAATGGTCTTTCCCAAAAAGGGTTCCCTTTTTTCCAGGGTGACTGAACAACTGAGGTTGCATTTAACCCACAAGTTTTCCACTTTTCGCGGATCAGAGGACAGCCCAGGCCTGTCTCTCCGGTTGACAGCAAGGAACAACAAGTGCGAATCTCACTCGAGGTCCATTGGTTCAGACTTTACACCTAGGTTCCCCAGTAGTGCCCTTTTACTCTTTTTTGGGGAGGGTTCCCCTGCTAAAATAGACTACAGAAAAAGGGTACCCTTATTCTAACCTCTCTACTGGAGGACCTAGACACTGTTTGGGCTTGGAACATGGGGGATTGATTTCACTACTGGACATATTTTCTATTTTTGTCCAGGGGGCTTAAGCAAATAGAATCATTTTAGTGGTCTTCACAAAAAGATGGAACTTGTTTGGCCAATCAAGCCGCTCGAAAAGTGAGGTGCCCTTGATCATAGACGGCCTTAGGTTGTGCCACTTCACCAACAGTTTGGTGTTTTTGGGGAGGTGCCCCGTCCAATCCCACGACCAAAGCAAGAGGCTCACGCAACTGAGGCTATCCTGTGGACATCTTCCAAGGGCAAGATGTGGATGTGAGCTTCGGCGTCGGGCCCAGTCAAATTTGTCTTCCATTTGCTTCACAGGTTGTTGTATGTTGTTGGTTTTAACGGGAAACAACCTCACTACTGGACATACTTTCTCTTTTTTCTCCAGGGGGCTTAAGCAAATGGAAGTTGTTGGCCTGTTTTTATTTGTGTTCCTTCAAAGCCAAGCATCAAGTGTTCCGGATGTTTGGGCAGCCTCGTTTTTTCCTTCTTTTTTTTCTCGGACCTATGCCAGTCGAGTTGCTGGCGCAGCCCATAGGGTGGGCGTGGGCCTCGTTACAAAGCAGAGCTTGGGAAGTACTGGTTGGGCCCAACAGTCCTATGATGAGTCCTATGCATGCAAGCCTAAATACTGAAAATGGGTAGTTTGGTGTAGTTTGGGTAGTCCCAAATACAGCTTGGGTAGTAGTCCTATCTACAGCTTGGGTAGTCCCAAATACTTAGAATGGGCTTGCGGGCTAGTTTAAAGTTTGAAACCGAATTGCGTCATGATCATGGGTTCTCATGTGCCTGGACCCTCAACCTACGTGTATCCACAGTATTGAAAGAATTCACCCAACTGAAAAACAGCCCCCCTAGGAGAAGAACCATCATGGTTGATGATGTAAAACGACGGCGGTTGATGAGGTCGATCGGGGTCATTTGAGAGCATTGGGAAAAACGTGACTTTAGGACCCGAAAGAACTACCAATCAAAATGGGACAGCATGCATTTTGGTCCCCTGATTTTGAGACGGGCATAAAGATTGGATTATTTGTGGCAACATCCATTTTTAAGGTAGTTAGAGGGTCCAGGCTGTCTTGAGACTGGTCAACGTTCAGGGAGCTTTTGTGGTTGGATCTCAGGTATGCCCTACACACAATGCCCCTTTTTTCAGGGTATGATGCCGCCCTTGACTAAGAAATGGTTGGTATTTGAGCTGAAGCGTTTTGGTTCAAAGGTGTTTGTGTGTGTGTGTGTGTTTTTTTTTTGCGGGGGTAACATTTGTTGGGCAGCTTGTTAAGCGGCTTTTCGGTTTTCCTTTGGAATCCCTTGAGTGTTGACCCAGGATTAATAAACCCTGTTCCCTCCGAAAATGGTCTGAATCCCCACTAAAAGGGGACACCCTCCTATCAATCAACCAGGAGTTTATTCATCCGGGGTTAACATTACCTGTATTTTTGTGGCTAGTTCTTGGAAAGCCTTGTTTTCCATAGAAAATACCTCCCTTTTCTTGGCGCTTTTCGGCTTTCCTTTGGGTTTCCCCTTGGCAACACAAAACTTGGTGGCTCCCAGCCATCCCCTTAGCTTTTTAGCCTTTTTGTGTTTAGTGGTAGTTTCCATTTAACCCACTAAAAGCTGTCAACTTGTAGCAGGGGATCTGAGGGCAGCCCAGTGAACAGCAACGCAAAACACGGGGCGAACCGGGTACCAGCTGAAAGCCCAACTGGTGAGGCTCTCCGGCGGCCATGTACCGCGACCGGGCGCGGGTCTTTGAGCGCTGGAGAAGTGAAGCGCTGGGATCTGGCTCACGAAACCCGAAAAACGGCGACCTGAGAAACGTCCATTTGCTTAAGAATATGAATTTATCTTCCCCTGTTGGTTTTGAAGGGAACCGATTGCACTGCTGGACATTTGTTTTTTCCAGGGGTCTCAAGGAAATAGACCCTTAAGCTACCCCCCTACTCAAAATACACACACGTTTTTTTCAGTTGGTATATTTTTGTGGCAACCTGGGTTTCCACAGTAGATATCTCCTTTTTAGTAGAGGGCCGACATCATACCCTGAAAAAAGTGGGTATTGGGTGTAGGGCGTACACGGCTGAAAAGAGGTTGTGATGGGACCTGGACAGTGAACCCTTTTTCACGCCCCGCACCCTTCGGCAAAGCACTAGTTTTGAAGTCAGTTCCATGTGAGCCACAATCAAAACCGATGCGGGTAGATGAAGGTTCGTAAGGGACAATCCCAACCATACACAGCTGCGGGTATCCACCTTCTTAATTCTTGAAGCATGGTTCTGGGTAGACCATTTTAATACCGAGTTTGATTCTGACTCACCTGAGAAATGGACCATCAAGCTCCCTGCAAGAAAAGCACGGTGTTCCCCCCATGTTAGGATAATTCAGACTAGCCGCAAAAGTATGGGGTTATATCATGCTAGGATAACCATTTTGCAAGGGTACTCCCCTACTCCAACCACAGCGACTTTAGAGCCTCCGGCTCAGTCCGCCGACATTGACCTCTTCTTCTCTTCCTGTTTCTGCGCTGCTCTTCTCTTATCTTCTCTTATCTTCCCTTCTTTTGGCTTCTTTTGTAATCGGACGAACATCTCCAAGCGGTGACGATTTCCTGAAAGAACACAATGCCGTATCAAGAGGCAAGAGGGTAGGGCATGTGAGCGCTCATGTGGACAACCCAGTGCCCTTGCGACGCCTAGAAGCTTTCGGGTCCTTGAAACCTGGCTGAATCCTGGAAGGTCGAAAGTACATCCTTGTTTCCCCGTCATTCCCCTCCACATCTGGGGATGTGCTGTTTGCCTTACATCTCAGCTTCCCTTTGTCTCTGAGTCGTGTCCCCGAGACTTCTTCTCATGTCCCTTGCAATTTCCACCAGAAAAAGTGGGCTGCGGCAAGGCGGTCTTCGGGCCCTGTGGCGGGCCCTGTGGAAGGCTTCTTGCAGTTTGACGGCGAGAGTGGCAGCGGTCAGGCACCATGGAGTGGCAGCAAGGTCGGAAGTGCAAGAAGTGGCTCAAGACCCACCGGTTCGCTGGACCAGCATATGTGGGCAAAGCGTGAGGAGGACACAAAGATGACGACCGGCGCGAAGCCGAAACAAAGCCCGCGAAGAAGAAGGTTGAGCCTAAGTCCCCCTCCTAGTCATACTATGATGACGAGACAATTGGGAGGAAATTAGGGGGGGGGGAAAATGGTGGGAAATTAAGGGGAAATTTCGGGGAAATTGTGGGGATGGGGGGGGGGGGCCTTGAGGGGAAATTTGGCGAAATTTGTGGAAATTGGGGGGAAATCACCCACGCACCCACCCACCCACCCACTCCGGGTTGCTGACAAAGGGGTTCCCAAAAGGTCCACCTCCATTTGCTTAAGTCCTCAAAATATCTCCAGTAGTGATGCATTCCCTTAAATCCCAGGAGGGAAAACAATGGAAACCCAAAATTATGGTCATGGTGCCTCCTACTCCAAATACCACCTTTTTTCGGGTATCATGTCAACCCTCTACTAAAAAGCAGGTATTTATCACGGAAACCCCAGGTTTTCCCAAAAATGCCATGAAAAAAAGCGTGAGTATTTTGAGTAGGGGTTGAATTCCCAACGGTTCTTTCTGTGCAGTTCCTTCTTTTCTTGGTCCATGACAACAACGAGCGAATCAGCTGAGACCCCCTGCTGCGAAGGCTCATGCTCCGCCATCCTCGGAGTAAGAAATTGATTTCCCTCCTAAGCAATTCGGAAGTTGAGGGTCAAACGGAAACAATTAAACCACCTAAGCAGGGTGCTGAATAAGGGGGTCTGGCGTCCCTTTCCCAGAGGCTCCATTTCGATTGATCTTAGGCCCTACAACCTGGTTTTGAGACCGGGTCACCACCGATTCCCGTTTTGTCTAATGCTTCGGGGTCGGGGCAGCCATCCGAAGCCGATCGGAGCCGGGGAAGGAACGTGCCCCCGACAACGCCCACTTCTTCGTTTTCAGGGTGCTGCTTGCCCTCTACACCCAATACCAACTGTTTTCAGGGTATGATGTCGACCCTCTACTAAAAAAGTGATCGGTATTTGCCTTGGAAAACCTTTCTCGGTGTTCCCGAAAAACACCAACTGAAAAAAGCGTTGGTGTTTGGAGTAGGGGGTGGTTGGTGGACATAAATTCCTAACTGACTGGGGGTCCTTTGTAAGCTTCACACCCAATCATAGAAAACGCCTCACGCGGAATGATTTTTCCTTCAGGTGGAGATGGCTATGTGGGTGGCGCGCAGGGCTCGGGCCTCGGCCCAAAAAGACAACTCGATCCATGGGCAGAGATTGAGACCTGAACCCTCAAAATTCCCTTAAAAATTGGTTTAACCCACAAAGTTATGGGGTGATATGCCATTTTTATGAGGTAGTTTGAGGGTCCAGGGAGATAGGTCCGCACTTCCTGAGTTTATGGGCTTGAGGTCCGCAAAACTTGTTTTTACGTCTTCGGGACTTGGAGAATCGAGCTTAGCTTTTGCTTCCTACCAAAAAAGCGGCTCCAGCTTTGGAGAACCTCTTTTTGGGACCTCCCTTTGAGTTGGGATTCCTCACTGCTGCAGGGATGCTGGAGGGAAACCTCTCTACTAAAGAACCTGTTTGTTAATCTGAAATCAACGTCACTTGGTTGACTTATAACCATGGTTGTAACCTAGCTGCTAAGGTTGAAAATTGGGGGACCCCAAATTGTCAGTTTTCCTTTTAGTTTTCCTTTAAAACCAACCAAACGGGGCACCAAAGGAACACAGGGCCCAACCAAACCAATGGCCGGCGTCTCATCCCGCTTTTCCTTTTGACACCAAGAGGGTACGAATCCTTCCTCGGCTGCGACAAGTCGCAACCAGCATGTGTTTCAAGCCCTAATATAATTGTTCAAGCCCTATAGTATACGTTTTCAAGCCCTAGTATGCTTCGCCAAGCCCTAGTATACTTTACGTCTTAACCTTCTTGAGCAAACATCACCGCCGGAGATTCGCTCCTTGGGCGAAAAACATTGGTGGGGCCCGCTTTTTGGTTGGGTTTTAAAATGGAACCAATAAGAACACCACTATGTTGGTGGGTCCCCGCACACACACACACACCCCCAACATTTTCCGATCAACATCATGTCGGACCCTGGAAGAAACCAGGGGCTAAACCCCTTAGAAACCAAGAGCTGTCAACGTGTGTGTGCCACGTCTTTTTTGGGGCATGATGTCGACCCTCTACTCAAAGAGGATGTATTTTCTCCGGAAAACAAGGCTTTCCAAAAACTACCCACAAAAAGAAGGGTATTCGGTGCAAGGGGCGTGTCAGTGATTCCAGTTCCCAATTCGGGCTTGCCATCGCAAACCAAGGGCAAAATGGCGAAGGCTTCCACTTGAGGGTCCAGGTGTGGCGGCGGGCTCCCGAAAAAAGAAAGCACGATCAGACACATGTGCTATAGGTGAATTCCATGTTTTTGTTTAATGCCCGGACGCTCCCGATTCATTTTGGGCCTTCAAACAACCTGGTTTTGAGACCTCCGGAGTGTCTAATGGAGGGGTCGGGTCTTCCATTGGAAGCCGAAGCCAGGAGCCTCTGGATGGGAACAAAACTCATGTGCTTGGATTTTTGGCAGCTGGATCTGGCAAAACCTTTAAGCATCCAGGTCCCACAGTATTGCCCGTTTACACTTTTTTTGGGGAGGGTGCCTCTACTAAAATAGACTACAGAAAAAAAGGGTACCCTTATTCTAGAGGACGTAGGCATGCTGCTGAGCCATGAGCCACGGGTCGAAGGCTTTGCCCTCTCGAGCGGTCGCGTGGCTAGGTTGGCAGCTACAAAGATTCCTTGGGTGAGGAGGTGAACGCCATGCTGCCGCTCGACAAAAAAACAAAACGGGCTCAATGAAGCACCCCTTCCGTTTGGTGAAATGAACATTTGTTTATTTTCCTTTGTTGGTTTTAAAGGGAATCCATCACTACTGGAAAAGAGTTTTTTTCCCAGACAACTTAAGCAAATGGAGGACCCCGAAAGCTCCAAAGATCCTGTTTTTGGAAAGGGTCTGATGTCGGCTCTTTCTTGGTTAGGGGTACCTGCCCTAGACGGGTTCTTTACGGTTTTTCTGGTGGCTTCCACTGGACGAGGACTTCATTTTGGTAACCCCGGATAAAGCAGAACCCCTGGTTGAGGTTGATCGGGGGGTGTCCCCTTTTAGTGGTTGGATTCAGACCACTTTTGGAGGGAACACCCCCCTAATAGTGGGACGGGCCATGTTCCAAATACCTATACCCACACCCAATACCCGGCCTTTCTTTTTTCAGTTGGTCTCATGTCGACCCTCCACTAAAAAGGGATCGGTTTTCGCCTTGGAAAACCTTTTTCGGCTTTCCCAAAAATACCAACTGAAAAAAGCGGGTATTTGGGGTAGGGGGTATAGGTATAGGCCTTATGGGCGGTTTTTTGGGTATGTACCCTGTTACACCCATGTATTAACACATATTTTTTGGGGGGTACCTTTGGCGCAGCCAGTGAACGTCCTAAGTATTGCAAGGAAACGTACCCTACACTGCAAAACCTTGGTAAATCGCGGTAGGATTCCCTTCCAATTCTGACCAACCCGATGTTGTTTCCAGTGTTTTCAGGTTTGACACACCCCGCCCAAGTGGGCTGCCTTGAAACCAACCTCAAACGTGTACCTGGACCCTCAATTTCAAGTACAAATGGTTGATGTTGCCCCAAATCATGGTGAGAGGCCCAGTTGTTGGGTGTCAGGTGTGTCTTAATTCGTGAAACAAGAAGGTCTTGGTTTCCTTTCGGTTCTCCTTTCCAAACCACTGCAAAAGAAAGCACCGATTCAAGACCAAGACGAAAATCCTTCCTCCGGCAATCCGGTTCCAGCTTTCAATGGAAGACCAACGACCGGAGGTGGTTGGGGGTCTCAAACCAGGTTGTAAGGCCCAAGATCAATCGAAATGGAGCCTCTGGGAAAGGGACACCAAGCGATGGCGAATCTTTCAATGTTTCCAGACCCCCTTATTCAGCACCCTGCTTAGGTGAATTGCTTCCGTTTGACCCTCAGCTTCCGAATTGCTTGGGAGGGAAATCAACTTCTCACTCCGAGGATGGCGGAGAATGAGCCTTCGCAGCAGGGGGTCTCAGCTGATTCCGGAGATCTGTTGTTGTCATGGACCAAAAGAAGGAGCTGCACAGAAAGAACCGTTGGGAATTCACCCCCGACTCAAAATACCCAGGCCTTTTTTTCATGGCATTTTTGGGGAAACCTGGGTTTCCATGGTAAGTACCTGCTTTTTTTTAGTAGAGGGTCGACATGATACCCCGAAAAAAGAGGGTATTTGGAGTAGAAGGCACCTTGACCATAATTTTGGGATTCCATTGTTTTCCCTCCTGGGATTTAAGGGAATGTATCACCACCGGAGATATTTTGAGGACTTAAGCAAATGGAGGTGGACCTTTTGGGAACCCCTTTGTCAAAAAGAAAAGAAAAGAAAGGAGAGCAACCCAGAGGGTGTCTGGTGAAGTCTAACCCCTACTCACCTCTTTTTTGAGGGTATTTGTGGCAAGAAAACTGGCTTTTCACGGCACATACCTCCTTTTCTAGGCACGGGTCGACATCATTTAAGATCAAACCTGTACAAACCTGTCGGTTTTTTGTAGATGCTGTTGGCGTCTCATGACCGCACGCTCAAAGAAATTGGGAATGGTTGTTCAGACCTTGACTCTCCAACTCTCCAAGCATCTGTTTTGCCAACTAAACTTATCATGGTTGTCGTTAGGACACATTTTACATGTTTGCTTATTGTGGTTTAGGGAAATCCCCTCTTAACTGCTAAAATCTAATGTTTTGCTCCCCTTCCAACGTCAACCAAATTATGGTTGGCTACTTTTAAGTGTAGACACACGGGTCCAGGTGCTTTGTCTAACCTGTTCTTCTCTTACTGCTCCTTTGGGTTTGACCTTTCGGCTCCTTTCCTTCATAAGACAGGCCCCTAGACTGATCCGTTTTCGATGCTTGCCAGCCCCTTGCCCTGCCTTGAAAGACCCGGGCGGAAATTCGGCGCCATGCAAGTGCATGTGCACTTGGCGAGTGGGAAGAGATGCTCCGTGGAACTCTCTTCGCCTGAGTCGAGCATTCGTGGGCTGAAGGCTGAGGCGCAACATAGGCTCAAGCGCCGCTGTTTGAGACTTGCGTTCGGGGGTCAACAGCTAGATCCCTCATCTACGCTGAATGAGGTGGGCGTGCGAGATGGAGATGACATTGCCGCAATCGTGCCGGATTTCAAGCTAGCTTCCACATCAGGAGCATTCGCCGCTCTTGTAGGAGGTGCCGTACTTACGTGGGGTGATGCGACCCGAGGCGGTGACAGCAGCCAGGTGCGAGAGCAGTTGGTGCAGGTCCAGCAGATTCAAGCAACTCGGACTGCTTTTGCAGCCATCCTAGCCGACGGCTCTGTGGTGACTTGGGGCAATTCTATGCTGGGCGGTGACAGCAGCCAGGTACGAGAGCAGTTGGTGCGGGTCCAGCAGATCCAAGCAACAGAGTGTGCTTTTGCTGCCATCCTGGACGATGGTTCTGTGGTAGCTTGGGGCGCTCCTCATTCCGGCGGTGACAGCAGCCAGGTGCGAGAGCAGTTGGCGCGGGTCCAGCAGATCCAGGCAACTGAGGGTGCTTTTGCTGCCATTCTGGATGACGGCTCGGTGGTCACTTGGGGCCATCCTGCCTGTGGCGGAGACAGTCGCCAGGTGCGAGAGCAGTTGGTGCAGGTCCAGCAGATTCAAGCAACTCGGACTGCTTTTGCAGCCATTCTAGCCGACGGCTCTGTGGTGACTTGGGGACATGCTGGCGGTGATAGTAGAAATGTGCAAGAGCAGTTGGTGCGTGTCCAGCAGATCCAAGCAACTCAGACTGCTTTTGCAGCCATTCTAGCCGACGGCTCTGTGGTGACTTGGGGCAATTCTATGCTGGGCGGTGACAGCAGCCAGGTGCGAGAGCAGTTGGTGCGGGTCCGGCAGATCCAAGCAACTTGGGGTGCTTTTGCTGCCATCCTGGACGACGCCTCTGTAGTCACTTGGGGCCATGCTTTGTGGGGCGGTGACAGCAGCCAGGTGCGAGAGCAGTTGGTGCGGGTCCAGCAGATCCAAGCAACAGAGTGTGCTTTTGCTGCCATCCTGGACGACGGCTCTGTGGTGGCTTGGGGCGACAGTAGAGCTGGCGGTGACAGCAGCCAGGTGCGACACCAGTTGGTGCGGGCCCAGCAGATCCAAGCAAGTAGGCGTGCGTTTGCAGCCATTCTGGACAATGGCGTTGTTGTCACTTGGGGTGGTTCTATGTGGGGCGGTGACAGCAGCCAGTTGCAAGAGCAGTTGCGGGTCCAGCATATCCAAGCAACATGGGCAGGTGCTTTTGCAGCGATTCAGCGCAATGGCTCTGTGGAGACTTGGGGCGATCCTGACTTCGGCGGTGACAGTAGCGGCATTCAGACTCAATTTGACTGGTTGTGAGATGGATTCTGTCGTGCGGCTGCGGCAGATGGCCGTTACTTGTTTTGGCCCATCCACCCCCAGTACCCCTTTTTTGGAGGCAACCGGGTTTCCCACAAGGAAAACTCACCATTTTGGGGTCTGAAAAAAGACGAGCCACCCATTTCACCGAGATGGGCTACGCGTTTATTAATCAAGCTCCCCAAGCGCCCGCCTTGATGGAGCAAAAACCCTAAACCCGAAGCCGCACACCATGGGAAACAAGGGCACCCTTTTTTGTGGCACTCGACTTTCAAGGTGCTTCCCCTAACCAAACGGCTGAAGAGAAATGCCAACCCGCCGGCTGCCTGGGACATCTTCTGGTGTCCAAATCCCGATTCGAAATCTAAGTTTCCAGAGACAAAGGCCAAACCCCAAATTCTTCGCACATCCGCTAAAGGGAAGCTCGCCTAAATTGGTCCAACAAAGTACTGTTTGAACTTGCCAACCCCCTATTACAAATACAAAAAAAGGCATGATGTGTAGCGTTTACCAAGCACGTTGTATTTACCATGGAAAACCCGGTTTTTCAAAAACAACCCTAAAACCGGGTTGTTGGAGCAGAGGATTCTATGCTAGAATCCCCAGTCCTAAGTCCTAGAGTGTTCCAAGGGGCCCTGTTTTAGGTTGGTTTGTGTTGGACGCCAGAAAGAAGTCCGCCCATGTACAGCGTCCAACCCCCTAGTTTACCGCATACTGATATGAACCTGGACCCCCAAACGAGCACAAACTTCCGCTCGAGGGAAATCGTGCCCGCTTCTCCCAAAAGCGCTGGTTGGGCAACATGCGCTGGAGGCCAAATATTTGCTCTAGTGAGCGCCCTTGCTTGCGCATCATTGAGGCGCCAAGCCGGTGTGTACTTGCAGGCACAGGTGTTCATTGCTTCTTGTCTCGGATCGTGCCAACATGCCATCATGCGCAACGTACGTCTGAACATTGTCGTGATTGCATCCTACCTGTGCCTGGCGTACCAACGTGAACCCATAAATGAAGTACGTGCCCAGTGCGTCACAACAGCAGGTTTGCTTTGGGGTTGCCGTTGGATGAGTCTTGTTCTTACCCAGCATGCGAATTTACTTGTGGAATCATATGTTGTATACATCTCACACTCTGCGTCTTTAACAAGTGCCCACAGATAAAGTAGGGCGACACGTTCGGCACTCTGTCTCAAAGAAATTAGCGACAGGAGATTTGGCCACTAATCTTAATATAGGGAACCGCCTCATAAGAGGTTGGTGGACATGAAACCCCGCGTAAATCATGACATTTTGGACGAACAAACACACCAATTAGTCACCAGGGGTTTGGACGAGTTTCCTTTAGGATTTCCTCTGTGTTCAAAGCACCTCTGAAACATGTGCATTGCCCCGCGCATTGAAACCCGCTCGTTTGAGTGCCAAATGATTCCAAGCATCATTTCCCCCATGGTGTTGGAGGCAATTTGCTTTGAATGTCCCCAGCAGCTGCCTGAACCCGAAAACCACCCACGCATTTGGGGCATAGCCCTGGGTTTTTTGGCGGGGTGAGTCACCCATTTGTTTAAGGGTAGGTCCAGAGCCACAACCAAATCCCGGGTAGAAGGTTAATCCCAACCATAGATTGGTGCCTTTGCCGCCTTTTCAATGCCTATGGTTCTGGGTCCCGACCATTTTTTCATACCCCGGTCTTGGATTGTGACTCTCTTTTTTCTCCCCTTTTTTTCTTTTCTTTCCGGGGGGGGGGGGGAAGGGGGGGGGGTTGGACAAGGTTTTTCCACCCTTTTTTTGAGGGGGCGGGGGGGGGGGCAGGGAAGTGAAGGGAGTGGGTTCCGCCTCCTGAGCCCTGAGGCCGCGGCGGTGGGGGGCCAAGTTCGCCTGACGCGCCCAAGACCCACTCGCTTCCATGTGCTTAGCATGTCCTATTGCCCTTTGTTGGTTTTAAAGGGAATCGATGCCACTGCTGGAACTAGGTGTTGCTTTTTCCAGCAAACCTTGAGCAAATGGCTTGTTTTTTTAGGGTATCATGTCAGCCCTTTGCGACAAAAAACAAAAAACAACGGCAAACGCATGGAGACACAGGTTTTGACAAAGCACATACCCGGAATATGAAAAACAACATGGTATTTGGAGTAGGGGGGAACCTTAAAACCGCCAATCTTGGAGGGTCCCCCAAAAGCGACACACCCATTTCATAGTTTTGAAGGGACAAGTTAAAGGAAAACCACCCGCCAGTCACACAAAACGCCCATCACAAAGGTGTTCCCCCTGAATTATGGTGTGATTCTTGTTTGATTGGAGGAGATGTGTCTTTGAAGGTTTTTAGGGCCTTTTTTTGCTGTACGCTGTACGCCCTCTTGAGAGAGGAACTGAGTCAAGAGATCCGAGGGTAACCCTCCGGTGTCCAGAGGCGGAGTTGACATTCTTCCGAGAACGGAAGAAACCGCCACGGGCGCATGAGTTAAGTGGGGAGGGCCAGACAAACCCGGCAAGAGGAGTGCCCAACCACAAGGCCATGGGTAAAACCAGGGGTTTCCGAGCCATCTCTTTGCTGCGTAATTGGCCCTTGTTGGTTTTGAGGGAGCCAATTCCAGGATTTCCTCACCATTTCTCGATCGTTTCGATGGAGCATAGGACAGCGGCTAGAGATTTGCCTGCAATCAAAACCGATCCGGGTCCCGGTTCGTGAAGGTAATTGACACTCCCTTGCGCTCAAACGCTGATGGCCTCCTTGAGAATTAAGCCGCAAAAAAAAGAAAGAGAAAAAGCCATGGGTTTTTCGGGCCTCCAAGTTTTGAGTGCTGGTGCCTATACCTCACTGTTCTTGGATCATGTTTTTTTTTGTCCCCCCCGTTTTTTTGTTTTTTTGGTTCTGTTCATTTTCACTGGGGGTCTGCAAAAAAACAAGTTTTTACATACCAAGAGCAGAGATGTTAAGGGGGGGGTCCCTGTTTGGGGAATCCTTTCCACGCTGGAACAAGTGGGTTGCACAAATCGGGGGTCGACAACTTCTCCAGCCTCGACTCGGGATTCACATCCTGTCCGCTGCCTGTCTGCCTGTGTACCCTAAAATGAGCCTTCCATTTGCTCAAGCCTTTGGTTGAACATTTTCCTGTTGGTGCTCAAGGGAATGGATTTCAAAGCTGGACATAGTATATATATACATATTATATATATATATATATACATATATATATATATATTACATATATGGTTGTGTTTCCTCTTGGGGGGTTCTGTGCATTTGTGGTATGGGGGGCTGCAACAAACACATTTATTCCTAATATAGCAAGGGTTGGAAAGCGCAGAAATGATGTTCGACCACTTGGGTTGTTCCGGTCAACCCCAAGAGTAACAATAATCATGGTGACACTGCAACCTCTTTGCTGTTATGTTGATGCACGCTCACACGCACACCTAGTGCAACTATTGCAAACTTGTGAGAATAGCTTGCGCTAGACGCAAGGCTACATGACGCAAACTGGCCACATATGGGTTTGGGTCAAACTTAAACCACCAGGGGACTTCGGGGTTTAGTCCATTTTCCATTTGCCAGGGCAGCCCCTTTGGGGTACCTATTGTCTGACCCACAGCCATATAACCATCCGCACATTCTACACCACCTCTGCGGAGCTGGAGCAATTGAGTGCAGTGAAAAGCCGGGGCAGCCAGGAGCAGGCGCTTCTGTCAAAGTTTTTCTCCGACCGTCACGTCGCACTACCACGGGGACTTCACGTGCAGGTCCATCAATTGGCATTGGCACATTTGGATGCTGCAAGATGGGTGTGTCCGCGCACCAGGCGATGCGGTATTAGCGGGATGGTGCATCGCTGGATCACAGATGCTTGGGGGAGGGGTTTGGGGGGGAGGGGAGGGGGAGACCAAAGATGACTGCCATTGGGTTGGATCTTTAGACTTCATGGTTGAAATGAAGTTGGGTTTTCCACTAACCCCCCAAGCAGTGATTCGCTTCTTGCAGAGGGCTCGTTACAGCAGCCAATTGGGTTGTGGGTCAAAAATTACCCAGATGGAACCCTGGTAAATGGGCCCAAGGACCAGTTCCCGTGGTCCCCTGGTGGTTTAATTCTTGCCCCATACTCATGTGGGCACACTGCAACATCTGCGGAGTCCGAGGTATCGGCCCCAGGTTTTATACATCGCCGGGGTGGAAGGCGCAAGCCGGTGGATCTTTTCGGCGGCGAGCTTGGGACTTCCTTTTGGAGCTCCCACTTGTTTTGGGGAGTGTTTTCAATTGGTGCATTTTGCTTGGCTGTCAGGACTTTACTTTTTGATCCAACCCACGGGTTTTCCGAACTAAACCGCTCAAAGTGAAGAACTTTTAGCAGGGCTTCGCAGATTTCGCCGAGCTTTCATTGGGGTGGCGTGTTTTCTTTGGGGGGAGTTTTGTGTTGTTTTGACCCCAGTTCTTCCGGTTCTTCTTTTGGTCTACCTGACATATTTCTTGACGAAATGTGGAAGACAGGGTGGGAGAAAAACACATGTTCCTTATGTACCCCGGATGTGCTTTGTAAGTAGATAACCAAGGTTTCTTTCCATACCAAGGTTTCATACCCGACTCACACCCAAGACCACTTGAGGTTTCATGCCTTCACACCCAAGACCCACTTTTTGCAGGGTATGATAGGATATGATGTTAACCCTTGACTAAACAAGGAGGCATTTACCTGGAACACCACATGTTCACAAAATAAAAATAACAAAAGAGGGTATTTGGAGTCGGGGGTAGGTCTTGCATGATGGTTTCCTCTGGTTACCTGCGCAATCTGAAAACATGGGGGTTCATGTGGCTTGGGTGCATTTTGCTTGGCTGTTAGGACTTTAACTTTTTGATCCAACTAATGGGTTTTCCGAACTAACCCACTAAAAGTTATTCACTTTTAGCAGGGCAGCAGATTTCGCAACCGAGGTGGGTATGTGTCCAAAGAGGGGAGCCCGCCCACCGAAAACGCTTGGTGTCCTTTCCGTGCCCCTTTCCGGCCCCCAACATCCAAGCGCATGAATCATGGACTTCCCCCGTTAGCCTAGCCCTGCATAAGGTGAGTGGAGAAGCCAAGCCCCGTAACCTCCAGATACCTGTTGTTTTTTCTAGGCTATTTCTGGACAAACCTGGGTTTCCATGGTCAATACCGATCCCTTTTTTAGTAGAGCCGACATACCAACTGAAAAAAGAAATGCCGGGTATTGGGTGTAGGGGGAAGTTGATCAGCCCAGAGGGCTTAAAATGAGTGGCAAGAGAACACAAGTGGAATCTACTTGCTTTGGAATGCAGGCTGCGAGAAAAACACTTGTTAAAGCTTGGCTTAAACAAATAGTGTTTGAAGAGCAGCTCCTTTTTGGTTGACCTTGAAGGGAACTAGGGGTTGGATTTGAAAAACATGCTCGACTATTCTAGAATTGGGTTCCCCCTGCTCCAAATACCCACTGGTTGCCTGACTATATAAACCACCATCACCCCCGCCCCGCCCCCGGCTGTTGCAGTGATCTGCCCGGACCCTCTACTCAACACCTTCCTTCATGTGTTTCCAGACTCTTTAGCTACCCAGAGGCTCCCGATTGATTTAGGGCCTTCAAACAACCTGGTTTTGAGACCCCCAACCACCAATTCCCGGGGTGTCTAATGCTTCGGGGTCGGGTCTTCCATCGGAAGCCGAAGCCAGGAGCCTCTGGGTAGAACGTTTTAAACGGCTAACCGCCGTTCATGTGGATCTTACATTTGCATTTTGGGGGAGGAAGTCGGTGTTCTCGCCAATCAACAACAAATTGAGCCTTTGGCACAGGAGGCCGAACCGTGCCACCAGGAACGGAAGTAGTGGTTTCAATATCCAGACATGTGTTTAGTTGGACATGTTAATCATAATTTAGGGGTAGTTTGTTCGCGTCCCCGGAGAAGCATTCCAGGCCTATTCCAGTGTCTTCCCTTTCAAGACGAGCGATGGACCTTCCTCCTGAATCTGTCCTTCCGCAGATTCCCATGTCGGCCCCTCCGGGGTGCCATCAGAAGCATGGGGAGACAAACCTGGTCCTCACTTCCTGAGTTTGCGAACTTTAAAAGCTTTTTGGGAAGACCATTTTGGTAAATATAAATAGTTTGGACTTTTCTTTTTTGGCCATCCACTCAGCAAGTGAGAGACCTACATTCTGCTAGACTCGCCCACTCACTCAAAGCCAGAGCGAGGTGAGCCATGGGAGCCAAGGTCACACCATTCTGTTCTTGAAGCGGCGTTGTGTTTTCCTTCTTTTTTAAACATATGTTTGTGTTCTTCTTAAAAAAAGCTCTTCTGTTTTTTTCTTTTATTTTTCTTCTTTTTTTTGTCTGGGAGGGACTGGTCTGAGTCAATGGACGATCGCTGAAGATCTCTTGCCCAGAAACTTGGAAGCCTTTAATGTTGGCCCCGGATTAATGAACCCCTGTTTAAGCCCTGTTTATTAATATGGGGGTGGTTTTGACCCCTCCAAAAGTAGTCTGAATCCCCACTAAAACCGGGGAACAGCACCCCCCATACTAATATACAGGGGTTCATGAATGCGGGGTCGACAATAATCATGGGAGCTTTACCTTCTGCCAGCACTTCTGCCGTGGCCGGACTCCAAAAATCCGGGCGGTTGTCAAAATTGGGGCCTCCCCCTTTTTTCAGGCACGTAGAATACGGCGCCACATCTTCTCTTTGAAGGAACCGATATTTTTCACACCCAGAGGTTGACAAATGATACCCCTAAAACAGGCTGGTTGGTGGCTTGGGAGACTCCAAAAATGGTTTTCGGGTTTCCTGTTGGGGGACCAACTCCAAAGACCTCAGACCCATTCAAACAGAGCGTACGGGTATTTGTGCATTTTTGTTTTACTTAGGGAGCATCATTTTAGGTGGACATCATTTATTTAGGGGGTTCACCAGCCATGAAACAATTCAAACATTAAGGGGCATCATTCAGGTGGACATCATCATTTCTTTTGGATCTTTGTGTCCACCAACCACTGGATTTGTGTCCCGTGTCGCCACCTTTCCGGGGGCTTCCAACCATACAAAGTCATCGGCATTACTTCCATGTGCTTAAGAGCCACAAAACAAAACATGCCTAAGACTTTTGTTATATATATATATATATATATATATATTGTTTTTCAACAAATACTCTGGTTTCAAAGGGGAATCTCTCAGAATCCACCACCGCGTTTTTTTTTGTTCTTCTTCGGGGGCTTCGGCCAGTGGAAGCCGAGCTGGTTCGGGTCGCAGGCACCGGGCACCACGGCGCGGGGGCGCCCCAGGTCGGGTCCCGTGACTCAAGCGGCGGCATCGTGGCGCCGGAAGTCGGCGCGAGGTGGGAGGAGTTTCTGGGGATGTTGCGCCCTGTTCGATTCATGAATGTTTCTTTTTTTTTTTACCAACAAGGGAAGGTAAGAGTCATGATTACATTTTTATTTATTTTTAAACCAACAAGGGAAGGTAAGAGTCAGGACGCCAAGGGAGGTATTTTGGAAGGGTTGACATGGTTCTAGTTCTTCTTATGGCGGACGCTAGTTCCATGCGGTGCGCTGACCATTCCCTAAGTGGGAGGGGTGAATTTTGCCCACGCACTTTTGGGGCATCAGGTCAAAACCAACCCTTTACCAGGGATCTAGGGGTTGATTTTCCTTTTCCATTCTGTTCCACCAATGGTTCTTTCCAAAAACTCGCATTTATTTTTTTCTGGGGTTTCCGGAGGTTTTAATTTCGAAAGATGCGGATCCCTGGAAAGAATGGAATTGGAAGGTAGCCCTAGAGTGGTTGAGGAACTTGGTTTGGGAGGTCCCGAAGAATGGACACCTTCCATTTGGTGAAATGAATATGTTTGAATTTGTCCCCTGACTTTAAAGGGAATTTATTGCTACTGGACATATGTTGTTGTTATTTTTTCCAGGGGACTTAAGCAAATGTCGCGGCAACTAAATCGGGGATGGCTTATAGCAATTCCATTTCTTATTCCTTGCTGAGCAGCAAGTAAGACCTGCTGAGAAAGCCTTTCTTCTTTAGTGGTTCGGAGTAGACAGCCCTGGCGGGTTGCTTCCCTTTGTCTTATTTTTTATTTGGGTGGGCCCTTGCAAAACAGCTGCCGAAGAACGGGGTGTCTTTTTTCCCGTGGCTAATTCGGCTGACAACATGAAGGCCTGTGAGGCCAGAAATAGGAGGGACCATGCTTGGGAGTGGTTCCAAACTAGACCTGGGGCAACTTGTCTGCGGTCGAAACAGTCTCTGGATTGGCGGGATAGTTTGAAGGTGTTGGAGGTGAAACAATCCCACTGGAAATAAGGTCAGCATACCCCCTACTCAAAATACCGGCTTTTTTTCAGGGTAGTTTTGGGAAACCCGATGGTACACACCTCCTTTGTTGGTAGAGGGTCGACATGATACCCTGGAAAAAGGCCGGGTATTTGGAGTAAGGGGTAAGCCCAGTGCTTCCAGACAAAACGTAGAGGTAAGACACCCTTATGACAGTCGCTTGCGACAGCAGGCAAGCCTGCTTGCCTGGAAGCACCGGGGGAGGGCCCTCTTGACATGCCCTCCAGGCGCGCTTGCCCTCCAGGCTCCTCCAAAGGCGCCACCTCGTCATGCAAGATGTGTTTAACATATACTCGCCTCTTCCAACCTAGGCCAACTTGGACCCGGATTTTTTTGTTTTTTTAATTAAAAAAAAACCTATCAAAAGATGGGGGGTATTGCTAACCAACATCATGGCTGACGATGTCGCTGTTAGGCAACCAGGACCCCTCTTGGTTTTGAGGGTGTCTTCCATGGTCAGGTAACCCATTGATTGGTGACTTGGATCCCAGTGGTTTGGATTTGGATTTGATCCCCTGGTTCTGACATGGGCGTGACCTGGATGCCTCGCCAGGTGTGGCATTCACTCGCAGGTTGGCTGAACGTCCCCCCCCAATTCCCAGGTCCCCCCACGTCCCCCCACGTAAGACACGAAGGGAAGCGGCAATTTACGCGGTGCCCCAAGAGAAGACCATCTACCTTACCATCCACCACCCACTACCCACCACCCAGCAGCACCACCCCCCCCCTGCCCCCCCCCCAAAAAAAAAGGAGAGAGAAGCAAACGCAAAGAACGGCCATGGGCGGGGCTGTATCTGTCCAGGCGTGGATGTGGCCCACCCGCGCCCGCCACCCCTCACCCAGCCGAGGTGATGCCCATGATCCTCTTCCCGGCCGTGAAGCAGCCGGGCGCCCAGTAGCGAAGGCTTCGCTCGGTTGGTGGGCCACAGGCCACCGGCGCCCGGCGCCCGCAGAGCGGCGCAGAGCGGCGCAGAGCGGCGCAGAGCGGCGCATGGGAGAATCCGCTCAATGGGAGCCAGCGGATCCGTTTTTCTTTTTTAGTGTTATTTTTCTTTCTGGGGTCTATGACTCTATGAATTCTTTCTTCAAGGATGCTGATTGGGCAACCGAAAGAGGTCCAGTTCTTTTGGAGTCTCTTGCAAAATGGCGCGTCGTTTTCCGAGGGCAACGCGACAAATCGTGGACTTGAAGTGGGTCATGTGCTGAAACGTCGAAGAGTTGGATCACATCAGACGTCATGTAGCCTCACCAGGTGCACCTTGGAGGTTCCTGGGGTTAATGGGTTAATCAACTGGCGAAAGCCCCCATCATTCCCAGTCTTCCCCCCCTCCCCTTGGTGTGGTTGGGGTGTGGTTGGGGGAGGGGGGGGATCCACCCCAAAACCAGAGTTCATGACGAGCGTCCCATTTTGGGTTAATGATTGGCCAAAGTCCCAACTGAGCCACTTGCTCAAAACCGATTCGGGTAAGTGATCCGGTTATTTAAGGGACGATCCCCTTGCCACAAATAGCTGCGGAAATATCCGCCTTCTTAGTTCTTGAAGCATGGTTCTGGGTCGACCATTTTACCGGGTTTTGATTGTGACTCAACTGAGGCGTATATGGTCCATGGGTTCGCAAGTCGACCCCCCTCCCCCCCATGTTTCCCAGTCCTCCCCCGCGGACCATATGGCTGTGGGTCAAAACAATGGTAGCATTTTGGGGTAGGTGCACCACCCATTTTGGCCTATTTTAGTGGGGATTGGGATGTTCACTGAGGGTACGGGATTTTGACCCATGGCCATATATCCACCCAAAACAAGCGTCCGCGTGACATGTCCGAGCCTCTACCCCCAAGCAATTTTCCGCAGCCCAAGTTTCGAGGGGGCGACTATCGCCGAAGAACTTTCGACAAGGTGAGACCACTTTCGATCCGGAAGCCAGCGGCGTAAAATCACGACGGAGAAAAAAACGGCCACCGGGAATTGTGGGGGGGGTTCTTTTATTCCCAAGAAAGGGGTTCGATCCCCGCCCGTTTTCAGGAAAGCTTTGCCGTGGGGACCTGGGGACCTGGACTCTCCAGCCATCCATGGGAAATCACTCACGAGTTTTGGGCTTGCAAGATCCCTTCCAGTAAATTCAATAACACAGGTAGACTTGGGGCAAGATCCCTCCCAGATTCAATAACACTGCCAAATTAGGTAGAAAAGTGGAGCCCAACCTGAAACTTTGATTCGGCTCCGCGCAATCCTTTCCCGAAGTCGTCCAGCGAGTCAAAAACTTGGACTCACCCCACTCAAACATCTTTAAAAAAGCAACAGCACCAGAAGCCGCTCCTTGAGAGATACGAGAAAGACCCCTGGTCATTGCGCGGGGATTTGAATGCATGTGATGGATTCCCTTGCTGACATTGATCCAGACTTCAACTTCCACGATTTCCAGGTCCTTTGGGCTGAGAATAGACCCACATATACTCCCTTTCGGACTGTGATGGACGAAATCCATGTGGCACCACCCAAGAAACCAACTGGCTTCTGATGATTCCCCAAGGCAAATACCAACAAACCTTCTGGTTTCATTCCCATGGTTTCCAAGTGGTGCGATGTCGGCATTTCAGGGAATGAGTACCTATAGACTCTCCATGACCAGAATCAATAATGGGGTCATGACCCCGGAAAATTTGGTACCAACCAACCATTTTCGTTTCATCCCCATGGCTTCCTTTCGTGCCGAACTGTGACCACCAGTACCTAGACTCTCCATGAGGACCCCTTTACTTGGTTGTTGTTGGGAACCATTTTACCTATTTGGTACCAACCAACCATTTTCGTTTCATCCCCATGGCTTCCTTTCGTGCCGAACTGTGACCACCAGTACCTAGACTCTCCATGAGGACCCCTTTACTTGGTTGTTGTTGGGAAACATTTTACCTATTTGCTTATTGTGGTTTAGTGGTTGAAATCCCCACTTAACGGCTAAGATTTAAATGTTTGCTCCCCTTCCAACGTCAACCAAGTTTATTTTGGGTAATCACCAACCATGTTTGAAGGGTCAGAAGGAGACTCCAGGCAGGGGTTTCCTTTCGTGGTGCCATGGCGGAAGAAGGGCCACCAGCCCTAAGGCTCAGGACCCCTCCAATGCAGGCCCCTTATTTGGTGGGCCCAAGTGGGTCCAATTCCTGAGGGGGCCCGGAAAGGAAACCGCCCCATGGTTGAGGGCCCCAAACATCGTCGAATTGGAGCCTTAGGGTGCCCAGCTTCCAGTTGCTTTTCAGAATATGTTTTTTTTCTTCTTCTTTTTGTTTGCCTCTGTTGTTTTTCTTTTTTCGGGGAATTTCTCGGGCCCAAAAAATATGTTTTTTCCAGGGAATTTCTCGGGCCCTTTCAACAACCATCGACTTGGAGCCTTAGGATGAAGCCCAGTCCTCCCGTCCGGCCTTAGCGAGGTTCGGGAACTGCACTCTCTCCTGGTGGCGATCCTTGCGAGAGGCGCCTGGCAGTTTGGGGGGGGGGGGGGTAAGAGGAAGACAGAAAGAAACCACCATTTGTTTGGGCCCCCTAAGCTTGAGAAAGCCAACATGTGTATATATGATATATACATACGTAAATGGCTATTTAATACATATATAATATCATATATATATATATATATATATGGTCCCGTGTTCCGTGTTGCAACCCCCCCCCCCCCATATGGTATGGGTCCCCCAGGACCCCCCCCGACCCGAGACCATCCTGGCATCTACGGTCCCACCCCCGCCCCGACCCCCTGAACTCGCACCCCGACACCCCAGCACCCCCACCCCCAGGACAAGCCAACCCGCAACCAACCATAAACCAACCCTAAACAAACCCTAAACCAACCCTAAATGCACCCTAAACCAAACCCTAAACCGTAAACCTCTAAACCTAAACCAACCCTAAATCAACATAAACCAACCCTAAACTAACCCTAAACCAACCCTAAACTAACCCCAAATACACCCTAAACCAATCCCTAACAATAAACCATAAACCTAAACCAACCCTAAACCAACCCTAAACCAACCCTAAAATAGCCCTAAATACACCCTAAATATACTCTAAACCAATTCTAAACCAACCCTAAACCACCACAACCCAACCACAGGACCACAACCACGGGGGGGGGGGGTACTTGTCTGACCCATGACCATTGGTGGGGGGGGGGGGCTGGCAACGCTGTACCATGTATAGATATATATATATATATATATGTGTCCCGCAAGCTGGTCGTTTTCCCTTTTGTTGTCCTTTGAAACACCAAGCTAGGGTACCCCCCACATAAAACGACACACCCATATTTATAATATACTGGACCCTCATAAAAGAACATGTTTTTTGCTTATTCTGTTCTTTTATTGTTGTTGGGAACCATTTTACCTATTTGCTTATTGTGGTTTAGTGGGAAATCCCCACTTAACTTATATATGCGTTGCTCCCCTTCCAACGTCAACCAAGCAAATAGACGCCGAGAGGCAAGTTGTTTGCCAATGGGTCGGTCAGTGCGTGCGCAGCTCTGTGCTGTCGTCTTGGATCAGCCGTGAGGATCATCGCCATTTCGATCATGGCACCGGTCTTGGGTTCCATCCCCAAATTCCCCGCTGGTTATGGTATCATGTCAGCCTGGACCCTCAAACTACCCATAAAAATGGGATATCACCCCATAATTTTGGGGGTCAAACCCATTTTTAAGGGAATTTTGAGGGTTCAGGAGGGTATGTTGTTGCAAAACCTGGTCTCAGAAGGTAAATGCCGATCCCTCTTTTAGTAGAGGGTTGACATCATACCAAGAGAAAGGTTGGTATTGGGTGTAGGGGGTAGTTGGTATCATGTCCACCCTTCTCTTACCATGATACCAGGTTTCCAGGGAGAAAAAAAAAACATGGGTATTTGGAACAGGGTCCAAGACATGTGCGCCATGGTCGAGACCCTTTGTTTTGGTGGGAATGGTCATCAACCTCTTTGGTGCTCCGATTATTAGTGGGTTATACCCCCTGCTCCAAACACCCTCTTTTTTCAGGGTAACATGTCGACACGAAAAAATCAGGTCATTAGTGGGGTACGCCTAGGTTACCGTTACAACTTACTAACTTGGGGTAGGCTCGTGGGGACTGACAGCTGTAAGGGTCTCTCACCGTGATCCGGGAGAGTACCATGGCTTGGGATTTCCTTGCGAACAGGGCGGCTTGTGATGCAACTAATCAAACATGATTTCCTCGTTGTGGGTGTCTCGGCAAGTGCCTTTGGTTTTTTGCTGCTTAAGGGGGCAGGGTACTTAGCAAGTGGTTAGTAAGCCTGGTTATAACCCACCGAACGGAGACTTACAACCATGGTTATTGCCCACTTACCTGACGTAGCCTGCCCCTTTAAGTGGGGCCTGCAACAAAAATCAACAAGCCTGAAATGTGGCATCAGGTGCTCATGAAGACTCCGCCCAAAGAGCGGCGGGCACGGCTGAAGAGTTTGCTGGACGCGCCCGGGGCTCAGCGTGAAAGAGGTGGACAGTTGTTTCCTTCCAAAACCCGGAGCTGCCCTACTCCAAGTACCCACTTTGGTCAGTTGTAAATTCTTAGTAGAGGGTTTTACCCTTAACACAAATCGGGATTGGAGTAGGTACTTCCGCGTTTCCGGCCCCTTTCAAAGTGCCCTTCTTGGTTCTTTCTGGAGGCGTGCGAAGAATCACTTGTTTGGCTCAGCCCTTCGCCCGCAGTCCGGGGCTTCACTCGCCTCCGCCGAGTTTTTTCGGTTGGGATCCGGAGCCCACTTGGGCTTCCCTTCCGCCAAGCCTCACGGTTCTTGGAGCAGGTCTTTCTCGTGGTTTTGTTGGTTTTTGGTTTCTGTTCATTTTTACCGGTCTGCAAAAAAGAAGACATTTTTTTCGCTACCATGAAAGAGATGCAAAGGCGATCACCTCTTAGCTCCAGGGTTTTTGGTCCAAGTAACTTTCAGGGGAAGCATCGCGGCTTCGAGCCTCGCGACTTTGGTGAGTTTCCTAGGGCGACGTTTTTTGTTTTTTTCTTTTCTTTTCTTTTTCCGGCAAAGCTGTTCGCGGACCCTGTATTACGTCCGAAATGCTTTGCTTGGGGTACTTTAGGAAACTTTGGCAAGACCAAGTTTTATTGAGGGTGCCAATACTGAAATTTGAACTTGGTGCAATTAAGGGGTACCTGGACCCTCAACCTACCCATAAGAATTGGACACCAGCCAGGAATTTGCGGCAACCCATGGTTCTCACTCCCTTAGTTCGTGGACTGCAAACATTTGTCCTACCCCCTACTCCAAATACCCGCTTTTTTCAGTTGGTATTTTTGGTTGAAAACCGAAAAATGTCTTCCATGGTAAATTCCGTTCCCTTTTTTAGTAAAGTCGGTCGACAACTCATACCAACTGAAAAAAGAAATGCCGGGTCTTGGCTGTAGGGGGCCAATCCTTTCGGGCCAATCCTTTCGTTGGGCCAATCTCCATCGGCAGCTTTTTGGGTCCGGATTTGCTACTGGAATCCCTCTCTGCGGGGTAGGTACGCTAGGGGGGGGGTAGTTGGGAGCCCAGGAGCGGGTCCTTGAAATTCCTCGCGCCGGGCCGCCCTGCCCCCCCCCCACTGCTCCAAATCATTACCCTCTTCGTTGTTTGTTCTTGTTTCTTCTTTGGTTTTGGGGGGTGATTTTGTGAAGAGCCAGGTTTTGTCCAGTGTAAATGCTTATCCCTTGTTTTGTCAATGACATCATGTTCAATCCTTCCAGTGGGTATTGGGTGGCTGCGGTAGGGATTCCTTCGAGAACTCCGAACTAACCTCACTCTCGGCCTAGTAAAGACGTGTGGAAAGGGAAACCGCCCCAGCCATGCAGGTCCGCAACAACATACCGCACCTTGTTTTAGGTAGGATTTGTCAAATGATGTCAAGCCTTTGACATTAAAAAAGAGGGATCTACCACTTCTTTAGCCTCCTGGATCGCCAGTTGTGATCGCTTTTTTCCACGAACTTTACCCCAAACAACAGCAACAGTGACCGAAAAAGCGAAAAAGCAACTTGGGGATCTGGGCTGGTTCTTTCGCATTTTCCCGTCAAAGGGGGTCCTTTGTTTGGACCAAGCCCCAAGCCCTGGCACCGTTCACCGCGTCAGTAAGGTTTGGATCGATTTTTTTGGGGCGGCTCTCGCTCTCTCTGGGATGTCGGGAAAAAAGAAAGGGCGGCGGGATCTCTGGGATTTTCGCTTTTAGGTTCTGCTTTCAGGTTGCCCAGAGGGTCCCTTGGTACCTTCCAAGGAGGTACTGAACGAGCCCTTTTTGCCCCCCAAAGGCCATCCTCACCATCTCACAAGGTACCAAGGGACCCTCTGGGTTGAACGGTCCGAGGCCCGGGTCTCAAAAATACCCTACACCACCCAATACCCGACATTTCTTTTTTCAGTTGGTATCATGTCGACCCTCTACTAAAAAAGGGATCGGTATTTACCTTGAAAAACAGTTCGGTTTTGCCCAAAATACCAACTGAAAAAAACAGGTATTTTGAGTAGGGGGTATCTTGTGGTTTGAGGTTGACAACAATTTCAGTAGGTTCTTGGCGAGGACTTTCGGAAAGAGGGTCCTGATCTCCTTGACCTTCCTGCCGAGTTGACGAGCTGAAATCTGGTTGGTTTGTGGGTGTCTCAATTGAAAGGCCAAGTGGACTTGTCGTGTTTGAGGGAACCCCTAATCCTTAGACGGGTTTTAATTGAAGCGAACCCAAGAGGAAACCTTCATTTTGGGGTCCCCTATCTTCAGGCACCAAGTTTAGCATGTTCAAGGCAGGCGTTTTTTCGCAGAGTTTCTCCCTTCCCGAGAGCCAGGCTTTCGAGTTTTTGTTGCACCCCCGCAACCCAATACCCATTTCTTGGTTGGTATGACTTCCTGAACCCTCAAAATTCCAACTTAAAAATGGGTTTAACCCCCAAAATTATGGGGTGATATCCCATTTTTATGGGTAGTTTGAGGGTCCAGGTTGTCAAATCAGCCCTTGGCTGGAAAAGTGTTATCCTGCAAAGCAACGGTTTTTTCCCGAACATATCCTCAACAAAGTGGGTAATCAGGGGGTACTTGTACTGGGGGGCTGAAGACCAAGAACGGGGTGCCTAGGCCAACACAGGTGCCATGTTCCAAGTGCGTACCTTTTGACTTGTCTGTTTTTAGACACCATATTAGCTTCCCTGGAGGGCGTGGGAAGTTTGTACATGGCACCTAGAACATCACTGGGCTACGGGCATTCGAGCGCTCAGGATGCAGGTTTTTGACAAGCCTTTCTTCATCATGGAGCGCGGCGTCCCAGTTCACGAAAGGTACCTGGACCCTCAAACTACCCATAAAAATGGGATATCACCCCATAATTTTGGGGGTTAAACCCATTTTTAAGTTGGAATTTTGAGGGTTCAGGTAGCCTCAAGGAGGCTCGCTTGAGTTTGTCCTTGCGGCTGACGCAAGGCTAGACTGGGTCTCGGGGTCAGCCCGGCCGCACAAAGAATGAAATATCGGCCACTGCGCTTCACACTTCAGTCCGCTTTTCGTAACCGTTTTGCTCTTTGAAGACCGGTCCTCCCAGTCAAGTCGTGGTGTATTCCGAAGTTGGTATGGGACACTCAGTGCACGTCTGCTTCATTATGCACAATTATACGGTGCTGGGGTACCTCAGTTGTAGCACTTGTTTAGGGGAATAACTATACGGTATCCTACCTTTCGTGTCTCCCCTTCTCAAGTGCTTTTCGCCGGGCGGGGCAGCGGAGACAGTCGGCTGCCAGGCCTCACGAAAAGGTTCCTGGAAGTCTGGAAGCGCAGGTTCTCAATCTGCCCCCTACACCTAATACCCCTTGCTTTAGGGTATGTTTTTGGACAGCGCCGTTTTCCTGGCGTAAAAATACTCATTTTTAGTACATGACATGAGATCCGAAGAACAATCAAATGGAGTAGGGGGGAGTTCCATGGCAGTGTGGGATGAGATGAAGCCGCGGCTCCCGAAAGCAGACACCCACTTTTTTGAGTTGCATCGGTTTCCCCCCCCCCCTTTTTCCTCCGCTTACCGTTGTTATAGACAAATTGCAAATTCACCACCTCCAGCAACACCACCCTACTCCAAATGCCCGTTTGTTTCAGGGTATTATTTGAAAAACCAGGTTTGCCAGGAAAATTCCTCCTTTGTTAGTAGAGGGTTGACATAGCCTAAAAAACTCAACGAAGTCCAATTGTATCCAGCGATGTTTCTGTTTAGAGGAGAACGTAAGGCGTTGATAAGGATGTTGGCAAGGCTGATCATCCATGAGAGAGCCGATTTCGGACGTAGAATCGCCTTTTCAAATAGATACAAGCTCGTTCGAGCAACTCTGCATTTGCTTTTTGGCGCTGCAAAGGGATCACATTTGCCACGGCTGTCCTGGCCCACGCGGCAGTTGGGCACTTTTTCGATGGCATGTTTGTGACGTATGATATATCGAGGTTGCAGCTTGAAACCATCACCCGACAAATCGTGCATTTTGAGCAGCGGCGAAGTGGTCATACTATATGGGATTTCAGGCTGATGAGCGCAGCAGGCGGCACAATGAAGCTGCTGTCCACAGACCGTTCTAGGGGTACCTTGCCCATACTTTTCAGGCATCCTTCTTTTCAAAAAACCACCCAAAACCCTGGGAAACAGCTGGTTTTTGAAAAGAACGATGGTTGAAAAGAATGGGGAATCAACCCCTAGAACCATACATGGTGAGGGCATTGGAAAGGTTGGACCGTTGTTTTTTGGCAACTGAAGCCTGTAGCATGCTGGGTGACGGGCGACGACAGCGCTGCCCATTTCTCAAAAGTGATAGCTTCGGGGCCGCAAGATGCACGTGGGCAAGTGCTTGCCAAGAAGTGGACTGGGAAGCGAGAGGATAATCACAGACGGCTCATGTGTATGTGGTAAGTGCAATTTTCTTTGTTTATTGTAAAGGACAGATGTAGCATGATGGGTATACTTCCCCCTACTCCAAATACCCGTTTTCTTTTTCAGGGTATCATGCCGACCCTCTACTAAAAAAGGGTTGGAATTTACCATGGAAAAGCGATCGGTTTTCCAAAAAATGCAACTGAAAAGGGCGGGTAAATTTTGAGTGGGGATCTTTGTCAGAGGCACCTCCAGCAGGTGGCGATAAGCGTGCGGGTTCCCCGAAATTCCACAGGGGGCGGAATAAAAGCAAATTTCACGTGGAGGCCGGGCGGCACAAGGTTTTGGAAAAGTGCCATACCCCATTTTGAGCTGTGAACAATTGTTTGTCCTTGAACATATTGAGAGCCATAGGCTGTTTTGGGGAGGCTTCCCCTTTTGCCCGGACATGTGCAGGGGAAGTGTCTCAAGTAGGGTAGATTCATGCGCAACAGACTCTGAACTTTGCTTCTGTGTATCGGGGGACCTGGTCCCACAATTGGTACTTGGGTGCTCGGCTAAAGTTAGTAAGGGTTGTAAGCCACTGATAAGTCCCCCATTCAATGGCATTAACCCTGTTGGGTGCAAACAGGCCCTGGCGTTTTCTACTGACACTAACTTGGGGAATTCCGAACATCCAAGTACCCCCCTACTCCAAATACCCGTCCGTTTTTTTCCTCGTTGTTTTTCTTTCCCCGGGTAAGACGTCAACCCTTTGCTTGAAAAGGAGGTACTTGTCATGGACAACCTTGTTCATCGAAAAATCCCCTTCAACATGGTGCTCAGTAGGGAATGAGGGAATGACCCTATAAACCATCCAACTGGTGGTTTCCTTTATGTCGGAATCCCAAAACTGTTCATTCCATTTCACATTTTTGACTTCCGCACCGATGGTGTTGGGTTTAACCCCCAAGCCAGGCACCCCGAGTTGGACAAAAATACATTAGGTGGGCCTCCTGGCCGTTCGGCGAGCACGTGCGCAGCCGATGGGGCAAGGCGAATCGATCCGTCTGGGAGTGGAGCAGGTTTTCCCCGGAGCAGCTTCCACTAAAAGTGAAAAGCTTTTAGCAGGGCTTCGCAGATTTCGCAACCGAGGCCAAGTTGCGATCGCTTTCTTTTTTCCGTCACTGCGATGGGTTTTGGAGTAAAAAAAAAACAAAAACACACTGGCGATCCAGGTTGTTACCCTCCACATACCCGCCTAGATCCCCCAGTAGTGCCCTTTTACCCTTTTTTGGGGGATGGTTCCCCTACTAAAAAAGACGGCAGAAAAAAGTTGGTACCCTTATTCTAACCTCTCTACTGGAGGACCTGGCCGCTGATTGAAGTGTAGGTTGTTTTGAAAAGCCCGGTTTTCTATGCTCACCTCGCGTATTTGGAGTGGGGGAAATATGAACAACTGCAAGCCTTTGGGAGGTCATGGGCTATGTTAAAGCTCAATGGCCAAAAGCAAATCGACGGGATCAGATCTTTCGGTTTCAATTATCCCTGTTTCGTCAACGCAGCCTTTTCCATGGTCCAAACCGGGGACAAGTAAGTATCCTTTCTTCCGCAGGAGTTTCCCTTCTGGTTTGAGATCACCAAATTTGGGCCGCAAGATGATGAGTTTTGTTTGGGATTGGGGTGATAATTTGGGGGAACTGTCGGGAACCCCCACCGTAACTTAGCCTTGCTTGGCTGTGCGGCATCCCATTTTTGGAGGGTAATTGGAGGGTCTAGGTAAACACATTTCTTGCATATTGCTCCTATTCCAGGCGTGCTTGTACATACTCCTTTTCCATACCCCTTGGGCAAATCAACCCAAAAGGACTGCGGATGTTCATACCCCTCTTGCCAAAACGGGTACATACCCCTTCTAAAGTGGCTTGGAAACCAGGGAAGCAAAGGGGTATGAACAAGGGGTATGTACTTCCACCCTTAGATCCTATGCTCATGCCTGACTTCCATTTTAACTGGGAATGAAGGATGGACCCCAAACCAATCTATCCAGCTTGTGCTTGCCTTCAACCTCCCAAACATTTTTTCCACCTCCCGCACAGGGTGATTTTTTGCGAACCTCTAGACCCGAAGAAACTACCCTTGAAGAGGGAATCAGTTTAGGGCAAGGCTGTTTGAAGGTAGGTTCTTTTTGTTTCCCTGTGACGTCTACCCTTGTGCCAATCGATTCTGTTGAATGGGAGAAATTTGGCCTTATATACGTCGGCGAGCTTTCGACATGTCGGGTGATTTCATCCTTAAGTCTCTAAAAAATCTTGATGGACCCTCAAAGTACCCGTACAAATGGGCTAAGTTATTGCCCCAGATTTTCGGGGCGATTTCCGATTTTCAAGTGTTTCGGGGTCCAGTCCAGTCAACCCGAACCATTTGTCAGTTATTGGCCGAGGGAGAAAGGGGAACCCCGAAGCAGGCTCCAAACCGAAACCAAACTACCATTTTGACTCAGTGCATCTTAAGACTGCCTGGACCCTCAAGCAACCCATCAAAAATGGACATCACCCCGTAAATGTGGGGCAATAACCATTTTTTTATGGGTAGTTTGAGGGTCCAGGTGCTTCTCTTTGGGTTTAAAGTCAATCTATCACTACTGGACATGTTTTGCTCGTTTTGTTTCAGGGGACGAAACCACACGTCGATTTGATTTCCGTGTCAACACCATGAAACGCTCAATGGGAGGATCTGATCATCTCACTTGTAGTTCGACCTTTTGGCCTTTCGGTTTTCCGTTGGTCCACTTTTGTAAAGGTCCCAAAAGGTGATCACCCTACACACACAATCACAATGCCCCACTTTGTCATGATGTCAACCCTTGAGTCAAAAACGGAGGCATCGAAAACCATGGAAAGCCGAGATTCATAAGTATACCTCAAATAAATTATACCTCAAATGCATATACCTCAAATAAATATACCTCAAATACATATACCTCAAATAACTATACCTTAAATACATATACCTTATAAAAAAGGGAGGACTCTTAGGATGTGGATTTGGGTACTTCACTCGGGCCCCTTCCCTTCTCGAGCGCTCCAAACCCTGGGACCCATCCGCGAGGGCTGCGATGACCCAGCTGCGCTGGCGCGGGAGGAAGGGACCGATCCGGCATCAGCTCCAGCGCTCGGTGCCCGACCTCTCACCCCTTCTTTGGTTGGGAGAAGATTCGGTTCCCCTAGGAAAATAGGCTACAGGAAAAAATCGGGTACCAACCTATTCTAACCTCTCAACCGGAGGACCTAGTATCAGATTGGGGGATAGTTGGAAGGTGTGGAGGTGAAACAATCCCGAACAAGATAAGGTCAGTCAGCATAACCCAGTTCCAGGCAAGCCCATAAAACGTAGAGGGGCATGTTGCCAAGGGTTGTTAGGACTTGAGCTTTTTTTTGCCAACTAGTGGGTTTTCCGTATTAAACTGTTTTTTTGCCAACTAATGGGGTTTCCATTATTTATTTATTTTGGCCAACTAATTTGGGTTTTCCGTATTAAACCGCTAAAAGTGAACAACTTTTAGCAGGGGAGCAGAAAGCAACCGAGAGATGTTATAATCCCTAGCTTCCATTTGGGGGAAGCTGACAGTCTAGATTTTGTAGGGGGGTTTGTGTTGATGATTTTGGATGGGCAAAGAGCCTGGGCTGTCAGAGCATACTGCTTTCATTTGCTTCAGAATATTATGTTATTTTCCCTTGTGGGTTTTAACAGGAATTCATCACTACTGGGCATATTTTCCATGTTTTTATCAGGTGGCTTAAGCAAATGGAAGACTGCCAGAGAGTTGTTGATTTAGGTGGGGATGAAGATGGCTAATGGCGCAGATAGCCAAGGAATGGGGGCAAGTCACGAAATGTCCCGCACAGACCATGAGACTTGCTGGCCCAAAAACTGGAATTCAGCTCATTGGCAGTCTAAGTCTGGCCCACAGAAGGGGGTCCAGATTTCCCAATTCACCTCAGCTTTTTTTAAGAGGTTACCCAGAGCTTCCTCGGCCTGAGAAACTTAGGCCTTTTGTCAACGGCCGTAAACACCCCGTAAAAAGGCCGTGAAAAGCCCGTAAACAACCTCCGTGTTTAAACGGCCTCCGTAACTCAGGCCTTTGGACTCCCTGGGTTAGTTTGAGGGTTCAGGTTGTTTTTTTTGTTCTCATGCCTGGGGCAAATCTTGAATGGTGTTGTGTCTATCCCTTTCTCACGTTCTGGGTTCCTGGACCTACTCCTTTTCGTGAAGACAATTTTGGTGCCAGGCATCCGAAGTTTGGCCGCCTGGACCCTCAAAACCCTTACACAAAAGCGAGACCACCCCACAAATTCTGGGGCGATCAACCCATTTTCTCTGGCAGCTTGACTAGGTTCCCCAGCAGTGCCCTTTTTACCCTTTTTGAGGGCAGGGTTCCCCTACTAAAAATACGACCACAGAAAAAAGAAAAAAACAACATCGGGTACCCTTCTGCGAACCTCTGAAATCTGGAGGACCTAGTTGAGGCTCCAGGACCCGCTTTGGGCCAATTTTTTCAAGCCGCTGGCTCGGCGTTTGGATTCGCAGGAGGGCAGTGGCAACCCCGGCAACTCCGTGGACCTGCTGGAGTTCGAGCGGGAGCCCAGAGCGGGCGAAGCGAAGCTCCAGGTTGAGTCCTTTTCCATTCCTTCCAATCCATCTTTTCAAGAGCCGGATCCATTTCCCCAGGGGTTTGGGGTGGTTTTCTAGCAAGATTCGGATCCCTGGATTCAGAATGGAAATGGAAGCTATTTTTAGAGAAGTTTTTGGGTGGTTTTCTAGCAAGATTCGGATCCCTGAAAAGAATGGAAATGGAAGCTACCCCTAGAGAAGAGGGCGAAGCAAGCGAATGGAGAAGCCAGCGGTTCACCAAAGGCTACCCGCGTAAGCTCAAAGTACCAACGCGCCTTTTTTTCAGTTGGTAAGTTTGGGAAAACCGAGAAAGGTTTTCCCATGGTAAATACCATTCCCTTTTTTAGCAGATCGGGTCGGCATGATACCCTGAAAAATATCCGGGTAGTTGGAGGATACCCTGAAAAGTGCCGGGTATTTGGAGTACCCGCCAAATGCCACCCACCAAACGGGTGTGGGTCGAAACTAAACCACCAGGGGGACCACAGGTTTTGGTCCATGTTGCCACTTACCAGGGCAAGCCATTCTGGGGTGACCAACTATTTTTGACCCACTGCCAAATGCCACCCACCAACTGGGCCAAAGGCTCCCGAGTCTTTTTGGGTCCCTCAACATGGGTTGCTTTTCAGGGTTCTTGGGGAGAGGCCCAAAAACCTGCATTGTAGAAACCATGAGCCTTTGGGTGGGTATACTATCTTCAATCTGGTTGTAAGAATATTGTTTCTTGCTATTTTTTTGTGTTGGTTGTAAAGGGAATCGATTTCACTACTGTTTTTCCTATAAAGGCGACCACCCCCATATGAATAAACAGCTGGGTTGATTTGTATGGGCTCGACATTAAACTACTTGGGTGTTTGATTCGCTGTAACGGCAGCCAAAAGCCTATAATCTACTTATAAGTCCCCGGTTCAGTGGGGTTAACACTGTTCTTACTGGAAGATAACCCAAGTGGCTTCGCTCTTACTAACTTGGCCAAACATCCAAGTACCCACCAACAACAGCATGGGCATTTGGAGGTTCCGGGGGAGTCGGAAGATGTGATTCGGGCTGTACCTGGAGTCTCCATGAGCCGTAAAAAACGAGGTCACCACCCAAAACAACGGGGTCATGGACCCATTTGTGATTCGGGTCGTGGAGACGCTAGGTACCCTCAAGTCGCCCGCTATTTCAAGAGCTGGACAGGGGACACGGCAGGGGAGCCTCTCCTTGTTTTGGGAACTCTCAACAGGGGCCCCCTACTCCAAATACCATCTTTCTTCAGGGAATCATGTCCGCCCTCTACTAAAAAAAGAGGTATTTACCATGGAAAACCAAATTTTCCCAAAGTACCCTGAAAAGAATGTATTTTGAGCAGGGGGGACTTATCCGCCTTTAGTTGGTGCGGTTCGTTCAGGCTCCCAAAAGGAGACATGTTTGACGGTCTCTTTTTCAAAATCACCGCTGAGGTGGTGTCAAAGGGGAAACCCCCCTCAAAGCTCCCCCAATAAAACAATCACCAGCACTTTTTCCAGTTGCTATGTTTTGGCAAGAACTGATTTGTTCTTTCATGGTCAATACTGATCCCTTTTGTAGTAAAGGGTTGGCATGATATCCTAAACAAGCGGGTATTTGGAGTACTTAAATGGGCAGGGTACCTAGTTAGTGGTTAGTAAGCCGGGTTATATCCACTTAGGAGACTTATAACCATGGCAAGTCTGGGTATTATCCCCTTAGCACAAAGGGGCAAGCATAATTCTACATGTACCAGGTGAGACAGGTTGGTAAGGTGGTTATGTTTGGAAGACACGCCCCAAGACACGCCTTCAAAAATGGTAGCAGGGAAGTCTCATAGTCTCATGACGACAACATCGCTCTACAAGATGACATTTGGCCTGTATTCGATTCATCAAAGTTGTATACCTTTGGCTTCGCTTTAGCAGCAACGTAAAATGGGTTTCCTCAAACACGCCCATGGAAATTACCTTTGTTTGTGGTTTTAAACCTAAAACACGGACACACCTCACAAATACCCTCGAGGTCAGAAATGGGTTCTTGCCCCAAAATGACGGTTGGTGAATTCCCTTTTTAACTGGTACTTTCTTCGTGTCCAGGTACTTCCTCTTTCCTAGGGTAACTTCCCCATTCTTTCCAGGGATCCGAATCTTTCTAGAACTCCAGCAAAAACCCTGAAGAAATGGCTCCGGTTTTTCAAAGGCATGGCTGAAAAGAATAGAAACGGACTCAACCGCTAGGTCTTTGGCTCCCTCTCTTTTTCTCCTTGGCAGGTGGAACTCTTTCAGGAGCACGGGGACGTCAAGGTGAGGGAACCGAACCTCATCCGGCCGCTTGCCGTTGGCTTCCGGCAATTCGCCCATGTGGGAGAGTCTGAAACAGGTACGGACTTTGGTGGGTTCCAATGGATTTCATGGGCTCTGACCCTTAAAAATGGTTGGTCATTACCCAAAACAAAGGAGTCGTGGACCCATTTTTTAAGGGTCATTCAGACCCCAGGTATCTCGTGTTTTTTTGAGCCACAGCAATGTACCTCCCGAAGAGACTACTTGGATGTTCGATTCGCCAAGTTAGTGAGCGGAAAACACCACTTGGGTTTGTTCACCCCCAATCTCACACGGGGGACTTATGAGTGGGTTACAAACACCTAGGTTACCAACAACTTCCGAATCTTTCAGGGCCAACTTTTGCGGCTTGAACCGAAGAAGTGATATCCTTTCATACCCTGGAACAGTGCGTATTGGGTGCAACAGGTGCGTGCTTGCCGATTGTCCTTCGGGCTGGATTCAAACATCGAAGGGTTTTCGAAGATTGACCAGCGCCAGTAGATGTGGGAGGGGTCACGTGCTACCACCTCCTTGGAAGGTCTGGACATCATGTTGTCAACCCTTTTCTTGGCCCATATCTGGGGTACCAGAGTGTGGGTGTGACTTTTTTTTAAGGGTGCTCCTACTCCAAATACCCTCTTTTCAGGGTATCATGTCGACCCTCTACTAAGAAAGGAGGCATTTACCATGGAAAACCAAGTTTTCCAAAAAAATGCCCTGAACAAGCAGGTATGTTGAGTAGAGTAGGGGGTACCCCTTTTTGGCCTATATGTGCTCATATTCTGATTCATGCTTAGTCAACCGGAAAAAAAAGGAAGAAAAAAACAAGGAAAACAAAAACAAACAGGAGAACCCAGCACCAATCTGCCCCACCCTAACCTAGGCCCTGAAATTACCCAATGGGACATGATGTCAGCCCTTAACAAAAACAACATGCATCTATTTTGGATCTAAAAAGGCCAACAAAAATATGTGCTGGTATTTGAAGTCGGGCGGTTCCTTGTTTTGAGCTGGTTCCAGTTTCCTTGTAGTTCATTTTCAGCACCTTGTGTATGCGTTCCATACTTGGGGGTTTTTCACTGGAAGCCCGGCATCTGTCGCGCGCGCGCCCGTCGCCCGAATACCCGCCGGCGAGCTTCTGGACAAATTGCATCAAAGCCTGAATAGGGAAGACCTCACTCCCTGAGTTCCGTTTCGATTTACTCACTTGTTGGATTTGGACCATTTCAATAGACAAACAGTTTCAAGCTTTTGCGGGCTCAGCCACATCGGCAGTGAGAGAGACAGGGGCTGTTTCACTCCCCAAGTTCCGTCCAATAAGCCTTTGCTCTTCGATTTGGGCCCTCAAGTGAGACCCCGAGACCCGGATCCTTTGTGTCCAATGGCTGGGTCTTCCGTTGGAAGCCTCCGAGAGTTTGGTTGGGAAGATGTGTGGCGACCAGATACAGTTTGCTTGCCTTTTCTATGCTCATTCAGCAAGCGAGTTGAGACTCGCATCTGTCACGCCGCAGAAATATCAAACTGCTGTCTTAAACTGAACACTGTGGCTAATAAGTTCAGAGGTTGCTAACCACTTATTGGCTTAATCTGGCTTACATAACCCCGTAAACATCTTGGTGGTAGCACCAGCAGCAGTCATTTTGAAAAGTTTTGCACATCGGTTTTGTCGCATCCCCCCCGCAGGGGGGGAACAGATCAAGAACACTTCAAAGAGTCACCAAATTTCTGTTTCGGCCCAACCCCGAAGCATTAGCCACCCCGACAAGAGGGTGGCTCTTTTCTCAAAACCACGGCGATCGCCGGTGGCGGTTTTCCCTTCTTTTTTGGTCTCATGCATTTTACCCCCAAAATAGCCAGCAACAGTGGCTGAAAAAGGCAGCAAGCAGCAACTTGCCGGTCTAGGCAGGTTCTTTGAGGGCCCCAGGTCCATCGAATTCGATGCGCTGGGTCTTTCGTTGCTTTGGCAGCGGGCCCTTTTCGGGGGGAAGTCGAGCGAGTCCCAGCGTGGCGAGTCGAGTCAGCGGATATCGCCCGATGCCGCCATGGAGCGGGCAATGTTGCTGCTCGGTGCGCAGGCCGAGAGGAGCTGTCATGGCTGGGGGGGAGGGAGGGGAGGGAGGGGAGGGAGGGGAGGGAGGGGAGGGAGGGGAGGGAGGGGAGGGAGGGGAGGGAGGGGAGCCAAAAAACACCTTATTAAGCGACCTTAAGCCCTTATTTCGGGCTTATTTGGGCTCCCTCCCCTCCCTCCCCCCCAAGCTCCCGAGTTTCCGGACTTTTGGATCTTTTTGCCTGCCAGGACCGTTCCACTTGGTTCGGAGCCATCCGAAATGACCTTTTCGTTTCTCCTTTTTGGTCTAGGTTTCGTCATGACCCAAAGTCGGAACCTTGTATTTCTGGGTCCTTTGGGCAAGTGAGTAATAGCTTTTTTGTGAGTCAAGTGGGGATTTCCACTTGACTCAAAGTTAAACTGTTAGCAGGGGATCAGAAAACGGACAGCCGAGTGCACATGTTTTGTGTTTTCTTTTGGGCAGATCACTCGGAAAGTGAGAGGCAGCGGTGAGAGGAGAGACTTCAGCGAACTTCCAGTGACCCATGCTCAATAAGCCTGCTTTCTCTTTCGGGCTTAGAGGGACTTGAAGCGAACCATGAGAACTCGAACAGAGAACTGGTCAGCCATGGTAGGTTCTATGTGACTTGTCTCAACTCCGGGTCGTGATTTGGAGCCCCAGAACCCCTCCCCCCCCCCCGCCCCCACACCGAACTACCCTTTAAGATTGGTTATTGCCCAACATTATTGTTGGCGCAAATTCCCTTGTTTCATGGGTAGTTTGAAGGTCCTGGCAGTTCTAGAAAACCCGGTCGGCTTTCCATGGTAGTACCTCTTGTGCAACCAAAATGTGAAATAATACCAGGTCTCACCGATCCAAAGTGTTGATGCAAGCCAGCTGGCTTAGTGACGATATGGGACAGAAATAAAGTCACCGTCATGGCCAACTGATTTGAAAGATACAGTCCTGTTTCGGGGTTGTTTGTTGTCGAACCAGGTTTGCATCATAACTACCTGTTTTTAGTAGAGGGTCGACCATCATATCCTGCGTTGGGTGTCGGGCATTCATATCCGAGGTTTAGGAATGGACATAAATAGGCAGAGATCATCGGGGAAAGTTGGAAGTTGGTTACATCCGTTTCACGGATTTCGGCCCAAGCATGGTCTACTTTTTGCGAAGATTCACCGCAGGTGGCAAAGAAACAGCTTGAACTTGTGCCTTCGGAGCTTCAATCTTGACTTGTTCGCCATGCTTGCCGTGGATGTGTGCTTGCCAAGCGGGAAGAGCTGTTCGGTGACGCTATCGCCAGAGTCGAGTGTGGGCGAACTGAAGGCTGAGGCGCAACAGCACTTGGAGCGCCGCTTTCTGAGGCTTACCTTCGGTGATCAGCAGCTCGATCCGTCGTCTACCTTGGTTGAGGTGGGCCTGCGAGATGGTGACACCGTTAATGCCCTCGTGCAGCCCGTCAAAATAGCTTCCACGAAAAAATCTTTTGCACTCTATGTTCCAGGAGGCGCGGCGGTTACCTGGGGCGATCCTGCCGTTGACCCCAGTCATGTGCTGGAGCAGCTGCTGCGAGTTAAGCAAATCCAGGCAACTCGGTACGCATTTGCTGCCATCCCGGTCGAAGGCTATGTGGCGACATGGGGACATCCTGACCACGGCGGTGACAGCAGCAAGGTGGGAAAGCAGTTGGCGCATGTCCAGCAGATCCAAGCAACCAGATGTGCGTTTGCTGCCATCCTGGATGACGGCTCTGTAGTGACTTGGGGCAATCTTGACCACGGCGGTGACAGCAGTCAGGTGCAGCAACAGTTGGTTGGTGTCAAGCTGATCCAAGCAAGCAGGTCTGCCTTTGCTGCCATCCTGACCGATGGCTCTGTGGTGACTTGGGGCAGTCTTGGTTCTGGCGGTGACAACAGCAAGGTGCGACATCAGTTGGTGCGTGTCCAGAAAATCTCATCAACTGACAATGCTTTTGCGGCCATGATACCGTTCAGCCGCAGATAGCAATTAAATGCTTGGAGCACCTAGGTTGCCCTTCCCAGATCACCACTGCTCTGACAGTCATATGGCAACAGCGAAGGTGGTTGGGATTCAATGGCGAATTCTTGCCTCAACCTTGCCATGTTATCAGCTCTTTGCCTCAAGGGGATGCGATCAGCCCACTTTGCCTCATAGCTTTGCTTTCAGGCATTACTCACTTGGTCGCGCAGCAGGACCAAGCCAGAGGGGAACAGCACACGCTGGTCACCTATCTCGACGATAGGAATCTGGTTGCCAAATGTCCAGAGCAAGCAGCGCGCCTGTGGCGCGGCTGGCAGGACATGTCTGGCCATGTGGGCCTGTGGGAAAACGCAGACAAGGTTAAGGTGGTGGCGCGCAAAGCTGCACACAAGCCAGCCCTAATAGCAGCCGGGTTCTCTGAGCATCATCTGGTAAACACTACCAGAGTGTTGGGCATCGACTTTGCTGCCAAGTTACGGGCGGCTGATCGGCCGACTCGAGCAAAAAGGCATGCGGATGCCAGGCAACGTGTGGAACGCATTTCACTGTTGCCTGTCCACTCCAATATGAAAGCTCACCTCGTGGCAAGCCAGGCCGTACCCAAGGCAATTTGGGGTGCGTGGACAACGGCCGTGCCAGGCAAGCCTTTGACCGTGTGCATCAAGCATGCTACTGGAGGTAAGCATGGCGCAGCAAGCAGTGACTTGTTCTACATGCTGGCAGGCCACGGGCTCAGCGCCGATTTCTGTGCAGGATATTCCGCCTTTGCCCACCTTGCAATCGTGGTTCGCCAACGGGCACGAGCATGGCCAGCCCGTTCTCGAAAAGGCACGTGGCTGGGAAGAGTGCGCGATTGGCTCACAGCGCTGGGGTGGCAAGAGACCGGGCCTTGGATGTGGCAACATCCGGACTTGACGCCAGGGTCAAATAGAATTGAAATCAGAAACCCAGGCACCGCCAAAGAGGGGCATAGCTTGCGCGAAACATGGCGCCGTCAGAGGTTCGTCAGCTTCAAGGAAAGCGGAAGAAGGGATGCAAATGCCGTTCGTCCCACGGCAGTTTACTCCGAGACTCGTGTGACAGCCGTCAGAAAAGCTTACAGAGAACAATGCACGCATGGCAAAGCTGTCTTGATTGGTGCAGTTGTTTCGGATGCAAGAATGCACAGAATCCTTGGAGAAGACATGCAGGCATGTGCTTGGTGTAATAGCGGTGAAGCGCCCACTTGGGCGCACATGGCATGGTCATGTGAGGGCTTTGCAGACAGCCGTGCTTGTTTGACCTTGGCAAATCTGGATTCATTGGCACAGGTGCTAGGATGGCCGTCAGGCAGTGATCAGGATGATGCTGTGCTTGCACACTTGGCTGGCGTCAGGCGGAAAGTGCTTGACCGGAGGTACCGAGGCCGCTGATGAGGGGGTTCCTGGGTGGTGCTGTCTTTCAGGCACATCACCTACACAAACATGGCCCCCCTTTTGCGGCCATCCTGGCCGACGGATCTGTAGTGACTTGGGGCAGTCCTGGGTATGGCGGTGACAGCAGCCAGGTGGAAGAGCAGTTAGTGGGTGTCCAGCAGATCCAAGCAACTCATTCGGCTTTTGCTGCCATCCTGGCCGACGGCTCTGTGGTGACTTGGGGCAATTTTGATAGTGGCGGTGACAGTAGAAGTGTGCGAGAGCAGTTGGTACATGTCCAGCAGATCTCAGCAACTGATTTCGCTTTTGTCGCCATCCTGGACGACGGCTCTGTGGTGACTTGGGGCCTGCCCGTCTATGGCGGTGACTGCAGCCAGGTGAGAGGGGAGCTTGAGCAGGTCCAGCAGATCCAATCGACTAGCGGTGCTTTTGCTGCCATTCTGGCTGACGGTTCTTTAGTGACTTGGGGCCATGGGAACTATGGCGCCGACACCCAGTATGTGCGAGAGCAGCTGGTGGGGGTCCAGCAGCTCCACGCAACAAGGAAAGCTTTTGCTGCCATCCTGGCTGACGGCTCAGTGGTGACTTGGGGCCGTGACCAAGGCGGCAGGAGCATGCAGGCTGAGTTTGAGCTTTTGTGACGCAGCGAGAAGCAACAACTAAAAAAGGCCTGTGGCTGTGCAGCGAGAACAACGTGCGGATGTATCTCTTGCGAACTAGGGATCCCAGAGTCAGAGTTGCTCCCTTCTTGATTGCTATTGGCTTGGATCTTTAGACTTTAACTTTTTGGAAAATAAAGGTGCTTTCCACTACACCCCCAAAAAAGTTAGACTTTTTGCAGGGGGGTTGTTCCAGCAACCAAGCCTTCCCCAGAAAAGAAAAAGAACTCACCTGAGTCGGGCTTCAAGCTTATGGGAAGACAATCTTAGTGCCAGACACGTCTGGTGTTTGCCGATCGGAAGTGAGGTTGGCGTATGTGGGAGACAACCTGGACCCCCAAATTGGACCCCAATTTGTTTCCCGCCTTTGACCCAACAAAAACCAGGGGTACTTCAAGGCAGCAAAACGGAATCGGTCCTTTGGGGGTCCAGGGGGTCCAGGTCCGGAGACAAGAGATGGAAATCTCGGCCTCAAGGCTTCGATCCAAAGGCCGCAGCGGCCACCCAAGTTTTCGGAGTTTGGACCAGAGTTGGCGTACCCCCGGGACCCGGCCTTTCTTTTTTCCCCAAACAGTGTGTCTACACTAAGGGGTTCTTACCCAAGTGTTTCAAAACATGGCAACTACCCCCTACTCCAAGTACCCGGCCTTTTTTCAGTTGGTATCATGTCGACCCACTACTAAAAAAGGGATCGGTATTTGCCGTGGAAGACCTTTTCTCGGTTTTCCCAAGAATGCCCACTGAAAAACAGCAGCTGGGTATTTGGAGTAGGGGGTAGACCGCTTTTTCCAGTTGGCATTCTTGGGAAAACCTGGTAAGTACCGTTCCCTTTTTTGGTAGAGGGTCGCCTTCATTCCCTGAACAGAAAAACATGATTTTGGAGTAGGGGGTACTTGGACCCTTGAAGCACCCCAACCTGAAAAAACACATGGATTCCCATCGGAAGCTTCGTGAGGTTTGAAGCCTCGAGCCGATTCGCCGCGAGCCCTCCTGGCAAAAATGGACAAACCATCCATCCGAAGGGTCCGAGCTGTTGCCTAGTATCATGTACCTGGACCCTCATGGGGTGATATCCCCATTTGTATGGGTAGTTTGAGGGTCCAGGTAGTGGCAAAACCGCCCGGAACTTGGAAAAGAATCCCCAGCCCCTTAAACATGCATTGGGGGGAGGGGAGCGACCCCGAGAATTCCCATCATAAGTGCATGTTCCCTTGGGGAGCCCCCTCTCGCTTTTGTGGTAGGGTGGATACTCGAGACCTCCAAACCAATTTGCTGTTTTGTTCTCCCGCCAACTCCTGCACCAACCCCCTACTCCAAATACCCGCTTTTTTCAGTTGGTATTTTTTGGAAAATCGATCGGTTTTCCATGGTAAATACCAAGCCTTTTTTTGTAGAGGGCCGACATCATACCCTGAAAAAAAAGGTATTGGGTATTTGGTTGCGGGGGAAACAATCCAGACCACCTGTGCCTTCTGCCTGGGGGCATTTTTAAGCTGCAACTCCGAGCTCTTGCTGCGCCGTTGGGAGCAGGACGCTAGAAGCAGGAAATTAGGAGTACCCCCGTAACCTCCAAAGACCCGCTTTTTTCAGTTGGTATTCTTGGGGAAAATTGGTAAGTACCTCCTTTTTTGGTAGAGGGTCGCCTTCATACCCTGAACAAAAAATAGTATTTGGAGTGGGGTTAGGACGCAAGGGTGGGCTGGGCTTGTCTTTCAACGCCGTTTGGAAAGGGACGTTAAGCAGAGGGATCCTTCCGAGACTCGCAATCAAGCAACTGGGAATGCACCTGGTGCTTTTGGAGCCGACTCGGCTTCACAGTTCTCAGTTTTGTTTTGCTCAGTTTTGTTTGCAACACCCATAGCCCTTACTCCAAATCCCAACGTTTTTTTCAAGGATTGTTTTGGAACACCGATCGGTTTTCCACGGTAAATACCACCTTTTTTGTGGAGGGTCGACAACTTACCGTAAAAAAGCGGGCATGTGGAGTAGGGGTTACCCCCTACTGGGGGACAAGCCGTTTGGGTTTCTGTTCATGTTCATCACCGGCTACGGTTTCTGTCCGTTTCCATTGGGCTGAGTTTTTCACCAAGGAAGGTCAGATACTTTTACCTCCAATGTAAGCCGCAGAGTACCAAAAGCGGGCTGCCCCTGGACATGGGGATCCACTTGGCATAAGAACACTGGGGAATGTTCGACAGCAGATTTCGCAAGTTACCCTCAAGTTACCACACCCAACGCGACGACTTGTTCGAGTAGGTATGTCAACCCTTGGAGTAAAGAAGGTCTTTGCCCGTTGTTTTTTCTTTCTCGCAACAAGCACCAACGACACAAGCGAATATTTGGAGGCCCCAACACACAAAAGTGGTTAGATATCAAGCATTTTGGAGGGTGCCTGCGCATCCAAAAAAAACACATGAGCCACAATCACAACCGATTCGGGGCGATGAAGGTTAGTAAGGGGTAGTCCCAGCCAGAAATAGTTGCGGAAGTCCGCCTTCTTATTTCTTTACAGAGTTCTGGGTAGACCATTTTTGTACCGGGTTTTGATTATGACTCACATGCGGTTGGTTGGTCGCTTGGCTCCAGGCCTTGGACCTGCCCAACTCCCTCACCTGCGAGCGCCAGGAGGAAGCGAATCGATGGGTTTCGGAGATCGGGATAAACAAACTCCCGGGGAAAGCCTGGGCAGTCTCTCACGGCATCCATAAAAACAGGTGTTGTTTCTTCACTTTGGGGTCGTTTGAGTTGTGTTTTTTACTTTTGCCTAAAAAGGAGTGTTTTTTCGTTTTAAACATTTTGGGGTCGTTTGAGGGTCCAGGTACACACTACCAGTAGAGCCGGCGAAGCCGGTGGGCGGAAGTTTCAAAAACTAAAAAAAAAACGATAGTTCTCTTTCTCTTTCTTTTCGAGACTCTTTTTCTCCGTCATTCTTCCTTTCTTCCTTTCTTTCCTTCCTTCCTCCCTTCTGTCCTTCTTTCTATCTGTCTTTTCGTTCTTTCTTTCGTTTGCTTGTCTATCTATCTTTCTCTACCTATCTATACCTAACTACCTATCTATCTATCTATCTCTCGTGTTATCTATCTATCTGCTTATCTATCTATCTATCTATCTATCTATCTATCTATCTATCTATCTATCCATCCATCTATCTATCTATCTATCTATCTATCTATCTATCTATCTATCTATCTATCTATCTATCTATCTATCTATCTATCTATCTATCTATCTATCTATCTATCTATCTATCTATCTATCTATCTATCTATCTATCTATCTATCTATCTATCTATCTATCTATCTATCTATCTATCTATCTATCTATCTATCTATCTATCTATCTATCTATCTATCTATCTATCTATCTATCTATCTATCTATCTATCTATCTATCTATCTATCTATCTATCTATCTATCTATCTATCTATCTATCTATCTATCTATCTATCTATCTATCTATCTATCTATCTATCTATCTATCTATCTATCTATCTATCTATCTATCTATCTATCTATCTATCTATCTATCTATCTATCTATCTATCTATCTATCTATCTATCTATCTATCTATCTATCTATCTATCTATCTATCTATCTATCTATCTATCTATCTATCTATCTATCTATCTATCTATCTATCTATCTATCTATCTATCTATCTATCTATCTATCTATCTATCTATCTATCTATCTATCTATCTATCTATCTATCTATCTATCTATCTATCTATCTATCTATCTATCTATCTATCTATCTATCTATCTATCTATCTATCTATCTATCTATCTATCTATCTATCTATCTATCTATCTATCTATCTATCTATATCTATATCTCTCTATCTCTCTATCTATCCATCTCTCTATATCCCTCTATCTCTGTCTCTCTCTTTCTCTATCTGTCTATCTATCTATCTCTCTATCTCTCTTTCTTTCTATCTTTCTATCTCTCTATCTCTCTTTCTTTCTATCTATTTATCTCTCTATCTCTTTCTCTATCTCTTTCTATCTATCTATCTATCTATCTATCTATCTATCTATCTATCTATCTATCTATCTATCTATCTATCTATCTATCTATCTATCTATCTATCTATCTATCTATCTATCTATCTATCTATCTATCTATCTATCTATCTATCTATCTATCTATCTATCTATCTATCCATCTATCTCTCCATCTATCTGCTTTTTTGGCACCGAAAGGGGCTTTCTCAGGATCAGGCAATTTTTGCCAAGCCCAAGACAATCCTAAAAACAGCATTTTTTGCCCATAACAGGGCCTGCTTCAAGCTTCCTCTAAAACGAGGAGGCCTGAAGAGTGCCTAAAAAAACAGCCCCTTTGGTTGCCCTTTCCTGCCTCTAGTCGGTTGCCTTTTCCTCGGACACCCCCCCCCCTTAATAACATTGAAAGTCCCAAACGGGGTGTGTGGTCCCGGTACTGTGTTTTACAGCACAAACGGATCCTGGAGACATCCCGGAATGATCCCGGCACTGTGTTTTGCAGCACAAACGGATCCCGAAACATTAGGAGGTCTTAGGAGGTAGGGGATACACCGCTTTGTGGGTGAATGTTCCCGGTAAAGCTCCGAACCCCGAAAGCTCTGGATGCCCCAGTCTTTTCAGTTGGCTTCATGTGTGAATCTGTTGGGGCTTTTGAGAAAAGCCTGTACTCAGAAAAAAGAGTTGGTACCAACTTCATGTCGCCGCTCTACTAAGAAAGGTTTGGTATTTACCATGGAAAACCGATCGGCTTTCCTAACAATACCTTGAAAGAACGGGTATTTGGAGTAGGGGCAATCTGTTGTGGCGTTTGAGGAAACTAAACATACGCTCTATACTCCAAATACCCGTTTGTTTTCTGGTATGTTTGGGAAAACCTGGTTTTCCATGAGCTTTCGGGGTTTGTCTTTTGGCCGCGGGGAGGCCTGGGACGCTTTGGCCGCCACCCTCTCTGTGCTGCTGGACCACCCGGACGCCCCCGCCGAGGAAAAAAACAAACGCCGCTCTCGAAGGGGGGGTCGGTCTACCCGCTCTTTGCTCTTTGTCTCACTCCCTCAGTTCCATAAAAATGCGACCCCAAAATGAAACCCTTTTAAATGGAACCAAAGGACTAAAACCTGCGCTCCCCTGATGGTTGTATTTTGACCCACACTCATTTCGAACTTTATTCTTCAAGCGCTGGACCACCCGCACGTCACCTTTTTCAGCACTTCCTCTGCGCCGCTGGCTTAGGTCGGGCAAGGACAGGTGTCCTTCCTAAGGTCGACCCTATATGGCTGTGGTGGTCAAAACCAATGGTGCCATTTGGGTTGTAGGTGAATTCACCATCCATTTTAGAACCTATTTTAGTGGGGATTGGGATGTTCACTGGGAGAAAGGGATTTTGACCCATGGCCCCATTTCGAACTTTATTCGAGGAAGACCCTTTTAGTGGTAAACGGAAAGTTTGGACTTGTGTTGGCACCACCCACTCAGGAAGGGAGTGTTTCAGGTGGTATGATGTGCCCCCTCCAAATGCCCCACTTTTTGTTAGGGTACCATTCAACAAGGTCAAGAAGCCAAAGCCAGGGTTTCCCAAAGCTACCCTTGACAAAGCAGGTATTTGGAGTGGGGGGGGTATGCAACCAGGTTCTGCCAAACATAAACCAAACAATGCTGGTATTTGGAGAAGGGGGTAGCCTCGGCCGTGCAGAACGTCACTGTTAATTGGGCTGGGGTCGGTTGGTTGTTCTCAGCCACACCCTTAGGTTTTCTGTTTTTTGGGCTTGGTGGGGGTTTCTATTCAACCCACTAAAAGTTAAAGGTTTAGCGGGTCCAAAGTTCCTCCTCCTCTAAATACCATCTTTTATCAGGGTATCACGTCGACCGTCTACTAAACAAGGTTTGGCATTTTCCATGGAACACCGATCGGTTTCCCCAAAAAACTAGCCTGGTGTTCGTTTTCTTGGGTTTGGTGGGCGGTTCTATTTAACCCACTAAAAGTTAAACTGTTAGCAGCCCAGCCAGCTTGGGCTGAGTCGCAAGGTTGTTTCCCTTCTGCCACTTGGGGGCTGCTTGGGCTGAGGTTGTTTAAGGGGGCCAGTGGCTGGGGGGAGAACACACATGTTCGATTAATAAAGCCCCCCCTCCAACAATGGAGGAACTAGAATTCTGTAGGCTCACTTTTGGGACGTCCAAACAATGGAGGATTTTGGGGCCAAACTCTACTTGAGTATTGCAGCCACTTCCTTTTTGGAACACTACTTTAGTATTACAACCACCTCTTCCTGAGCATACTTTTTGGAATACTAATTACTTTAGTAGCCATTCAAAGGGTGTGCCTTTCAGCCAGGGAGGGCTTGAGCTAGAAAGACACCAATTGAAGGGGAATGCTGTTAAGTATTTGGGCCACCAATCAAAAGGGGAATGCTTTTGAGTAAAGCAACCGACAGTTTATTTTCTGGAGGGGGCCGGGGGCTTGCCACTAGTGTGGTCCCCCTAAAGAATGCCATTGTTGTGGTTCAGTGGGGGGGTACCCTTGTCCTGATTGTGTTTCATTTTTGAACACATTTTAATGAAGAATTTGCAGTTTCAGGGCTGGGGATGGTTTTGAAATTTCAGAGGTTTTAGTTGGCTTTGGGTTTTGTGTTTGAGCTATCCCATTACTAATCGGGTGCTAACATTATTTTCCATCCACTTTTGCGTCAAGTTATGTCCTATTCTAGTGGGTTTCAAGTGGCTTGGAACCAAAAAAAGGTGGCCAAGCTTGGGGATCCCATTTGCGCCCCCAAAAAAGACATGGACCACCTCCCAGCCGGCGGTTTTTCTCGGCGGAGAGTTTGGAGGAGCCCAACGCTCTGCCGAAACTCTGCTGGCAGCTGGACTCGGAATGAGTCGAACTGAGTCGAAGTGAGTCGGAGTTCGATGGGGGCCCTCAAGCTACCTGGACCCCCCAAAAAAAAATGTTTCTGCCTTTGACCCAAAAAAGGTCCTTTGGGGGTCCAAGCTACCCCAAAAAAAACATTCTCCCCGGAAAGTGGGTTGCAACGGCCCGTGTTTGTTGGTAGTTTGAACGCCGGGGCCGATTCGTTTTCTCGATCTGGCTCGATGGGAATGGACCGACGATGCATCATCCAACTGTTTTCCCAGGCCTTGGGTTGATTCCCAAAGCGGCGACTATAGGTACCCAGGGGTTGCCTCATTCATGGTAAAACCTGGTACGAAACCCGAAGGGTTACATTCTGCAACTGAAAGCACTGCTCAGCAAGCGAATCCACTGGATGAAACCTTTTGGTTTCCCTGATTTGGTCCACATGGGTGTGCCTTAAAAAGAAAAACATCCCCCCCCAATAGCGGGTTTTCCTTCTAAAGTTTGAAGCCACAAAGGAAAACAGGAGCACCTTTCGCCTCAAGACAAATACCACCCCATGTTTGGTCGGGCCCCATATTCGGATCGCCTTGTAGGCAACTGTTTTCCGAGTGATTCTCCCCCTACTCCAAATACCATCTTTTTTCAGGGTATCATGTCGACCCTCTACTAAAAAGGGAGGTATTTACCATGGAAAGCCCGGTTTTCCCAAAATACCCTGAAAAAGTGGGTATTTTGAGTACGGGGTCTTTATCCTCGCCTTTTTTGTTTTTGTCGCACAGGGAGGACCGAGACTTTCCAGAGAAGCGGCTTTTGTTGAATGTTGACCCCAAATGAACCCCCTGTTTGTTTGTTAATAGGGGGTGTTTTTTGGCCCCTCCAAAAGTGATGATTCCCCACATTTCACCCGGGAACACCTATTTATACACAGGGGTTGATTAATTTGGGGTCAACACTTCCAGTTTTTAAGAACCGTTCTGCATGTGTTGTGGCCTTTTGGCTCTGTTCTTTTTGAGAGGCTGGCTGCAGCTGGCAACGTGTTTTGCTACCCGAACGAAGGTTTGAAGCCTCCGGCATTGTCGTTTCCATTTGCCGAAGCGAAGATGTGCCCCCTACACCCAATACCCACTTTTTTGAGGGTATGATGTCGGCCCTCTACAAAAAAAAGGGATCGGTATTTACCCTGGAACACCGATCGGTTTTCCCAAAAAAATCCAACTGAAAAAAGCGGGTATTTGGAGTAGTTCGGGGGTGTGCTTTCCCCTGGGCATCGATCACATGACTTCTGGCGGAAAAGCCACTGACAGTGAAGGATTCGATTCCCCGGAACATCGTCCCCTGAACCAGCATTTTTTTTCAAGATGCCCCGCACCAAACGCCGAAGTAGATACATGGGCACCTGAAACCCCCAGTAGCTACCTGGACCCTCAAAATTCCAACTTAAAAATGGGTTTGAGCCCCAAAATTATGGGGTGATATCCCATTCTTATGGGTAGTTTGAGGGTCCAGGTACCTTGTTTCTTCCAAGCCACTGGCACCCCACTACTCAGTAGCCCATCATTTGGCCAAGGCCGCTGGAAAACAAGAGAAGGCCTCGAAACGGGGGCTTTCAGGTGCCCTTCTGGGGTTGATCTTCCAGGACCCTGAAAAAGCAGGGCCTTTGGCTGATTTTCCTTTTCCAACCAAGAGCAAAATCAAGAAGGGCCCTGTTTTTGCCGTCCCTTGGAAGATGAAGGAAGAAGAAGAAAAAGAAGAAAAAGGCGACCGGCCCATGTTTTGGGGCACGGCGTCACGGAACGTTCCATGCCCACAAGCGCGATGTACCGTGCCAGGTGCGCCGGGCTCTCCCAGCCTTTTTTTGAGGGCGCCAGGTTGGCCCTGGACATAAACTAGGTGCCCCAGCAAAAGGGTGCCCTTTCTCACCCCTTTGTTTGGTTGGGAGAAAAAAGGTTCCCCTATTGAAATCGAGGTCCTGAAAAATAAGGTTGGTACCAACTTATTCTTAGGTCCTCAAATCGGGAGGCCCTAGTACAGCGCTTCTGGCCGATCCCAGGGGAGGCCAAAATGTTGCCAAAAGATACACCTGGACCCTTGGACTACCCATATTTATGGGCACCTGGACCCGCAAAGGATCCCTTTTTTCTGCCTTTGTACCCTTTTTTTGGGTCAAAGGCAGAAAAAAGGGGTCCTTTGGGGGTCCAGGTAGTTTGAGGGTTCAAGTATATGTTCTGTTTTGCCAAGTGTTGGTGTGGAGAACTTAAGAGGAAGGTATCTTCACAACGAAAAGCCGGGCTTTTCCAACTTTGCCGAGGGTTATTTTGGATCTTCCATCCAAGACATAATTGCGTATTTGCGAATTGTGGGAGTTCTGAAGGTTTGTTGGGAATCTTGCATGTACTGAGGTTTTTGAATTTTAATTCTCAAAAATATCGAGGCTGTTTGAGAACGTTTGCATTTACTGAGGGTTTTTTGGGGAACTTGCATCCCAGACATAGTTGCTGAGATTTCGAGTGTGTGTTTTTGTAGAACTCAAACTTAAGTGTTGCATGTCCCAACACAGACATACGTATATTAAAAGCATGCATTTGGCCACTTTTAAAGGACGAGAAACCCGTTGCTCAAAGCACTGCTTTCAGCTCCCAATCCCTGCTTTTGTTGGGATATGAGGATCGATCGGTTGACCAAACACCCCGAACAAACAAATCGGGTCCCGAATTTGGCGGTTTAAGTTACAGGCGTTGTTCTCTCGACCATTTCTTGGGGTTGTCAACGTTGGAAACTGGGATCGGTGGGTTTTCCCCTACCCACCACTTAGGGATCACTTGGGGGTGGCTTTGATACTGCCTGATTAGATAGCCAAGTTACTAAGTTGCGATCGCTTTTTCAGTCACTGCTGCGATCGGTTTTTGGGGGTATTGTTCCATGGAAAAAAGCGATCGCAACTGGCGATCCAGGTGCTAGGATCGCTACCTGGCGATCCAGGTGCTAGAATAGCGGGGCCAGGGGTATGGGGTCCGTAACTTCGTCTCGGTTCGGATGCCTTCGAATTGGATAGGACCCAGCGCTGATCAGATGGAGCGTGAGCACCTTGGATCTGAAGTCTGAAAAAGTTCGATCGATTTCGCCGGTGTTTTGTTGTTGAATGTTGACCCTCAACCCCCGTAACCTCCAAATACCCGGCCTTTTTTCAGGGTATGATGTCGGCCCTCTACTAAAAAAGGAGGTATTTACCATGGAAAACCAGGTTTTCCCAAAAACACCCTGAAAAAACGGGTATTTGGAGAAGGGGAATAATCAGCTTACCCCCTACTCAAGGGTGGATGGGAAACCACCGCTTAACCGCCACCAATCCAAACCAAACAAACAGAGGGAAGCCGAAACACACCACACCCCCGAAGGCCCCAAACACCAACGCCCCGAGCAGTAGTATTTTTTGTGGAAAACCGATCGGCTTTCCATTTTAAATACCCTATTGTTTAATGAGGGTTCACATGTTAGTATGGGGGTGTCTCTGGGGAAATGTGGGTTCTTCCCTTGAGGGGACCACCCCCTATTAGACGGAGGTTGATAAATGTGGGGTTGTTTGCCCAGTGCTTCCAGGTGTTTCGCCGCTACACAACCCTTCGGGTTCTGTACCTCTAGGTTTTACATGATGGTTTCCCCTGACTATAGTCACTGGGGGTTATTTGTTGTGTGTTGTTAGCTTCCTCTTCTTCATAGCCTTCAGGCACTTTTGGGATCATTTTAGTGGTATGTCAGAGGCATATTAATGTCAAAGTTGCGACCCCCAGCTTGTCCCAAAAGTCAACTCCATCCCATTTAAACAGCTCGTAAAAATGCCCCCTACTCCAAACACCCGTGTGTTATATATTCATATAAACATACATTGATATACCTGGTGTTCCACGGGTAAATACGTCCTTTCTTAGTTAACGGCTTGACCTCTTCGCAAAAACAGGCGGGTATTTGGAGGGAGTAGGAGCCCCACATCAAGTAGGAAACTTGCTCCACAGACAGGTTTTACGGAAGCGAACTCAACTCCACAGCCTGAACTCGAGTTCCCATTGGAGCTTCCGTTTGCTTTTGTTTGTTTGTTATGTTCCCCTGTGATTTTCAAGGGGAAACTAGCACTATATTAAGGTGATATTTTTTTTGTGGTTGGATTGGTGGTTTGGATTGGTTTGGGGAATTGAACAACCACCAATTAGAGAAAAGCTGATTAACCCCTGTTCTCGACGATGTACTTGAAGAAGAGGATAAAACAAGTCGACGTGTTCTGGCCAATCCGCTTGATCGGAAGTGAGTTTTGGTGTCTCTTTGAACCAGCCCTAAAAAGGATATCTGGACCCAAAGACACCTACCCGGCAAAAACTGGGAATTGGTCGCTAGCCATATGTTTAGTTGGCAATATCCACTTGGGTAGTTTGAGGGTACATTTTGGCAGCATGGGAGTTACTCATGGAAAAGCCTCCTCCATTTGCGTAATGTTTGAAGGGAAACCAGAGGACTGGTTTCAAGCAAAATGACCTAAACAATACTGTGGATGGACCGAATCCTGCACCACCTGAAAACATGGGCAGTAGGTACTTGGAGCAGGGGTAAGCTTTGGAAGAATCTTCCGCTCAATCTGGGCGCCTCTGTGAAGGCTCGGGGGTCAGAGGTGGCAGCAGTTTGAGCGGATTCCGGGCGAGCCCTCCGATTTGAACGGCCCAAGCGCAACAATCGCAGAAGTAATGTAGGCGGCTAAATAATCACGCACAAACAAATCTTCTGATCGTGGCTTAATTAATTTGCTTTTACAGGCTCCCGGAACCTTATTTTAGTTAATTAGCTCCCTTGCAGTACTCACTTGCCCAAAGCGAATTGACCTGATAGAACCTTTAAGTGTCCGCTTTTTAGATTCCCATTGTTGGTACCCTCAAAAGGATTCACCTTGCATTTCCGGGTCCGAATTGGGTTCAACTGAGAGTACCCGTTTGCTACACCTGAAACGGCCTTCCCATGGTTGCCAACCGAAAGGCCTCGAGTCCACTCGAGGCGAGATTCTGAACCCCTCCTGGTCTCCGGACCTGAACGAGGTGAACTTGAACCTCTATGAGGCGCTGGCGCTTCAGCGACGCCCGATTCGATCCGAAAGCGATCGGCCAAGAGGAGGTGGTGAACAAACAAGGGGTGCTGCAAATATGTCATTCTTCAGGATGCCAACTTGGGCTGGCTGAAGAAACTTGGAACCGAAAGGAAACCCAATGTGGGTTTCATGTACAGGGAAACCGCCTGGTTTCAAAGGCACAAGGACTGCCGTGGTCATTTCTTGACGGTTCAACCTGCGAATCGTCCGGTTCAACTTAGGGAATTGTTGATTTTAGTGTGTTTAGGGTTGGGTTTCCAAAACTTTTCGCAGGGGATCAGTTTGGACAGGCCAGACTTTGGGGTCAACTTTGAAGCAAGCCCACATGACTCACCGGAATCTTCGATCAATCCGCGGCTCAAATTCGGTTTTCATGTCTTCCAGCGAAGGACCGGCTGGTGGGGGACACTCATTAGTCACGAAGAAGGAGTAAAACAAGCAGCCCCTTCAACTTCAGACTGGTTCAGGCTGTAATTTCAACTGTGCCTTTCAATGTTGCCAATTGTTTCGCCTAGCTGCACGATCGCTGGATGGGGTAATCGTGAGGTCTTGGAAAGCCGCTTGATTCATCATTTGATTTATGTTTGCCCTGTGACTTTGTCGCCTGCTTGTTGATGGCAATCACTGACTATACCGCGTGCCAGAAGTGCACGAATGGAGCGGCAACCAATTGCGACTATGGTCTGTGTGGAGGCTGCTGCTTGCGGCGTGATTGTCGCCGTCATGGGCAGAATGAGTGTAGAAAATGTCAGAATAAAGCTGCAGACAACTGTGATTATGGTCTTTGCGGCAAGTGCTGCTTGCGTCGCAGTTGCTCTCGTCATGGGCAAGAGGAGTGCCGAAGATGCATGAACAAAGCAGCAGAGAGTTGTGGTTTTGGTCTTTGTGGGCGTTGCTGTCTTCGGCGCGATTGCAACTGGCATGGACAGCAGAATTGCAAGAAGTGTAAAAAACAGCTAACCAGCACCAGTGCGCATTGCGACTTCGGTAGGTGTGGAGACTGTTGTGCTCGGCGTGATTGCACACGCCATGGTGGGGAGGAGTGCAGAAAATGCAGAAAACAGCTGACAAGCACCACAGTCCATTGTGACTATGGATGTTGTGGGAGCTGTTGTTTTGTGAGGGACTGTCCACGCCATGGTGAGGAGGAGTGCAGAAAATGCAGCAAACAGCTTACAAGCACCACAGTCCATTGTGCCTATGGTTGCTGTGGGAGCTGTTGTTTGATCAGGGACTGTCCACGACACGGTCAGGATGAGTGTAAAAGGTGTGACGCTGAAGCAGACAAAAAGTGCGACTTTGGTCTCTGCAACGGGTGTTGCCTGAGGCGAACTTGCCGTTGCCACGGCCAGGAGAAGTGTAGGACATGCGCAAACAAAGCAGCTGGCGATTGTGACTATGGCCTTTGTAGATGCTGCTGCTTGCGGCGAGATTGCGGCTGCCACGGGCAGGACGAGTGCAGGAAATGCAAGAACGACGCAGCTGGCGATTGTGACTATGGTCTCTGTGGCGGTTGCTGCTTGCGTCGCAGTTGCTTGCGCCACGGGCAGCAGGAGTGCAGAAGATGTGCGAACGAAGCATCTAATAAGTGTGACTATGGACTCTGCGGTAGTTGTTGCTTGCGACCAAGCTGTAACTATCATGGAAAGGAGGAATGCTACTCGTGCAACAGCAAAGCAACGCGAGATTGCACGCTTGGCCTCTGTGGGAGCTGTTGCTTTTGGTGCACTAGTTGCACTACAGATGCCGAGTCAGCAGAGATCCTTTCACATCGCCTTGTAGCATGTTGTGCGGTTCCATGCAAGAATCTTCGTGATATCCGCTTTTCGCAGGCAAAGTGCAGTGAGAGCTTTAGGGATGGTTCAGGAACAATCTGGGACACAGCAGACAGCTTTGCAAGGGGAGCGCGCAAACGAGATATACCTATGGTGAAGGCGTATACGGTAGATTCTTGCATCTTTGCTCTTGACCACCGTCGCCTGGCAGCAATGAAGATTGCAATGCATCGTGGGCATCTCGGCGATTTGATCACAATTGACTTGTATGGCCCTGGTGTGGAGGACAGTCCGTCTGCAAAGAGAGAGTTTGAGCGGAAGAACTCTACAAAGAATGGTGGCACGAGAATGCGCATCACGGGTACAGATATCGAAGTAGACTTGCAGGGTCGTCTATGGAGAAGCCATGCGGAGGTGGTCACAGATGTGGGCTGGCGCCCACACACAGAATCAAGTGGTTCCCATATGAATACGCTGCTGCTGTGCAGAGGGTGCAACACTTTGTTGACTTGTAGGTTTGGTCTCATTGGACATGGAGGCACTCGATTTTGCAGGCGCTGCTATGATATTGAAGATACACGAAGGCTGTTTGGAGGCTATTTTGGCCCATCATTATTGGCTGACTATGAGTAGTGAACAACAGCGCATTGTCAATGATCATCGTCGAAAACGCGTCTTCAGAGGAGGGGGGTGCCAAGGGGAAATGGGATCGAGTGTTTTTCCTTGCATGTACAAATTGATCATGCCCCCCTACTCCGAATACATTTGTTAAAGGGTATCATGTCAACCCTCTACCAAAAAAGGAGGCAAACAAAACCATGGAAACCCATGTTTTCTCACAAACACCAAGAAAAAGGCGGGTATTTGAAGTAGGGCCTGTGCGACTTAGAGATGACACAGCGCGATGCCACCTGGCACGAAAATCCCACATGAGTCTCAGCACTGCCCTCGCGCCTGTGGAAGCTGAGTTCGGAAGGGGGTACTCGAGACATCCAACAATTCTTTTGGTGGACCCAGGGTGGACCCGGGGTGTTCGCAGGGAGCGAAAGGGAGGTGGCTGGCTCAACACCTTCGTTGGCAAAAGAAATCCGAGGGGTTTGAGCCTTGCAGGCTCGTTCTTGCCCCTTGTGCCCCCGTAACCTCCAAATACCTGTTTTTTTTCAGTTTGGATTTTTTTGGAAAACCGATTGGTTTTTCAAGGTAAATACCTCCTTTTTGGTAGAGGGTCGACATCATACCCTGAAAAAAGTGGGTATTGGGTGTAGGGGGTAGTCTGTGGATTGGTTCTGTAGTCGCAGCAGATCTAAGGCACGGGCAACTTAGATTATTCTACATTTGTTGATATTCTTGCTCTGCTAGTTCCCAGCGCATGTTTGATCTCACTGCTTTGGCATGATTTCCTTGAGCTGCGTGGCGTTTATGCTCGCCCCCCTTTCTCAACTGGAGTTGTTTATCTCAGTCCAAACCAAATCGAGCGGATCTAACCCTTTTGTTTTCCCATGCCCCCTAAATACCAACTTGCTTCATGGCATGGAAGGGTATCCTGTCAATCCCTTTCTAAAAGGAGGTACTTACCACAGAAAACCTGCTTCAAACATACCCCAACAAAGACACCTTTTATTTGCAGATCCCAAGGGCAAGTGAGTTACCCACCACTCCAAATACCAACCCTTTTCTCAGTGCATTTTTGGGAAAACCTGGTTTTTCATGGTAACTACCTCCTTTTCTAGTAGGGTTTGACATGATACCCGCCAAAAAAAAGGTATTCAAGTAGGAGGCGGCCCTCCTTGTGCCAGGTTTTGACTGGGATTTTGAGGTCTCAAAAGGAAATGCCATCCACTTCATTTGAAGTCGCTGCTTGCAAAATAACCAAGGATTCGGTTCGCTGGTCAACAAGTCAGCTGATGTACGGGTCGGTTTTGGTTGAGCTGCTCCGCCTTGCTGAAATATTAGCGCAACTATCGCTGCATAGAAAACCAATACAACACATACCAAAACCATTGACCTTGGTTCGTTTTTGTTTTTGTTAAGGGTTGACGGTGGGTCAACCTTGGCTCGTTGTGTGCAATTTGGTTTGCTGTCGGCACAGGCGGGTTTTAAGGATGCCTGAAAAGTGCCAGTTTAGTGGAGCTGCCTGGACACGAAGAAACTGCGTAGAAAGGGCGAATCCACCCCGCAGTTTTTGCGGGCAACAACACGAGTGGTTTGAGGGAGCCGGTCCTACTAGCTGGCTTATATTGGGGGGCGTTGCTCATTACATGGCCACTGTGAAGGATACTTGTTGATTCAACCCAGCGGACACTGACTCCTACGTTGGGGAACACATCCTAATCTGACTGAGTTGGCCAACGACCTTTTCAAGTTTCCTTAACCAGCGCTTGCAGTTGCCAAGGTCCCTCGTGTCTAGCTCCAACCATGCATGGCTTCCCCGATTACCTGCTGATAACTGGAACCACGGGGTATATCCAGCCTCTGGATGAACCACCTCCAAAGTGATTGGTGGACATGAATCCCCGCTGAATTCTGATGTCCAGCATTTCGGGTCCAGACAAACCGCCTTGAGGAAAGCTGAATATGCCAAGCTAATTCCATTGTTTTCCAAAAAAAAGGCCTTCTTGATGTTGTTCTTGGTTTCAGAAGCGGACGATCCCATATTTTCAGCTTGCACTCATATGAATCATCAAATCGCATTTCCACTAGCTAGTTGGAAGGAGGGAGCCAGGCGGAGCTAGCGAAATGGAGTTCTGGTTAGGGACATGGGTCCTTTCCTTGTCTTCCATGTGCGTTTCAATGAGTATGTTGTTTTTTTTTGGTGTTTTCTCCTTGTTCATTTTAGAAGGAACTTATCTCTACTGGGCATATGTTCTCAATTTGTCCAGGGGTCTTAACTAAATGGAAGTAAGGACACGGTTCTCAATTGTTTCCAAGCCTTTTTTCCAGACATCCTCTGGAATCCCAGGGAAAACGGAAGGTTTTTGAAAATATGTTTTAAGAAAACATGGGGAATCAAGTACTATGTCTAAACATAATGGGGAATCAAGTCGAGAGCTCAATTTCTTCCGTCCCAAACCCATGCACGGAGAGGCGCAGTACTACTGCGACGAGCGGGTGAATGAGCTCATCGAAGGAGAGGTCAAGGCGAGGGTTGAGAAAGCTAGCCCCGCAACCACCCGAGACCCGGCCTGACGGGACCCACTGGTCCAAAGCGATAAAACCTGAAATCACCTTTTGGAGTTTGTGAGTTAAAACAACGGGAATATTGGGACCCCTTTCTCGCCCAAATGAACAACCGGCCAGTCATATTGATCAGACATCAGTTTTTGGGGGAATCTGGGTGTATGTCGAGTTTAGAGGGACTTGGAATCTGCACGCATGTGGAATCTTCCGCGTGCCAGTCATATTGACAGTCGCTATGCCCGCTTTTTTTTTGTTGAAACAACTACTGATTGATTGTTCATTTGGACATCTGGAGAGGGCGAGAAAGGGGTCCTACCTAATGTTCCTGTTGTCTTTCTGAAGAAATGGGGGGGGCAAGACTTGGTTTCATTTACCGAGGCCTTCTGGGAGTTGCGGCTGTTAGTCTGAGGGAGCGTACACAAATGAACTAGTTGCTTCCATTTGCTTAAGAATATGTTTCTTTTTCATTTTCCCCAGTTGGACGGAAAATCTCAGGGCAACTATCAAGCTTAGGCTTCAACTGGGGTCTCCTCCAACGCTATATACGGTATATTTGATTGTTGAGAGTACCCCCTTAACCTCCAAATACCCACCCTTTTTGAGTTGGCATTTTCGGGCAACCTGGCTTTCCAGGGAAAAATGCACCATTTGCAGTCAAAGGTTGACAGCATATCCTATAGCCTGAAAACCATGGGTATTGGGTGTACGGGTATGACACACAAGCAGAACCTAAGTTCCCAGCTTGTAGTTTTGTTTTTGGCGTGTTCTGGATGCGGTTAGTGGCAAGCTTCGGGTCAATGGAGCAGACGGATTCTTGGATCGGTATTTTCCCGATCGGTTGTCCGAATATCATCAACTCAAAAAGCGAGCGTGTATTATGACTCTCTGACAAAGGTTGTTTGTTTTTCAAAAACGCCAACTAAACAGAGGTGTCTCCTGGCACCAACTCAATTGGTTTTGCCCCCTAATTTCCCTGCAAAGCACCCATTGACCCTCAAACTAGCCTCATACAAGGGAACTCGCGACAGAAGAGTTGAGGGGCAGCGTCCGGTTTTTGTTGTTTTTTCAGTTTGAGTGGCGCTCGAGTTGTCATGCAGTGACTTCAGCAACAACAAAATGAGAGCTCTTCGCTCGATGTTGCGCATCCCGAAACCTTGGATGAATTTGTGAACCCGTTCCGGTAGTATATACCCCGTACTCCAAATACCAACGACTTGTTTAGTCGGTAGATTTTGGAAAACTGATCGGTTTTCCACGGTAAATACCACTTCATGCCCTGGACAACCTAAAACAGGAGGGTATGTGCAGTAGGGGTACCCCAAAACAGGCCGGGTACTTGGAGCTTTCGGGGGGTATCCCAAAAACCCGCCAAGTGACTACCAAGTTTCCGAAAGCTAGCCAGGAGATCTAAGTATCATTTTTTTTTTTTTTTTGCGGTGGGGGGTAAAGCACCAAGAGCTTTCCGGAATATGATACCTGCTTGTTCCCCCTACTCCAATATCGTTTTTTTAGTTTGTATTTTTGGGGAAACCCTGGGCTTTCACGGTAAATACCTCCTTTTTTAGTAGAGGGTCGACGTGATACCCTGAAAAAGCAGGTTTTTGGAGTAGGGCGTTAGTGAAGCTAGTCATTGAGAGTTCAGATTGCATGTCAAGGCAGCAGGATGACCACCCCATGGCGTCTTGGATCCTGCAAACATGTACCCGTTTCCTTGTTCAGTTTTGTTTTCTTTTCGGAGAACCAATCGGTTTGCCATGGTAAATACATCCTTCTTTAGTGGGTTGCCATGATACAAACCAAAAAAGCTGGCGTATTTAGAGTAGTACACGGACCTTTGGAACCCGGCCTGTTTAAGTGCTCCTTCAGCACAAAGAAGTTACACCCTTCATATAAAATGGTCACGCCAACTAAACTTACCCCCGAAAGCTCCAAATGCACACCTTTTTGGGTTTGTTTTGAAGAACAAGGTTGAAACCATGGCAAATACTGATCCCTCTTTTAGTATAGGGTTGACATCATACCCTATCATATACCCGGACACAAGTGGGTATTGCGTGGGGGGGGGGGTATGGGGTGATTTCAACGCTGTTGATGGAGTTGTTGTGGGCTCCAGGGAGGCATTTTGGCCAATCAACTCTACGATGGCTTCCACTACCCAATCTACCCTGCACTAAACTGGGATATACCTGGACGCTCCCACTATCCATACAAATTGGACATCACCTCAGGTATGGATTTATAACATATATAAATATACCCCCTACACCCAATACCCACTTTTTCACGGTATGAGGTCGGCCCTCTACTAAAAAAGTAGGTATTTGCCATGGAAAACCGATCGGTTTTCCCAAAATTACCAACTGAACAAAGCATGTATTTTTTGAGTATACCCATACAAGTTGGACATCACCTCAGGTGTGAATTTGTAACAATATAAAGATGTATACAACAATAATATGCACATTTTCCTAAACAATACTCTGAAAAAAGCGAGTATTTTCAGTAGCGGGTATACCACAAAACAAGGAGCAATATACACCCTTTATTTGGTTGGCCGTTGGCTGTGGTGGTTGGGCACGTGGCTTTTCGGCTTTTCGGCTCGGCATTCTTCGGGCCAGGGAACTTGCGAGACGAGGTCCAGCTGGCAGCTCAGAGGGTTTCGGTCTCGGCGAAGAGTCGAAAACTCGGACGCCGCGCGGATTTGTTTCAGGGTATTTTTGAGAAAACCTGGGTTTCCATGGTAAATACCGTTCCCGTTTTTAGTAGACTTAGAGGGTCGACATGATACCCTGAAAAAAGTGGGTATTGGGTGTAGGGGGTACTCCAAATACCCGGCATTTTTGTTCAGTTGGTATCATGTCGACCCTCGACAAAAAAGGGAACGGTATTTACCATGAAAAGCCAATCGGTTTTCCCAAAAATACCCCCCCCCCCCCGAAAAAAGGAAAAAAAAGAGAAGAAACAACAAAACGGGTACTTTGAGTAGGGGGTTGTTGAAGGGCAACCCTTTTTTTTGGGTTCCCAGAGGCTCCAACTCGATGGATGGGCCTTCAAAGCCCCTGGCTTTGAGACCGGGTCCCAACCACCAAGTCCCGGGGTGTCTAATGGGGTCGGGTCTTCGATTGAAAGCCCCAGGGCTCGGAGAGTAGAGGCGGATGGTTGAAATCGAAATCCGCTTCTCGCACCACCTAAGAAACCGTAGAATGAGGCGATTCCCCAACGTAAACACCAACCAACGTTATGGTTTCAACCACGGCTTCCAAGTGGTGCGAAATGGAGTTTGTCCATCCAGTACCTCCTGGTATGGTTGTTGGGAAACCATTTTTGACATGTGTTCCTGTGGTTTAGTGGGAAATCCAAATCCACTCAACTGCTAAGATTTAAATCTTTGCTCCCCTTCCAACGTCAAGCAAGAGAACTTCCACCACACCTTGGAATTATCGGAATGAGTGAGCCCCCGGAACATGTTTTTGGCTCCCCTTCCAACGTCCCTCCTGGGGGGGTGGTTTGATTCAAGGCAAAATGATTGGACAGCGAAGCTACGCCTGTTGGAGAAGCTGGGTGGTTCCCAGCCATCTCCACAATTGGGTGTTTAGCTGTTTTGGGTTTAGCATGTCCAGGGCAAACCTGCATGTCAGCTTGGTTCTGCATCATTTGAGTCTCTTTTTTGGAGAGTCCCAGGGTTTTTTGGTTTCAGGTGTCCCCCAATTCAGGGTTTGGATTGGGGGTTTGGGGATGCAGGAACCCCCGAACCCCCGAACCCCCGAACCTCCGAACCGCCAACCGCACGTTTGGAGGGAAGCTGATGGCAGGGGGTTTTAAAGGACCTCAGCGGTGGTAACTGCTTCCGCACTGGGGGGGGTCTATGCTTCAGGCACGTCGGCTTTTTGAACTTGTCCTATGCCCGTATCCACCCAACACCCACTTTTTGGAGGGTATGAGAGGGTATGATGCCAACCCGGAGCATAAAAGAGGGATCGGTATTTCTTCTGGAAAGCTCATGACACACCTTGGTTTTCAACCACGAGATTGTAACTCGGATTAATACCCCGCACGCAAGTTCGAATTCGTGCAGTAGATTTACTTTTCTCTAGTGGTTGCTTCCTTTTCCATTCATTTCAACCATCGCTCTTTTCAAAAACAAGGTAATTCCCGGATTTGTTTTAAGAAAGAAGGATGCCTTTAAAGAATGGGCAAGGTACCCCTAGATTTTACGGTTGAAGCCTTCTTCAACCACGTTCCCTGTACTTCCCGGAGAGAAAAAAAGAGAAACGCACGTGGGGGTGTAGCACAACTTGGCCCTTGGCGTGCCCGGACTGGCAGCAGCAACAGGCGCAACAATGCCAAGGCTTGTGTGCGCCAATTTGGACCAAGCAAGGGTGTCCCAATACCCGGCCTTTTTTCAGGGTATGCTGTCGGCCCTCTACGAAAAAAGGAGGTATCTACCGTGGAAACCCATGTTTTTCAATCAATTCCCTAGAACAAGTGGGTATCTGGAGTTGGGTGTATGCGCCCTAACAAGAATCGTGAGCAGTTGGAGACTTGGGGACTTTTCATCAATCATGCAACTGGGTTATGACACATGGCTGTGGGTCAAACATGGGTACCCAAATGGAACCCTGGTAAATGGAAACAAAGACTAAAACCGCGTAACCCCAGCCTTTAATTTTGAGCCACACCTAAATCAACACTAGATGACTGCATAGCAGTCACTTTCCTTCAGTCAGAAGTCAGAAGCCGAGTGGAGGTCGCATGGTCGAGGTTCAAGGGCCTTTCCCTCCGAGAAGAGGGTGACAAGTTCGCCAAACAAGAGGCCTTTCGGTGCTTGTTGCTGGCAAAATCATTTTAACCCCCCCTATTCAAAATACACACTTTTTTCAAGGTATTTTTGGGAAAACCTGGTTTTGCATGGTAAATACCTCTTTTTTAGTAGAGGGTCGACATGATACCCTGAAAACAGAGGGTATGTGGAGTAGGGGGCCCTTCAAGGGCCCCAGATCAGACCATTGCCGGTACTTGATAAACAGCCCACCAGCTCCAACAAAAAGCTCAAAAGTTCTTCAAACAAAACTTCAAGTTGCTCCTAACGGGTTTGCTCTAATAAAGCTCAAGAGAATCCCCACCCCCTCCAAAAAAGGCAGCAGGCCCCCCTTCAAGGGAACCATGCCCCGAACAAAGCAACGAACCATCCCCCTGCCCATCCCCCCCCCCCGAGTGCAGACTAACAGCCGGAACCCAGAAGGCGTTTGTAAATGGAACCAAGGCTTCCATCTCGGGGTCCGTTCGGGATTTTCCATGGAATCGTTTGGGGGAAAGTATGGTGGACACTTAGGGTCTATTTTGCAACCGCTTTCTTTTGGGTTATTGGGCTTTTGTGGCTATGGTTGCGAATATTCCCCATGGAAAGAAGAGTTCATGTTTTAGCAGCCAGGACCCCGTAAAGGGAACCCTCCCCCCCCCGCCTCCCCAGCTGCGCCAGCAGCGGGTCTCAGGCTCGCCGCTGCCCAGCTGCCTCCATGGCGCTGCCACCGTCATGGCCTGCGCGGCCAACATGCGGCGCGCCTAGCGCCACCGGGACGGGAACCTTTGGCGTTTCCGACCGCAAAACGTGTTTTTTGTTATTTATATGTGTGGACCCTGGAACTACCCTTAGAAAGAAAGGGAATTCGCCCCATAAATTGGGGCAATAACATGTTTTAAGGATAGTTTCAGGGTCCATATATATATATACATACATATATATATATATACATATATATATACATATATAGATATACATATGAGGGCCCCTTGGTACCTTTGAGGATGGTTGTTGCTGGGGTTAAAAGGGGGTACAGTATCTCAGCCACTTGGACCCTTGAAGCAGAGCCAAAGGATATGATTCCAGCTCTGACTACCCCCTTTGTCGTGTGTTGAAACATCAGATGCTCCACGGTAGATACCTCCTTGCTTGGGGTTGAGACATTGCTCATTCTCTGAAAACGACTGTGACATCACATGACCTTTTTGCCACTTGGCTGGCCAAAGGAACCGCCCCGAAAGAACAAAAACACAAAAACAACGATGCCTTTTCTTTCGCGCCGAAGCCGGGTGCAATGCCAGCTCCTTGGGAGAGTTGGATGTTGACTCGTGCGGGGTTGGAAGCCAGTGCCAAGGCATTTGGTGGATTCATTTGTTTTTGGTGGTTTCGAAATGTGTCAAATACCTCATCATGGCAGATGCCTGGCATGTCAGCATGTGCTAATGTGGACTCAGCTCTCAATTAGTGTCTCAGGCCAAGCGCACCCCCACCAAATGCAACTACTATTCGGAGACTTTGTGCCACTACCAACCAACCACGACCCGCCCAGGACCCAGGCACCCTTGCACACGAACTTTGGCTCAAATTGCATCTGTATTTGGCGCTCATTTTATATTTGAATCCGTATTTGGCTCAAATACTTATCGAATCATACTGTGAATCAGAACCCGGCGAAGTGAAGGGTAAGGGGCAACCGGATCCCTTTCCATTCCGCTAGGTTTCGACGGCTCGGGAGATGAACGGAAGGAACCCACAAAACCTTTTGTAGAACAGAACAGACCCCCCCGCCTGGGTTTCGCCGCAAGCCGCAAGCCAACATGGGCTGACTCGAGCTGGGTGGTTGAAAGGAGTCGATTTCCTTTGTTTCAATTACCAAGCGCAAGTGGTCAGTCATTTTCCGCAACACAGCCATTCCAATATTTTGAGGGCCTTCTTTTGGGTGTCGCTTTCTGGGCGTGTGTGTTTGAGGCTTGGGTCCCTTCAGCACCTCGTGCTCTGCAATTCTGAGGTTCCTGCGGCACCACAAAGATCCGGAGATGGAGGAACTGGCGCCGGCGCGGGGCCCGGCGCGTAGCGGTGAAGGGCCAGCGTAGCGCTTCGGGGCTTCGGCCGGTCATTGGATCCCAAGTAGGGGTTGAACATGACCATGGGTAATCGTTGTTTTTCTTTCTTGTTTTTTCCTTTTTTTGTTTCCCCGTGAGGAGCAACATCATTTTTGCAGGGTATCGTTTTTTTGGTGGGGAACAACGCCATTTTAGTAGCGACCAGTTTCCCGAATTGGTCGGCCATATCAAGGAAGTAGGGGTATGGTATTGTTTTTTAGTGAGGCAACACATCATTGCACAGTGACAATTGGGTAGGGTGTTTTTTATGGGAAAGACTTCATTTTAGTAGTGACCATTTTCCCTATTACTGGTCGGCCATATAAAGGACCTTCTGATCAACCCCCAAGTGCTTCATGGTTGGCAGGATGCGCCAACATCTTGGCGTTGTTCCGCAGGGAGCTTCAGGGTTCGGAGCGGGGGGTCAAAACGTTTTGTTTCGGAACAGCTTGTCCGGGGTTTCATTCTATTAATGGACGAACTCCTGCACCACTTGGAAACCATGCGAAACCAACAAGTTGGTATTTGCAGGGGAATCATCATTCGAGGGTTTCTTAGGTGGTGCAGGATTTCGTCCCACAGTTGGGAACGGTTGTGTGGGTTTCTGAGCTCTTTGCTTTGTTGGAGGCCGGTGGGAGGAAGAGTGCCCCTTACTCCAAATACAGCGCTATGTTTATTGTATGTTGTTCCATGATGACTACCAATCCTCTTTGTTTTTTGGTAAAGGGGTGAAACCGATACCAACTAAAAGCAAATAATGGTATTGGGTGGATAAACGGGGGTGGTTTTGTTTGACATTCGGGCCACCCTGAACCCCAAACCCAAAATAAGGGATTCCCAAAAGCACCTTGGGTGAAGCCGCTTGGTTTCCCCGTCATCCGTGGAAGCCAAGGGCCTCCTGGTAAGACAAATGCATGTGTTGAAGGGGACGCCTTCCCAGCTTGTTTCTATATAATTTTTCGTCAAGTCGTTAACCTTTTCTTGGTGGCTCCCAGCCATCCCCTCAGCTTGCTAGCTTTTTAAGTGTTTAGTGGTAGTTTCCATTTACCCCACTAACAAATAAACTTTTAGCGGGGGAGAGGGCAGTTCCTTTGGGGAAGCAAGCTACCTGTTCAACCAGTGTGACCACAGGGCATCCTTGGCCAACCGCCTGAGGAGTTTTTGGCGTTGTTGGTCAAGGTACCGCGACGTGGCTGGCTCTGTTCTGGCTGCAGGGAGGTCAAGTGAGGAGACCTACTCCGTTTTGGTTGTGGTATTTGTCTTGCAAGGGAAATACCTCCTTGTTTAGTCAGGGTTTGCCATCATACCCTACCATACCCTCAAACAAGTCCCTACCATACCCTACCATACCATACCCTACCATACCCTACCATACCCTACCATACCCTACCATACCCTACCATACCCTACCATACCCTACCATACCCTACCATACCCTACCATACCCTACCATACCCTACCATACCCTACCATACCCTCAAACAAGTTGGTGTTGAGTGTACCCCCTACTCAATTTACCCACTTTTTTCAGTTGGTAGTTTTGGGGAAAAAATCAATCGGTTTTCCATGGTAAATTTACCGATCCCTCGTTGTAGTAGAGGGTCAGAATGATACCCACCGAAGGAAAAAACAGGGTTACGGGGGTCATGTAGGGGGTCGATTTTACCCGCACGGATTTGCCTTGAGCTCGAGCTTTGGAGCTGGAGTGGGCCTTGGAGTGATTCTTCTGATGCCGGTGGGTTGAGCGGCCCCTTTTTTCCATGCACCTATTTTGATGTTCACCAGGGGTACAGGGTTTTGACCCACAGCCATTTGGCTACCCCAATTGGTTGGTGGCGCAACCAAAAACAAGGGAAGCCAACAGGAAAAAGAACGAAATCCATTTTGGGGGATCACCCTGTTTGAAGACGCACCCTTAACTGTTGAGTCTGCTCAGGCGCAACACAGATGTTCAGGTTACCCGGATTGGTGGTTTGGATTTGGATTTGAACCCTACCTGGAACCCCAAGTAGCTACTTTTTCCAGCCACTTTACCCACTATCCCATAATTTGGCGAAAGTGGCTGGAAAATACAGAAATGCCTTGCTGGGGATCCAGGTACCAACTAACAAGGTCCCGAAGATTTTGGGAGTAGGAGGGATTTACTATGTTGAACCCCTGTCAACGAAGCAACTGGGGATCCAGGTACCCTTGCAAAGCAAATGGGGAAGGTGCTCGTAACCTGGAAGACTAACAAAGCGAACAGTTGTGGGGTGATTAACCCTGTGTATTAATATGGGGGGTGCTTTTTTCCCCAAGAGCGAAAAGTTGTGGGGTGATCGACTTTTTTGTCGGGTGATGTCGAGCCCGGAGAAGCATACACCCCTGTTAATCAATGTCGGGGTGTCGCTGGTTTTCGTGTAGATTCATATCACTGTTGGAGGGGAACACCCGCAAAAAAAAACAGATTTATTCATCCGGTGTCAGCATTACTTCAAATGTTTAAATGCTCACTTCCATAAGAAGTCGTGGGTTTTTGCAGTTGGTTTCCAGATAAAGCCCACCTGGATAACCGATCGCAACAGGGACTGAGAAGAAACAAAAAAAAAGCGTTCGCAACTTGGCGATCTAGGCACCAAACATTGGGTTCGAGTGGGTTTCCAGACAAAAAATGGGGGTTCCCCTAAAATACCCGAGCGACTTCCAACTCGGCGCTTCCGAGCACCCGGCCGCGGCCCGTTCCACGCGCTGGGAACGCGCTTGGAACGTTGGATTGGCGGGGCAGGTGGCGTTGTCCTCGGCCCTGGGGCTGCGGTGGCTCTTGGAGTCCCAGCACAGGTACCTGGAGTTCCTGGAGCGGTCAGTGGGTTCAGCCCCCGGGCTCGGGGCGGAAGTTGGGCGATGGCGATGGGCGTCCATGTCAAGACTAGGTCCCCCAGCTAGGTGCCCTTTCTCACCAACTTTTTTGGTTGGGAGGGTTCCCCTACAAAAATAGACTACAGAAAAAGTGTATCCTTATATCTAACCTCTCTACTGGAGGACCTAGAAGAAGTTTGTTTATTGGTTGGCAACCCCAAGCTAGCTATACCTTCTTTTCCAGCCACAACCCCACGCATCGCCCAGAATGTTTCGGCCAAAAGGTTGCGGTTGGCTCGGGGTTTCGGAGCCCTTTAAAAAGCGAAGCTCCAGAAGTAGCACAACGCTTGGATTAATCAAAAAGCCAGAAGGAGAAGCGTCAAAGTATCCTGGACCCCCAAAGGACCCCATTTTTTTTCTGCCTTTGTACCCCTTTTTTTGGGGTCAAAGGCAGAACACAGGGGTCCTTTTGGGGTCCAGGTCCCAGGTATTCTAAGACACACCTGGCGTAGTTGTCGCTTCCTGGCTCGCCAAGTTGCTTTTCCGCTTCTTTGTTTTTTTCCGGTCACTGCTGCGATCGGTTGTTGATGGGTAAAGTTCGCGGACAAAAGCGGGCGATCGCAGCTGGCGATCCAGGTGGTGGGTTTATTAGGGAGCCAATCCCCGCGTGTCCGAACCTCCAAAAGTGGCGATCGGTTTGAAGGGAAGCCACCAGTGAAAAATGCAACTTTAGGGGCAATCCAGTGATGTTTTTTGTGGTTTTATAGGGAACAAATCACAGGCTTTGCTCAAAATTCCTATTTGCAAGTGAGTTTGAGAGGGTCCCGGCACATGAGTGCGTCTTTCTTTGAGGCTTGGTGTTTTTTTTGTTTTTCCCCTAGAAAGGGTCTCAGAGAGAATCAGGCACCCCTACAAAGTGGTTTGCGCTTGCCTCACCTGTAAACAGCACACCAAAAAGGGGTAGTCCGAGAGCCGCTGTGCTGGGTGCTAGATAGCCAATCTTCTTCTTTTTTCCGCAGCCCCACTCCAAAATAGTGGCTTTGGTTTTGGCTTCCCTAAAACTTACCTCTTAAAAACACAACTTTTCAACTTTTGGGGTAACATGGGCTATATGTCTGTAAAAGATTAACTTCCCCAGGGCTTGGAGTTTTAAGGGGTAAGAAAAGAATGCAAACAAAAAGGGCGCCCTTCACAACAGACGCTTCTTTAAATTTTCTCAAGAGGAAACCGAAGGGATCAGTCTCTTTTGCTTTCCAGACCTAGCAAAATTGGGATGGGAATTGGGAGTTCGACTTTGGCGGCAGGGATCGGGAATCCCCTTTGCAACAGTAGCAGCCACTGTAGCACAATGGGGCGCAGAATTAGTAAGTGCTTTAGGCACTTCCAGCACCTTCTTGCTGGGGAGTATCATGTCAATCCCCGTTGCACAGAAGATCAGTGTTTGTCCTAGCAAACCTGGCTTTTCAAAACCAGCAACTAGAAGGAAGGTGCTTATCATGACAGGCCTGGTTTTGGAAAGCTATTAACCAAAGAATCATGTTTTGCAAAAATGACCGCCAACAAAATCGCCGGGTCTTTGGCTCTTTTCGGGATATTGTACAAAGGTCTTTGCGCAACGTCGGGGCAGGACTCTTCCAACTGGCCGCTCCGGCTGGAGGACGTGGCGACCATCTTAGACGCGCCTCAGCGACGAACCCCCGGCAGGGCTCTTTGCTCTTTTCTCTGGGGCGCGTGCGCGCGTGAGAAGTTTGATTTGGTTTCAGCGGGGGGTACCCACTGAAAACTCATTCATTCTTCCCTTCTCACACATAAAGAAATGCGACTCACCAATTTCTCGATTCCCCCCAAAAAACAAAAAAACTCCGAGTTTGCCAATTGACAGCGGCGACACTGAGGTAAGACCTGCCTTTGTCCATACCCCACAAAAAGAGAAGGGGCCGATCTGGAGACCGACCCATCTGCACATGTTCAACCAGAAAGAAAGGGCAACTACCTTCCTGGACCCCTAAAGGAACCCTTTTTTTTAGCCTTTGACCCCCAAAAAAAGGGTGCAAAGGCAGAAACGTTCAACTTTCAGGGCCGAAGTGGATGGAACCCCAATGCCGACTTGTCAGCGCGCCCAACCACCCCGACACTTCCGATTTGACCAGAGATTTAGGGTCCTTCGCCAAGGCTCCAATTCGATGTTTTTGGGCCCTTAACATGGGTTGTTTTCCAGGGTTTGTAGGGAACTGGTCCTCGGGGGCCTGCATTGTAAGGGTCGTGAGCCTTAAAGCCACATTTTTTGAGTCCATGTCAATCACTCCACCTGGAGGTGCAGATCCTTCTGTCGAACAACTCGGGGGCGCAGTGTGGAGTCCGGCTTTTTAAAAACGCCAAACCGGGGGCTGTTGCTATCAACCGAAACTTAACTTGCTGGCTCTCAGCCATCCCCTTAGCTTCTTAGCCTTTCATTGTTTAGTAGTAGTTTCCATTTGACCCACTAAAAGTTAAACTTTGAGCGGGGGATCTGAGGGCAGCCCAGTTAAATGGGTTCAAGCGCGTGTTTTTAGTCAGGACAGATGGTTCTGCCTCGACTCCTCTGCCCCAAGTGAACTCCAAGAAGCAGAGATCTCGGGCCAACCGGGCCCCAACCGGCAGAGTCATGCCTTAAACAAAATTCGACCGTTGTAGTTGCAAAACCACGAGTTGCTTCTAGGTCCCCGAGCTAGGTGCCCGAGCTCTCACCCCTTTTTTGGTCGGGAGAAAAAGGGTTCCCCTACTAAAATAGACGACAGACAAAGAAATCGGGTACCAACTTATTCTACCCTCTCTACTGCAGGACCCAGGCTTAGTACTTGGATGTCCGTGGTCAAATGAGTTAGGCGCTTGGTTATTTCACCCCCCAGGTTGTTAGCCGCACATTCGAGCGGAGGACTTTGTCGGCTTATCCAAATAACAGTTGTTTTAGATATGTTTTGGGAAAACCAGGTTCTGCAGTGTAAGTAGCTCCTTGTTTAGTCAAGGATTAACATCATACCCTGTCATACCAAAAAAAGAAAAACAACCGACGAGTATTTGGTGCAGAGGGAAATGCATGGTCTCAAATTCGAGAAAAAAAAAAAAAAAAACAATGGGCGGTGTCCATTTTGATTGCCTTTGCGGGTTTCAGTTGATAGGGCGGGTTTCAGTGGGACTTGCTTTTTTTTCCGTTGTTTTTTTGTTTGTGTTGTTTCATTGTTTTTATTTGACTAGGTCCCCCAGCTAGTGCCCGAGCTCTCACCCCTTTTTGGTTGGGAGATTCGGTTCCCCTAGTAACATAGACTACAGACAAAAAGAGTTGGTACCAACTTATTCCAACCTCAAATCTGCAGGACCCAGGCTTAGTACTTGGATGTCAAATCTGGAGGACCTAGTTTAAGTAACCGGCAAAGAAGGCCACCTTTTGCTCACCCAAAAAGAAACACCCACCCTGCGTCACTGAGAAGACCCTTCTGATTATGACCCTAGTTGCAGTGAAGAAGCGAGTACGCCGTAAATCTTGGAAACACTCAACCCTATTTTAAGGATAGTTTGTGGGTCTAGGGAGTCGATGGTTTCGGTAAGTGGTTGCTTTCCAGTGGTTTCCCGCATTGTAAGGCTGCGCTGTCAACTCTTTGCTAAACAAGGATGTAAACATTGTTAAAAACCAAAAAAAACAATGAAAAACCGAGGGGTTTTCAGGTTTTCACCCACTACCCACCCAAAAAACGCGGTGGGTATGTGCACCTTTTGCGGGGGTTGACCACTTCGCCATCCTTCGCTTCGCTTTGTCGCGAGGCCTTCCGCGGCGCGTGGAACTGGACGGCGAACTCCAGCGAGGCGCTGGCCCAGCGCCTGGGGCCCTCCCGCAGCCCCTGGGACGGCGCTGGTGGCGCTGGCGGACGCGAGCGGCCGGGGGGGGGGGGGGGAGTGGGGGGGACGAGGTGAGGCAGTGAGGCACCGGTTCCAAACCAAGAGGCAAGCGGAAAGTGAGAGTCTCCAAACCAAGACTATGCATGGTTTTTGTTGTTTCAATGGAAGATAATTAGGTGATGTCGATCTTTCTGTGTACCCCTTTGGTTGCCAGGAGTGGCCCCGGGGCCACCACAAATCCGAACGGAGATTGCGGACCAAAGCTTCTTGGCCCAGGTGTGACAGAACCCAAAAAGAGTGAGGGAGACCGAACCCAAGCCTCTCTTTACGCCTGAGTTCCTGGGCTTGAGTCACTTGTTGGGAAGACAGCTTTAGTGTTAAGCCACAAGTCTAGGCTTGTTTGGTTTGTTCATCTAGGAGGTGAGGAACAAAGCAACCACCGTATTCACCCAACAGCTCCAGATACCTGCTTGCTTCGGGATATAGCAGGGTATATACTATAATTTACAAAGTCGAATTCAGGATGCGAAGTCGTGGCCGACGCAGATCAGTTGTTCTGACTCCGCTCCATGTTTTAAGTCCCCCGCAAAAAGTACTGCATTTTTTTTCGATCAGGTCTTACCTTTTTTAGGGAATCGTATCAACCCGTCGCAAAAGGCGGAATGTACCATGGTTTCAACCGTGTGTGTCGTCACATTGTTGTTTGCTGTTTGCTCTGGTTTGGTTGGGTTGGGTTGGTTTGATTTGATTCGTTTGTTTGTTTGATTGTTTGTGTGTGTCTGTTTGTCTGTCTGTTTCCGCTTTGTCTGGTCTCTGGCTTGTTTGCTCTCACCCAAGACGGGGCGCGAACGAAACTCAGGACCTGAACCTGAGAATTGAATCCGACCTGCTCACAACTTGCCCCAACAGCTCCAAATACCAACGCATTGTGTTGATTTGTGTTTGCATTTGTGTTTTTCAGATCCTGATTTTCCATGGTAAAATGTATCTATTTGTTCGGTACAGGGGTGACATCATATCCTATCATACCCTGAAAAAGGTGGGTATTGGGTGTAGGGGATACTAGGACACGTGTGAACCCGGTTTGTTCCTGCCGAAACGCATGAGAAAACTCTTGGGCAAGCCTGTAGGGGTACTTGGGTGTTTGACCAAGCCAGTAGGTTGTTGGAAACGCACTTATAAGTCCCCTTAAGTGGGGTCAAGCCTGTTATTACCGGGTTTCAGCCCAAGTGGCAAACCAGTTACCAGCTTTGCTGAACATCCAAGTGCCGATTCTTCCCTTGGAACATCCACTAGGAGGGATTTGTCAACTCTTGGCCCCCCCCCTCCCGCCCCGTGCGTGCGCCGAAGCGTCTCTGCCGGGTTGGAACTATGTTTCCCACGGTTGGGACATCGTTGGATCTGTCGCTTTTACTGTTTGGTTGGAACTACCTGGATCCTCCACTCACTTCCTGAGTTCATGAACTTTAAACTTTTTGGGAAGACCATTTTAGTGGTAAATATCAAGTTCGGACTTTTTTGGGGCCATCCACTCAGCCAGTGAGTCCAACTACCCACACAAATGGGAAATCACCCCAAACTGTTGGAGCAGCCGCCCAAGTTTCTTCAGATTTGAGAGGTTAGAATAGGTTGGTACCAACTTCTTCTTTTTTTTTCCTGTAGTCTGTTGTAGTAGGGGAACCAAACACAGGGGTGAGAGGTCAGGCACTAGCTGGGAGACCTAGGACAGGTGTATCCTCCAAAACGCCGGGGTCTTCGGAGTAGGGGCTGCTCTTTGGTCCAGGCCTCCGCTCACCGCTTCGGCTCCGCAGGCCGGTGCGGGAAGCGCAGCAGAGCCTGCGGATGGCGGCGGCCTGGAGGCGCTGGCCCAGAGCGCGGGAAAGAAAAAAGGCTCCGCGGTGAAGCCCGGTCAGGTCCCGGGAGTAATACACTTACCTCTTAAAAACACAACTTTTCAACTTTTTGGGGGTAACATGGGCTATATGTCTGTAAAAGATTAACTTCCCCAGGGCTTGGGATTGTCGTTAGGACACATTTGTTTTACATGTTTGATCTTCTTGTGGCTTAGTGGTTGAACTCCAAATCCCCTCTTAACTGCCAGAATCTTTCTAAGTGTTTGCTCCCCAAACCCGACGTCAACCAAGAATACACGCCCCCCGCGTCTCCCCACGTCCCCTTCCAAACATGGGCAAGAGCGGATGCCACAAGATATCCGGAGTCTCCACTTTGGCAGTTCCCGAGCCATGGAACCGGCCGACATTTGCACGGATTCGATCAGCCGTGGGCAGTTTTAGAGCCATTGTGCAGGAAATCGTGCCACGACATTTCGCCGTGGGTCAAAACCAATGGTACCATTCTGGGGTAGGTGCACCACCCATTTTAGTCTATTTTAGTGGGGATTAGGATGTTCACTGGCAGTACGGGCTTGTGACCTATGGCCATTTTAGTTTGCCCCTCACAGCGCAGGTAAGCCGTGCAATAGGCAGTGCAAACCCGTTGCAGAACCACCAGTGTGCTTCACAGTCTGTTGTCCACACACTTCGTCTGGTCAGGTGAATTTCAAACTGACACGAAGCGTTCTGCCACGGTTGGTTTAGTGGGGGGAGGTCCTTATTTGGCCCACCCGTGAAACTTGCAGCAGGGGATCTGAGGACAGCCCAGTTCAAAGATATCCTACGTTGGGATGAAACAGGATCTGAAGAGTTTGGACATCTGGGGGCCGGGGAAGTAAGGAAGGGAGCCTTGAGAAACGATTTCTCTAGTCTACCCTGACTCACCATGATTTCTAGGCTAGTATAGCTGGTTTGCTTGCATTCCACTGTAGCCCACGTTGTCTTGTGTCTTTGGCTGAGCCTCTCTGAGTTATGCGCCATGCTTACCGTGCATGTGTGCTTGCCAAGTGGAAAGAGCTGCTGCTTGTCGCTGGCTTCGCCGAAGCCCAGCGTGCGCGAACTGAAGTCTGAGGCGTATAAGCACTTGAAGTGCCGCTTTCTGACGTTTGTCTTCGGGGGTCGGCTGCTGAATGATTTATCTATGCTAGATGAGGTGGGTGTGCGAGATGGTGACACTATTCATGCTCTCGTACAGCCGCCTGGCAAACTAGCTTCGTCAGCAACAGCTTTTGCACTGTATGTTCCAGGAGGAACGGCAATTGCATGGGGGATTCTCGAACGCGGGAACAGTAGTCGGGTTTCAGCTCAGTTGGTGCGGGTGCAGCGGATCCAAACAACTAGCCGTGCTTTTGCTGCCATCCTGGACGACGGCTCTGTGGTGACTTGGGGTGATCCTAGATTTGGCGGTGACAGCAGCGAGGTGCAAGAGCAGTTGGTTGGTGTTCAGCAAATTCAAGCAACTCTCAGTGCTTTTGCCGCCATCCTGGCCGATGGCTCTTTGGTGACTTGGGGCTTTTCAGACCTTGGCGGTGACAGCAGCCAGGTGCGTGAGCAGTTGGTGCGGGTCCAGCAGATCCAAGCAAATGACGCTGCTTTTGCTGCCATCCTGGACGACGGCTCTGTGGTGACTTGGGGCAATCGTAAAAATGGCGGTGACAGCAGCCAGGTGCGTGAGCAGCTGGTGCGAGTCCAGGAGATCCAGGCAACTCGAAATGCTTTTGCCGCCATCCTGGACGACGGCTCTGTGGTGACTTGGGGCGATCCTAGATTTGGCGGTGACAGCAGCGAGGTGCAAGAGCAGTTGGTTGGTGTTCAGCAAATTCAAGCAACTCTCAGTGCTTTTGCCGCCATCCTGGCCGATGGCTCTTTGGTGACTTGGGGCAATTTTGATAGTGGCGGTGACAGTAGAAGTGTGCGAGAGCAGTTGGTGCGAGTCCAGCAGATCAAAGCAAACTGGCATGCTTTTGCTGCCATCCTGGATGACGGTTCTGTGGTGACTTGGGGCGATCCTGACCTACATGGCGGTGACAGCAGCCAGGTGCGTGAGCAGCTGGTGCGAGTCCAGCAGATCCAGGCGACTGGCGCTGCTTTTGCTGCCATCCTGGAGGACGGCTCTGTGGTGACTTGGGGCGATCCTAGCAATGGCGGCAACAGTAGCAAGGTGCGAAAGCAGTTGGTGCGAGTCCAGCAGATCCAATCAACTCAAGGTGCTTTTGCTGCCATCCTGGAGGACGGCTCTGTAGTGACTTGGGGCAATCCCCATCACGGCGGTGACAGCAGCCAGGTGCGAGAGCAGCTGGTGGGCGTCCAACAGATCCAGGCAACTATCTTTGCTTTTGCCGCCATCCTGCACAACGGCTCTGTGATTACTTGGGGCCGTCCAGAGGCTGGCGGCGACAGCCGTCAGATTCAGACTTATTTGGACCAGTTGTGAGACGGCGAGATATCTTTTTGCTGTGACGGGCTCCTTTTCAACTATGGATGCCAACACAATTCTGCATGTAAGCATGCTCAACCAAAAAACTTTAATTGCCTGAACATGTTTTGTGCGGGTGCTTGAATGTTCCATTTGTTTGCCAGTCCTACCATTGCAAGAGCCTGCCGTTGATGAGTTAACACATATACCGTATGCAGCTGATAAATGCTGGTATGTGGGGGTTGACCAATATTCCTGGCCTTCAAATAAATATTTGTTCCCCTTTGGCAGGCAAGTAGCACGGGTCAAACCTTCCGCGGCGCATGTTTTAAGTTTTACAAGATTTGGTTCCACGGGTATTTAGAGGTTACGGGGGTATGGCTAGGTCCTCCAGATTTGAGAGGTATAAGTTGGTACCAACTTGTTTTTTTCTGTAGTCTGTTGTAGTAGGGGAACCAACACTCCCAGCCAAAAAGAGGGGTGAGAGCTCGGGCACTGGGAGACCTAGGACAGGTGTATCCTCCAAAACGCCGGGGTCTTCGGAGTAGGGGCTGCTCCAGGCCTCCGCTCACCGCTTCCGCTCCGAGACCCGCTCAGGCCGGTGCGGGAAGCGCAGCGGAGCCTGCGGATGGCGGCGGCCTGGAGGCGCTGGCCTTGAGCGCGGATGAAAAAGGCTCCGCGGTGAAGCCCGGTCAGGTCCCGGAGTAATACACTTACCTCTTAAAAACACAACTTTTCAACTTTTTGGGGGTAACATGGGCTATATGTATGTAAAAGATTAACTTCCCTAGGGCTTGGAGTTTTAAGGGGTTGTCGTTAGGACACGAAAGCAGTTGGTGCGAGTCCAGCAGATCCAATCAACTCACGCTGCTTTTGCTGCCATCCTGGAGGACGGCTCTGTAGTGACTTGGGGCAATCCCCATCACGGTGGTGACAGCAGCCAGGTGCGAGAGCAGCTGGTGGGCGTCCAACAGATCCAGGCAACTAACTTTGCGTTTGCCGCCATCCTGCACAACGGCTCTGTGATTACTTGGGGCCATCCAGAGGTTGGCGGCGACAGCCGTCAGATTCAGACTTATTTGAACCAGTTGTGAGACGGCGAGATATCTTTTTGCTGTGACGGGCTTGGCCCTGATTCGCTTTGTACCAGGCAGTGCTCGTGAAGAGCAACAGAGGCGCAGCAGAACCTGCGGATGGCGGCGGCCTGGAGGCGCTGGCCCAGAGCGCGAATGAAAAAAGCTCCGCGGTGAAGCCCAGTCAGGTCCCGGGAGTAATACCTGGTGGTCGTTAGGACACTTTTTTTGTCCATTTTTGATCTTCTTGTGGCTTAGTGGTTGAACTCCAAATCCCCTCTTAACTGCCAGAATCTTTCTAATTTTTTGCTCCCCAAACCCGACGTCAACCAAGAATACACGCTTTCCGTCTCCCCACCCCCTTCTGGAATTTGCATTGGGGCCCAGGGGTGACGACTGGAAATCCGTGGCCCGTTGATTCCTTTTTTGGAGCTGGAGGCTCCATTTTTTTTGTGGCATCCGGAGTTCCGAGGTCAACACTTTACCACTAAATATTATAGGCAACCTAGGTGGGACAGAGCGGATGCCACAAGAGATCCGGAGTCTCCACTTTGGCAGTTCCCGAGCCATGGAACCGGCCGACATTTGCACGGATTCGATCAGCCGTGGGCAGTTTTAGAGCCATTGTGCAGTAAATCGTGCCACGACATTTGGCCGTGGGTCAAAACCAATGGTACCATTCTGGGGTAGGTGCACCACCCATTTTAGTCTATTTTAGTTGGGATTAGGATGTTCACTGGCAGTACGGGCTTGTGACCTATGGCCATTTTAGTTTGCCCCTCACAGCGCAGGTAAGCCGTGCAATAGGCAGTGCAAACCCGTTGCAGAACCACCAGTGTGCTTCACAGTCTGTTGTCCACACACTTCGTCTGGTCAGGTGAATTTCAAACTGACACGAAGCGTTCTGCCACGGTTGGTTTAGTGGGGGGAGGTCCTTATTTGGCCCACCCGTGAAACTTGCAGCAGGGGATCTGAGGACAGCCCAGTTCAAAGATATCCTACGTTGTAGGGATGAAACAGGATCTGAAGAGTTTGGACATCTGGGGGCCGGGGAAGTAAGGAAGGGAGCCTTGAGAAACGATTTCTCTAGTCTACCCTGACTCACCATGATTTCTAGGCTAGTATAGCTGGTTTGCTTGCATTCCACTGTAGCCCACGTTGTCTTGTGTCTTTGGCTGAGCCTCTCTGAGTTATGCGCCATGCTTACCGTGCATGTGTGCTTGCCAAGTGGAAAGAGCTGCTGCTTGTCGCTGGCTTCGCCGAAGCCCAGCGTGCGCGAACTGAAGTCTGAGGCGTATAAGCACTTGAAGTGCCGCTTTCTGACGTTTGTCTTCGGGGGTCGGCTGCTGAATGATTTATCTATGCTAGATGAGGTGGGTGTGCGAGATGGTGACACTATTCATGCCCTTGTACAGCCTGGCAAACTAGCTTCGTCAGCAACAGGTTTTGCACTGTATGTTCCAGGAGGAACGGCAATTGCATGGGGGATTCCCGAAGGCGGGAACAGTAGTCAGGTTTCAGATCAGTTGGTGCGGGTCCAGCGGATCCAAACAACTAACCGTGCTTTTGCTGCCATCCTGGACGACGGCTCGGTGGTGACTTGGGGCGATCCTAGATTTGGCGGTGACAGCAGCGAGGTGCAAGAGCAGTTGGTTGGTGTTCAGCAAATTCAAGCAACTCTCAGTGCTTTTGCCGCCATCCTGGCCGATGGCTCTTTGGTGACTTGGGGCTTTTCAGACCTTGGCGGTGACAGCAGCCAGGTGCGTGAGCAGTTGGTGCGGGTCCAGCATATCCAAGCAAATGACGCTGCTTTTGCTGCCATCCTGGACGACGGCTCTGTGGTGACTTGGGGCAATCGCAAAAATGGCGGTGATAGCAGCCAGGTGCGTGAGCAGCTGGTGCGAGTCCAGCAGATCCAGGCAACTCGAAATGCTTTTGCCGCCATCCTGGACGACGGCTCTGTGGCGACTTGGGGCGATCCTTGGCATGGCGGTGACAGCAGCCAAGTGCGCGAGAAGTTGGCGCGGGTCCAGCAGATGCAAGCAACTGAACGTGCCTTTGCTGCCATCCTGACCGACGGCTCTGTGGTGACTTGGGGCAATTTTGATAGTGGCGGTGACAGTAGAAGTGTGCGAGAGCAGTTGGTGCGAGTCCAGCAGATCCAAGCAAACTGGCATGCTTTTGCTGCCATCCTGGATGACGGTTCTGTGGTGACTTGGGGCGATCCTGACCTACATGGCGGTGACAGCAGCCAGGTGTGTGAGCAGCTGGTGCGAGTCCAGCAGATCCAGGCGACTGGCGCTGCTTTTGCTGCCATCCTGGAGGACGGCTCTGTGGTGACTTGGGGCGATCCTAGCAATGGCGGCAACAGTAGCAAGGTGCAAAAGCAGTTGGTGCGAGTCCAGCAGATCCAATCAACTCACGCTGCTTTTGCTGCCATCCTGGAGGACGGCTCTGTAGTGACTTGGGGCAATCCCCATCACGGTGGTGACAGCAGCCAGGTGCGAGAGCAGCTGGTGGGCGTCCAACAGATCCAGGCAACTAACTTTGCTTTTGCCGCCATCCTGCACAACGGCTCTGTGATTACTTGGGGCCATCCAGAGGTTGGCGGCGACAGCCGTCAGATTCAGACTTATTTGAACCAGTTGTGAGACGGCGAGATATCTTTTTGCTGTGACAAGCTTGGCCCTGATTCGCTTTGTACCAGGCAGTGCTCGTGAAGAGCAACAGAGGCGCAGCAGAGATGGCGGCGGCCTGGAGGCGCTGGCCCAGAGCGCGAATGAAGAAAGCTCCGCGGTGAAGCCCGGTCAGGTCCCGGGAGTAATACCTGGTGGTCGTTAGGACACATTTTGTTTTTTACATTTTTGATCTTCTTGTGGCTTAGTGGTTGAACTCCAAATCCCCTCTTAACTGCCAGAATCTTTCTAATTTTTTGCTCCCCAAACCCGACGTCAACCAAGAATACACGCTTTCCGTCTCCCCACCCCCTTCTGGAATTTGCATTGGGGCCCAGGGGTGACGACTGGAAATCCGTGGCCCGTTGATTCCTTTTTTGGAGCTGGAGGCTCCATTTTTTTTTGTGGCATCCGGAGTTCCGAGGTCAACACTTTACCACTAAATATTATAGGCAACCTAGGTGGGACAGAGCGGATGCCACAAGAGATCCGGAGTCTCCACTTTGGCAGTTCCCGAGCCATGGAACCGGCCGACATTTGCACGGATTCGATCAGCCGTTGGCAGTTTTAGAGCCATTGTGCAGTAAATCGTGCCACGACATTTGGCCGTGGGTCAAAACCAATGGTACCATTCTGGGGTAGGTGCACCACCCATTTTAGTCTATTTTAGTTGGGATTAGGATGTTCGCTGGGGGTACGGGCTTGTGACCTATGGCCATTTTAGTTTGCCCCTCACAGCGCAGGTAAGCCGTGCAATAGGCAGTGGAAACCCGTTGCAGAACCACCAGTGTGCTTCACAGTCTGTTGTCCACACACTTCGTCTGGTCAGGTGAATTTCAAACTGACACGAAGCGTTCTGCCACGGTTAGTTTAGTGGGGGGGAGGTCCTTATTTGGCCCACTACCCGTGAAACTTGCAGCAGGGGATCTGAGGACAGCCCAGTTCAAAGATATCCTACGTTGTAGGGATGAAACAGGATCTGAAGAGTTTGGACATCTGGGGGCCGGGGAAGTAAGGAAGGGAGCCTTTGAGAAACGATTTCTCTAGTCTACCCTGACTCACCATGATTTCTAGGCTAGTATAGCTGGTTTGCTTGCATTCCACTGTAGCCCACGTTGTCTTGTGTCTTTGGCTGAGCCTCTCTGAGTTATGCGCCATGCTTACCGTGCATGTGTGCTTGCCAAGTGGAAAGAGCTGCTGCTTGTCGCTGGCTTCGCCGAAGCCCAGCGTGCGCGAACTGAAGTCTGAGGCGTATAAGCACTTGAAGTGCCGCTTTCTGACGTTTGTCTTCGGGGGTCGGCTGCTGAATGATTTATCTATGCTAGATGAGGTGGGTGTGCGAGATGGTGACACTATTCATGCCCTCGTACAGCCTGGCAAACTAGCTTCGTCAGCAACAGGTTTTGCACTGTATGTTCCAGGAGGAACGGCAATTGCATGGGGGATTCCCGAAGGCGGGAACAGTAGTCAGGTTTCAGATCAGTTGGTGCGGGTCCAGCGGATCCAAACAGCTCACCGTGCTTTTGCTGCCATCCTGGACGACGGCTCTGTGGTGACTTGGGGCGATCAGTGACAGCAGCGAGGTGCAAGAGCAGTTGGTTGGTGTTCAGCAAATTCAAGCAACTCTCAGTGCTTTTGCCGCCATCCTGGCCGATGGCTCTTTGGTGACTTGGGGCGTTTCAGACCTTGGCGGTGACAGCAGCCAGGTGCGTGAGCAGTTGGTGCGGGTCCAGCATATCCAAGCAAATGACGCTGCTTTTGCTGCCATCCTGGACGACGGCTCTGTGGTGACTTGGGGCAATCGCAAAAATGGCGGTGACAGCAGCCAGGTGCGTGAGCAGCTGGTGCGAGTCCAGCAGATTCAGGCAACTCGAAATGCTTTTGCCGCCATCCTGGACGACGGCTCTGTGGCGACTTGGGGCGATCCTTGGCATGGCGGTGACAGCAGCCAAGTGTGCGAGAAGTTGGCGCGGGTCCAGCAGATGCAAGCAACTGATCGTGCCTTCGCTGCCATCCTGACCGACGGCCCTGTGGTGACTTGGGGCAATTTTGATAGTGGCGGTGACAGTAGAAGTGTGCGAGAGCAGTTGGTGCGAGTCCAGCAGATCCAAGCAAACTGGCATGCTTTTGCTGCCATCCTGGATGACGGTTCTGTGGTGACTTGGGGCGATCCTGACCTACATGGCGGTGACAGCAGCCAGGTGCGTGAGCAGCTGGGCGAGTCCAGCAGATCCAGGCGACTGGCGCTGCCTTTGCTGCCATCCTGGAGGACGGCTCTGTGGTGACTTGGGGCGATCCTAGCAATGGCGGCGACAGTAGCAAGGTGCGAAAGCAGTTGGTGCGAGTCCAGCAGATCCAATCAACTCGCGCTGCTTTTGCTGCCATCCTGGAGGACGGCTCTGTAGTGACTTGGGGCAATCCCCATCACGGCGGTGACAGCAGCCAGGTGCGAGAGCAGCTGGTGGGCGTCCAACAGATCCAGGCAACTAACTTTGCTTTTGCCGCCATCCTGCACAACGGCTCTGTGATTACTTGGGGCCATCCAGAGGTTGGCGGCGACAGCCGTCAGATTCAGACTTATTTGGACCAGTTGTGAGACGGCGAGATAGGCAGTCGACAGGATAAGGATACTAGCAAGACAAGTTGCATACACGGAACCTCAAAAAGGATACCCGATTTGCGGCAGGGTATTTGTCAACAATACTATGGCATGTTGTTCATGGTACATACCTTCCTGCAGCTTCAAAATTATGGATGTTAGAATCTCCAGGTTATGCTATTTTAGTAAAGGGTCCCTTCAAAACCTCTATAGATATTTAGAACAGCTTCCGGGCACTCAAATTAGATGGGTGAGTTCTGGCGTCGTCTTTTCGGGTCGGGGCAGCCTTGGCAGTTCTCAACTCCGGCCCGGGATTTTGGTTCTGGTGCACTCCCCCCGGCTTTGGGCCGGGCCCTCCCGAACGGCGCCACCGAAAGCTCCTTCACAACTGTCAACTTGTTTCTTTTACGAGTTCCTGGACCCTCAAAGGACAGATCCCTTTGTTCCTGCCTTTGTAATTACCCCTCTTTTTTTTGGGTCAAAGGCAGAAAAAAGGGATCGGTCCTTTGGGGGTCCAGGCAGAAAGGAGGCCGATGTTAGGAAGGGCTTGGGGCAGTCCCCTCCACCTCCAGGCCGCCCCCGCCGCCAAAGCGGGTGCCGCCGCTTTGGGCCCCGGTGCGGCTCTGGGCATTTGGCACCCACTGCTCGGCGCCTCTGAACCAAAAATCCCCGGGAGGCGGAAAAAGCCGCCAGCCCTTGCCCTTTCCGCCCTCCAGAAGGCAGATCAGTGTTCCGAAAAATGCCAACTGGAAAAAGGCGGGTATTTTGAGTGGGGGGCAGGTTTGTTCGCCTTCCAGTTGGTGAAGAATACCCCCGTCACCTCCAAATACCCCGGCTGTTGTCTTTTTTCGGTTGGTATCATGTCGACCCTCTATCGATCGGTTTTCCTAAAAATACCAACTGAAAAAAAACGTGTATTTTTGAGTGGGGGGTAGTTTTGTTCAGCCTCCATTTGGTCAAGAATACCATTTGAATCCTTTTGATTTGTTCCCTGTTGATGTTAAAGTGAACCTATCACTGGAGTCATTTTTACGTTTCCCAGGGGGCGAAAAAGCAAAGGGAGGGTTGGGATGGTTCCCGGGTATTTGTTTGGCGGCCCCCAGTCCGCTTCAAGAAGGCTGTTAGATTTTTTTGGTTGGGATTTGTTTGGGCCCTTAAAATGGTGGATGTTTCCTTTCCGGGAGGAGGAATTGGTCCGGGTCCTTCATTGCCAAGCTTCCCAAGTTCTTCCATTTGCTGAGATGAATATGTTGTTTAATTTTATCCTGGTGGTTTTGCAGGGAATCTATTATCTATCACTTCTGGGCATTGTCCCGTGTAATATATTATGGGTCATTCAACCACTTCACTTTGATTCGGGGATTCCCGGTAACTACCCCCACCTAAGAAACCCTGGAACGATGATTCCCCTGTAAATTCCATTAAACAGTTCTTTCCCATGGGTTCCAAGTGATGCGAAATGGATTTCGTCCACTCACAGTAGGTTGGGATTCCGCAATCTCAGGTGAGCTACAATCAACAATCCGGGTAATTGGAGGGTAGTGAGTGACAATCCCAGGCAGAATCTTCCCCAGAATGAGCTCCCCCTTTTACTTTTTTGCTTTTTTGGAGTCCCGTTTGTTTTCCACTCACCAGGCAAAAAAATGACATTTTTTTTGCTGGGGCCGGATTTTTCCAGCCCAGGAATGAGGTGCAAATATTCGCCTTGTTCATTCTGCACCCGTTCTGGGTCCCGACCTTTGAGTACCGATTGGTTTTGAAAACCCCCTACTCCAAATACCTGCTTTTTTCAGGGTATCATGTCGACCCTCTACTAAAAAGAGTATTTACCATGGAAAACCATGTTTTCCCAAGAGTACACTGAAAAAAGCGGGTATTTGGAGTAGGGGGTATGACTCATTTGGGTGTGTCTCTGTTGGAGGGTACCCTTCTTGGGCGGCTTCAAAGGGAATCCAACAAAAAAGACTCGCCCATTTTCGGCTGGCCCTGAAAAACAACACACCCATTTCTTACTCACCGGTCCACAGCGAATCTGGGCAAGTAAGGCTAAATGGGCTAAGTGAACTATGGTCAAGTCACAGGAAACTACTGGAAGGTCCTGGTTCCTTTCCTTCGCCTCCAAAGGCAGTGATTTAGTGCACTTTCCAGTCACTTTCTTGCGCTCAAAAAACCCGGCTTTACGAGGTATGGGAATTGCTGCCAAATAGGCGAGACTTAAGAATGCTATCATTTTCTCACGGGTGCTAGGTTGGGTCTCCTGTTTTGTGAAGCAGGTTTGTCCGGGACCCGGAGTTGGGATTTGGTCATTTCCTCTGGCTCTTGCGGCTTTTCTACGGCTTTGTGCTTTGATCCGTGCTGTGTGGTTTTTCATCCAACGAAGAGCCCGGGCCAATTCTTCAGGGGACCGTTGAAAATTGAGAGAACAACGACCCATGTCGAGGGCCCAAGAAAAGTCCCACCGACTGGAGTCTTTCATGGCGCAGGTCCGAACTGGGCAAGTAAGTCCCCCTACTTCAGATACTAACTTGTTTTTTTCCGGAAAAAACGATGGGTTTCCATGGGAAATGCCTCTCTTAGTAGAGCGTTGACATGATACCAGCTGAAAACCGTGTGCGTCAAAATATGTCCACCTGCGAGCCCAAAATGCGTCCATGACCCGAATCGTTATTTTGGGGTGGTCAGGAGACTCGAGATTTTGGGTCCCAGCTTCCCCCTACACCCAATACCAGGGTATGATGTCGGCCCTCTACCAAAAAAGGCTTGGTATTTGCCATGGAAACCCAGGTTTTTCGAAACATACTCCTGAAAAAGTTGGGTATCTGGAGCTTTCGGGGGAGCTGAAGGGCCCCCCAGCCGCTTCGTGCCGATTCGATTGGAGCTCTCAGGTGATGGCAGAGCCGATTTCAGTGATCACCACGTTGCTGGAGGACATTGAGCTCTCCCTCACCTGGCGGGGATCGGAGTCGATCGGAGTTGGAGTTGGATTCGATGGACCCTCGAAACCTCATTCAGAAAAAAAGAAGAAAAACGCTCTCGCTTTTTGTTCTTTCCGGTGGTATTTGTTTGTTTGAAAACCGAGAAAGATTTGCATGGTAAACACCGAGCCCTTTCCCTCAAAAAAGCAGGGGTATTTGGAGTGGGGGGGATGCGGAGATGGGGGGTGTCTCTTTTTTTTGGCTTATCCACTGGAAACTCACTTTTGTTGGGCACACCCATGCCGTAAGACCCAGAGGCTCTTACAGCTTTCAATGGAAGACCCGACCCCGAAGCATTAGACACCCCGGGAATTGGCGGTTGGGGGCCTCAAAACCAGGTTGTAAGGGCCTAAATTACAAATTCAATCGAATTGGAGCCTCTGGGGAATATGTCAGAGAGAGCTCACCCATTTTGGGCTGGTCCCTGAGAAACAACACACCCATGCCTTAAGAATATTTTGGAGGGAAGCTGAACTTTGGTGCAATTTGCTTGGATGTTCGGACTTCAACTTTTTGCCAACGAATGGGTTTCCATTAAACCCACTAAAAGTTAGACTTGTAGCAGGGGAGCAGAAAGCCATCGAGTGAACATTGGCAGGCTGGGAGCTTCGGACTACTGCCAGTACCACAAGGGCCACTTCGCCAAAGATGCGGACAGCCCAGTGAGGCGGGCTTTTTCGGGCGTAGGCGGACCTTTTGGTCTTCCTTGAAGCCAGGTGAAAAAGGACCCCTGAGGAGAATATATATATATATATACACGTGTGTGTGTGTGTCAATATATTTATATATGCATGGGGCTTTCTCCAAAGTTATGCTAGATTTTAAGTCCGAAATGTGACATAGAATCTGAACAGATGTCGTTCTGTGTATCTAGATGTGTTCCCAGTTACTTCTATACAATCATATAGGGGTGAGTCTTTTTCGAGGGTACCCTGTGTTGCTGGCTCTTTGTCAAAAAAATACGCCTCCATATGTATACATCGAGATCCTCTTTTTTTCCGAGAGTTGTGCCATTTTATTCACAAGGACCCTGTGGTGATCTTGCTGCAAGCTATTTCGACGTCAACCAAGATCCAATGCCGATAGTTTCAGTTTCACGTTCATTCATGACAAGGAGACCTCGCAGATTCTGTCTACGGCAGGACTCGTACGCCTACTCGCCTACTCGAACGTCCGCTACTCGCACGCCCGCACGTGCTGTTTCAACAACATTCAGATTGCGATGTCTTGAATTCAGCTAAGCTATTATACAACATATTGAATGACTTTGTTGTGCTCACATCGCCACCCATCTCTATGTACGTCAAGCCGCAGATCGCCAAAAGCTGAAGATGACCGAATGCCATCATTGGATAGTGACGCACACATTGCAGGCATTTCTCACAAAGATTGGATGCCAAGGTCCTCAAGAAGCAACGTCGCAACTGGTTGATTGGGGCTTCAGGAACCCGGTGTGCTTGGGGAAAACTGGCCAATTTCCTACCGACTTACCCCCTTCCATTTGCTGAATATTGCTTTACCTGCTGGTGTTAAAGGAAACCTATCACTACTGGACCATGGTTTTCAAAGGGCGGCTCTTAAACTATAGTAGCCAGGGCCTCGCAGAGGATCTCTTGGCACGGATCCGGCTTTGGGGCGCCGATTTTCCGATTTCGCCCAGTCCGACATCTTTTGCCTTGCGACATCGGCGCGACGCTTTGAGCCAGGCTCCTGTATCAGAGCCATTGGAAGAAAGCAGGCGACATCGGGACAAACGGGACCGGAACGTTGGCCATGGGTGTTGAGTTCCTTGTCCGCGCTGAGTTCGGTTGATCATGTTCAAATGGTTGGGGCACAGGCACTTCTACAACAGTTTATTTAGGGCGTTTTGGGGCCATTTCCTGTGGATTGTCCTGCAACCAAACCCTTTGACATGATTTGTTTGCTAGTTGGTCACATGTTGTCTGCCTGCCTGTGCCTGTCTGCCTTTTTGGTTGACCGATTGATAGCGCTTTCCGAACTCTGGGCATGGGCATCATGTGTTGGAACGACCTACTAGACTGCAGTGAATATTGCAGAACATCATGGACCCTGGACCCCCAGAAAAGCACACAAAAACCACAGAAGAGGATTCTCCTTTTGGGAAATGCAACCCTTTTTGCTGGCTCCATTCATGTGACATTCTTGATACATTTTCGTGGCTAAAAAGGAACCTCTCTTCCCGAGTTCCTGGACTTGATACTTGTTGGGAAGGCTATTATAGTTGTAAGCAAAAGCATTTGCATTTTTTCGGCAAATCCAGTCAGAAAGTGAGGTAATACAGTAATGGATGCAGTTTTGGGTTCGCTCCGTTTATGTGTAGCGTAACCACCCCATACCCCTTGACCAACGAAGGGATCGGTTTTTACTCTACAAGTCTGGTTCTTCCAAAAACAACTCAACTAACACCATTTGAACACCTGGACTTTGTTGGTGGTTTGAGGGTCCAGGCGTCTTATTTTACGTGCCCCAGATGTGAGCCAAATCCTTTAGCAAGCGCTCGCTTTCCGACGGAAAAATCCTTCCCGCAGCCGCTTGGCCCCAAAGCTCACGCGAAACGCGCGACGCGCAGAAAGAGATCTCTCGCAGAGATGCGCCCGGGCAGAAGGGAAGCTCTGACTGATCCCCCTACTCCAAGTGCCCACTTGTTGTAGGATATGATGTCAACCCTTCAAAGAGTAAAACAAAAAAAACATGGGAAGCTCCAATTGTCCAAGCAACAAAAGCAAACCAACACATGCAAGCAAAACAACAACACGACATGCAACACACGCGGTTTCCCCCCCAAACAAGTCAACAAACAGCATGGACAACTCCGTTTTTCCAAAAGAAAAAGAACAGCAAGCATTCTACATTTTTGCTTATTGTGGTTTAGTGGGAAATCCCCTCTTACCTGCTAAAACATATTTTTTGCTCCCCTTCCAACGTCAACCAAGGTTGGTATTTGGAGTTCCTTTGGGGGTTCACAGATCTCCAACTCGCCTTGGGGCCCTTCCTTGCCGCTTTTGGTCTCTCGTGGCTCGTGGTGATATCCTCCGGAAGCCTCCACATAGCCCATGTTTTTGTCTATACCCTCAAACCATAAAAATGGGATATCACCCCATAATTTTGGGGGTCAAACCCAATTTTAAGGGAATTTTGAGGGTTCAGGTAGGCTTCCAGAATGGCAAACCCGAAAAGCGACCTTTTATGGAAGATGCCAAGACGGTACCAAATCTCCCTACTCCACATACCCACTTGTTTCAGGGTACTTTGTCGACCCTTGTTTCAGGGTACTTTGTCGACCCTTTACTGAGACCTGAGGTAGTTTCCATGGGAAATTCCGGCTTTCCCAAAAGTGCCAACGTCAAAAACAAAAACAGGGGGTGTTCTTGGCGGTTCCCGGCGGCTCCGGAAAACCCACAAGTTATTTTTTTAGCAGGGGATCTGAGGAGGCCCCATCATGGTCATTTTTGAATCGAACTGAAAGTTGGCTCGATTAATTGGATTGATATCTTGGCTTGGATCTTAGGAGTAACATGATCACCACATGCTATGCTGAACGACAAGGACAGCTAGGAATACTCTTAATTGATCTAACATTATTTTGTGTTGTTTGTGTTTCTCAATCTTGGTATATCATTGGATGTCTTGTCTATCCCTCTTTCCTCTCGGACATTCCTGTCATCAGAAGTCGTACTATGGAATATGACAGTAATCAGATTCGGGCACTTGGGGCCGCGGAATGGGGAAGTGCGCATTTGACCATTTGTTGGGCAGAACCGCCCAACTCGGCTTCAGAAATGGAGTGGTAACAAACTACTTGCAAGAGGTATTTTTGGGAGAGTGATACCTCTTGTTTTTCTTTGTTATTTGGGGGGGGGGGGGTCTTTTTTTGGAGGGTATATACCGTATATTATATACCCTTTTGGGTTTTGAGGGTATGCCTGCTCCAAATACCCTCTCTGTTTTGTTGTACCTTTGGAAGACAACCTGGGTTTCCCATGGTAAATACCTCGTTTGTTTGTAAAGGCTACAGACATCATGGCCCAATGAGACCTCAAGAACCTTTGTTTTTGGCTTTGAGTTCTCTTCTTGGGGTGGTCTCAAATGGAACTCCGGCATTTCGCACCTGGCCATGTTTTCCATCGGCGAGTTGCCAGGATTTCCATCGGATTTGTCTCTAAATGGGCGCCTCTTTCGTGGAGGCTGCCGTTCGTTTTTTGGTTAAAAAAAAGGAAAGCCGACAGGAAGACCAACCCCCCCCCCCCCCACAATCTGGGTGTGTTTTTTTTTTTTTTAGTTGGAACCAACCTTTTTGGTTGGTTTTAAATGGAAACCAGCCACAAAAGAGGGTAGACCCTCAAAAGCGACACACCTTCCCTGTTGCCCTCTGACTCTCGCCCGGTTCCAAGGGGTGGTGTCCAGCACCAAAAAACCGCACCAAAAGGGGCAGCCTTAGAAAGCCAAAGGCGGCTGAGGCTCCCGATGTTTGGGCCCTCAATTTTGTGTTTTTGTTGTTTTCGAGGCTCGAGGAATTGTTTTCTGGACGGGGGCCTGCATTGTAGTCATGAATGAGCCTTACAGTTTGTGTGTTGTCTCTTCTTAGTGGTTTTTTCAAGGTGGTTAAAACACCAAACCTTTTTTAGTCATGGGTTGACATGATACCAACTCACAACACCAAAGGTACTTGGAGGACATGGTTTTTTTCGGTTGCAGCTGCAACCCCTTCTTCTTCACGCAGAGGCTCCTGGGGCTTTCAATGGAACGACCCCTCCGTTACACACCCCGGGAATCGATGGTTGGGTGTCTCAAAACCACCTAGATCGCCAAGTTGCTTTTTCGCTTTTTTCAGTCACTGTTGCGATCGGTTTTTGGGGTAAAACAACATGGAAAAACGATTGATCGCAACCGGCGATCCAGGCAGGTTGTTTGAAGGCGCTAAATCAAATTGGAGCCTCTCGGGAGTCGCAAGCGCGGGGTGCGTTTGGCGTCCTGCCGGCCCAGGGCGGGATATGAAGTGCCGGGAGCAGTGGAGGAGGTGGACCCCAGGCTGCCTTTGTTGGCCATGGTACGTCAAGGCCGGCACCATGTGGTGTCTGTGGCGGGCTTTTTGTGTCTCGTTTTTGTTCAAGAAGGCAGTTGTTTTTCGGTCTATGTTTTTTTTTTAAGGCAGGCTTTTTATGTCGGTTTTTTTCAAGAAGGCGGGCTTGCTGTGCCTGGTTTTTTTAAGAAGGCGGGCTTGTTGTGTCTGTTTATTTTCAGTAAGGCGGGTTTTCGATTGCTCTAATCAAATTTGATTTGCTCCCGTCTTGAGTTGTTTTGGCGGCTGTTGGCGAACATAGGCCTTGAGAAAACTCGAGACAGCGGTTGTGCAAACGTGCTGAGTTTGGCCATATATTTCTTGTTATATATATATATATGTATATCTATCAACGAGCTTCACTGTTTGGAGAGGCTCACTTGAACCCAGATGGTATTCTTCACCTCCGCACAAGGCAGGCGAAAGGGGCGCGCCCCGGGCGCGCGCCGGTCGGGCGCCGGATCGTCAGGCGGGCTGTCGCCGGAGCTGCAGAGCCTCTTCCGGAAGCACGCGCACAAAGCGCCGGGCAAGGAGCCCCTGGCCGGGAGCCCCAGGAGCCCCTGGCCGGGAGGACGGGAGGGATCCACTTGGTGGGTCAAAAAAAAATATTATACAGCAAGCGGAAGCAACAAACCGAGGTGCCTCAGCCCGGGAAACATATATATATATATATATATAGGTCAAAAATAGGGTAACCCCAAAATGGGTTGCCCTGGCAAATGGAAACCAGCACTAAAACCTGCGGTCCCTGGTGGTTGAATTTTGACCCGTGCCCACTTCGAGGCTTCAGATCGGAAGTGCCCCATTGCGTGCACATGAGTACCCCCTACTCCAAATACCCGGCCGTTGTTCAGTTGGTATCATGTCGACCCTCTACTAAAAAGGAGGTATTTACCATGGAAAACCAGGTTTTCTCAAAAATGCGCTATAAAAAGGCAGGTATTTGGAGTAGGGGGTATGTTTTGTTTGTTGTGCGTTTAATGTTCCCCTGGTCTGAAAGGGAATCGTGTCCACTACTGCAAACACATGTTCGGATGTTTTTTGCAGGGGACTCAAGCAAATGGAGGATACCCAGGAGCAGGGTACGTCAGGTGAGTGGTTGCAATAGCCATGGTTGTAATCCACAAAAGCCATGTATATAAGTGTCCGTTCAGTGGGTCATAACCAGGCTTACTAACCACATACTAAGTACCCTGCCCCTTTAAGTACCCGGCCTGTTTTCAGTTGGTATGATTTGTCAACCCTGTACCAAAAATACCAACACAAAAGCGGGTATTTAGAATGGGTGCGTCTGTTTGTTGATGAGTACCTGGACCCTCAAACTACCCTTCTCCTAATACCCGTGTGTTTAGTTGGTGTTGCTTTGGGCAAACCTGATTTTCCGATGTGAATACCTTCTTTTTCAGTATTTAGAGTAGGGAGTACCCAGAAGAGAATTCACCGGGGCACCTTTGAGTTTGTTACCTGGGTTATAACCTAAGCTACTACCAACTTGCAAACTTGGCCGAACACACCAACAAGGGAGGTACTTACTATGGACAACCTGGCTCTTCAGAAACTATCTTGAACAAAAAAGCGTTGGTATTTGGAGCAGGGGGCAGGTCTTCGAATGACCCCGAACACCATCATTTAGAAAGTTTATTCAACAAGCGGAATGATTTATGTTGAGAACCAGCTATGGGTGTGCGTCTTTCTTTTGGTTCGACCTTTTTCACATGGGTTTTCGTTGTCCTTGGAGTTTCCAACTCAAAATACCAACGCTTTTTGTTCAGTTGGTATTTTAGGAAAACCGATCGGTTTTGCATGGTAAATACCGTTCCCTTTTTTAGTAGAGGGTCAACATCATACCCTGAAAAAAGGCCGGGCATTTGGAGGTTACGGGCAACCACCACAAAACGGCTCCTTAAAAGATACATTTTGCTCATTTGAAACATGCCTTTTTTCACCAGAATACAGGGAAACCACCATTTCTAAGGCAATGTTCAGGTGTACAATGCAAGGATCCCTGTTGGAGCAGGGGGCAGGTCTCGCAAAACGGTTTTCCAGCTCTCAGAGTTTCGAACTGAGGTGAAGAAGGAGGACGGGCTTTTACCGAGAGCTCGAGCGGGGTGCCGAAAATTTTCGGCTTCTGAGGGCTTCGCCTGTTTTTGTTTTTTTTGTTTTTCTCCGAGAGGCCCGGGGGGAAAAAACACTAGCCATGAAAATGTGATACTTGTTTGCGTGCTATTGGGTTGGATCTTTGGACTTCACCTTTTTGGGGAATAAAGGTGTTTTCCACTAAACCCCCAAAAAGTTAAACTTTTTGATGGGGGGGTCAACAGCAACCAAGCTTGAATCCTCAAGCTACCCCTTAAAAAGGGGACTACACCCCCGAAATTCGGGCAACGCCCAATTTTGCTGGGTAGTTTGCAGGTTGAGGTATGGCCCACCAATATGTTGGGGAAATGTCCATCTTATTCTGAGTTTGTTTAATAACACATATATATATATATACATATACATACTCTATGATTGTCTGGGTTTCAAAGAGAATCCATCACTGGAAATAGTTTCTTTTTTTTCCAGATGTGAATGGAGGTTCAGGAAAGAGAACAGGATGGGGGCTATCCCGTCCCCTTGAAACATGTCTTAAGCACTTTTCTCCCACACTCCAAATCCCAACGCTTTTTAGCTTGGTATTGTTTGAAGAACCGATGGGTTTTCCAAGGTAAATACTGATCTATGCCTTGTTTACTCAGGGCCTGTCATCCCGTGCCATACCCTGAAAAAGGTGGGTGCTTGGAATTGCAGTAGAGATGTCCCCCTACTCCAAGTACCGCTTTTCTGCTTGGCATCTTCGGAATTTGCCATGATAGATAGCTCCTTTTTGAGTAAAGGATTGACGTTGGTTTCTAGGTCCCCCACTATTGCCCTTTTACTCTTTTTTTGCGGAGGGTTCCCCTACTAAAATAGACTACAAAAAAAACAAAAAACAAAAAATGGTACCCTTATTCTAACCTCTCTACTCGAAAAGACCTAGGTTTCGGCCTGGGTCGGTTTCCCTGGCTGAGGGTTTTTGTATTACACCCTGGGATTGAAATTCTTGGGAAATGACCCAGAATGGTTCAAAACAGGGTTGTGGGATCAAGGGGTTTATCCCCACTTCTGTGATACAAGGGAATCCCCTGTTTAAATGTGGTAGTCTTTGGGAGACCCTTTTGTTGTATCACAGAAGTGGTCATTTCCCACAGCGGTTCAAAGTAACCGTGTTTTGCTGTAGTCTATTTTGCTGTAGTCTATTTTGCTGTAGTCTATTTTTAGTAGGAGTGCCCTCCCCCAAAAAAGAAACGTTAAAAGGGCACTGGGGGACCTAGCCTGGGAAATCTACCGACCCACTAGCACCGTGTTTTTTAGCCCGAAATGTGCATAAATGAGGTGAGGCTCCTGTGGCTTATGGAAGACCCAAGCCCTCCATCAATTCGACACCCCGGGAATCGGTGCTTGGGACGTCTCAAAACCAGGTGGTTTCAATTGGGAGCCTCTGCCTGGATCCCCAAGTAGCCACTTTTTTCCAGCCACTTTACCCACTAGTAGCCATTAATCTGGCAAAAGTAGCTGGAAAATACAGGCAGCTGGGGATCCAGGTGGGTGGGCTTTAACCCCCCGAATCTCTACCCCCTACTCAAACCGATCGGTTTTCCATGGTCAATACCTCCCTTTTAGTCGAGGGTCGACATGGTGAAAAAAAGTACCCGAACTGGAACCCTGAGAAGTGGAAACACGGACATGTCAACCTGCCTTTGGTCCCCTGGTTTCATTTTCCTGGACCCCCAAAGGACCCCAATTTTTGTTCTGCCTTTGGGGGTCCAGGCGCCTTTGGTCCCCTGGTTTATAATTTTGACCCATACCCAGGGTGTAATGCGAACATCACAGTTATGAGTAAACCAAATACCAGCCTTTTGATATGGTCAACCCCTTAATACACATGGAATATTACGTGATCTATTTCTATACATACACTGAAAAGAATACATGTTTGTCCAACAATACCCAGAACAGCATGTGTTTTTCACAAATACCCTGAACAATAACCCTCAGTTCCGAGGACTGCGGGCCGCTGGCGAAGGAGCTCCAGCGCCGCTACGGGCTGCAGATTCCGCTTTCGGAGGATTTGACCTTGGCGCAGCTGCAGGAGCCGCTGCGGGGCTTGGAATTTGCATCCCCCCGCGCGCCAAAGAACGCGTAGCTTCCATTCTGCGCTTCAGAATACCCCCGTAACCTCCAAATACCTTTCTTGAAACCGACTTGAGGGCAAATAAGACATATTCTTCAGCACATGGAAGTTTTGGGACCCCCGTAACCTCCAAATACCCGGCCTTTTTTAGTTGGTGTCATGTCGACCCTCCACTAAAAAGGTTTGGAATTTACCATGGAAAACCGAAACTCGGTTTTCAACCAAGAAAAAAACCACTCAAAAAAGCGTGTATTTTAAATTTAGGCGGTAGAGATTCGGGGCGTTTAAGGAGTGAAGGCCGCGGCAAAGGCGTTTTTCTTTGGGATCCAATTCTTAAATTTAGCTTTTGGAGTAAAAGTAACATTTGCAGATTGGAATTGTGGCGTTTCGATGTGGTTGAAGCCATGGTTAGTCTCTTGGAGAATACTCGCAAAATTAGCTTGGTTTGCTTAATGTACTTCTTGGTGCCAAAAAATGCATGTAAGGGAGCAAGGAAACTGCTCCCCTCACTTCCTGAGTCCTGCTGAGTCACTTTTTGAAGGTCGACGATTTGAGTGGAACAATCAAAGGTTCGGATGGGTTTTGGCCACCCCAGGAAGTGAGATGATGATCGGTAGAGTTTAGTATGTATTGGTCAAGGTCGCTAATTTACCGTGGTCAATGACCTTTGCTTGGCTGAAGGAGTCGCCTTGGTGACAAGCTCGTGTACTCCAAAGTTTCCCTCGAAGGAAAGATATACCTGGACCCTCAAACTACCGCCTACACCAAATACCCGCTTTGTGCAGTTGCTAATTTTGGGAGAACCGATCCCTTTTTTAGTAGAGGGACGACATGATACCCTGACAAAAAGGCCGGGTATTGGGTGTAGGGGGTACCCTTAGACATGGTTGGTGAATTTTCTTTTCTTTTTTTGGGTCGTTTCTTCGGGCCCGGGGTAATTATGTTTCACAAAGCCACAGCCCTCATGCGGTGTAAGGTTCGAAGATATGTCTGGACGCCATCCATCTAGGATTTGATGTTCCATTCTTTTGAACCTTCCTCCTTTTCAAAACCCAGCTGATTCTCCTGACTTTTAAAGATGGTGTCTTTTTCCCCCTGAGTTTTCAAGATCCCAGAGGGTCCAAGTACCTTCTAAGGAGGTACCAAGGGACCCCCTTTTTACCCCCCAAAAGCCATCCTCAAGAGGTACCACCCTCTGGCGCTGGTTTCCTGAACAAAAACCATGGGATTCCTGGAAATCTTGGGGAAGCTTCCCCTAGAATACCCGCTTTGTTTCAGTGTATCATATCAATCCTTCATGGTTTCAACCTGCAAAAATCAACACGGAAAATAGCGGGTCTTTGGAGGTTACGGGGGTGAAACAACCACCCCTTGCAAGGCGTTTTCAACGTCGGCGTTTCGAACCTCCACGCATACCCCCTACTCAAAATACCCGCTTTTGTTCAGTTGGTATTGTTGGGAAAACATGTTTTCCATGATACATACCGATCCCTTTTTTAGTAGAGGGTCGACATGATACCAACTGCAAAAAGAGAAGCCGGGTACTTGGAGCTTTCGGGGGTCCTCCACAGGATCTGCTCTTCGCCTCGGTGGTGGAGACGGACGCCTCTCCTTCGGCCACCAAAGAGGCGACGAGATCCGCCGTCGCGGCGGTGAAGTTCCGGTCGCCCGAGGAGACTCTGCAGGTGATCTCCGTCCTGGGCCCCTCGCTGCCATGCGATTGGAACTTTCCCCGTAAGCTCCAAATACTGTTTTTGTTGTTTGTTTCTTCTTGTTTTTTGTTTGTTTGTTCTTCCTGTTTTTTTTTGTTGTTGTTTGGTTTTTTGGTTGTTTTTTATGTTATATTTTGTTTTTTCTCGGGGTAGGGTATAGGAGGATATGATGTCAACAATTGACAAAAAAAAAAACGGAGGTATTGATTGAACAACTACCCTCTGCTCCAAATACCGCCCTTTTTTCAGGGTACTAGGTCCCCCAGTAGTGCCCTTTTACCCTTTTTTGGGGGAGTCCCCTACTAAAACAGACTACAGAAAAAGGGCACCCTTATTCTAACCTCTCTACTGGAGGACCTAGGGTATCGTGTCGACCCTCTACTAAAAAAGGTTTGGTACTGACCATGGAAAACCGATCGGTTGTCCCAAGAATACCAACTGAAACAAGCAAGCGTTGGTATTTTGAGTTTGCGGGGTTGAACCCAGGCGGATCGACGAAACTACCCCCGCAACGGATCCATTTTTTGGGAAAACGGATCGGTTGGATTTCTGTGGTGGACCAAAACGAATCCCTCCCCCAGGCGTTCCGGTTGATTTGATTTCTCGAATCCTGCCTCAGTGGCTTCCACTTGAGGCGCAACCATGGCGAAACCACAAGAGGTGCCTTGCAAGCCCCAGGAACCAGGCGTTTTCTGTCACTTCTTGGGAGAACCGAAAAAGGTGTTCCAGGGTAAAGACCGTTCCCTTTAGTAGAGGATCAACATGGCACACTGAATAAAGCAGGTACTTGGAGTAGAGGGCACTTGGACGTTCGGCCAAGTTAGCAAGTTGAAAACGCCTGAGGTACAACCTCTTGGCAAGGTTCATCCGACATTCACGCGGGACTTATGCGTGGGTTATATAACCTACCCCCTACTCAAAATACACGCTTTGTTACTTCTTTTTTTGAAAACCTGCCTTTTCAAGGAAAATACCTCCTTTTGTAGTACAGGGTCGACGTGATACCCTGAAAAAAGTGGGTATCTGGAGTAGGGGGTAGCTTATCAACAACTCACTAGCTTGGCCGAACACCCAAGTACCCCTCCAAATGCCGGCCTTTCTTCAGAGGTGCATGTTGCTTGGATGTTAGGACTTTAACTGTTTGCCAACTAATGGGTTTTCTATTAAACCACTAAAAGTTGTTTTTTTAGCGGGGGAGCAGAAAGCAACCGAGTTTTGGTTGTGGTGTTTTTGTAGCTTGGCCGGCCCACTCAGGAAGCGAGAAAAGGGAAGCCACCAACCAGAATTTGTTTTGGCCACAAAGACACTTTTGGTAGTTACCTCCTACACCAAATACCCGTTTTTTCAGGGTTTGGTAGAACCTGGTTTTCCACGGCAAATACCTCCTTTTTTAGTAGAGGGTCCACATCATACCCTGAAAAAGTGGGTGTAGGGGTTAGTTTGAGGGTCCAGGTACTCGATGACACAACTCGCCGGCTCGAGATAGCTTGGTGCTTTGGCCTCCGCACAAATGACAACGAATCTATCTTTCTGTATAGTAGTGAGACAACACACATCATCTCGACTAGTCAAAGATCAAAGATTCTTCCTAGACCCTCGCAAGCTACCTCAAAAAGATGGGACATCGTCGAATATCGTTTTACTTTCGGGGGAAACTCTCTTCTGTTATTTGTGTGGCAGGTACATTCTGGGGTGGATCACCATACAAACTGGTGGGATGTATGCTTTCAAGGACCCCTGCAAATTCATCCATATGCCAGGTTTGCTCAGGGAATTTTGGGACAGGGGCGAGTAACAGGGTTCCAGCGAGCTATTTCCCCAAGGTTTAGAACTTCATGGTTGCATGTTCTTAGCCATAGAATAGCCTTCGTAACCATGATAGTAGACCCAAACGTCAATGAAGTTTGGCGCTGCTCATATTTTGTGAACGTTAGAAGTATTTGTTGTTGGCATCTTTTAGGTTTTGTGGTTTGGTTTTGGGGAGGGTTGGAAGTAAACATCACCCATCCAAAGTAAGTTTTCTTGAGGGTTGCTAAAAGGATAAATTTGTCGCGCAAGCCGCGCCGTTTTCGCAAGCACCTGCTTCACCTTGAGACAAAGCCCTGACATGTGGATCGACTTTCTGGGGGCCCTGCAAAGCCGATCGCAAGCGGTCAGGTGGTTTGGATTTGGATTCAGATTTGGATTTGGTTGGTGGTTTGGATTTGGTTTCCTGGAGCCTCCAAAAGTGGCAGGTTCCAAGGTTTTGTCCGAGTTTGGCAGGGGTCCCTATATTTCCCTTTTTGGCTGTAAGCATCACCTTTGTGGCCACCATGAAAGGGGAGTACTCGGAGTATCCCTTTGGTGGGAGTGATGTTTTGAGGGGAAATATAGGGAGCCCTGTTTGATGGCTACCCCCTGGCTCAGGAGTGCTTCTTCCGCTCGACAGGATTCAACCAAGGGAAAATCGACCTTAGACTGGCCCAAAAAATGACGTTTAAATCCAAAGGGGAACTGTAACTTGTAGGGGGTAAATGCGGGAACCCGCATTTCCCTCCATTTCACCACCAGACCACCGATTCGGCTCCCTTTGGGGAAGCTGAAAACCCATAGAGGCGAGTGAGCGCGAGTGAGGACGCTCCAATGGAAGCTTCGGCTCTTTGAGGGCCCCAAATACATCGACTTGGAGCGGTTGGGTGGTGAATTTGACGATTGTTCGTTGGCTTCTTCGGGTCCGGGAACCTTGGCATGAAACGAAACTCACCCAGTGCTTCCTGTTGCCACCAGACGTGTCCCCATGGGAAAACCTGGTTTGAGAAACCCGAAGGGTGACCTCAACAAATGTAGTTCACCTCAAAGTGTTTGACGCACTATCTCTTTTTAAGGGCTTGAGGTAGTTGAACCCCTTCTTGTTTTCTTGCTGCCTGGGGCTGGGAGCGCTATGTTCTTAGGTGTTCGGGTTTTCTTGGGTCATTATGTTGACTGTTTCTGGGAGCTGGGGGTTGCTCCCCTTTAACCTACAGAATCCTGCAGCACCAAAGAAACCCTGGAATGATGCGTCTCTGCAAATACCAACAAGCATCAACAAGCCATGGGTTTTCTGGGGGGGGGTTTCTCAGTGGTGCGAAATTCTGTGGGGATTTCGTCCATCCACCGTACTTGGGGATCCGTGGGAGCCGCAAGCCGAGCTGAGAGCTGAGGGGAGGGCGCCACGGGCCGGGTGGTGCTGTGCAGAGACAAGGCCACGGGCGAGAAGCGGGCGCTCAAGGCGGGGACGACTTCGGGCTGCCCGGATGCCGCTTCGGGCAGGCGGCGCTCGGGGGTGGCTCTTCCCAGTTGTTCGTTCTCTGAAGGGAATCGACCTGTAGTGACCTTCTGGCTATTCTGGCTTTCCTTTCTTCCCCACCTCAGGTGATTCCTCCAACTTCCTCCTCTTCCTCATCCTCCCTCCTCCTCCTTCTCCTCCTCCTCCGTTTCTCCTTTTGTGCCTCAAGTGCCGTTCCTCCTGTACTTCCTACGCCGGGGCTGGCTTCGGAGTGTGCTGCGCTGGACTTTTCGTTGGGCTGGCTGCCGAGTGTGCAGTGCTGGACTTTTTGCGGGGCTGGCTGCGGAGTGTGCTGCGCTGGACTTTTCGCGGGGCTGGCTGCAGAGTGTGCTGTGCTGGGTTTGGAAGTTCCTACTTAATCTCACTCTATCTATGTTCCATCTATCCATGTATCCATGTATCTTTTATCTATCTATCTATCTATCTGTCTATCTATCCGTTTGTCTATCTATTTACCTTCTATATCTATCTATCTCTCTATCTCTCTCTATCTATGTATCAAGCCATTCATCTATCTCTTTGTCTGACTATCTAACTATCTACATATCTACTTTTCGTATGTAGCTCGCTATCTGTCTATCTGTTTGTCTAGCCGTCTGTCTATCTATCTATCTATCTATCTACCTTGTATCTACCAATCTCTTTATCTACCTCTCGCGTTCTACCTATATATCTATCTGTCTATCTATGTATCTATCTCTGCGTCTATCTATATGTGCGTTTATTCTGAGGGCACTTCGGCCCAACCCATGCTGTTTAAGCTTCTTTGCTTGCTGCTTGCTTGCTGTGGCGCAAGTTAAATGGCAGATTTCAGCTTCTTCATCGGTACCAAGAAGGACAAGTGCCGCTACGGTTGGCGTTGAAGAGAAACCCCAAAAAACAACAAACTATGTTTCTCACCGGTCCCAAGCGAATCGAAAGTAGACGCAATTCCCGATATAGTATGTGTATGTTTTAAAATATATATATATATATACATATATACATTATAGGTGTGAGCAAGTCAACGGGGATGTTAAACCAACATTGGGGGAATGGTGCCTACAACCATGCCACGCTCGTTTTTTTCAGGGACTGTTTAACATGAAAAACAAGATGTGTGGGTAAAGGGAGCACGCTGTGTTCAGTTCCCATGAAACGACAAGCCCACAAAGAATTCCCCACTCCTTGCCCCGTTCCCTCAAGGAAATGGCTTGGACAGCGCCCTTGTTGAAGACTAGGGCTTCCAGACAAGCCACCATAGGATGCCAAGTTCTAGGCATTCCCAGTTCCAGGCAAGGGCTTGTGACTTCAAACCCATAAAAATGGATATTGTTCACACCATGGTTTCCCCTGGTTGCGTGTAGTGGTACTGAAAGAACTGGGCTACCTGGCGCAAGTCAACCAACAATGTAGTTCTGCCCAGAGATTTTCTCTGGTTTCCTACTAAAATGCTCGGGAGAACTAAAAATGTTTAACTTGCAAACCCGAAGGGTGAGACTCAGCACTGAACCCCTTTGCCAAGTGTGACCATTGACCCGAATTTTGCCTGGGATCCGCCGCATGTGATCGGCTCCACAAGTTGAGATCGAGGATCCCGCAAGGGATGCTGCGGCTTTCACATTCAAGGGAGTGCCAAGCCGGTAGGTCACAAGACAAGGAGAGAGCCGGCCTCTCTGAGGCTGACATGCGCAAGCATTGGACATTTCAGATCCTCGCTTAGCCAGGGGTGGCTCATGCACCTGTCCTTGGGGAACCTGGCCCCTACCCCTAAACTCACTCCTTGAGTTCCTGGACTTTAAACCATGTGAGTAACTCAACAAATTGTTTTGGCCAATCCATTCAGGAAGTGAGAAAAAGTGAGACTATGGGGTGGCTTGCTTTTTTCAAGAGGTGGTTTGGGAGTCTAGCCACATCTTAAGCTTCACTCAACCGTAGTCAACAAAAACGGTTTCTTGGTTGAGGCACAGAGGTCGCATGGCACCCAACGGAAACCCCGGATGCCAGGTGGTGCACAAGAAGGGCGACGAGGAAGAGCTCGCGCTGCGCCGCCGCACGGCGCGCGAGGCCTCCCAACTCCCGGCCGCGCGCGTAACGCGTCCATAGAGTCCGGTGGAAATGCACCACCCGCAAAGCCTGAAGGGCATTCAGGAACAATATTGTCGGGCTGCAATCTCCCATTCTTATGAAGAAGTTGGAGTTTGAGGGTGGTAGATGTCCAATGCATCCAGAAGGCCAAGAGGTTGATTCCCCACGGTGTTGTGATGGAGCGGCCAGTTAAGTTGTTCATGTGTATTTCTGAAGGGGGCGCAAGCTGTTTCCCCTCAGCTGGCAAGCAGTTGCCGCTGGTTGGATCAGTTTGGCCATGTCCAAAACAGCAAAGTGCCAAGAAAAGCTTGGGCTGGGGATTTTCGGACATTGGAGACCGCTATATGGTACCCAGTTCTCGCCCCCGCACCTGCAAAGGCTGATTGCGATAGGATGAGCCATGGTCAGAACTTCCCCTTTGACTTGGGGTTGCCAGGGGCCACGGGCTTCTCAGTTGGGGCAGATGGGGCAGTAGACAACCAAGAATGAGAAAAGCTTCGGGGGCCACGGCCACTGCCGCTTCCTTCGGTCTCCACGTGTGAACATGTCTTCGGCGTGCTGGGCGGCGGATTTTTTGAGCCTCGCTTCTGTCTGGAGGCTTAGATCCCAAACCTCTGGCAGTGGCAGATGGGGCCGCAGTGGGCCCCTTGACACAAGCACCGGCTCAAAGAAAGCGGCAAGATGTGAGACCAAATACCCGCAAGCTTATGGAGTTGCAACCACTTGGTCGGGGTACTTGGAGCCAGCCCCCCGGTGCCGATGTGTTTCTTTACGGAAATCCGGCAGTCTGGGCCACTAACCATTGGCTACATGGGTTCATATGTTCCATGCTGAACTGCAAATGTTACGTCCAGCGTAATGCCAGCCCCTAGCAACCCACAACCTAGTCATGGCAAGGCTACTCACAAGCTGGTTGGCGCCCTCGAACAGGTGCGCCACATGAATGCCCGACTGATAGGGGGCCCAAGAAATCCTGATTGAGGGAACAACACGACCTTACCCATGATGGTATTTTTTTTCTGAAGTTCATGCAGATTTATGGCAAATTCATTCGTCCCTTGCCAGGGAAAGTTTACATCTCCCAGGGGTCTGGGAGCTTCCAGGAATGGCCTGGCTAGCAGATGATTTCATTTGCTGGGCTGAAGCCCTGGGCCTTTTGATTCTTCGAGCCAGAAGACTTGCAGACGGAAGTACTGCTTGGACCCCACTTATGGGACTAACGCGGGTAACAGAGACCAGCTTGCGGTCCCAAACAACATGGAGCCACCCTGACAAAAAATCCCTGACTCACTTGCCCAAAGCCGACCTGCTTACCTTTTAACTTCCCCTTTTGGGTTCATGAAAAAAGTCCCCAACAGTTTAAACTTTAGTTCCTGGGTCCCTTGCGCGATGCAGGAGGTGAAGCATCTGCAAGCGCTGGACCACCCGCACGTGGCGCGGGTGTACCAGCATTTTGAGGATGCCCAGGCGCGTTTCAATCGGCATGGCACAGGGGATCCTTATGTAGGGGGCGCATTTAGCGAGTTCTTCTTGAAAGTTTCCGATCGCGTGTGCCAAAGGACGATTTTTCTTGTCGTTTCTTCTCGCAGCTGAAAGTAATCCATTTGTACCAAAGGACGTTTTTTTCTGTTTGTTTCTTGTTGCAGCTGAAAGGAATCCATTTGTACAAATTTGTGTTGGGTCACCAAACATATTTCTTTTGAAGGGGTTGTTCGGGCTCCGACCTGCCGTTCACACCGGTACCGTCAGCCTCAGGCTCGGTCGTGTGGCAGAAATCTAGTCGCCATGACTCGTATGCGATGGGTGAGCTGCGGGGCATTGGCCTGGCTCGTCGTGTGCCAATGGGCCTTTGTGACCTCTGACCTGGCCGGCCGGCCACGCCGAACCCTCGCAGCGCGGGTGCGTGAAAGGCGCCAGCCAAGACCTCGGAGCACAGAAGGGAGGTTGTTTACGGACCCGCGGGTGATAACAAGCCGAGTCAAGCAGGCTGGCTCGGTGGCCGAGCTGTTGGACATCATGCAGGCTGAGCGGGAAAATCCGCAGATGGACCTTATTGCTTCCGCGGCAGCCTGGATCAAGCTTGCCAAGCGTCAGCGCAGGGAGATTGCCGACCTTGCCAAGCATTCATACTCGTCGGCCTTTGTGGAGCAAACGCAACGCTTACTGGAGAAGCCAAGAGGACAGGCACGTGAGGTAGCCAACATTTTTTGGGCAACAGCAAAGCTGCAGGAGCACACGCCGCAGTTGCCGAGGTTCCTTGAATCATTGGTTCGCTCGGTGAAGCAAGTGTCCCAAGGCATGAACGCTCAGGCAGTTTCCAACGTGATCTGGGCAGTGGCCACGCATTCCACCACCAGCACGGACATGGAAGCTTTGTTGGGTTTGCTACCAGCACTGGCGGCCAGAGTCCGAGCTGTGGTCTCAGTCATGAATTCACAGGATGTTGCCAACGTGATTTGGTCTGTGGCAGAGCTCTGTAGGAAGGGTGTCATGTCAGAAGACTTGTTTGGCTTGCTGCCTGTGCTAGCAGACAGGATCCCACCTGTGACATCAGAGATGACACAACAAGCTGTGGCCAACACGATTTGGGCTACAGGACAGCTTTGTGGTGATCCCAGCCATTCAGATGAGACACAAGGCTTGCGTGAGATGCTGCCCACTTTGCTGGCGCGTGCAAGTGCGGTGCTACCTGCCGCTCCTCCACGCTTCCTGGCCAACACTTGCTGGGGACTAGCTTTGAGCAGATACAGCGATGCCGATTTCCTTGAAGCCGTTGCAAGGAGGGTGGTGGATGAAGCCCCTGGGTGGCATTCAAGAGCCGCTGCATTGGACTTGCCGGAGCTGCTATGCGCGCTGGCCAGGCTAAATGCTGCAGGGCAGACGGAAATGCTTTCTGCTGTGTCGAAGAAGCTATCACCGATGCTCGGTAGCCTCAGCGACTGGGGTCTCTGCGCCGTGGCCTGGTCGTACCGGGAGCTGGATCGCAACAACCACTTCGTCGCTTTTCGGCATGGTGTAACGGCAGAAGTTTCAGGCCGCGAGTTTTCCGAGAAGGATGTGGAGCACAGCCGCCTTGGGCCTTTAAGGTGGTCAAAGGTCCACGGTGGGCTTTGGCGCTCCTAGCGCTTTGCTTCTTGCAAAATAGCTCAGTCAAGCTCTTGAGTTGTGCCAAGCAGGCAGCAGACGGAACTCTTCCTGCGTTTCGTGGTTGTTGTCCGAATTAACATTCATACAGATTCATACCCACATAGCAAAGGAGGATTGCTGCCAGCAGGCCGCTGATCCGAATGCGGATGTGGTGCACCCAGCCACGCCGAGTGCAGGAAGCCTTTCCTGGCACCCAGGGCTGCCGAGTGCCCCTTGCCGATACCATGTGACCAGCGCGCACCACAACTGATCCCACAAGGGCCGTTTCAAATAGATGGTTCGGTTCCTTCCGATTCCCTTTAAAGTATTTATTGTTGGTTCAGACCCCTGGATAGATTCCCTTTAAAACCAACCAGGGAAAAAATGCTTAAGCAAATGGAAGCTAGATGTCAGCTTGCCTCGAGATGGTTTGGAGGTTGCGGCTGGCTTCCTCTTTGCCCTCTCCAACAGTGAAGGGCAACCTAAAGTGGGGTATGTCCAGCATGACAAACGACACAAAATGGCAAGCCACATGTGAACACGGGATGCACTTTGTTTTCATGGCCCGGTGCGCGTTGCACAAAGTCTACAGGGGCCAGCAAAGCGCCCCTCCTTTCAGATCAGCACGCCTCCGCCTTTCTGCACCCGAGCCTACTGGACAAATTTTCATTTTTCCAGGGGTCTTAACCAAACGGAAGCTAGGTGTAGATTGCTGCCGAGAGGTATATAACGTACGGAGGAGGGGGGCCTACCTACCCCGACCACCTGCCGCCCCTTGACACGGAATTCCCTTCTGAGCAGGGGCGCTCCCAGTGCTACAAAACCAGGGTTTGGTTTCAACATGTTTGGTCCCTGAATCATGGCACCGCCAAGGTTGACTGAAATATGTTTGGCTGCCCAAACTGGCTGCAATTCAGAGGCAGCTCACTCATTTTTTTTCGCATACACACCCGGAGCGTCGAACTTTCCGACGGCAAAAGCGGTATTTTTTTTTGAATAAGTTTGACGGACCCCGATTTCAACCTTCGGTTTCCCAAACTATCCCCAAAAAGGGATCCCAACTGTCTGTCTGTTTCTCTTATCCGGGCGATAGGCCTGGTATCTGGTGCTGCAGTACTGCATGTGCGGGGACTTGGAGAAGATTATGGAAGATTACCGGGAGAGCCTCGATCTGAAATGTCCGAGTTTCCGGTTGCTTCACCTCACAGTGTGGTTCTGTTCATTTTTTGGTTTGGGGGCTGCCAAAATCAAGTTTGTTCGCTACCATACCAAGGGTTGGAAAGTTAAGACCCCCACCTTTTCATCATTTAGTTCCCTAGCTGAGTCTTTCATGGGGTCTGGAAGGGTGCCAGAAGGGTTCGGTGGTGTTGGGCAACGGCATATGTTTCTGGAGTTTCTAAGTCAAAGAAGTCAAGAAGGGTTTTGTTTAGTTCCCTGGAACTCCATCGGGGGTCTGGGAACTGCGTTAGACCAAGGCTCCCAATGGTTTTTGGCCCTCAGAATGGGTTGTGTGGGTTCTTGAGTAGAGGGCCCCACAGCAGGGCCCGGTCGTGAGCCTTAGGGTCGACAAGATGTATTGAGGATACACCTGTCATTTGAAGAAGCGTTTCGTCTAAAGTGCAGTCGCACTTGGAAGCGGACACTGGTTGAAAGCCAGAGATTCTGGACTTAACATCCTGCTTCAGAACATTTGTATATGTTTCCCCTGTTGGTGTTTAAGGGGATCTATCACTAATGGACATATGTTTTGATTAGTCTTTTTTGCGGAGTGCTAAGTCACATGGATCAGCCAATGGAGTCATTGGAGCGTCGGGGCCCTGCATTTTTGTTTGTTTGTGGTAAAACCCAAAGCTGTTTTATCCTGGGGTTGACATGATACCACCTAAAACTACGGGTACTTGGAGGATATGGGGGTAACTCTGAGCAATCAACTCTGCTGCCACGCCAAAGATCATAGGTGGTACGATGGATGCAACCCACAAGTATATCAATCATACCGAACTGCAAACAGAATTGCAAATGCCCATACTTCCATTTGCTTAATAATATTTGTGTATTTTCCCTTCTTGGTTTTAAAGGAAATCTATCACTACTGGACTTTTCTTTTCAGGGGACTTAAGCAAATGGAGCCATACCCCCTACACAGAGTGCACAGTTGTTTGAGTTGGTATGATAGGGTATCATGTCAACCATTGACTAAGAAGGAGGTATTTGCCATGGACACTATGGGTTTCCAGCATACCCTACAACAAAGCGGGGATTTGGAATAGGGGTTTCCTGGTTCTTTTAGTTGCTTAGTGGGATCGGGTTACAAACAGCTTTTCGGATCGCTTCGGTGGGTTTTTTGCGCCCTCAGGGATGCAGGGGGCTACGGTTTGGTGCAGATGCCAGTGCTGTTCACGGTGAAGGTGACGTATCAGGCGGGCCAGGATTCGCATCTCCGCCTTGGCCTCCCAAAGAAGCTACCCATAAACTTGGGGGGGGGGTGATCGACCTAAAAACAACATCGGCTCAATTATGATTCCTTTTTTTTTGTGTAGTTTGGGGTTCAGGTACTTGTTCCGAATCCAAGTTGTTGTGGATGTTTTCTCTCAATCCAGAGCCAAAGAAGCTTGGTTGAAGTCTCCAGCCGGCTCACATGTCTTCAACGGCCCCATGGTCGAATGCCTTCATTTGTATTGTACCCCCGTAAAATCCAAGTACCAACACTTGTGTTTAGGGTTGCCTGTTTAGAACCGATCGGTTTTCCAAGAAACATACCAAGCCTTTCTTGGTACAGGGTTGACATGATACCCTAACCAGAACGGGTATTAGGAATTACTTTGCCTACCTGGACCCGACGAAACGACCAACGGCCGACTTGAAACTGGTTTGCTGACCAAGAAATTGGCTGGTCACTTCCAATTTGGTTTTGGGTAGTTTCAGGGTCCGGGTACTTATCATGTCAAGCCTTTAGAAAGGGTTCGGTATTTACGATGGTCTCAAGGGTCTAGAGAGGGTTGTAACCAAGGCAAAGAGCATGTTACAACGACAAAGAACATCGTTACACCGACAAGTTTCAGTGAAGACTATCCCGACAAGGTAAGAATGTCAATAGAAAGGAATAAGAAGGAATGAGAAGGTCAATAGAAAGGAATACTACTACCACTACTTCTACTACTACTACTACTACTACTACTACTACTACTGCCAATACTATTACTACTACTACTACTACCACTACTACTACTAATGGTACTACTACTTCTTCTACTACTACTACTACTACCAGTACAACTACTAATGCTACTACTACTTCTACTACTACTACGCTACTACTACTACTACTACTACTACTACTACTACTACTACTACTACTACTACTACTACTACTACTACTACTACTACTACTACTACTACTACTACTACTACTACTACTACTACTACTACTACTACTACTACTACTACTACTACTACTACTACTACTACTACTACTACTACTACTACTACTTACTACTACTACTACTACTACTACTACTACTACTACTACTACTACTACTACTACTACTACTACTACTACTACTACTACTACTACTACTACTACTACTACTACTATCACAACAACTACGGTCAATAGAAAAGATGAGAAGGTCAATAGAAAGGAATAAGAAGGAATGAGAAGGTCACTAAAAAGGAATGAGAAGGAATGAGAAGGTCAATAGAAAGGAATGAGAAGGTCAATAGAAAGGAATGAGAAGGTCAATAGAAAGGAATAAGAAGGAATGAGAAGGTCAATAGAAAGGAATTAGAAGGCCAATAGAAAGGAATGAGAAGGTGAATAGAAAGGGATAAGAAGGTCATTTGAAAGGAATGAGAAGGTCAATAGAAAGGAATAAGAAGGAATGAGAAGGTCAATAGAAAGGAATAAGAAGGAGTGAGAAGGTCAACAGAAAGGAATAAGAAGGAGTGAGAAGGTCAATAGAAAGGAATAAGAAAGTCAATAATAGAAAGGAATAAGAAGGAATAAGAAGATCAATAGAAAGGAATAAGAAGGAATGCGAAGGTCAATAGAAAGGAATAAGAAGGAATGAGAAGGTCAATAGAAAGGAATAAGAAGGAATTTCCTTTCTATTGTCCTTCTTATTTTTTTTATTCCTTTTTATTGACCCTCTTATTGCTTTGTATTGAATTTCTTATTCCTTTTTATTCCTTTCTATTGTCCTTCGTATTCCTTCTTTTTCTTTTCTATTGACCTTCTTATTCCTTTCTATTGTCCTTCTTATTCCTTCTTATTCCTTTGTATTGACCTTCTTCTTCCTCTTTCTATTGACCTTCTTATTCCTTTCTACTGACCTTCTTATTCCTTTCTATTTCTTTCTATTGTCCTTCTTATTCCTTCTTATTCCTTTCTGTTGACCTTCTTATTCCTTTCTATTGACCATCTTTTTGTTTATTCCTTTCATTCCTTCTTATTCATTTCTATGGACCTTCTTATTGTTTTCATTCCTTTCATTCCTTTCATTCCTTGTTATTCCTTGTTATTCCTTTGTATTGACCTTCATATTCCTTTTTATTCCTTGCTATTGACATTCTTATTCCTTTTTATTGTCCTTCTGATTCCTTCTTATTCCTTTCTATTGAACTTCTTATTCCTTTTCCTTCCTTTCTATTGACCTTATTATTCCTTTCTTTTGACCTTCTCAAACCTTCTTATTCCTTTCTTTTAACCTTCTCAAACCTTCTTACTCCTTTCTTTTGACCTTCTCATTCCTTCTTATTCCTTTCTATTGACCTTTTCATTCCTTCTTATTCCTTTGTATTCACCTTCTTATTCCTTCTTATTCCTCTCTATTCACCTTCTCACTCCTTCTTATTCCTTTCTATTGACCTTCTTATTCCTTCTTATTCCTTCCTATTGACCTTGTTATTCATTTCTATTTCCTTGCTTGTCGGGATAAGCCCGCAAGAGACATAACGCTGTAACGCTGTCTTTCTGCCGTGGTAACATTGCACCTTGTCATGGTGACAAAATCGCGTTTTTGTCGTGGTTACAACCCCCCCTCCTCAAGGGACATGACCCTGGAAACTGAGGCCATGACCCCTTTATGGGGAATGACCCTGTGATTTCAGGGTGAAGCCTCTAGGTACTTGTGTTGAACCAGAAACAGCCATCGCCACCCTGCGGATGGACGGAAATCCATTTCGCGCCACCGGAATCAGAAACCCTGGTTTCTGATGAGTTTGCTGGGATTACCAACACACAATGGCTTCCTATGGCTTCTCAGTGGTGCGACACCCGTGTCTTTGACTTGGCTGTTTGGCTTGTTGCCTGGTTGGTTGGTTGGTTGGTGGGTTGGTTGGAAGGTGCTTGCAACGGTGGGCTCAGGTGCTGTCGGCGCTCTCCCATGTGCATGGCAGAGGCATCATGCACCCGGCCCAGACTTGCAGAGTCCCACCAGATGGTATTCTTACTCCGGACTTGATAAAGTTTTTGGGCAGGCCACTAGGCCCCCCTAGTGCCCTTTCTCACCCTTTTTTGGGGGAGGGTTCCCCTACTATATAAAATAGACTACAGAAAACAAGGCACCCTTATTCTGGGAGAGAGGCTCAAGATATTGTAAAATCAAATTAAATGTTTCATGTTTATGATTTTTTCTTATAAACAATGCATTCAATATGTTATAATATTTGTATTCCGTATTACTATCATCAATATTGTTTTTTTCAATCTATATTATTCCAAATATGAATCTTCAATTAGATTTATTAAGTTAGTATAGGTTGTTGTTAGAATATGTGTTCTACACACTTCCACTATTCTCTCTATATGTCACTATGTCTAATTTGCATACCATATTGTAATTGTATTTTAATTACTTAAACTTGAATTCATTGGGGTTGTTCTTGTTCTTGTTAGATTATAAATAAGCTAACTTTGAAATATCTAGACGAATACTTACTGTAACTTTGAAATCTAAACCTTTGAAATTTGCAAAGCACAGATAGAACATAATTTGCAATATATGTAAATGAGTTTATTTACAATAAATAAACCCAAATAATCCATAATTTCATTACGTGTTTTGTTTTCTAAACAAATACTTGATTTGAAAGTTAACCGATGTATATGTTCATTGTTGTTTCACTAAAAATGCCCAATCTTCAGTTCAAACAGTTTCAAATATGTATGTTTATACAACCTATTATTATTTAACAAATTTAATGAATAATTCAATGATATAAATACATTACAGTTATTAGCTTTGTTTGCAGATGTTTTTATATTTTCCGAAACTATTTTTGGAGTTTATTCGGTATATCATCATTTGTCAGAATGTTCATTGATATATTAATTGCTTAAACACTCATTATCTGGAGGACCTAGGCAAGCTTATTGGCGTCCATTTGCTGAAATGCAGATTTGTTTCATGTTTTGTTTTCCCCTGTTGGTGTCAAAGGGAATTTATCTCTACTGGAGATCTGCTCTCATTTATTTTTCCGGGGGACGCATCCGCAAATGGAGGGGCGTAAAGAAAGAGTTGGGATTGGGACTCTTTTTGGACAACCCACTCGATCGGAAGTTAGTCTTGGGGTAACAAGGCATCTGCTAGGCACCAAGGAACCTGCTAGATTGTCATTTTTCAGTTTTCGGCTTTCTCCGAATCCCATGGGAGGGGAAAGAGTCGTTGGCTAACAGGTATAGATGCCCCGCTTTTTCAGGGTACTTTTTGGAAAACCAGGTTTTCTCCAGGGGTAAGTACCTCTTTTGTAGAGTTGGCATGATACCCTTCAAAACACGGGTTTTGGGAGTAGGCGGTATAATATACCCTTTCACCTTTCGGAAACCTACCATTGTGGGGCTCCGAACGACACTATATGTCACAATCCTACTCCAAATACCCTATTTTTCAGGGTATCATGCCGACCGTCTACTAAAAAAGGAGGTATTTACCTTGGGAACCAGGTTTTCCCAAAAATACCCTGAACAAAAGCGGGTATTTGGAGGTGACGGGGCCCTCGGGTGTACCCCACATTTGGACCTTCCGGTTGAACCAACTGCTTCTCCATTGAGCCTACAAAAGGTCAGCCCCTGCACACAAAGCCCGCTTTTTTCTCCGGGTATGCTGTCAACCCCTACTTAAAAAGGAGGCGTTTGCCCTGGAAATCACAGGGTTCCCCTACAAAATACCTTGAACAAGGAGGGTAGTTGGAGCTGTCTGGGGTACAACAGGTTAGATTTTTTGCTGGGAAGAGCATGTTCGTGATGAACAACACGTTTAGATGTCGTTTAGCCAATCCACTCAGGTATAGTTGCCATGGAACACCAGTCATTTCCGAATATAGCTACCCACTCGCAGATGAACATTTGGACTATCAAACCCCAGAAATTGGACATGACCGCACAATGCTAGCCGGCAATATCAACTAGTTTTGAGTAGTTGTTTTGGGTTCAGGCCCAGAAACAAGTGAGTTATTGGAGGAATACCAAAGATACTCGACCACAAAGCCCAGGTGAGCCACAATCAAAACCCGGGTAGATGAAGGTTAGTAAGGGGCAGTCCCAGCCAGAAATAGTTGCGGCCGCCTTCTTAATTCTTTACATGGTTCTGGGTAGACCATTTTAACACCGGGTTTTGATTGTGAGTCAGGTAAGGTATGTTGTTTGCTAGATGTGTTTTTTTCTTGATTCTGCGTCCTGGTATCCTTGCCATACAGCTGTTTAACGGTCGGAGAGATTGAATTGGGTGCTTCTGAAAGTAGGGGTCCCATGTTGGATGGTAAGGGGAAGCCAAAAGGACATCAACCAACGGGGGTCCAAATTTTCGAGAGACCACTTGAGGCACAATCAAAACCCGGATAGATGAAGGTTAGTAAAGGGCAGTCCCAGCCGGCAATGGTTGCGGATATCCGCCTTTCTAATTCTTGAAGCATGGTTCTGGGTAAAAAACATTTTTGTACCGATCGGTTTTGAGCAAGTGACCCTGAGGCACTTGGATATCAAGGGCCAGAACCTCATGTTTCAGGTTGCGTACCGAGGCCTGGGAAATCGGATTCGCGAGACGCGAGACATTCCGCTCGGCGTGTCGGAACTTCGGACCAGGGTTGACCAGGGTTCTCTGGACCCTCAAGCCATAACTCAGTTGTTCAGCGGCACCAATTATTTTCCATTTTTTTGGGGTGGCTGCCCCACTAAAAATGGTCTTCCCAAAAAGGGTTCCCTTTTTTTCTCCAGGGTCACTGAACAACTGAGATAAAATTCGGAAGAAAAGGGGGGTTTAGCAAAAATAATCGGAAGCTGACCCAAGATAGACTTGGGCTCCCAAGTCTGAACAGGCCAGGCAAATTGATTGGCAACTAGAATTATCAATCCATGGATCGTTATTTCGCGCGAGAGGTTTCTTGCCTCTGAGTCTTCTGGCTAGTGTCTCCTGGTTGCCTCATGTTAACCCCGGCTTGGTCTAACGCCCTGCTCATTCATCCGGAAAAAGGGTCCCTCCAACGTCTGAACCCAACGGGGCACCTGGTGCATCAAAATCAGCGAGAATGCCATCTGGTGTTCCGCTGTGTGATGGCAGCTGGAAGCACGAAGGGCACAAAGTCTCCACTCCGGTTTGTTTCAAAGGGCTCTGACTGAAAGACTGAGTTTACATCTTTCCCACTCCAAATCAGCCCCCTAGTGTATGTTTGGGAAAACAGGGATTTCCATTTTGACTCCCAAGCCTTTTTCAGCAAAAGCTTGACATGCCGAAAGAAGGTACCTGGACCCTCAAACTACCCATAAAAATGGGAGATCACCCCATAATTTTGGCATTTTTATGGGTAGGCATCTTGGGGCAGGGGGATCCTCGGCCCCGTTCTGCGCCCTTTCGTGGGGCTCGCTACAAATCAGATTTCGATTGGCTGACCGAAGAGTCTTGGCGCTGCTGGCTCGTCCAGTTCAACCAAGGTTGTTTTGAGTTGGTTTAGTGGTTGGGTTCCAAGTCTAACCCACGAGCGTTTCTAGTTTTAGCAGATCAGTTTGGACAGCTGTTGGTTTGTCCTTTCATCGATTCCAGCCACAAACTCACGCTGAAAATATTCAGAGTCTGTCAATTTAAGAAAAGTTGATCACAGATACAAAAAGGGTTGGAACCGGCTATTTGTGTTTGAGTTCACACCAGCCGTTGTTTTTTTAAAGTTCACTTGGGCATTCTCATTCAAGTTGGATCCACGAGCCACCAATTGTGTTTGGTTCCACGAAATCCTCGCCTCGGGACGGAACCAAGAAATGTTTAAAGCATGTTTTTCCGGGATTTCAACCTTACCTTGCTTGTGCTCAGCAGGGAATGAGCCCTATAAACCATCCCACGAGTGGTGTCCTTTAAGGGAATCCCTAGGTTGATTCCCTCATTCCCTACTGAGCACCGGCAAGTTACCATTTGTGGACAAACTAATATTATGCGTCGACTTTCCTCTGTAATGCGTTTGTTTGGTTGGTTGGTTGTCTGTGTGTGTGTGTGTGTGTGTCCATGTCTGTGTGTTTGTTTGCTTGCTTGCGTGCTTGCTTGCTTGTTTGGTTTGTTTGTTTGTTTGTTTCTCTTTTTTCTTTGTGTGCTCGTTTGCTTTTTGCTCGCTTGTTTGGTGTTTTCGGTTATTCTCAGCGAGGGGTTGCAAACAAAGCTTTTGCTGGCACACCGAAGGTTGGAGGAATGACACACATATTAGACTTCAGGCTTTCTGAAGCGGCCTGAAAAGTTAAGAAAGGAAGTGAGGCGGATTCTCCACAGAATGGGCGAAGTCATGGTGGACCCCATTCCCGCTTTTCTGAAACCACTCCTTCTTCCTTGAACCATCTTTTGACATGAAACCACCTAAACCACCACCTCATATGCAAACACCACCTTTCAACACCACCCCTCATTGGAATCCTCCGTTGGACCCCACTTCTTCTTCCACCCACCCTCTTCTCCAAAACTCTATTGTTTTTGTGGACAACAAAAAGGAGGTATTTGCAACCAGAAACACAACTTGTCTCCAATACTTCCCAGCAAACATATATCATATACCTATGTTGGAGAAGGAAACCACTACCTGAACCCTCAAAAATCCCTCAAAAATGGGTTTAACCCCCAAAATTATGGGGTGATCTCCCATTTTTATGGGTAGTTTGAGGGTCCAGGTACATTTGGAAGCATCAGAAAAAAATCTGCGGTGCATCCCCTATTTGGAGCCAGTGCGCTGTCCGAAGCTCCTGCTTCAGATCTCGCGTTCCGTAGGTACCATCCTCCCGGCGGAGAGCGCGGCACACCCGGCGCCCTGGCAAGCCGTGAAGGAGCTCCTTTCGAGCGAGCGCGGCGAGGTGTTTTCGTCTTATTCGAGGGGGTTGGTCGTCGGTCTCTCGTTTGTCTCATGCACTTTATGCACTTCTCGGATTTGGACCCGCTTGACCTGGATGTTCAGCTAGCCACTTTTTTCCTGCCACTTGACCCCGCTGGTAGCCCAGAATTTGGCAAAATGGCCCATCCGCGTTTCAGCTTCTGCGTGGCTTCAACTCTGGCATGTGGGTTTCGCACATGGAGGCCCCGAGCAGCTATACCCCCTACTCAAAATACCTGCTTTTTCAGGGTATTTCTGGGAAAACCTGGTGTTCCATGGTAAAAACCTCCTTTTTCAGTAGAGGGTCGACATGATACCCTGAAAAAAGAAGGTATGTGGAGTAGGGGGTATGGTTGCGAATTCGAGTGAACACCTTCAAGACTGGGTGGACATGCCTCATGTAAAAGACGCAAGGCGCCGCACATACAAGCATACCGCTGGTCAAGCCCGATTACTTGCATGAGGCAGGGTAGTGCATGGATGTGTGGGGGCTGACTTTTGCAGGTCTGGGGGCATGTCCATGCCAACCAGTGGAATCGCCGCAGTTTTCCTCAAGCAATCCGAGTGCAACTGCTCAGCATGGCGTTGAACTGGAGCATTGTGGCAGGTTGCGGGCTTGCCTTGATCTTCTGGATCCTTCTGATCCTGGTGTCATGGTGGAGAACCCTGCACCAACGGCCCCACATATCGAACTCAACGGCCATTGACTTGCCAGAGCTCGCAGTGCTGCATCTTGACCACGAGCAGATCTGTGCTGTTTGCATGGAGCTTGCACCCCCTGGAACGCCCTTGGCCGAGCTGAGCTGCAACTCGGCGCCAAATGAAGTCGGTCTTTTGAGTTGTGCTTTATAGTTGTTAGGTCCCCCAGCTTGGTGCCCTACCGTTTCTTTTTTGGTTGGGAGATTCGGTTCCCCTACTAAAATAATTAGACGTCCAGAAAAAGGTTGGCACCCTTATTCTATCCTCTCAAATCTGGACCTCGGTTGGTATCAAAAGATGTTTCTCAGTTTCCACGTGAGGCAGTCATGCCTTCCACGGTGACTGCGTGTGCAAGTGGTGGCTGAGGAGTGGTGGAAGACCACAGTGCCCCTTGTGCCGCTGTGAGCACAATCTTCCGTTTGCTTAGGAATATGTTTGTTATTTTGCCTTGTTGGTTTGAAAGGGAATCTATCACTACTGGAAATATTTCATTTTTTCCAGGGGTCTTAACCAATTGGAAGCAATGAGTCGGAGCTAGCGGCCAACGCAGCATGAAGATCTTTTGCCGCCCTAGGTCGATTTGTACAGCACCCACCTGTAACGACCTTTTGATCGGGGAGTCGGGTGAGGCACTGCAAAGTTGCAGCGCTACAATCCAACACATGGTTTTGTCGCATTTTCGCTCTCTCGGGCCACTTAGGGTCCGCAAGGATTGTTTGTTTTTGCTGTGTTTGGAGTGCCTGTGTCACAGTCCTCTGAATTTTTAGATTGGTTACCCCTGCTTGTCCAAATGGGGGAAGGTCCACCAGGACGTCCAAACCAACGAATCGGGAGCTTATGGCTTTTGCGCACTTGGGCCACCTGTTTGATCAGCCCACGAAGGCCACGAAGGCTGAACCTTTGTGGGGGTGGTGCAAGAATGAAGTTTTAGCGTGCACCGGCTGCGGTGCTTGCCTGTGAATGCTGTGTCCTGCATTCCTTCACTGTATAGCATCCGCATGCGTCAGCAGGCTGTCAGCCATGCATTCTCCGGAATCCTGAAGCGGTTGAAACAGATGTTGGCATGTGCCGTTGGGTGCAATGCATGGATTTTCCCCGGGAGATGAGAGCTGACAGGCCATGGCCTGGAAAGTCGATCCGATGGTTCGGCGAACCAAGCCGATGCAACCCGGCTTTGCGAGCTTTCAACTTTTCCGAAATTTCCACTCAGCCAGAATCAAGTAACCCCTAATTGGTGGTTAGGCTGGTGGTCTGCGGATTTGAACCTTGGTTCTTGTAGAGGGTTTGTTGCACACCAAGCCACCAATCCAACCACCAACTAGAGGAAAGCTGAATAAGCCTCACTGGAGATTGTCATACCCGTAAGCTGCAAAGGAAAAAGTCACGCCGTGCGCAAGGTTCTTTCTGACGAAGGCGCTGCAGCTCCGGCAAACGCATCTAAATGTTGCGACTAGGCCACCCGCAATTTGCCATCAGAAGTTTCCTTGCTTTGAATTGGATTTGGATTTAAAGCCCTGGTTCTTGTGGGTAGATGGGAAACCACCCCAGAACAAACCCAAAACCAAACCACCAAGAGGGAGCAGGGCCCGGGCAGATGAAGGTTAGTTAGGGGCAGTCCCAGCCGGAAATAGTTGGCCATTCTAATTCTTTACATGGTTCTGGGTTCACCATTTTTGTACCAGGTTTTGATCGTGACTCAACTGGGATCCAGGTAGTTGGTAAGAAAAGGTTTGGTGCCGGATTCTTGGGCCATCCACTTGCTCGAGCGGAAGTGAGTTGTGGTGTTCTTGGGCGGGGGCGTTCCGCGAGGGTCGAGTCACTTGGGTTTGGACCATTTCAGTGGGTAAACCAAGTGTGCTTACCTGGATCCCCAGTTAAATTATTTGTGGCCACACCATTTCAGTGTGTTTACCTGGTATCTATGGATTCCCTGAAGGGGGGTAGGTACATTAGGGGAGGTAGAGAGCCTTACCTGGATCCCCAGTTGCCTTTAACTTTATTTTCCAGCTACTTTTGGCCCAAATCATGGGCTAGTGGGTAAAGTAGCTGGAAAAAAGTGGCTACTTGGGGATGCATAGCGTTCTTTGGACTTGTTACGGATCTTTAGACTTGAACCATCTTTTATTTTACTCTTATATCGAGGGGTGGCTCCACAGATTCGCCGCATCCAAACCCTTTGCTAGATCAGCAGCCCGGAGGCTCCAATTCGATTGATTTAGGGCCTTCAAACGACTTCATGAACTTTACCTCGGGTCTTCCATTGAAGCCGAAGCCAGGAGCCTCTGGGAGTGGTGGGTGGTGAAGAACCTGACTCATTTGCTAGTCGTGTCCAAAACGAGTCAGACATATAACCTAAGTCCCCCAGTAGTGCCCTTTTACCAACTTGTTTGGGGGAGGGTTCCCCTAAAATCGACTACCCTTACCCCCTACTCCAAATTCCCGCTATTTTCAGGGCATGTTTCGGAAAACCGATCGGTTTTCCATGCCAAATACCAACCCTTTTTTTAGGTAGAGGGTCGACATACGCTACCAACTGAAGAAAAAAAAGCGGCCGGGTGTTGGGTGGGTTTACGGGTGGTTTTTCTGGGAGGACCAGGAAGGCAAAACCGCAACGAGGGTTTTCTTCCAAGGCTCAAGCGGGCGGAGTTCGGCCCAAGGAAGGCTCTCGGCGCCTTCCGTCGAAGGAGCCCCATGTGGTGCTGGTGGATTTCGGCACCGCGCAGGCGGTGAAACAGCCGGGTAAGCAGCCAGTAGGCCGGGTGGAGCATCGCATGGGTGGCTTCGGCTGCCAGGTGGTTTTAGTTGTTTTTTTTGTTAGCTCGGTTTTCTGGTGGTGCCCTTTTACCCACGCTTTTTTGGGGAGATTCGGTTCCCCTACTAAAAAGTTGGTACCTTTTTTCTAACCTCTGTACTGGAGGACCTAGTTATGTTCCCTTGTTGGTTTTAAAGGGAATCTATCACTACTGGGCATATTGTTTTGTTTTTCTTACAAGTAAGCAAATCGAAGCCAGCTCGGTCGCTTTTCCGGTCGCTTTTTTTGCGGGAAACAAACTCCGACAACTCTGAATGCCCGGTGGATGTGTTCCCATGTTTTTGTTTGGGTTAGGAAGAAAGAACAACGACATGGTGCTCCGTTTGGTTTCCCTTAAAACCAACCCGAAAAGGGGTCACACCCAATACCCGCCTTTTTTGTGTGTTGTTTTGCGGGTATCACGCCAAGCCTCTAGGTAGGTAAACCCTGCACCGATCGGTGTTTCACAAAATACCCCGAAGAAAGCGTTGTGCGTGGTGGTTTGGATTTGGACCAAGGGGCCCCTGGTGTTTGAGGGTAAACGGGGAAACCACCCCACAAAGCCATAAAGCCACCAATCCGCCAAAATTGCACGAGGGAAGCTGATTTTGCGAACCTGCCAAAAATGGAGACCCGTCTCCCGGTGTTCTCCTTTCAAACCAAGCCCAAAAAGGGTACCATCTGAAAGAAACACACCCAAATTCCCGGCAACGATGTTTTGTTTTTGAGTTTTTCTCGGAAAACTAATTACCGTTCTCCCAAGTGTTGACATGGTGTGTACTTGGAGGGGGCCAAACCGAGCGTTGGCCTTTTGGTTTTGGTCCATTCGTTCAACAAGCACCGTTTATATGCAGGTCCGTCCCTGGGCAAGTGAGAGATGTTGACTGAATTTGTGGTTGTTTTCCAGTGTTTGATGCTTTATAAACGAGTTTTCGAGGAATTTTGATACAGGACTATTTTTTATCGTTGTAGTGGTTCTTTGACACTCAGGCGTGCAGGTTATTTTCCAATTACTAAGTACCCTGCCCCTTTTGAGAGCTGTTCCCCTCCATGTTGCAGACAAAGCCAGAGATGTACTCAACCAAACTCAAGGCATGTGGGGGCTGATCAATACTCCTGGTGACCAAAGGGAAACCTACCGATTTTGGCTCCAGTTCCTTTTCAACACAAGCACACGGACGTGTGAACCAAGCGGAAGTTGACCGCTGGCTTGTTGTTTGAACATTACTATGGACTATGGCATTCCATCTCTTAATGAGGGTCCAAGTACCTGAACCCTCGGAATTCCCTTACAAATGGGTTTGACCCCCAAACTTATGGGGTGATATCCCATTTTTATGGGTAGTTTGAGGGTCCAGGTACCTTCTACGGAGGTACTGAACGACCCCTGTTTACTCCCCAAAAGCTCAGGAGGTACTTACTTGGACCCTCTGGGTATGGACGATGGCATTCCATCTCTTGTAGTATCCATGGTAAATACCAAGCCTTTCTCAGTAGAGCGTCGACATGATACGCAGGGGCCTGAGCTTTTGGGGAGTAAACAGGGGTCGTTCAGTACCTCCGTAGAAGGTACCTGGACCCTCAAACTACCCATAAAAATGGGATATCACCCCAGGGGAAGAAAAAAAACCAAGCAAAAAGGCGGGTATTTGGAGGGGGCTATGGGATTCTATGTCTTGCATCAGGTTCCCGAGAGGTGGTCCCCGTAACCACCGAGGTACCCGCCGCCCGGCTTTTTTTTCAGTTGGTTTTTTTTGGTTGAACACCGAGAAAGGTGTTTTTCGAGGTAAATACGGATCCCTTTTTTAGTGGAGGGTCGACAAATCATACCCTGAAAAAAGCGGGTATTGGGTGTAGGGGGTGGTTTTGATTGGGATTTTGTTGAAATCCTGGGCTTTTGAAGCGGCGAAAAACCATCCACCAAACCATCCTGGGCTCCAAACCACTCCCCAACCACTTACCCTCGTATCCTCCAGATACTCACTTTTCCTAGTTGTTTTTTTTTGAACAACCGATTGGTTTTCCATGGGAAATACTGATCCCTTTTTTAGTAGAGGGCCGACATCAATGAAAAGTGGGTGTTGGGTGTAGGGGGTAGGAGAGCTGATAGTAGGAAGCAAGGGAACCCAATTGCCAAAAAATATTTGCCCCTTACAATACCCGCTCCTTTCAGGGTAGGATGTCGCCTGTACTTGTGTCATGGAGGTATTTTTCTGTGGAAAGCTAGAGGGGGTATAGTGACTTGCCCAGGATCTACCACATCGTTCTTTGGGAACAGTTCGGACTTGTTTGTGACCATGGTGAGACGGACTCTCCGCAACTGAACTTGTGCTGGAATTGTCCCTTTAGAAAACCAGTTGCTTCGGGGACCTTAGGCCCCACCCCCATGCCCCTTAAGGGGCCTTAAGGGGCCGGGGGATACAGCCCCTAAACATCGTAACATAATATGTCATATTTGGGTGGCATTCAGGGACCCAGACAGGTACCCTTGGATGGTGCTCTGAAGGAGACCCGTAAGGGGAGAGTCTACCTCCTACCCCCTACTCCAGATACCTGCTTTGTTTAGTCCGTATCTTTTGAGCCTGGGTTTTCGATGGTAAATGCCTCTTTTTTTTTCCGTAAAGGTCGACATCATACCCTAAGGCAAGCGGGTATTCGGTGCAGGGTGCGTCTTTTCGAATGGGCGGATCGTGGAATCGTCGACTCGCGAATTTCGTCGCAGGCACGTCCTACTTCATGGCTCCGGAAGTGTGGTCTTCTCAACTCACGCCCAAGGCCGGTGACAAAAGAGCGCCACGCCACGGCAACCTCGAGCTAGGTGGCCCTTTTTACCTTTTTTTGGGAGCCCCTACTAAAATAGACTACCTGGACCCTCAAACTACCCATAAAAAAATTGGATATCACCCCATAATTTTGGGGGTCAAACCCATTTGTAAGGGAATTTTGAGGGTTCAGGTACAGAAAAAAGTTGGTACCCTTGTTCTAACCTCTCTACTGGAGGACCTAGGCAACATGCCCCTGTATCCTCGAAATACCCACTGTTTTCAGGCCATCATGTCACCCCGGTTCTGAAAAAGCGTTCTGGTATAGTGATTCTGGAAAACTGATCGGTTCTCAAAACAACCCACTGAAGACAGCATTGATCTTTGGAGTGAGGGGGTATTCTGGCAAGTTCTTCCAGGCGTTTCGCACCAGGTAACCAGAAAATTGACCCACCCCGGGAACTGGTGGTTGGTCTCAAAACCAGGTTGATTGAAAGCCTAAAATCAATCGAAGTGGAGCCTCTGGGATGTAAAATCGAGCGAGGCAAGAAACCCGAGGGCTTACCGACTAATTGTGGCCTCTACTCCAGATACCCACTTTTTCTAGTTTTTTTTTTGGGGTTAACAAACCGGGTTTTCCATGGTAAATACCTCCTTTTTTAGTAGAGGACATGATACCCTGGAAAAAAGGCGGGTATTTGGAGTAGGGGGTAAGCAAGCCGAGGGCTTACCGACCAATAGTGGTAGTTGGACGCACTGGCCAGAAGTGGGTGCCTGTGCGAGTGGTTGGGTTTCCAGTTAACCTACTCAAAGTGTAACTTTAAGATGGGGGACCAGAAAACGGACAGCCCAGAAAAGAGTTCCAAGTCTGGTCCTCTGGAACAAACCGAGCGCGCCGCACCAAACAAACGGGTGCTCTGTTGCCCAGTGGGTTGCTTCCTTTTCTCAACATTTGTTGGGAAGGATTCCCCTTAATACTCAACCAACCAAAACAGTATAAAACAGTCTTTTGAGCAGTGTGGCGGAACCGACCAATAAAGAGTGCCGATCCTTTTTCCTACATGGAACTCCACCGGGCAAAAAAACAAAAACGAGCGCGTCCCAGGCCGGTTCTGCGCACGTCAGGCAGATATCTTCAGCCTGGGGGTGGTGCTGTTTCAGCTCCTGGGCGGGAAGCTGCCCTTCTCGGTGCCGGACAACATCGACATGGCCCAGGCAAAAACCGGGGGGGGGGGGGGGCGGGGGCGGAACCCGCGGAAGGGTCGGTGGGCTGTTTTTCTGTTTTTAGTTCAAGGTAGAACTGAAGGTATACCTCGACCAACCGAGGGCTCTATTTTTGTAACACTCCCCAAATTTCCGCGCATTTCCCTGAAAAGAGTACATTTGAGAAAGAAACATTCATTTCCCTGATGTCTGATTGGACAATGAAGCGTTCGATGCCAGTGAGAGGCCCTTTTGAGCTTTTTTGGGCTGCGCTGGCCCTGTCGGGCTCAAACTCTGGCGGCGACCCCGGACCTGCGGCCCGGGCCTTGAAAGCCACGCTTGCGAGCAAGCGCTCGCATCTTCAGCGAGATTCTGCGAAGGACATTGCCTGAAACTGTTTTCGAATTATTAAGTCTCCTGGCAAGTCTTGACGCCTTTCCCACCATATCCTCGTTGGGCTCGCAACTGTGGCAAAGTGGGCTCAAAACCAAGGGAGAGCCACTGCTGAGTTGTTGGGCCAAGTTTTTGCTGATATGGTCCAGGGCGTGCAGCTTAGGCTTCAAGGAGAAGGCCACAAGTTTCAGTTTCCGAGCTTCACGCGCGCATACTTTGAAACCACGGACCATGATGGTCAGGTGATGGTTCAAGCGCTGCGCGCAATGTCGATCGAGCCATAGTTTGTGACCATTCAAAATGCCCCAGAAGATGGCTGCTGATTGTAAGACTTCTGCCGCAGCGTTGAACAAAGGTTCGTGTTCAGACTCCACAGCCCCTGTTCTCTTCAATGTCGTCAAAAAAAATAACAACCAGGATGACAATAGGGTGTTGTCGCTTCCCTTGACGTTGGACCACGGAAATTGCCTTTGGTTGCTAATGCAAAAGAGCTGTTTTGAGAAGTAGTGTAAACTTGCAGTTTTCCTCTCCGCCTGGCACCATAGGGAAAAGTGCCCGAAAGCAACCTCGATGCGGTAGTCCAAGTTGTATGGTGCATTTGGGTCGAAATCGAAATACCCCAATAAGCACAGGCTGATCACCATTGAACCGGTCAGGTCACGGCCTGTTCCAAGCTTCCAGCAGTGAAAAGGGTCCAACTGGAATACGGCCTCCGGGCACATGAGGTCGTATGGGATTTTGGAAAATGTGCTGGGAGAATCTTCGTGCCAAGGTCGCGAGGTGTGCATTGTGGCCAACCATGATGGAGTGGCGCTGGTGTCTTCAAAAGGCCGGCCTGGGGTGCCGGCCATGCACAAACTGCACATCCCAGGTTCTCTGGAATTGCTCAAATTGTAATAGCTTCTGGTTAAGTGCCCCAGCTGATGGTGAAACTTGAGGTCACCTTTGATGCCGATGGTGGAGAGGTAGATTTTCCTACCACCAAACGTCATGCCAGCCTCATGCAGTTCTCTCAAATCCGAGGAAACCATGTCAAAGGCTTGGTCCAACAGGCCAACATGCTTCTTGTACACCTGGGAGGCAACACCGAAGCAAAGCAGCTTGGAAAGGAAACAGTGGCCTGCATAGTTCGTGTGTTGGGACGAAGCCGTGGAGGCTGCCGTTCTCAAGCTGTTGTCATGTTGAGACCAATCAAAGTCATGGATGCCCGGGTAGCGCTCCAGCACTGGGTCGCTGCAACAGTCGCAGGGCTGAACCTTTGTGGGGGTAGAACCTACAACCGGTTCCAGAGTGCACAGCATGAAGTTGCCCTTCCTCAAATACCGACCCTCGTCCCCAAACAGCTGAACAGGGAAAGTTGATTGCATGCGTTCATCGCAGAAGCCATGTTTGTAAATTTCATGTCCTGGGTGGATTGTTTGATAGACTTTCCAAAACGACCAGTTCTGGAGCTCGAAATCCCAAGTTCCTCCTGCTAACACAGGAGTATACTTGTGAAAGAGGCAGCGCAGCCAAGAGCTTGGCTTGACAACTGGAATTTCGATTGTGGCGCCCTCCTGACTGGTGTAGGTGAGGGTGGTGTGCTGCTCCCCCATGTAGAGGCCCCAAGTGCTACATAGTCTGTGAAAGTCCCTGTTGGCGTTTTGCTCGGAACGAGGCGGCGCCCTTGTAGAAGAAGTTGAGTGGTTGCCCTCTTCGTGCGCCGCCCTCCGGTTGCGCTGCACAGACACAGCAGTAGCCTAGAGCAGCAAGGGATGTGTTGCAAACACTAAGTCACTAGGTCCCGCGCGCCCTCACCCAAACTCTCGGCCCACTGTTGGAGCTGTGCGCCAGGTTCACGGTCACCTGGCACGCAATGGCTACATATTGTTCAATGCTACTGCAAACCAGTTGATCGATCTACGCAGTTTTAGCAGCACCCATCGATAGATCGATGCTTACTCAGCTGCGCGGTAATGCGACACCCGGAGCCCGGAGCAAGTGAGGCCCGCTCTGTACACGTGAGCGCGGTTAACCCAACAACACGCGCGCCACCAACAGAAAAAGGCAGTCATCTAATGCTCCAGCACACCTGGCACGAACAAAACGTAACAAAACCAGGTCAGCGCTTGTCTGACCTGGGGGTCTTCGGAGGCGCCTTAGCCTTCGCTGCGGCTTTCACTTTAGGCTTGGGAGCAGCCTTCGCCTTGGCCCGCTTTTGCGGCCCAGGGCTTGGCTGAGAAGCTCGTTTCTGCCCACGCTCAGCGTCAGCAGCCAGTTTCCTCAGCGAAGCAAACTAATGTATACAGACGCGTTAAGAAGCAAACACGGGCGCCGCGCTTGACCCGTGGCTCCAGCATCATGCGCTCGATTGACCTAATTTGCTGTTGAAGCTTTGGCGCACACATGCACACTTAGATCGCGGCAGCCGGCGTGCTTCGTTTAGGTGTTGCGCCATCTCAGCCTCGCACCTCGGCAAAATAAGAGAAAACATGACAAACGCGCAGAGCTTCCAAGGAAACCGCTTCTCGTTGAAGCCTTCGAGAAGCCCTTCGCTGTAGAGCTTGTGCAACGCCTCGTCCTCTTTCGTCAAGCCGCTCTTGCAGCTGGACACCTTCTCCAGCATCCTAGCAAAAACGGTGGTAACAACTAGTGACACGGTCAACTCTTGAACTTGCCTAGGCCGTTTCCCTTTCCCTGCATGTTTGAACACCTAAGTAGTGATGCAAAATTAATTTGGGTCGCGCGCGTGCAACCCAGTCCTGGCAGTCAAGTCATTCGGGGAGGACAACGCAGTAAGACGTTGGCTCAGATCTTCCAGCTTGCTGAGATGCTTCTGAATTGGCCCGAAGCACTTGGCTACCACACTGGAAGCCGGAGCTTGTTGCTCCAATTCAGGAAGGCCGGTTTTCATGGCAGATTGAATTTGCTCGCCTTGCACCGGTTTGAGACCTTCTTTTGCTGCGTTGGCTGGCAAAGCTTGTCCTGGCCCACCACCTGCAAGCATTGTTTCCGGCTCAAAGAGATAAGCCCACCCCCAAAGCCAAAGGCCCGCCTATCAGATCCAGCGGGTTAAAAGAAGTCAACCCCGAAGTCGGCGTGCTCATGTCCCCAACGTCATCCTTTGCCTTGACCTCCTCGTCCCATTGGCAGGCCCTCTGCATGATGTTCCGCCGGGCGCTCCTGCGGCAAAGGAAGGCGGGGTGACAGGGAGGGGGGGGGGCAGTCCTTTGATTTCCACGAGTGCTGGTCTCCACCCAGTACATGACGCCGTCTCCATATTTCGAGACCCTGGCAATTTGAATCAAGGCTGGCAAGAAACAAACCATTTTGAAGGTGTGCTCTGGCCTTGTGAGTCGGGGATCTTGCTCGCAGAAGGTCTTGATTCCCCGAATCTTTTGCCTTGCACATCAGGTTTCTTTGCAGATTATGGCTGAGAGCTCTTGTTTGGACACGAACATTACTATTGGCATGCCAAGGTTCTCGGTGTAGTTTTTTTCCCGCATATCTTCTTCCGTAAGAAATTCGTGGTCTACGTCCACAGAGGACTCCTCAATCTCCTGTGTGATCCTCACGCATCTGCGAACGAAGGCGTCCTGCAAAATTCACGCAAGTGGGCAGAATCAAACGCTGGACACACAAAAAGAACCAGGCAAACAGAAGGGGTTGCAGGGTTGCAAGTTTCAAGCCACGGTCCACTTTGTAATTTAGCTTCTCGAACATCGAGTAGAGCTTCTCCCGGCCACCACCTGCCTTGTCTTTCCACATCTTATGCCACTCCTCTCCAAGCTTTTGGGATCCATCGCTGTTCGGGATGAAAACTCTGTGCATTCGCTTGTAGATGGCACCCTCAGTTAGCTCTGGCTCTGGGAACTCAATCAGGCAAAGTGCCTCAAGAGGTTGTGGCTCGAGAGGAGTGTTTGGCTGCGGCTCGAGTGGGGTCTTCGGCAGTGGCTCGGTCGGCTGTGGCTCGAGAGGAGTCTTTGGCTGCGGCTCGAGCGGGGTCTTCGGCTCTGGCTTGAGCGGAGTCTTTGGCTGCGGCTTGAGCGGAGTCTTCGGCTGTGGCTCGAGAGTCTCTGGCTGCGGCTCAAGAGGAGTCGGCTCAAGTGGCTCAAGCGGGGTGTTTGGCTGTGGCTCAAGCGTGGTCTTCGGCTTCTTCGGCTCTGGCTCAAGAGTCTTTGGCTGCGGCTCGGGCGGGGTCTTCGGCTGTGGGCTGCAAGGAGCCTTCGGCTGCAAATCGTCGAGGACAACCTGGCTTGGCTGCCCAGGAGGGACTGGGTCTGCAGGGGAAGCAAACGCCCATGGGTCTTGAGCATCAGGGAACTCCTGGTCCTCTGAAGCCGTGATTGACTGAACGCTCGGACCCTGGCAAGGTTTCAGTGTCTTATTTGAAGAAGATAGACCCAACAAAACGTTTGGCATCCCTTAGAAGTAAGGCGACAAGGGCGCCCTCAAAACACACAAACAATGGAGCAAAACAATCCAGCTCAATCGGTTCCATTGGCAAACCAGACAGGGTGTTTGCAATAGCCCGGCCTTCCCAAGTGAAGCGTCTGGAGTAGAACCAAGATGCCCTTCCCCCTCGCCAGCAACAAGAGGTGTTTGGCCCCCCTGTTTCGACGGTGCAGGATGCGGTTGTT